ATTTGATTTGATATAATACAGCAAAATACATGTTAACATAAAACCTACGTACAAAACACAAGCACTATAACAAAATGAAAGCAAAAACATGTTTTTGGTTTTTTCTCTAATTTGCAAGCAGAGGTGTTTACTAACAAAGGCCGACCAAGCTAAAACAAAAGCCCCAATTATGAATTTATCGTTTGCTTATTAATACCTCTGGATATAAATCCATAATGCACGACAAGCAAGGAATTGATAGGCAAATGTTTTGTACCATGTCCGTATACGATTTATCATTTGTCCTTAATAGCCCTCGTCTTTATGATGTATGTTCCTTGTCTTTTTAATGTCCTCAAATATTCCTCTAATTCGATAACACAAACATGAAGGTCATCATATTTAACAATTGTTAACGTATATCCATAATGCGTTAGACTTAGACATTGGTGCTTTTTTCTATTGGGTCAAAAAATGAGAGTACTTCTAAACGAATCCTAAAATTAACTGAGTACACCATATTACTAAAATATTTATTAAATTACTAATTTACCCTAAAATAACATGACCAAAAAAGATATATTGAATTGTGAAACAAATATAATTGTAATAAGTACACCCTACTCGTCATATTCAACCCCAATGAAATGCCTAAGCAAGAAAAATGCTTCCCTGATTCCAACCATTATGAGACTTGTTAGTGTTCAACAAAATTTAGGGTACTGAGGAAGCGAAAGAACTATGTTGGGAAACCTGTGGAGACTTGTGACCCCAGAAAAAGCGAGCAGACCCAAGGACGAAGTTTGGGTGAATAGGGGTTGTCGATAGGGCTTTCTTCTAGGAGGGATGATTGTGAGCTTCCTGACGATTGTAACTCTACGAGTACATCCCTTTTTTTTGGTCAAAACATCAAGGAAATTTATTAAAGATGAATAAGATCGTTTACATCACTAGCCAAATATTAAGGACCCATGCTGGACCTGCTTGATCCCAGACATGATTTCTACTCATCCTAGGAACATAGGCTGCCACCTCATGTGCAGCTCTATTGCAGTGTCACGGTGTGAAAGAAAACACAACTTGGATAATTAAACTCTTGAACTAAAACATGAATATCAAATAGGTGTTGTGTGATAGAGTTTATTCGGGTGTATCAAGAGTATTTTGGTAGTAAAGTAGGGTGTACTTAGTTAATTTTACATTTTGATTAAAATATTAAGGTGTACTTAGATTATATGATGTACTCAGTTAATTTCAAGGTTTGTTTACCAGCACTCAAAAATGAAGTGGCTTATATATTGATGCTATCCTAATACAATCTACTATTCATATTATGGACCGATATGTTCTTCTTTCATTTGGGCCATGTAAATAAAGTTCTAACCAACCAGGCTATTGCACGTGAAGCTATTCAAACCCAATATTGATGTGGCTTTAGCGAAGATTGAGACTCGATTTGGTTCATCAGAGAGTATGAAACTTTGACCACATGGAGGAAACTGACGACTAGTTAAAATTTTTGAGGGCATGAGTTAGCTCCAAACTTAGTGTTTTTGGAGAAAGCAAAAAAAACAAAATAAAGGTGGTGTGGCTTTCAAATACCATTAAATTAAATGGATATTCAAGAATCTCCTAAATGCAGGTAAATGCATAGAGATTCGAGATCCTTCTACCCTTTCTTTTATTTTCTCATTCACCTCGTATTTTCACTCCTTATAAAATTTTGAAAAAGAATTTAATTTTTTTCCGTGGTCCACCCATTGTTATTCTTAAAATATATTTTATAAATCAATTTAATCACTTTACTAATAAACACTATTTTCATACTTTAAATTTATTTATCCGGCTCCATTCTTCCATAACAATTCCATATTAGAAACTCAATACTTTTTTCTTATTTGTTTGCCATTCATCTCACAAGGCATCTTTATTTAATCTTGCGTAGTTCAATTGGGCTTATCAGGATTTCCTTACGTCTTCATGTGCTTTAGAAAAAAGGTCATCTTTTGATTGGATAATTTGGATACTCATCCTTCCTCCAACTAAAGGACCTGATACTTAGACAATGGATTCAAAACGAAAACGAGGTGCTCACACTTTGGGCTTAGCCCAAGAAGGAGCAATGCCTAAGCTTTGCTCAAGTAGTTAATTATTCAAGCGTGTGGGAAGAATGAATTAAGGCAACCCATTCCGGTTTGGGGCCTGGGACTCATCAGTCAATAAGCGGAGGAGGCCCTTCAATCTCATGATCAGCTCCTGGAATTTGTCAAGTGCGTCGGCTGCACACACCTTCTTCAAGTAAGGTAGGACTTAGCAACAATTATCACAAATTATATAATCCAGCAACTGAGAGCGAACCACCCAAAATCTGGAACAAGGATGAGCGACAGTAAAACCATAGTTATGCTCATAGACATGTGTCAAATTTTTTAAATGACGATGACGGTACAACTTGGGTTAAAGTGATGAACAAAAATACTTCCATAAAAATTAGGTCGAAAGTAGTAATACTTAAAATAAAAATATCAAATTCTTATAATTAGTGACGAGTTATAGAACTCAATGTCTCAATCAAAGGATACAGAAGTGGAAACTTGAGTAACAAGTACAAGTAGGATCCTCACGTCACGTACTTTGGTCACATTAAGGTATCCGATTCTCCTCCTCCTCCTCCAATGAAGTGGCGATACATAAAAAGGCATGAAGGACTGCAAATATGTACTGTCCCAACTTTTGCAAGTGTATATACATGAATGTGGTAGAAATCAGGGTAGTCCATTCTTATTCCTAAAAATATATTTTATAAATCAATTTCATCTAATACCAAGATTATTTTCCTCCACGTTTTCTTTCTCTCGTACCACCCACTCCATTCTCCCATCAAAATTCCATATGAGATTACTAACACATACTATTTTCTTATATTTTCCATTCATCACAAAGCATCTTTATTTAATCTTGGGTATTTCGAGTGGACTTACTAGGATTTTCTTTCGTATTCATATGCTTTGAAAGAACAAGATCATCTTTCTATCAAAGTTAAGAACGGAGTACTCATGATAGCATCTGATAAAAAAAAATTAAAAAAAGTAAGTAAATTTGGGGTGGGCAGGCCAATTCCTTGGATATAGAAGCGTGTAAGTGTGTGACATCATGAGGGTGGCTCGGGGATCCAGCTCGGACTGACCCTTGCATCTGGCTCTTGTGGGGTGCGCCCTTTCACAGCTTCTTAGTGGACACCACGCTCTCTACCCTGGAGTGTGTTTTCTTTCAAAAAAAAAAAAAAAAAAAAAATTATTCTCTAACATAAATTGTTTAGTAAGGCCAGAGGAACATAAATGATCAATAATGATGAAAACAAGTAAGACTAGTTTTTTCCTGATCGTTAACCCTTGCATCTGGCTCTTGTGGACTTCTTAGTGTTCCACATTGTGGATGATGGGATCCTTGGGGAAGTGTCTGACGGCTTTAGTTAGGTAGGGACACATCAAAGCGTGGCCAGCCAATGGGACATGTAGTATGTGTGGCTGCTCCAAAGATTTACGAAGTCTTGCCCCATCGTTGTTAAATTGTTAATCATATGTTGGGTCTATAGTTTGACTCCACAAGAAATTTTGTCGATCTAGTTATAATGTTTTCTTCTTTTATTTTTAAACAAATTTAAAGGGTAAGTCATACTAAATTTTGCCTGTTAATCCGTTTCTAGTTCTAAAGCTCTCATCCACAACCACAGCATATACACTCAACTTTAACAAATGCCCATTCTGAGAACACAATATGAGTCAAATGTAAATCAACAAAGTCAAAATAACAAGCCACTCAAGCCTAAAGTATTGGTCGTGCATATTGACCTTATTACACAACACAAACATGATTAGTAAACTTGCATCTTCTTGGATAAGCGTGGTAAGTAACTTACTTAGGGTAACCCAGTTTTATATTTCATTGTGAAGCAGGCAATGATGATATGTTCAGATACTCTCTCAAATTTTCAAAGCCTTGAACAACTCCTCCAAATGCACTTGTAAACAATTTTTTGACGTATGGGTACAAGTAAACAGCTATACAGCTCAAAAAAACAAACGATCCAAAAGAGGACGGCAGATAACCTTAAAGCTGGAACAAGGATCACCAATTCCAAAACCAAGACAAATGCTTTAGGAATCAATGCCTTCAACCAATGGGATAACACCACGTGGTTGATAACTTCGTCTTTCCATGAACTGAGGGGTGAGCTAAATTTTCTAAGATGTCTTATGCGTCTTAGAACAAATGGTGAGACACAACTTAACTGCGCACACATGACATGCAACTTAATTCATGCACTATCAAATTTTCACTTATGTTTTTTTTATATAATAAATTATTTTTGTATGTGCGTAAAATCATGATTTGCATGAAGGAGAAATAAGGTAAAAATATACATTGTTAGAAAATATTTCAAAAATTATTCTTTTTAATAGTGTACCACTTTCTTAACCCATGTAATTACATGTTAATATTAATTAATAATTAGATCCACCGTAGTTGAGAATTGATGACAGTACACTATTTTCTTCTAATTTCTTGAAGTCAGTCCAACATGGAAAAATTGACATAATTTCTGGGAAGCAATTTGTGCCGAAGGAAAGTGGGTGTTGAAAGGAAGTTTCAGAGCAAGATCATATGAGGAGGATAGATGAGGCACGTCAAAGATTGAGCATTGACTTGTAGGCTTGGGTCTTACACAGGCAACCACTTTTGATGAGCTATTTTGTCATTGTATAACCGGTGCAGCGTTGCTTATGATGAAAATAAAAAAATGTAAAAGTGTTCCGATTACGAAAGTGAAAACATGGTTTTGGTTTTTTCTCTAATTGCAGTCAGAGGTGCTTATCAACAAGTGCTGACCAATTATGAATTTATCGTTTGCTGAATAATACCTCTCGATAAAAATTCATAATGTGCGACAAGCACGGAATTGATAGGCAAACGTAGTATATTCAACAAAAGAGAGCAATTTACATATATGTATGTAGAAATTATACGGGCAGCCCATTTTGCTGCTCGGCATCCTCGGTCAAGTAGCCAATAATATTCCTGAAGAGCTCTTTCAACTTTTCAGATGCATGAGCAAGTTCTTCAGCTCCACTTTGATACAATCTTCTCACCACAACTGCACTTTGATGGTATGACTTTGATACAGCTATCGCAAGACAAATGCTCCACACGAAGATGGCAAACCATCCCAAAGCTGGAACAGTGATTAGCAATTCTAAGTTCAACGCAAAAGTTCCAGACAAGAGGCTAATCTTATCCATGACCTCGGCCAAGTCTGGATTATCATGAGCTTGGAGTATCTTGGCAGCATATGAGCCGAAGTAAACCAACAAAGCAACGATGAACGCCAGCATAGTAACGCGGTCCGTGACAAAAAGAGACGCGACTTCAGCTCCGCGCTTGATTGGGAGAAGCACAGCTAGCATTGTGATGGCAAAGCAAATACATTTGTGCAATTCCTTAGTAGAACTGCCATGATGACGACGCTCCTGCTCCTCGCTTGTGCTGTTATTAATTGTACAATGAAAAAATTCAACAGAATCGCCTTGGATTATCTATACAATTTCGTTTGGTCAAAATTATACCATCTTAAGCCAGAAAATCTTTGGGCAAAAGTTGTATTATTACCAATATTTCGAATGCATAAGACTAATAACAGTTTTGAACAAAAGAAGATTAATAAAAAGTAATATTGTCAGTTGTATATGAGTAGATAGCTAGCTAGGAAGTACTTACGCGTGAGATGAAGGTGTTGGAAGGTTAGCACCTTGATTCATCCCAGTGTTTGTACTACGCCCCTTCCCCCTAAAGAAATAATTCACAGAAAGAAGCGTTAAGCAACGGAAAGAAATGTTTGAATTTTGAGCTACGTAATTATAATTAACCTACAAAATGAAAGAAGAGAAGTATGTGCATACTAACTTCGACTGTTTCGAACTTTCGATCAAGGTCTTCGTCTTCCTTTGGAAAGAGCTAATATAATTCAGAAGGAAGTATTACTCTATCCTTCATGTTTTTGGAAGGAAAACGAAAGATATTTATAGTACTTTATACCAGATACTGTCATAATCAAAGCTAATACTCTACATATTATGGATGGACGTTCCTGTTCTTTGGGTCAAAAATTGTTGTATCTTGTCATGAGATGAATGTCCATGTTCTCTTCGGGTAAAAAAATGTAGCTTCGTTAAGCTTGAGATGATGTCCTAATCAAAGCTATTATACATGCTTTGCATGAATGATCATGTATTCTTTGGGTCAGAAAAAACAAAGTAGCTTAATATGGCATGATGTCATAATCAAAGTTATTGAGATGCTTGGGTCAAAGTTATTAATATGACGGGACTTCCTCTTTCCTTTGGGTCAAAAAAAAACAAAACAAACTATATATATATGAGATGCTTTCCTAATCAAAAAACTGAGATGCTGTCCTAATCAAAGCAATACATACTTGTTCCCGTTTTCTTTGGGTTGGGTAAAGAAAAAAACGAATATGAGATGCTGTCCTAAGAACATTCATAATGGTCTCCCTAAATTACTACCTCAGACAAATTTGAGGGAGGAATTGGCAAAATACAACCCCAACCATACTCCCTATCCACCTCCTAAAATAAGGAGACCTCTAGGAACTCCCTATAATTTAATTCTGCTTTGTTCTATGCATATTTTTAACATTCTAAATAATGCTAACCACTTTTTTAATAATTTTTGTAATAGTGATGACCAATTACATTGAGCTAAAAGAGAATTATAGTATTTATGACTCCCTAAAGTACAAAGTATGATTGGAGTTCAAATTTTATAGAGAGCTCCTAAACTAGATTTTGTGTGTTTTTAGCTAGAATTTAACTATAAAAAAATAAGGAGCATGATTGTAGATGCTCTAATAAAAAAAGTGTGCTTATTATGGATGGATCATGGATGTTCCTGGTTTCTTTGGGTAAAAAAAATGAGATGCTGTCCTAATCAAAGCAATTAATACATACTTGCTCATTTTCTTTGGGTGAAAAAGAAAAAGCTTATTTGAGGGATCCCTAAACGAAGTAGGTTATATATGAGATACTATCCAAATCAAAGCTTGTGCATATTATCATGTGATGTTCCGTTTTTTCTTTGGGTCAAAATTGAGGTAGCTTGTATATGAGATACTGTCCTAATCAAAGCTATTACACATATTTGCATTGCTTTTCTTCCTACATGCTCCTTGCATAGCTATATCACGATTGAATTACATACAACACAATCCTGCTTGTTAAAATCAAGAGCAGAAGTTACAAATGTATGAAGAAAAAGAAAAGCAACTTATTCTTTTTACACGGAGATAATTTTATAGATTTAAATAATCAATTAATTATTTTTTATATTTTCATTTTCTTCTGTTGAAACCAATTGTTCTTATTAGGATTTCCTTTCGTAACAAGGTCATAAGACATCTCATGGTCATCTTTAGATTGGATAATTAGACAACGTTACAGGCAATGTTTAACAAACTCAGGGCTCATTTTGAACTGCTTCTCTAAGACTTACTTTTACTCGTAATAAGGACTTCTAGTAAAAATGTTTTTGTTATAAAAGCATTGAAATTTTCATAAGAAATCCAAGTGCTTTCTAAAAAAGTACTTGGGAATGCTTCTTTTCTAAATGTTTATGCCAAACGTTATCAGAAACATTGTTAAAAACACTTTTAATCCATTCAAAAACACTCTTAAACATACCCTCAATTTTATATACAGCTTAGGCTTAACCCGTTAATCTGCACATAGTTTGGGCTTTACAGCAGTGACGGTCGATGACGATGAAGAAGACAGAGAAGAAAGGTGGCGAAAGTTATATATACGTGGCAATTAAGTAGAAGAAAGGCATTTCGTATGCAAGTTGTTTAGTATTCAAGCGTGGGAAAAAAAATGAACTAAAGTAGCCCATCCTGGTTTGGGCCCTGGACTCTTCCATCAAGAGGAGGCCCTTCAATCTAAGGATCAGCTCCTTGAATTTGTGTGCACTTTTAGTTGGCGTTCGCGTTTGTACACAAAATTTCCAAGTATGAGGAGGACTTAACTACAATTATCACAAAATAAACAAGAGATATTTAGTTATATATCTATTCTTAGCACTAGTGTTATAGATAATACAAATTTATAAATAAACCCAATCCTAGACATGTATTTATAAAAAAACCCAAGTACTATTTAAACATAGAAACACACCCAAAATTAACCCCAAAGTCAACATTTTGGGTGTGTTTATAAATGGGTTTTGAGTGTGTGTAATGATGGTTTTTGGGTGTGTTTATATGTTTAAATAGTGCTTGGGTTTTTTTATAATTTCAACCCCCATTTTGGGTGTTTTAGTGAAACTCCCTATAGATAAACACTATACAATTTAATTTATATAAGCAAACTTAAAAAACCCATATATTGCCAGCCGTCCTATTTTTGAGTTTACTTAATAAACTAATTTCCGGTTTTACCCTTTTGTTTTGAGTGTTTTGGGGTTTTTTTGTGAGGTTTTTACGTTGGGCATGTTTTAAGAAAATCAATGGCAGTTTTGTAAATTATAGGAAGTTTCAAGCCTCCTTTTTATGTTGTAAATGGGTTTTAGGTGTGTTTTTAAAGTTCATTTCATATAATCTTTTTTATAATTTGGGCCCCATTATTAGGTATAATAGTGAAACTCCCAATAAACAATCAATATTCTGAACATTAACAAATAAAAAAAAATTACAAAAAACTGAAGCAGACAATATTTTGAGCTAGCAAAGTTACTGAGTGAAAAATCCTAAACAATTAAAACATGGCGCCTTTAGAGCATCTACAATCATGCTCTCTATTTTTAGTTAAATTTTAGCTAAAAATATATAAAAATTATTTTAGAAGCTCTCTATAAAATTTATACTCCAATCATGCTCTCTAGTTTAGGGAGTCATAAATGCTATAACTCTTTTTAAATTGGTCCATCTCTATTAAAAAATAATATAAAAAATAATTAGCATTAATTAAAGGTTTGAAATACTCATTAAACAAAGCAGTATTAAAGTATAGAGAGCCACTAGGAGTCCTTTCTCTCTCCTCAGATTTAGGAGCTCCTATAGATCTCCCTATTTTAGGAGGTGGATAGGGAGTATGGTTGAAGTTGTATTTTTCTAATTTCTCCTTAAAATTTGTTTAAGAATGTGGTTTAGGGAGCTCATTGTGGATGCTTTTACGGACGTAATTTTGTACATCGCCTTCCAGCTTAGATATATTTAAGTAACATTCGTCCACGTAGAGTTGACTTCCTTTAGCCACGTTGGTTTGACTTGTCATTTCGTGTGGCATATGCGTGCATTGGATGTGCAACAGGCGGTTGTACGAGTGGCACTCTCGCCTTATAAATATAAAACAAAACAAAAAAATACGAATCTATATAGTCCAATTCATAAACATATATATAACGTGTGGAAACAGAAGTTGATAAAAACGAAAATAAAACTCGATGCATGGTCATGCATGCGTGAGCAGATAACGTGGTATCTAGATTCTAACCCTAAGAACACTATGGAATACACCAATTGTACAAACCAGCTAGCTGGCATGGATACCTAAGACTATAGTACAATATATATCTTTGTATGTCTGTGGTAATTATATAGGTAGTGCAGTCTGCTGCTCGGTTTCCTCGGTCGAGTGGAAGAGCTCTTTGAATTTGTCAAAGGCATGAAGAAGTTCGTCAACTGCACACTGACCCAAGCTTTTCAAAACAACAGCACTTTGATGGTACGACTTGATTACAGCAATCACAAAACAAAGGCTCCAGACGACGATCGCGAACCACCCAAAAGCTGGAACAATGATCAGCAATTCTAAACTCAAGGCGAGAGTTCCAGACGAGAGGCTAATCTTATCCATGAACTCAGCCAAATCTGGAATGTAATGATCCTCATGAGCTTGGGCTTGGAGGACTATCTTGATAGCCAAAGACCCGAAGTAAACCAATAAAGCAGCAATAAATAGAAGAGACGCAACTCCAGCTGCGTGCTTAAGTGGGACAAATACGGCTAGTATGGTGATGAGAGAGGAAATGCATTTATGCAATGCCTTTGTCGAACTCTGACGACGATGATCAAGCTCACCCTCCCCCTCTTTTTTGCTATTACCATGAGAAAATTAAATGGAATTGCATTATATATGATTGAATATTATACACAAGAATTCAATATATATATATATGTGTGTGTGTGTGTGTTAAAGAGAAGTGCAAGGTTTTCAAACGTGAAACAAGAAAATCTTTGAACAGAAAACTTCATGTATGATGAACTTACGCATGAGGTAAAGGGTCGTTGATAGGAAGGTTGGGAGCTAGATCCATATATGTGCGAGTGTCGTACAAGGGCCCTTTCCAATTCATCAAAAAGTCCACGCCGCAGATACGAAAAAGCTCTCTCTGATTTCCCCTTTTATTTTCTGCTTTTGTCTTTTTTATTTATGGGTTTGTTGTTTGCTGTAGGTGGCGGTAACTACCACTGCCTCCGTGCTCCAGCTTGGATGCGAAATGACGACAATGCCCCGAAGACTTTCCGGAAACTACGGGATTGCAATTTTTTGTGTAGGATATCAATCAATGATGTTCAAAACTTCCAAACCTTCCAAATGTAAAGGTTTTGAGAGCAGATTAATGATAATAATAAATAAATAAAATTGAAAACACAGTGATTTGCCGGAGAAGTAGTTTACTGGACATCCGGATTATGGTCCTATCAGCAATGGAATCCTCTCTCTCATGTGAGGTGGTGGCTTTCTTTTAAAATATTGGTTAACAATATATTAATTTTGTATGCTATTAATAATGTTATTAATAGATAATATTTGGTGGTATAAGGCTGGAAGGTGAAAATGTTACGGATGTTAAAACTCAAACTCTGGAGCAATTATTCAAAACCGCTACAATTGTGAAAATGCTATTTAGGATTGAAGCATGTGATAAGTGTTAATTAAAATCTAAGCAAATTCATACACTGCAGTCTATGCCCCCAATTCCCACTTCTCAATGACCAATGCAAAGCATAGGACAGTATTAGAATGCGAGCACCAGTGCTAATTTAACTGGTAATAGGTGGAGGGACTTAACACACTCCTTCAAGTGGGTGTGAAATTTTTGCCCCTTTCCCCATAAATAACTCATATTATTAAGTAACGTGGGAGCATGTACGGCGATTGACTTATAATGGTAGCAGTAAAAAAGAGAGTGGATGAATTGCATAGACTAATGGTTGGTGCTAAAATTAAAATCATGGGAGGGGACTGGGGGAATGGAGCACTGTCTGTCAGTGTTGTCTGTGTGCTGCAACTGTCGCAATCGCAAACTGCACAAACTGAACAAGCTACATGCAGATACATATATAGATACATACATAGATGCATACATGTAACATGTTACAAGTTGAGTTTAGAAAACTAAATTGTCGGTGTTCTCATCTCAAACTGTAAGCCCTAGCTATAGGCTTGTAGCTAACCTTGCCTGCTGTCTGTATTGTTTTGTTTATCAGAAAATCCAAGGGCCCAAAGCTCACAAAAAAATCCAACGCATTAAAAATAGTGGATAAAATTAATAAATGTGCAAGTGATATTTGTTATATATTATTCATCATCTGTTATATAACGTGTGGAAACAAAAGTTGATAAAAACGAAAATAAAACTCGATGCATGGTCATGCATGCGTGAGCAGATAACGTGGTATCCAGATTCTAACCCTAAGAACACTATGGAATACACCCTGTTTTGGTACACCTTCTTGGATTGGCTTGGATTGGACTAGCTTAAATAATACCCTTAACCCATGTTTGGTGCAGCCCTTCGTTAAGTTAAATGAGATTAGATAATCCGGGTCTTAAAAAAAGGCTTCGCTCATTGGCACAAAATAGCGAGCTCTGAAGAGGTGCCGCTAAATAATGAGGTCACTGTGGAGTCTGCCATTATCCTCTTTGATGTTGCTCTGGCTCTCCTCTTCCGCTTTGCTCTGTTTTTCCTCTTATGCTGTGCTCTGCGCTCATTCACTCAAGGTTAGTTGTTCAACTCTCTTTCTCTCTTTCCACTCTTCTTCTATGTTTGTCTCTCTCCTTGGAGATATTTGATGGGTTCAATCAACTATTTCTTTGTTTGATTTTTAAGTTTTGATTATGGGGTTGTTTGTAGTTAGCTTAATTTGATGAAAATTAAGATTTGTATTGGTTAATTTTCGTTGGATTATAATTCAGTATTTTTCTAGGGTTTTCAATTTTGAATTGTTTTTATTATGGGGTTTTTGTTTGGAATGAGAATATATGAACAAACTGATGGGTGGAATTGGAGCATTGTGGATAATCGCGTGATGATGATATAAAAAAATAGAAAAAAGAAGAAATGGTTTTCATGTCTGACATTTTCTTTGATGTGGAAGAGAAGGTTGAAGAAGAAGCTTGGGATAAAGAGCGATAGAGGATACACATAAACAAACCCAAATTAGCAGAAAGTTGAGAGAAAAAGAAATTAAAAAAAGAAAAGAAACTTTGGGATTCAATTTTGATCTGCTTCTACTGGTAATTCTTCTTGTTAAACAAAGCAGTATTAAAGTATAGAGAGCCACTAGGAGTCCTTTCTCTCTCCTCAGATTTAGGAGCTCCTATAGATCTCCCTATTTTAGGAGGTGGACAGGGAGTATGGTTGAAGTTGTATTTTTCTAATTTCTCCTTAAAATTTGTTTAAGAATGTGGTTTAAGGAGCTCATTGTGGATGCTTTTATGGACGTAATTTTGTACATCGCCTTCCAGCTTAGATATATTTAAGTAACATTTGTCCACGTAGAGTTGACTTCCTTTAGCCACGTTGGTTTGACTTTGTCATTTCGTGTGGCATATGCGTGCATAGGGTGGATGTGCAACAGGCGGTTGTACGAGTGGCACTCTCGCCTTATAAATATAAAACAAAACAAAAAAAATACGAATCTATATGGTCCAATTCATAAACATATATATAACGTGTGGAAACAGAAGTTGATAAAAACGAAAATAAAACTCGATGCATGGTCATGCATGCGTGAGCAGATAACGTGGTATCTAGATTCTAACCCTAAGAACACTATGGAATACACCAATTGTACAAACCAGCTAGCTGGCATGGATACCTAAGACTATAGTACAATATATATATATATATATATCTTTGTATGTCTGTGGTAATTATATAGGTAGTGCAGTCTGCTGCTCGGCTTCCTCGGTCGAGTGGAAGAGCTCTTTGAATTTGTCAAAGGCATGAAGAAGTTCATCAACTGCACACTGACCCAAGCTTTTCAAAACAACAGCACTTTGATGGTACGACTTGATTACAGCAATCACAAAACAAAGGCTCCAGACGATGATCGCGAACCACCCAAAAGCTGGAACAACGATCAGCAATTCTAAACTCAAGGCGAGAGTTCCAGACGAGAGGCTAATCTTATCCATGAACTCAGCCAAATCTGGAATGTAATGATCCTCATGAGCTTGGGCTTGGAGGACTATCTTGATACCCAAAGACCCGAAGTAAACCAATAAAGCAGCAATAAATAGAAGAGACGCAACTCCAGCTGCGTGCTTAAGTGGGACAAATACGGTTAGCATGGTGATGAGAGAGGAAATGCATTTATGCAATGCCCTTGTCGAACTCTGACGAGGATGATCAAGCTCATCCTCCCCCTCTTTTTTGCTATTACCATGACAAAATTAAATGGAATTGTATTGTATATGATTGAATATTATACACAAGAATTCAATATATATATATATATATGTGTGTGTGTGTGTGTGTGTTAAAGAGAAGTGCAAGGTTTTCAAACGTGAAACAAGAAAATCTTTGAGCAGAAAACTTCATGTATGATGAACTTACGCATGAGGTAAAGTGTCGTTGATAGGAAGGTTGGGAGCTAGATCCATATATGTGCGATTGTCGTACAAGGGCCCTTTCCAAGGCAAAGAAGTGTTCTAATTTTATTAATTGTGATAAGTAACATCAATTAACATATATACAAAGTGAAAGTAGAGAAGTATTCATTTACTTACTCGATGTTCCCAGCTGGAATGTTGTACGAAGAAGACCCTTAAATCCTTCCTCAGACAAAGAAGAAGTAATATAGAGCTCAGAGGAAGTGTTATGCTGATATGAAGTTATGAACTCATCTCTCTTCCATGTGTTCTTTTGAAGGAGAATTTAAGGGTAAATTAGTAATTAAAGTGCCTTCAAAAAAATACAGGAACTGTGTCGCTGAGGCAGGCTGTCTTAATCGAACCTATTAGATTATATACTTGAATGTTTTGAGTCTTCTTTGACCCAAGAAACAGAGAACACATGGTATTGGAGGGGAATATGTCGCCTGCAGGATGTCCCTGGATGTGAAATTATGGATGCTACTTCCCCAATTGGTAAACAAAAAAGAAAAGGGGAGAAAACCAAACCGGCCCCAATTGGTGAATTAGTGGTAGGGTTTCATTGCAATTGCACCATCGGAAGGAATTAATTCAACAAAAAGTTGGTAAACAAGAATTAATTAAAGAAATCAAATTCCTTTCTTTGAACACGACGGTGGCAATATTACAATTATCAATGAAAGAAAGGTAATTGACAAAATGAAATGGTAATTAATGAAAATCATAAGTAGAAAAATATGAGTTGGAGTGACACATGACGTGGAAATGAAATTCCTGGTTATGTCCTTTGAAATGCAATAGTTTTAGCTAGACAATATTTTATTTTGTAAGACTCATATATCTTAGATTTGTGCGTGTGAAGCTCACATTGCTGACACGCAGAACCACAACCAAGGCTGTGGTGGATTAGCCGAGGCAAGTTTAGAAGAAAACACAATAATAAACCTATATCTATATGACCAACTAGAAGAAGTCTGTGTCTTTCGATTTTTCCATATGCTGTCCTTTTTTTTTTCTTTTTTTTATTTATGAAATTATACCCTACCACCTTTTGACTGAAATTAAATGCTGCTTTTGGCAAAAGGTTTTTGAAGAAAAAAGAAAGCCTATATGGCCCACCATCAACTAGAACACAATTAGGAAAATTTTATTTTCGTGAGCCCAAGTTACATGACTGAACTACATAATATCCTGCTTTTTAAAATCAAGAGCCCAAGTTACAAATCTATGAAGAAAAGAAAGCAACTTATTCTTTTAACACCGAGAGAAAAAAAAATTATTTTGATTTTAATTTTAATTTTCTTACCTTGAAACCAGTTGTGCTTTTAGGATTCATATGTATGCTTTTAAAAGACAAGGTCATTAGACATCTCAAGCAGTGTTCAATAACCAAGCCATGATTATCAACTCGCCACTCCCTCTCTTTCTCCATCTTTTCTTTCTCTCATAAATCTAACTATCAAAATTCAATGTTGCAAACCAACTCGTACTGTTTTCTTATTTGTCGTCATTTGTCACAAGGCATCTTTATTTAATCGTGCCAGACTTACAAAATTATGAAGAAGAAAAAAAGCAACTTATTCCTTTCACACGGATATAATTTTATAGACTTAAATAGTCAGTGATTTTTTTTTTCCATTTCTTTCCAGTCTAAGTCCATCTTGTTGGGTGAGATAAAAAGATTGCCCTTCTCTTCGTAGGAAGTATTGCGCCTATAGCTACTGTAAAAAAAGGAACAAGAGATATTAGTGATCTAAAGCCTCATTCAGTTAGTAAAATATTAAATGCTTATTGAACCTTTTTCACATCCTTAATAATTAATTTGACGTGAAATTGAAAGTTTTGGTATGCCCTTTATGCGAAAAGGTTTGGCATCTTTCGCAATGCGTAGGGGAAAATCATGTGTAGGCCAGCATCCACAAACCCCATAATCCTCTTTTCTTCTTCAATCACTCACCCTTATCACCCCCACACTATCTCTATGCTTGTTATCATTTTTATTTTTGAGACACAACTTAACTTCGCACACGTGGCATGCAACTTAATTCATGCACTATCAAATTTTCGCTTATGTTTTTTTAATATATAATAATTATTTTTGTACGTGTAACATGGTGATTTGCATGAAGGAGAAATAATGTAACAATATATATTTTTACAAAATATCCAAAAATTATTCTTTTTAAAAAGAAAGGAAAAACCATGAAAAGTAAACATTATTTAACATGTTAATACTAATAGTGTACCACCTTCTTAACCCATTTTAATATTAATTAATAATTATATCCACCATAGTTGAGAGTTGATTATAGTATTTTTCTTCCATGTTAGTTAATAACTTAAGCCCTCTTAAGAAATTTAAAAATCCAATGGTGTATTAGCTAAGCAACAGATAAAGAGCTGAGTGCTTAAAGTATTTTTCTTGCTGCCCACTGCCCTAATTTTTCTAGATGTCAGTCCAACATGGAAAAATTGACATAATTTCTGGGAAGCAATTTGTGCCCAAGGAAAGTGGGTGTCGATATAGGAAGGTTCAGAGCAAGATCATATGACTTGTAGGCTTGGGTCTTACAGGCAGCCTCTTTTGATGAGCTATTTTGTCGTTGTATTATCGGTGCAGCCTTCCTTATGATGCAAACCAACCACAAACAATCTCAAAGTCTTATTTTATTTTACTTTGGGTAGGAAGAAAAAAATGTAAGTGTTCCGATTACAAATGGAGTTAAAGATTTCTCACTTCTGGGGTTTACTATCAATTAATATACATTTATATTTTAATTTGTGAACGAGTTAAACTTTCATACTAAACTATAATTACTCTCAGACCAAAAAAATTATCATGTGAAGACAAAATATTTGCATTTTTGTCCCTCATTGAAAAATCCAAAAAACACCCAACTATGCAATCAAGATAACACTTTTTGCTATCTCCGGCCAATAACATAATAACACGCATAATAACTTGTCCACGTATCATTGTGTTATTGGTTAGGGATAACAAAACAGTGTTATCCCTTCTCCGGTACAAGAAAAGTTTTGTTCCTGCTTTAGAGGTCTCTAAAAGAAGATTCTAGCCAAACCCATATAAAAGAGAAATGCCCGAGCCCATCAGGAAAAAAACTTAGCTCAGATACCCATTATATCAAAATAAAATCATCAATTCCAAAATTAGTTACAAAGGTCACTCAATTAGGTGTTGTGTTACATCATTAGTTCCTACCGTTAGAGAGACTTGACAGTAGAGACTGATATGGTGCAACACAACACTTAATTGAGTGACCTCTGTAACTATTTTTGGAGTTGAGTGACCAAAATAAAACTCTGAGTATAGCTTGAGGGACCATTGCTACAAATAACTTTTTTTTTTTTTTTTTTTTTTTTTTTTTGTTTTTTCGTTTTTATAAATATTTGGAATGAATTTCCAAGTTTACCCATGGATTTAACGGAAAAATAGATAGACTTGACAAAAGGGACTAGTAATGCAACACCATACATAATTGAGGGACCTCTATAGCTATTTTTGGAGTTGAGTGACCAAATGTAACTACGGGTATAGTTCAGGGACCATTGCTACAATTAATCTTAAAATCAAAGCTTGTAATGTCTAATTTTTGAGCTAGTTCCGTTTGGAAATGGCCAGACTCATTAGGAATGAGCTCTTGTGGTCTGGAGTGAGCTATATTGATTTTTAATTTCTACTCTTTGAACTATTGTTGTGAAACAAAGCACCAAGTTGAAAGCTCATGTGGAAGGAGCGATTGAATCCGATGTTTTGTTTTAAATCTCTGGAGCATAGGAATTATCTAACGGTTCAAATTAGAAAACTGCAAGAACCCGCAAGCTTTCACGCCATGGAAATTATTTATAAAAGAAAAAGAAAAAGTGCACTTACTTACTCTTGCAAACGTTGTATAGAACACGTACCAGAAAAGTAAAATTCAGAGCATGTCTATGTAGCTTGTATATGTATATGTTTTTGTGCTTGAGATGTGGGACATTTCAGTACACCAACTTTTCTTTTCTTCTTTTATTATATGTATATACATTTTTATAAAAAATATGTATAAGATTGTTTGAGATGTGGGTATGTTTTTGTGCTTGAGATGTGGATGTGGGTGATTGTGACATTCTATTACACTGACTTTTATTTTTATTTTATGTATAAGATTGTTTGAGATGCGGGTATGTTTTTGTGCTTGAAAACTTTACACTTAAAAGAGCAAAATCATATACATTTATCAGGTATATATATATATATATATATTAGAAACAAAAACAAACACAAAAAGCTTCAAATGAATAAGGTAATACAGGAATTTCTAACAGGATTAGCACCAAATGTTATGACCAAATAAATGTTAACAGGATATGCATGTCCCATTGACTGGCCGCGTTGACGTGTCACTATCTAAAGAAAGCCCTAAGACACTTCCCTACCCCAAACTTTTCATCGCTGTTTGACGCATTCCCCACTTGGCTGGACATCAACTTAATTTGTAGCCCCAATGGGTCAAGTTATATGTTTTATTTTTAACATGTACGCCCAATTGCCTTTATCTTCCTAAGCATAAGATATAGGTTTATTATTGTTTTTTTCTTCAAAACTTCCCAATGCTACGTACAGCCCACCATAGTCTTGGCTGTGATTGCGCCATGCATTTGTAACTTAAACTGTATGACATAAAATATTCCTTCCTCAGACAGACAAAGAAGGAACTAATATACTGTACTTTAACAAAAGATAGAGTACACAATGAGTCAAAGTAAATCAACAAAATCAAAATAACAACCACTCAGTCTAAGTCTTGGTCGTGCATATTGACTTTATTACAGAACACACAAACACGTGATCATCATGTGAAGCAAACTCTCTGACTTGCATCTTGTTGGATAAGTGTGGTATGTAACTTACTTAGGATAACCCAGTTTGACCCTCATCAGATTCCATTGCAAAGCAGCAGACAGCGGACAGATACTCTTTCAAATTTTCAAAGGCGTGAACTACTCCTCCAACTGCCCTTGTAAACAATGTTTTGAGGAATGCGTACGAGTAAACAGCTATAAAACTCACAAAACAAACGATCCAGAAGAGGAGGGCAGATAACCCTAAAGCCGGAACAAGGATCACCAATTCCAAAACCAAGACAAGAGCTCCAAAAAGAAGGCTAATCTTGTCCATAAATATTGCCAAATCTAAATTAAGGCGAGCTTGGCGTATATATGTGCCACAAATTAATGACCCTCCGTAAACGATTATAGCAACAATAAGTATCACAAAAGACGTGTAGTCTGTGTCAAATAGAGATATCTTTCCAGATCCTTGTTTCAGTTGGAAGAGCACGCCTAGTATGGTGATGACAAAACATATATATTTGTGGAATGCCCTTGTAGAAAGTTCTTTGGTTGTGTTGCTGTTACAATTAATGAGAAAATGTAAATGGTAAAGGATTGTGTATATTATATACATGTAATCTTATAATTAATAAGAAAAAATATAGAGCATGCATTTATCAGAATTAACAACAGAAGAGCTGAGTTATTAAAGTAGTCCCATTAACTGCTTCTGTTGAGCTCTTACTCTGGCTTGCACCAATTGGTCCGGTGGCATATGAACTAATCTCAACTAGTTTTAACATCGTATAAGTGTTTTTTTAGCTGCCCAGTGGCCCCATGCCCTCATTCATCTAGAACTCTGTACAACATGAATATATTGACATAATTGCTTGGAAGCAGTTGGTGCCATAAGAAATAAGAAAGGAAGGAGACTGAAAATCAAAACAAAGAGAGAAACAATATAATAGTTCCTCCGCAAAGTAGACCAAGTACCTCAACATTTATTATTTTATTATTTTCTCATAGAGTTAACAGCATTTTGATTCGCTTAAGTGGAAGGACGGATGTCACAATTTTAGATAGGGAGTAGAAAGGGAGACACAATTTGGGGACAGCAGATCTCAAGCCCGTTGGGGTAACCACGCAATTCCTGAACGTTGGAAGTTTCTTATGGCTATTTGAACAAGACAATTTAAACCAAGAGCAAATGGAGCTACGACTGAAACGAAGGCAAGAAGGGTTTGACTTACGGCTCTGATCGTGGAGGATCGCTAATAGGGAGGTTGGCTTGATGATTCATCCCGCCCGGTTGGCCAAAGTCTGCTGCAGTAAGAAAGAAACAGAATTAATTAGATCAAAGGCGCGTCGCATATTATTGGATACACTGTTTCTGTGTAACTGGGTTGAGCCAGAAAAAAAAAGGGAAAAAAAGAAGAAGCAACTGGGTTCTTAAGCTACAAAAAAAGAAAAAAACTGAAAGAAAAACAGCCAGAAAAAACGAAGGCATGTAGATTTGCAAAGTACTGCATCCCCAGCCAAGTTTGGGACCAAAGCCAGCTTATAAGCCTTATCATCATGCACTATTGGTTAAGAAAAACAGACAAACAACTATAGTAAGGCTACATGGGATCTCGTCTTATGAGTCTTTGTGCAGAGACACAACTAATTCCAAACCCAAAAAAAAAAAAAAAAAAAAAAAAACAAAACAAAAAAAAGAAAAAATGAAGAAAAGAAGAAGCAACTGGACAAGTTTTTGAGGAGTCATAAGAAAAATACTGCTTCCCCAGACAACTAAATTCCATATCCCAGAGCCAGAAAAAACGAGGGCATGTAGACCTGCAAAGTACTGCATCCCCAGCCAAGTTTTGGACCAAAGCCAGCTTATAAGCTTTATCATCATGCACTATTGGCTAAGAAAAACAGACAAACAACTATAGTAAGGCTACATGGGATCTCGTCTTATAAGTCTTTGTGCAGAGACACAACTAAATTCCATACCCAAAGCCAGAAAAAAAAAGAACAAAAAAGAACAAAAAGAAAGAAAGAATTAAGAAAAGATGAAGCAACTGGACAAGTTTTTGAGGAGTCATAAGAAAAAATACTGCTTCCCCAGACAACTAAATTCCATATCCAGAGCCAGAAAAACGAAGTCATGTAGATTTGCAAAGTACTGCATCCCCAGCCAAGTTTTGGACCAAAGCCAGCTTATAAGCCTTATCATCATGCATTATTTTCGGCAGATTTTGGAGAACTCATAAGAAAAACAGACAACAATGAAAGCAATAAAGTGTGCAGTAAACGTCTCACGGTTGTATGGTATGGTATAGATATGGAGTGCCCTTCCCTTCGTCCGAACCGGAAATTTAAAACTCAGAGCAAGTCTCTTGAGGAGGGAGGAAGTGCTTGCTAATATAGGGAGGAGTGTCACATGACGTGGAAATGAAATTCCTGTATATGTCTTTTTGAATGCAATAGTGTTAGCCAGACAAGTGTAGGGTCTAGATGAGATCTCATTTTGTAAGACGTGGAAATGAAATTCCTGTATATGTCTTAGAATTGTCTTATTCCTACTCTTCACCCTTTCTCTCTCTCTTACACGATCTCACTTGCGGTTGGACAAATCTCGCGCTTATACCTACTAAAGAGGAAACTTTTTTTTTTGGTGATTTTGGCGACTTTTTTTTTTGTGGTCAAGTTGGCGACTTTATTATCCAGTACAATATAAAATAGGATCTTTCTTTTATAATATAAAATAACAAACCCAGTACACTTACCCCAAGTTTTAATCAACATAAATGGACCCTAGCTGTGCTCAATATGTCTCTTGTTAGATATGTTCTTGGGATTAAACTCTAGGGCATTTTCTTCACGGCCCTACAAAATAATCAGATGATGAGTCTGAGCAGTGCTGAGCTGGCATATTGAATCGAAGCCCATATATTTGCGAAGCTTATTTCAGAAATATAATATAACCAAATGCATGCATGCATGCATGGCCGGTTTCTCTTTCATTTCATGCACGCTCAGAAATATAATATAACCAAATGATAATACTAAGCAAAGTGGCTTAAATTGCCATAAACTGCTCTGCTTCTAATCAGCTCTTTTCCTACATCAATATGTCCGGAGTATGGATGTATTTGTATGTATATATTCTCCTTAAACCAAGGAAAAAAGACTTTAATTTGTACAGATACCGGATGCAACTAGCTTGGGGTAATTTTTCAATTAATTACCAAAGTTTAGTTTCAGACAGTAAAATAAGAAAAAGGAGAAGCATTCAAACAACAAAAACAAACACAAACACAAAAACAAAACAAAACAAACACAACAAAAAAAACAAACAAACACACAAAAACAACACAAAACAAAAACACACAAACAAAAACAAAAACAACAAACAAAACAAAACACAAAAAAACAAAAACAACAAAAAAAACAAAACACAAAACAAAAACAACAAAACAACAACAAACAAAAAACACAAACAACAAACACAACAAAACACAACAAAAAAACCACAACACACACAAAAATAAAACAACCAAAAACAAACAATATTAATCAACAAAAAACCCCACAAAAAACAAAACAAAAACAAACAACAAAAAAAAACACAACAAACAAAACCCAACAAAACAACAACCACAAAAAACACAACAACACAACATTATAAACACACAAAAACAACAAAAAAAAAAAAAAAACAAACACAAACCAATTTTTTTTTCACACACCAAACCAAAAAAATCACAGACACAAAAACATCACAACATTTTATTTTAACAAAAAAAAACAACAACAAAAAAAAAACACAAAATTAGTTGGCTAAGTGTTTAATGAAGCCTAATATAATTATGATTGGGTCTTTATTAAATCTTGTTATAATTTAAAAATCCAAATGGTTCGTTTAATTTGGGTCAAGTTATAGGCATGACTCAAAGGCCAAAGGAGAATGTTGAAGACAGTAATTTTATTATTGACAGATATATGAGATAACGACCATTCTCCTACAACCCTTATCACCCATACACTCTCTCTTTGCTTTTTATCATTTTTATTTTTGAGACACAACTTAATTTCTTAAAATTATTATTCTTTTTATAAAGAAAGGAAAAACCATGAAAAGTAAACATTATTTGACATGTTAATACCACCTTAACCCATTTTAATATTAATTAATAATTAGATCCACCATAGTTGAGAGTTGATTATAGTATTTTCTTCCTTGTTAGTTAATAAACTTAAGAGCTCTTAAGTAATTTAAAAATCCAATGGTGTATAGCTAAGCAACAGATCAAGAGCCGAGTGCTTAAAGTGTTTTTCTTGCTGCCCACTGCCCTCATTTTTCTGGATGTCAGTCCAACATGGAAAAATAGACATAATTTCTGGAAAGCAATTTGTGCCGAAGGAAAGTGGGTGTTGTGGGCGTGGGTGATTGTGACATTCTATTACACTGACTTTTTTATTTTTATTTTATGTATATGTATATGTATAAGATTGTTTGAGATGTGGGTATGTTTTTGTGCTTGAAAACTTTACACTTAAAAGAGCAAAATCATATGCATTTATCAGGTTTATATATATTCATATTTATTAGAAACAAAAACAAATACAAAACGCTTCAAATGAATAAGGTAGTACAGGAAAAATATTGGAATTTCTAACAGGATTAGCACCAATGTATCTATTATGACCAAATAAATGTTAACAGAAAACGAAAATTAAACGAAAGCGAAAACATGGTTTTGGTTTTTTCCCTAATTGCGGGCAGAGGTTTTTACTAACAAGTGCAGACTAATTATGAATTTATTTAGAAACATAAGAGCCAAAAGCATATACCAATTTACATAATTTCCATGGAAAGGTACCTCTTGATAAAGAGGTGACATACAACTTTGATCAAAATATTTTTATGTTCATGGAAAGATACAAGATGTTGGTATGGAGATTGTAATTATGAATTTTAAAGATATAAATTCCTGTTTGATTAAAAGGTATATATCTATGATGACATCCAAGAAATTTAAGCGCTATTTTATTTTTTGGTCAAGATATAAGCCCCATCGTTATTTGTATTAATTTTACAACCCAATGTGTTGGGATCCACATTGAAAACAGGAGAGATATGTTTAACTTATATTCCTTATATTCTATAGGATAATTTGGACAGTCATCCTATAAAAAAGAAAACGTCGCATCGCACCGTTTGGGTTTAACCTAAAAAGGAGTGCCTAAACATTATATTCCCAAAAGAAAAAGTCCCATAGTAGGTCATTATAACTGGACATTATATTCCCAAAATATACATCTCATTTTATAATGATTAGTGAAACAAACCCATAAAGTCATCATTACTTGGGCACGTCCATCCATTAGGGACATCCATGGAGATTTTCTCAAGGGCACATCCATCCCATCTGTGGCGAACTCTGCTATAGAGGCTGTGGCGCTGGTCTCCCCACAATGTTTTTCAATTTAACGACTTTACTAATAAACACTGTTTTCATTAGTCTACCCATGATTATCAACCCACTCCCTCTCTTTCTCTCCTCCTTCATCTTTTCTTTCTCTCATAAATCTAATGCCAGTCTCCCATCAAAATTCCATATTAGAAACTCATGCTTTTTTTTCTTTCCTTATTAGTCCTTTGAAAAAGAAAACGTCACAGGCAGTATTCTCAATTTTACACGTAGTTTGATTCAAAATGAAAACGAGGACCATCACACTGTGCTAATATGCTATACATGTGACGTGTCGGTATAGTAGATTTTTGGACGGTTGGATGTGAGAGTGTTTTAATAAATCAATGGCTGTAGTCTGTAGAGGAATGACGTGAAGAAAGGGTACTCAGGGGTAATAACCTGAAGAAAATGTGTGAGGAGGAGGTTTCGCGGGAGGTCATACTCATATACAGCCGTAATATTTGACCCTCATACTCGTATTGGGTGAATTAGCATGCGAACACAGCAATTTGTTTGTCCATTTCCTACTCTTCACTATGAATTCAAAAATGATATCCCCTAGGCCTGTCCTCACCAAAGAAAAAGAAAATTGCCAATCTCCTTTTGTTAATGCCTTTCTTTTTAAATTATTTTTGTTCTTCTGCAAATTTGCTCTCTATCATCTTGATACTGTGAGAATGTGAAGGTAAAGAGTTCCACATTGGAAAGTTGAAAAACCTAACAAGGGCTTATAAGGAGTTGGGCTACTCCTCCCATTGCCAATTGGTTTTGGGGTGGAACCTCAACTTCCTTCATGGTATCAGAACAGGTTGCCTACGTGTGAAAGCCCAACAGCCACACGGCAACATATTCTTTCAGTTTTTCAAGGGGCTGAACAATTCTTGCAACTGCACTTTTATACAATGTTTCCAAGTATAGGCATATGCAGACTCACCTATGAAGTCACAAACCAAACAATCCAAAAGAAGAGGGTGGCTAACCCTAAATCCGGGACAAGGATCACCAATTCCAAAACCACGGAAACTACTCCAAAAAGGAGGCTAATCTTGCTCATGAATTTTTCCAAATCCAAATTAAGGTGAGTTTGGCGTATATAGGGCAGCCCTGAACTAATCCCAACGGTGGGGGAACCGAGTGAATCTAGACAATTTTATAGCATCCGCCATAAAGAAACTTGATGACCACACAAGTGGACAAATATGAAGAGAGAACAACATCGAATGGCATTGATACTGCCGCTGTATCATCTTATTATGCACCTCGTAGATAGCAGATCACTTATTCTATAGTCTGTTAGATTCAGTTAGTTTATTTAGAAAACTGGTTTTGTTAAAATGTTTGCTAAGCTTGTCCAGTCTGTAATTTGTAAATATCTTTACACAATTAATTAGTTAACTACTTTCTGCTTCTGAGAATTTTTCTCAGCTCCTCCCAAACGCTGAGCTGAGGGATTAATAATAAAAGGAAAATATATATTTTGATTTTGGGGCCGTGCGGTGCTTTTGTACTGTTCTCGATCCACTGGACCCAAGAAGCCGTACGTGCAGCAGTAAGGTCTCATTTTTACTTCTCTGTTTTCGATATGCCTATTTTTTCAATCGCCTCGTGGCAGAATTTATATGAGAAATGTTAGAAACTTTCTTTTTTTGATCTTTTTTCTTTTCCTCATGACAGATGTCACTTTTCTTACACTTAAAACAATATAATTAATACATCACACAAGTTAATTTTTGTTTTTCAAATTTACCCTTATTAAATGTATTAGCTTCTATCATCCTGCCACTCCCTCTCTTTCTCCATCTTTTCTTTCTCTCATAAATCTAACTATCAAAATTCAATATTGCAAACGAACTCGTACTGTTTTCTTATTTGTCGTCATTTGTCACAAGGCATCTTTATTTAATCGTGCCAGACTTACAAAATTATGAAGAAGGAAAAAAGCAACTTATTCCTTTCACACGGATATAATTTTATAGACTTAAATAGTCAGGATTTTTTTTTTTCATTTCTTTCCAGTCCAAGTCCATCTTGTTGGGTGAGATAAAAAGATTGCCTTTTAGATCTTATTATAATTTAAAGATCCAAATGGTTCGTTTAATTTGGGTCAAGTTATTTGGCTAACCATAAGTGCTGGACAAGTAAAAGCGTTTCTGCAGTTGCTGTTGGTGGCATTTGGAGACCATGATATGAGTTGCTGTTGGGGATGTTTATATGTATGTATGTATGTGTTCCCCATTCCAAGATTCAGCGAAAGGCACGTAATATGCACATACATCTTGGAAGGAAAAAGTTTTCTATCTCTAAAATTTGTAAAATTCACGGTCAAAAATAAATAAAAAGGTAGAATGGATTGGTGGCCCAAAAATTGAAGTGGGATAGTAGGAGAATGGTCGGGTGGGAACTCTCTCTCTCTCTCTCTCTCTCTCTCTCCTTTACAAAAGAAGCTGATCTGAGGTTCTCCCCTTTACAAAATCTGTAGAAAAGCGAATCGAATATTCTTTCAAAGCGAAGCTTCTCTCTCTCTCTCTCTCCTTTACAAAAGAAGCTGATCTGAGGTTCTCCCCTTTACAAAATCTGTAGAAAAGCGAATCGAATATTCTTTCAAAGCGAAGCTTAAAACCAAATTCTGGATTATTATATTATGTTTTCATTTTATTTCCTTGAAACCAATTGTGCTTATTAAGATTTCTTTTCGTCTTCTTAACTTATGCTTTGAAAGACAATATCATATTTTGATTGGATAATTTGGATACAGTACGTAGACGGAGGACGATAAGAAGACTTGCCTTTTCAACAAGTCTTCAATTAGAAATAGCCTAGCAATTAGAGAAAGGCAATAGCTAAAATGAAATCTTAATTTATTATAAAATAATTACATATATATATATATAGTTAGTTAGTTAGTTAGTTGGAGCTACAAATACAATACAACAGAATGGAATCAAACAAGCATACATGAGAAAGCCCATTCTCAGCACAATTTGGGCTAACCACAAAAACGAGCTCCTGCGGCTATACACTCCAAACAAAGCTTATATGGACCTTTGTGCTTGTGCTTGAGATTGTGACATACTGCAGTCAGCAAGCAAAGCTTATATGGACCTTTCGTGCCTGAAATTGTGACCTTTTTTATTCCGTTACTTTGATTGACCTTTTGTGCTTGAGATTGTCAATGTAATCGTGTAGTAATCTACCCTTTTTTATATCTATATGTCGAAGTACATTTGATTTGTGTCTTCTATAGGTTGACAATAAATCTTTGGATAACTCATTAGAATGTGAGCATCCAACTCAAAATCAATTGGCAATAGAGAGGTCCAAGATTATTTCAACTGTTAGGCAAGGCTTTAATTCTGCGACGTGAGATTCACAATCTCAATAAAAGACAGTTTGGTGGAGAATAGATGGAAAAACCAAGTTCGCTCAAAATATAGGAAATGAAACTAAGGACAACTCAAATTTGGCACAACACATATACAATTAAAACTCCACGGCTTGGAAACCCAAGGGAAGATCCATGCATGTTAGCTCTAATACTTCAATGCCCTTCTGAATCTCTATGGAAAGGACGGCACTTCCCACTTATCTTTTAGGAACAGGAGAATTATATCTTTGCCGTGGTGGATGCCTTGTCCTCTTACCCCAACCTGTTAGACTTCTTTCCTCAAGTGCCTGCAGCTCCTCGAATGTCGGTTCCTCAATCTGGGGCTGGCTAACTGCAACTTCAGTAGTAGAGGGAGCAGAAGTTCCCATACGTTTCCTCCCCCTTCCCTTACCGCTCCTACCCGCATTTCTCAGTGTCAAACTTGACTGCCAACTGCCACCTGTTTCTGTAATCAACCCTTCAATTAATTGAAGATCCTCGGTCACCTCATTTCTTGACAAAGAAGCCAGACCAGGCAGTACATCTCTCTGGAAGTCCTTTCGTTGCCTGCTTGACCTCTTCATGGCCGTTTGGGAAGTGACACTTCTTCTCTTGGGTTCTCTTGATTTGGAGGCATATAGCAGTACTTCTCCACCTTGTTTTCCACACTCAAAAAATCCAACACTTCAGGAAAGGACTCTTCACCCCAGGCAGTTCCCTTAACTTCTGCCACATTCTCATTGTCAGGATTTCCTTCATGTGAAGAAATTAATTCTGCAAACCAAAGAAGGGAATCATTTTCAGAAGCAGCCGTTTCGTGACAAGTGGCACTTTCTTGAAGATGATGTGCAGCATTGTTCTGCATATCATGACCTTGGGATGATGAGATGGCAACTAGAGCCTCAGCGGCAAATCTTGTAAGGCCCTCATCTCATGAGGTAAGTCAAGAGGTTCTTTACAGTTTCTTTGCATAGAATCTTCCCCAACTATATCTGATTCAACTATCACTGGTGCCTCCAAATCAATCACAGTTTCAGTTCTCATAATTGGAGAGGCGGCAGTCCTTTCAGTTTCTTCTTCAGTAAAACACCTATTTAAATCTATTTGGTGTCTCGAATCAGCATTGGCATTAAACAATCTCTTTTCTAGAACCAGACCATCTGCTTTCAGTTGCACTGTCCCCATGTGTGACACAGGATCCTGAATCACATTACTTTTAGCAAATTCAATTCTAACGGTGTAGCCATTATCAACTGAAGAAGCAAGACAACCAGATTTTGAGGATGAACAGGGATAAGGAAAAGAAACCTTGTCAAACATGGGAAGAGCAAAAGTCTTCCTAGTCTTTATCCAATCGCCTATTTCAACTCCCCAATTCTCAGCATCATGGCCACACATTAACGACGAGCCATCCTGAACAGGACTTTGATTGGGGCCCTTTCTTTAAATGCAGATTACTAACTCTTCCATCCTTCCCCATTTGTGGGTTTTCTGGGAATTCCTTTGCAAAAGGCCAGACACCTTTGTAGGCATTTGCAGATAAAACCTGCCTTTCTATCTCCTCTTTGGAGCTGAAGTCATTGCCAAACTTAAAGACAGAAGTTGAAGCGGACACTCTGTCTATCTGAATAGGTTCATTCAGATCAGTCAAACCACTGCTTCTTTCTAGATGCAAAACATTGTTATAGCTGGATGTTTCACCGATGTGATTAGATAAAATATCATCTCTTGCCTGAGTAACCTCATTTTTTCTGGTAGGAGGATAATTTTCTGTACCTGGCCCCATGAAATCTACTTCTGGTTCTTCTCCATCACTGATGTATTCATCGGCTGGAAGTTCAAGATTGAACAATCTTCTCCGAGGCTTCTTCCCTCTGGAATCCGGAGATTCGCTGTCCTTCATCCTGACTCTACTTTCGCTGGGGGCCACCACTGGTTTGCAAGGTTTTTCCAATAGAATTACAAGGAGATTGGCTGATACCAGTACTCGATGTACATGGTCTACCAAAGCTGGAATCAACCAAGGGTAAATTAGAATTATGCCTACTGTTTCTGTCATCTTTATTTGGAAGGCCAGAGGAAGAGAAAGTTGATAGCGATGTCTCTGCTACTTTTTGATGTTTGAGTAGTTCTTTGCTTTTGATCTATTTCATCAAGTCCTTTTGCCTTTCGTAAAGGTGTTCAAATATTAGCTAACGACGATTTTGAGTACTCATAGTTTGACACCTTTTTACCAATATAAAACCATTGTTGCCTGATATTTCTTAATACTGTAATAAAAGCTATAGTCATAATCACACTTTAGAGCTCAACAGATTTAATCTGCAGACAAAACTTAATCAAAGTGAAACATGATTAACAAAAAGAGTTGAAAGCAAAAATGTGCGCTTACTCTTCTCAACGTCTCAGGACGGACCGTCGCTATGACTAACCTGGGCTATAGCCCAGGCAAATTAGTTGTCAAAACCACTCTTGTATAAACACATTCTCTGTAATTTGTAAATATCTTTACACAATTAATTAGTTAACTACTTTCTGCTACTGAGAATTTTTCTCAGCTCCCAAACACTGAGCTGAGGGATTAATAATAAGGGAGATTCACTAATATACCCAATATAGGAGCTCAAATTATAAAAAAATCATATATGAAATGGAATTTATAAACACACCAAAAGCCCATTTATAACATAACAAAAATGCTTTTAACTTCTTTTAAATTACAAAATTGTCATTGATTTCTTAAAACAAACCCAACCCAAAATTTCATAAAAAAACCCAAAGCACTCAATAGGGTATCAAAGTAATTTAATAATTAAAATTTAATTTAATAGTACTATTTGTCATTTTTTGGGTTTTTTTTGGGTATGTTTATAAAAATGAAATGATGTAGGGTTTATTTATAGTTTTAGTGCTAAGAATGGGTATATTACTAAATATCTCTAATAATAAAAGGAAAATATATATTTTGATTTTTGGGCCGTGTGGGTGCTTTTGTAGTGTTCTAGATCCACTGGACCCAAGAAGCTTTACGTGCAGCAGTAGGACTAGCCCATTCTGGTTTGGGCCCTGGACTCTTCCGTCAAGATGAGGCCCTTCAATCTCAGGATCAGCTCCTTGAATTTGTGTGCACTTCTTTTATCTGTTTTAGATCTGCCTATTTTTTCAGTCGCCTACAGGCACACACACATTCTCTCTCTCTTCTCGTGTCAAAATTTATATATACGTGGCAATTAAGTAGAAAAAAAGGAAATTAGGGAATGAAATTGTAATTTATTATAAAATAATAAGTAGAATAATTACATATACAGTTACTTTACTTCACTTGAGCTACAAATACAATACAACATAATCGAATCAAACAAGTATACATGAGAAAGCTCATTCTTAGCATAATTTGGGCCACTCACAAAAATGAGGCTAAGGTAACCTAGTTTGGTCCTCTAAGTTCATAGTGAAGCAGTGGCCAATGATCATGTTCATGTTCTTCAAATACTCTTTCAATTTTTCAAAGACCTCAACAACTCCTGCAACTGCACTTTCATACAATGTTTTGAGGTACATGAACAAGTAGTTAGCTACAAAGCTCACAAACCAAACAATCCAGACGCAGAGGAAGGCTAACCTTAAAACCCGGAAGAGGATCACCAATTCCAAAATCAAGGTAAGAGCTCCAAAAGGAAGGCAAATTGTGTCCATCCATTTTGCAAAATTTGAATTGGGGTGAGCTTGTCTTATATATATAGAGCCAATTAATGATCCGATGTAACCCATAAAAGCAACAACAATGCTCATAAGAGTGTGGTAGTCTGTGTCAAATACTCCCTGCTTCAGTTGGAGAAGTCCTGCTAGCACAGCGATGGAAGCAAATATATATGTATGCAATTCCCTTGAAGAACATTCTTTGCTTGTGCTGCTGTCACAATTAATTAATGACAAAGTGTTATCAGCATTGCAAACTAAGAAGAAAAAATATGATCTACAACCTAAACGCTTACAGCAGATCAACAGATCAAGAAGTCAATTTCGGATCGGTTCTGATCCTGGTTCTTGCCTTGAAAAAATATGTTCAACCCAACCAGTTTATTTCAGTATAAGCCTAATCCAAGTCATACTATTTCTCTCTAAACGTTTCTCTCTTTTTCACCTCTGACTCAATTTGAGAAAACGATGGCTCGCCGCTATCACCTCATAGCATCTTACATTCCCAAACCTAGATGAACCGGTCTGTGTATAATATTCGATTTTGATACCAATTTGAGGTTAAATCGGACCATGGCATACACCCCTGCTGCAAACATTCTGGCCCAAAAAAAAATGCTGCAAACATGAAAGGTAAAGTACTATGTATGTATGTACACTTACGCCTCTGAACGTAGAGGGTCGCTAACAGGAATGCTTGTTTGATGGTTCCATCCCGAACCAAAAAAACAAACACCAATTAAAAAAAAAAAAAAAAAAAGACGAAAAAAAAAAACAAGAATTCAGATCGAAGTTCATGTATTAACACAACTAGAGTTATTGGATCTATTTCTCGGTGTTCGAAACACTTGCCACGATATATAACGATTTGAGAGAGCTGAAATTGTTCGCAAAGTAAAAGCGGTGCTAGAAATTTGAGAGAACTTGAGGAATTCGGGAGAATTAGGGATTTTGGGTTTGGGGAATGTCGAGCTGGGTTGCTGGAGGGAAAATGGAGAAGACAATGCTCTTTTGAACTTTTTTTCAGAAGAAACAGAAACAAAAGGTTTCTCAAAACGACGTCGTTTCAGCCAGGAATTTTAAAAACGAAATAAAAAAATGCAGCTGCGCGCCAAAGCGCTGGCTGGACAGCCCAGCATTTCATCGGGCATTTGGCGGGCTGAGATTGTGACTGCAGGCAAGCTTATCTGGACCTTTTGTGCTTGAGATTGTGACTGCAGTCAGCAAGCAAAGCTTATCCGGAGCTTTTGTGCTTATATGGAGCTTTTGTGATTGAGATTGTGACCGCAGTCAGCAAGCAAAGCTGAGCAAAGCTTGTATGTACCTTCTGTGCTTGAGATTGTGGCCTATTTATTCCATTACTTTGATTGAACTTTTGTGCTTGAGATTGTTACTGTAATCGTGTAATCTACCTTATATGTATATTTGTTGAAGTACATATGGTTTGTGCCTCATAAAAGCAATCTGTCCCTCATAACGTCAGCACTTAGCTGCAACATGATTGAAACCTTATTAGATTGTGAGGAGGTATTCAGGGAAGTGTTTCCTTGAGCTGATATTAAGCTCTGGCTCAAGCTAATTGGAAGTTTTTTTTTCTCTCTTTCTTTGTTTCTCTGTTTTATTCTGATCAGACGTGAAAATCTTAGCAGGCTCACAGGGTATCCTAGCTTCAGTTTCTGATGAAGGAAACATTTATAGTCTTGTGCTTTATTAGCAGTAAAGTAAACGATGAAGGATTGTCTTGGTGACCGTGGCAACCAAATAGAAAACAACTCACAAGGGGGATTAGCTAGCTCATACTAATTCTTCATAAAGCAAGATTAGCATAAACATTGTCGATTATGAACAAGTAAATTACAAAAAGACTAATACTACTACTTGTACCTCCTCAAAGTAGTATATATGCATTGTCAGCACAATTTGGGCAAAAGTAGCTACAACAATATGAAATCAAAGAAGTAATATGAGAAATCCACATGCACACTAACAAGGCCCATTCTCAGCACAATTTGGGCCAAAGCACAAAAACGAGGAACGCAAAAAGCCTTCGCGGCTACATACTACTATTACAACTTGAAAAAAATATGGACCTTATTACATAACACAACACAGGCTTGATTTGAAGCGTGGTATATATATAAAACTTACTTATGGTAACCCAGATTGCTCCTCGTCGGGTTTCATTGTGAAGCAGCGGGCAATGATCATGTTCTTCAGATACTCTATCAATTTTTCACAGGTGTGAACAATTCCTCCAACTGCACTTGTAAATAATGTTTTGACGTATGGGTACAAGTAAACAGCTACAAAGCTCACAATCCAAACGAGGAGGGCAGCTGACCCTAAATATGGGACAAGGATCATCAATTCCAAAATGAAGGTAAGAGCTCCAAAACTGAGGCTAAGCGTGCTCACGAATTTTCCAAAGTTTGAGTTAGGGTGAGCTTTTAGTATATATGTAGCGCCAATTAGTGCCCCGAAGTAAATGGTTAAAGCAACAATAAGCATCACAAAAATCGGATGGTTTGTGTCAAATAGAGATGTCATTCCAGCTCTCTGCTTTAGCGAGAGGAGTACGCCTAGCATAACGATGAAAGAAAGTATATATGTGTGCAATGCCTTTGTAGAAGGTTCTTCGCTTGTGCTGTTAATTAATGACAAAGTTTAAATGGTCTTGCAACAAAGGATTATATATATAAATATATTTATAACTAATAAGATAAATTCTGAGTAATATTTATGAGAATAAATAACAGACCATAGATAGAAATAAGCCGAAGATAATTTCTGGGAAGCAATTGGTGCCCAAAAGAAATTAAAAAAAAAGGAGATGTCTGAAAATGAAAACAAAGAGAGACACAACATTTCCCCCACAAAGAAAGACCAAGTACCTCAACATTTTTTCTCCAACAATCTTTCTCATCAAACCATGCAGGATTTCATACCTCAACTTTATGTTTTTGGAGAGAGATTCTTCTCGAAGAACAATTTTGGAGTCAGGTTGGTTTTTCTGTTTTCCAGAGACCTATATGGCATAACAAAAGGAGAAGAAATGTGTGTGTGGGCCCTAGGGGAGTGATGAATTCGAAGAAGATGCAGCTTAAAGGAGAGGAGAGAGAAAATTAAAAAAGTTTAAAATTTCCAATTTGTACCAACTGTTTGATAAAATAATATATTTGTTTTGTGAAGAGATATTTAGTCAAAAAATGAAAGCTGACCTTATTGAATTTAATTTTGATTATTAAATTACTTTGATGCCCTATTGAGTGTTTTGGCATTTTTTATGAGGTTTTTAGATTGAGTTTGTTTTAAGAAATCAATGGCAATTTTGTAATTTAAAAGAAGTTTAAAGCGTTTTTGTTATGTTATAAATGGGCTTTGGGTGTGTTTCTAAAGTCAATTTCATATAGGGTTTTTATTTATTTATAATTTGGGCTCTTATATTGAGTATAATAGTGAATCTTCCAAAATTTAAACCAAGAGCCTGAGCTACGACTGAAACAAAGGCAAAAAGAGTTTAATTTGTAATACTGCTAAGTTGTTGGTGATGAGACCTGGTGTTAGCATTAATGTATACTCATTGGGTCTTGATTCAATCAAATTATCCTTGTTATAATTTTGAATATCAAAATGGTTAGCATTAAAGTCCGAGAAATAAAATCCTTTCTCAACAAGTTGGCTGCAAACAAATGTATATTTATAGCTACAACAATAACAAATTGGATTAATGAAAGGCAAAGTAGTATATATGCATGGTAGTACACTTACCCCTCTGAACGTAGAGGGTCGCTAACAGGAATGCTTGATTCATCATTCATCCCGAGCGCAGCCATAAAGCTACAGTAAACACTTCAGAAACAGAGTTCAGTTCAGGAAGCAAACATGCATATGTCTGCCTTATTATACAGAGATCAAAGAAGCATCACGTATCAGAATTCATCTACAACATAAGAAGAAAAAATAACAATAGCGACAAAATGCACTTACTCTTCAAAAACGTCTCACGGTTCTATAGAATCCCTTCGTACGTATGGAAAAGTAAGATTCAGAGCAAGTGTTTGATAAGAAAGAGCTTCGCCTCGCTAAATAATAATTTTTTATATTCTTTTTGGGGTGAAAATATAATAACAGGAGTAGTTAGACACTCCGTCGATTTCTTAGTATCTTTGACTCAAGCATAAAAGTCTCGTTTTCGTCGTAGATTTTTATCCCTCTTTTATTATATTATATATAATATATATAATTTGTAATAAAAGACTTATAATTTAGGTTCAATTTCCTCTTAAACAAATTAGACATGACTCAATTATAAATATTTAGCTCTAAATATGTAATTATTGAATATCTAGGAGCTCGTTTGGTAACGTTTTCGGAGAATGTTTTCTGAGAATGAAAACAAAAAAAACAAATTTGCATGTTCTAGATTCGAAAAGGCATCTGGTAGATGAATTGAAAAACATATTCATAAAATAAAAATAATGAAAACATATCTGGTAGGACAATTTGAGAATAACGATATGTGAATTATTTTTTGCTCATAAAGTAGACTAAGTACCTCAACATTTATTATTTTATTATTTTCTCATAGAGTCAACAGCATTTTGATTCGCTTAAGTGGAAGGACAGATGTCACAATTTTAGAAAAGAAGTAGAAAGGGAGACACAATTTGGGTACAGCAGATCTCAAGCCCGTTGGGGTAACCATGCAATTCCTGAACGTTGGAAGTTTTTTATGGCTATTTGAACAAGACAATTTAAACCAAGAGCAAATGGAGCTGCGACTGAAGCGAAGGCAAGAAGGGTTTGACTTACGGTTCTGATCGTGGAGGATCGCTAATAGGGAGGCTGGCTTGATGATTCATCCCGTGCGGTTGGCCAAAGTCTGCTGCAGTAAGAAAGAAACAGAATTTAGATCAAAGGCGCGTCGCATATTATTGGATATACTGTTTCTGGGTCTTAGAACAACTTTGGCGTGGCGGTAAAGTGGCTTCTTGAGTAACAACATAAGAAAAAATGAAAGCAAAATAATGCACTGAATTCGATCCTCTTATGGGTCTCAGAACAACTGTGTGGAGACAACTTTAATTCCATACCCAAAGCCAGAAAAAATAAAAAATAAAAAATAAAAAAGAAGAAGAAGAAGAAGCAACTGGGTTCGATCTTCTTATGGGTCTTACAACAACTGTGCGGAGAGACAACTTAATTCCATACCCAGAGCCAGAAAAAAGGAAAGAAGAGAAGCGACTGGGTTGAGCCAGAAAAGGGGGAAAAACTAAGAGCACAACACAAAAAAAAAAAAAAACAAAACGGGGAGAACAACTCTTCGGAGACGTAACTTAATTCCATACCCAGAGCCAGAAAAAAAGGAAAGAAGAAGAAGCGACTGGGTTAAGACCACAAAGGGCAAAAAAGAAGAAGCAACTGGGTACTTAAGCTACAACACAAGAAAAAAACTGAAAGAAAAACAGCGCACTTAGCTCGATCGTCTTATGAGTCTTTGAACGATTGTGCAGAGACACAACTAAATTCCATACCCAAAGCCAGAAAAAAAAAAAAGAACAAAAAGAAAGAACAAAAATGAAGAAAAGAAGAAGCAACTGGGCATGTTCTTGAGCTACAACATAAGAAAAAGTACTGCTTCCCCAGACAACTTATGAAAAAGTACTGCTTCCCCAGACAACTAAATTCCATATCCAGTTCCAGAGCCAGAAAAAACGAAGGCATGTAGATTTGCAAAGTACTGCTTCCCCAGACAACTTGGGAAAAGTTTGGGACCAAAGCCAACTTATAAAGCTTATCATCATGCACTATTGACAGATTTTGGCGAACTCATAAGAAAAACAGTCAAACAATGAAAGCAATAAAATGTGCACTTACTCTTGTAAACGTCTCACGGTTGTATGGTATGGTATAGATATGGAAGAGTATGGTATGGTATAGATATGGAGTGCCCTTCCCTTTGTCCGAACCGGAAATGTAAAACTGAGAGCAAGTCTTTTGGAGGAGGGAGGAAGTGGTTGTTAACATAGGGACGAGTGACACGGTTGTTAATATATATATAGGACGCGGAAATGAAATTCCTACTTAGCCAGACAAGATCATTTTGTAAAATACGTTACGTCATTTTATTTTTTTTTCTTTATTTTATTTTTTATTATTATTATTATTTTTTGAAGATTTTTTTTTTTTTTTTTTTTTTTTTTTTTTTTTTTTTTTTTTTTTTTTTTTTTTCAAGTTTTTTTTTTTTTATTTTATTTGGTCTTTGAAGAAGAAAAATACTTACGTCAGCCAACCCATTGCTGATACGTGGAAAATGGGCCTTGCCGTAATCCCCTGCCTTATTTATTTATTTATTTATAATTATTTTATTATTTTAATTTGTGAAAGATCCCCTGCATTTTTTGTTTTTTTTTGGTCAAGTTTATTTGCACAGGTCTTTGAAGAAGAAAAATACTTACGTCAGCCACCCAATTGCTGATACGTGGACAATGGGCCTTGCTGTAATCCCCTGCTTTTATTTTTATTTATGAAAGATCCCCTGCCTTTTTTGCTTTTTTTTTGGTCAAGTTTATTTGCACAGGTCTTTGAAGAAGAAAAATACTTACGTCAGCCACCCAATTGCTGATACGTGGACAATGGGCCTTGCTGTAATCCCCTGCTTTTATTTTTATTTTATTATTTTATTATTTTTATTTGTGAAAGATCCCCTGCCTTTTTTGTTTTTTTTTGGTCTTTGCACAGGTCTTTGAAGAAGAAAAATACTTACGTCAGCCACCCCATTGCTGATACGTGGACAATGGGCCTTGCCGTAATCCCCTGCCTTTATTTATTATTATTATTTTAATTTTTTTTGCGAAAGATCCCCTGCCTTTATTTACAACAAGTTTGGGAAATCCTCTTATTAGAAAGAAAACGTCAAGGGGACCACAAGTACACCGAAAACAGAGAGTCAACAAAAACTGCATACATGTATGTGAATAACCAAACGATCTTCAATTCAATTAATTTTTTATAGAGATGATATTTAAAGTATAATGAGGTGGAAAATGATATGCATTTATTTTTTAAGACCTATTAGTTCTTTTTCTTCTTTGTGCTTTCTTTTGGTTAATTCTTCATTACTTTTCTTTTATTTTCCTTAAAAAATTGAACGGAATTTTTAGTTAATGCCATGGAGAGCTAAATGTGCATGAGAGAATCAGTAAGTTATTTGTCGCCACTGCCTGCTTCTGTTCAAATTTTTATTTGGTCAAAATTAGAGGTCACTTGTGGTGTTAACTAGAGAGAATAGTATTTGATAAATAAAACAATAGAAAGAAAAAAAAGTGGGTATAAGTCGGTGTACACTTGAATGTTCATTTGAGGTACAACAGAATGAAACCAAAGAAGTATGACATATGTGGACTTGACGTACAACAAAATGAAATCAAAGATGGCAAAACAAGTATATATACTGACAACCGACTTATAAAAAATAAAAATATATAAATATGTGAAAAATGAGTCGAATATTAATCATCATCAAATTCAAAATAACAAGCCGCTGAGCTCAAGTCTTGGTCGTGCTCGTGCATATGGAGACCTTACAGAAAACATAGACAAGATCTGAAGAAGCAAACTAAGTTGAAGCTTATAAGTTAACTTACTTACGGCTATACCCAGTTTGCTCCTCGGCTTACGCTGTGAAGCAGGCAATAATTCTGTTCACATATTCTTTCAACTTTTCAAAGCCGTAAACAATTCCTGCAACTACCATTTTATACAATGTTTTGACGTATACCCATGAGTACAGAGCTACAAAGCTCATAAAACAAACAATCCAGAAGAGGAGGGCAGCCAACCCCAAATGCGGAACAAGGATCACCAATTCCAAAACCAAGGCAAGAGCTCCAAAAAGGAGGCTAATCTTGCTCATAAAGTTTGCCAAATTTGGATTAAGGTGAGCTTGGAGTATGTATATGCTGCCAATCAATGATCCGCCGTAAAGGATTAAGGCAACAATAAGCATCACAATAGTCAGGTAGTCTGTATCAAATAGAGATGCATTTTTGGTTCCTTGCTTCAGTTGGAGGAGCACGCCTAGCATGGTAATGACAAAAAATATATATTTGTGCAATGCCTTTGTAGAACGTTCTGTGCTTATTCTGTTATAATTAATGAGACAATCAATTTAAATATCGCAATATAGGATTATATATAAATAACAGATCATAACTGGAAATTAATTAACCGGAGATGTATATGCTCCCAGCTGATGTTTTCTTCAATGTTAGTTAATAACAAACAAATCTTGAACGTAAGCATAACAAACGAAGCAGTTGTTGAGGAATATAAATTCCCACATTGAAAACTTAATTAAATAAAATAAAATATATAATGTAATATGATATCATAGCGAGCCGATATATTGAGCCCGATTAACCCAAATCAACTGAATATATAAAGGCAGAAGACCTTAATAAAGTTGAAACATTTAAAAGATAAATTATGGTAAAACATTCAAATTACCGCCAATTACCCTTAATTAATAAAATTTCAAGAATTTTTTTACTTAATGATATATTAAGAATTAATTTTTAAAAAATTAAATAAAGAGAATATATATATTTTTTATATTTAAAAAATTAAAAATTAAAAACAAAATCAGAACATGGTTAACAGAAGTGTGTCCACGTGGGCCATGTTGAACGACGAAGCAGCAGAGTAAGGAGATGAGAGAGAAAATAAGGTCTCCCCATCTTTTTTTGTTTTTTTTTTCAACCAAAATAAAAGGATATATGATAGAGAAAATAATATTCCTGGAAATGTGGGGACCATAAGAAAACTATTTAATCACTGTTTCTTCTTAGTTAGTAGAATACGAAACGAAAAAAGTATGAATAAAATACGTATATGTTATTTGGCAACTGAAAAGTTCGGTCATTATATAAATTTTTAATATATATAATTTTATTCAATAATATGTGAAAAATATGTGTATAATAAGTGAATTTTGTTTGTATTATTGAAAATTTTGTAAAAAACACGTGTATTAAACATGAAAAATACAGACATATGTGTATAATATGTGTATTGTACATTTGCTTTTTAAAAACGTGTGTTTTACTGAGTCTTTAAGACATGTATGGATAACAGAAGTATTATTGAAAAATAAATATGTACATGTATAATACGAGTATTAAATGGAAAAATACTAATTTGAAATTTACCCATTTTGTTATACAATAACAACCCGCTCCATCTATCCTAACCCGGAGACAAGCAAAAAGACCGGCCCGTTAATCTTTCTCAGGACACCATAAGTAACTCTTTATAATCCATCCATGTCATTAAATTTGTACAGATATCAGATGCAGCTAGCTAACTGGTGATTGTGAAGATAAATAACAAATAACATGTACACTTACGGCTCTGAACGTAGAGGGCTAACCGGAATGCTTGCTTCATCATTCATCCTGCTCGCAACCGCCTTATATAGCTACAGTAAAAAAGAAAAGAAAAAAAAGATTCAGAGCTCAGGAAGCTACGTATATATTAGGACGGAAGCAAACATGTCTGCCAGTGCCATATTATACAGAGATCAAAGACGTGACATATCAGAGTTCATGTATAAACACTTGTAAAGTTATTGGATCTCTTTCTGGCTCTTAGTCTTAGAACAGCCACTGCACATTCGTTTCACAAGGTGCCTACAAGTTACAACATAAGAAAAAAAAATGAAAGCAAAAAAATGCACTTACTCTTATAAACGTCTCACGATTGTATATAATTCCCTTCCCTTCGTACGTACAGATATGGGTGTGGCTGTGATCGTTGGGTGTCTTGAGAAATTATTTGTGGGAGAGATGGTGGGAGGGAGAGAGAGAAAGGCAGGGCAGGGCATGGGAGAAGCGCAGAGAGACAAAGTCAGTGCTATGGGATAGATGAAGGACGAGAGAGAAAGGAAGGGCGCAGTTGGACCTCTGTTTGAAAAGGACAGAGAGAAAGGTCGGGCAGGCAGGGCAGTCGGAATTTTTTTTTATGAAAGGCCGGGCAGTAGGATTTTGATGCAAGGTCGGGCAAAAAGAAAGTCGGGCAGTCCGGGCAGTTTCAAAAAGAAAGGCCGGGCCGTAGGATTTGTAGGATTTTGATGCAAGGTCGGGCAAAAAGAAAGTCGGGCAGTCCGGGCAGTTTCAAAAAGAAAGGCCGGGCAACCATGAGATGTGGTGTGGTGGTAAATTACATATTTAGTTACTCCTCTTGAGGAGGTACAACAGAATGAAATCGAACAAGTTTATATGATTTTGTTTGATACAAGGAAATTCCTTTTTTTTTTCTTTTTGCCAAGGAAAAAATAACAGATTTAGATTTAGTAGATAACAATCTGCATACAAGAAAGCCCACATGCACATGCGGACTGAACTTTAACAAGGCCCCTTCGGTTGGGCCAAGCACAAAAAGAGAAATGCATGAAGCCTGCGGCTATATACTCCAAATTAAGAAACATATTATATACCTATGTGATTAAATTAAAGAGTCAAAATATAAATCATCAAAATTGAAATAACAAGCTACTGAAGTCTTGGTCGTGCATATATGTATGGACCTTACAGAACACACAGACAAAGATTTCAACCAAACTCTGACTTGCAGCTAGTTGGTTCAAGCGTGGTATGTATAACTTACTTACGGCAACCCACTTTGCTCCTCAGCTTTCACTGCAAAGCGGGCAATGATCATGTTCACATATTCTTTCAACTTTTCAAAGCCGTAAACAACTCCTGAAAATGCAATTTTATACAATTTTTTCACGTATAGCCAAGAGTACAAAGCTACAAAGCTCATAAAGCAAACGATCCAAAAGAAGAGGGCAGCTAACCCTAAATTCGGAACAAGGATCACCAATTCCAAAACCAAGGCAAGAGTTCCAAAAAGGAGGCTAATCTTGGTCATGAACTTTTCCAAATCTGGATTGAGGCGAGCTTGCTGTATGTATGTACTTCCAATCAATGATCCGCCGTAAAGGGTTAAAGTAACAATAAGGCTCATAATAGTCGGGTAGTTTGTGTCAAATAGAGATGCCACTGCAGCTCCCTGCTTTAGTTGAAGGAGCACGCCTAGTATGGTGATGAGAAAAAATATATATTTGTGCACTGTCTTTGTAGAACATTCTTTGCTTATGCTGTTACAATTAATGAGAACATGTTATTGGCATTGCAATAAAGGATTATTTGTTATCTTATAATGAACTAATAAAACTATGACCGTAGCATTTATCAGAATAACATATCATAGGTAGAAATTAATAAAGCCGAAGATATATATATATACCTAGCTACCATTTTCTTCCAAGTTAGAGAATAATAGATCTAGAACTTAACGCTAACAACATATCAAGAGCTGAGTTTTTTAAGTAATAGTCCTATAAACTGCTTCTAATGAGCTCTTCTCTGGTCTACACCAATATCTCTCTTCCTTCTTCTCTTGCAATCCCTAAATCTAATCCTCTTCTTCTTGTTAAGATATGTCCGGGGCATGCATAAAAGTGCTTTTCTGGCTGCCCATTTACCCCATACCTAACAACAAACCTAGGGAATTGCGAGAAGATTAAGACACTATGAGAAAAATGTAAGTCTGTACTAAGCCTTTATGCAATAATACTAACCTTGTTCAGCCATTGAAGCAGAAGAGAAATCTGGTTTCGTCTAGAAAGTCTTCTTCCCTCTGCAGCTCTTTATGTCTCTGTCTCTTAGATAGGGTGAGTACTGATTTTAGAGCGTGTTTGCTGCAAGGGAAGGGACCTCTATTTATAGATGCATCACTACGAAAACCTTGCCTATCAAGAAGTATTCGAGTGTCCTTTTTGCATTAGAATAGGTTTGTTTCAATCCATGTTGTATTAGGAATCCTGATAATACTTGTGTTTGATTTTAATAAGCTCTGTACAAGCATTATCTAATAAGGATTGAGTTGTATCTCCTGATCAAACCAAAACCCGAGTCCTCTTAGGATTAGAAGATCACCTTTTATGGATTAAGACAATAAATTGTCTTACATTCTCCCACTTGATCGATTAATCCCAAAGTTTTGTGTTGATCACTTAAGGCCTTGGTGAAATATAACTCAATCTGATTCCATCAAGCAATTGTCAATTTTAAAGAATGAAAAGGAACCATCAAGACTTCACTGAATATATAAGGATCCAGAGTCTTTATAATCACATTGATCATTCTTTAAAACCACATAAGCTTCCATCAAGATTAAACAGAAAAATAAACATGTTTCACTGTAAAGCTTTATGAACATGTCTATTCATTGTCCCTTAATTTGACTACTAAGGTCTTATCATTTAAAATGATATCCTGTCATGAATGAAAATCATATGCAGACATCTTCAGCTAGCTTTCTGCTCAATTCATTCAAGTGTTTATAAGAATATATATACATAACAATTAAACGTGTAAACTGTTTAACTAGAAAACTTTATTTCTGAATCAGAAACTGAAATCAACATCCATCGAAAACCATGACCAACTGTAAATTAAGACTTTAACAGAAAACTACTCTAAACTTAACAAGGCTCCCACTGATTTAAGCATTCAAATCATTCCTTAATCCCATGCTCATAACATGCCTATGGAACACTGCATTTGGGACTCCTTTTGTGAGAGGGTCTGCTATCATTTTGTCTGTACTGATATGACTTATATTAGTATAGCCTTGAGCAATTTTCTCCTTCACTATTATGAACTTGACATCCAATAGTCTTGAACCCTTTGTCCTTTTGTTTCCTTTTGCAAACAAAACAGCTGCGCTGTTGTCATTCCATATTTGAATTGGTCTGTGTATCGATTCAACCACATTCAAACTGATAATGAAATTTCTTAACCATATGGCTTGAGAGGTGGCCTCATAGCATGCTAGAAACTCTGCAAACATAGTTGAACCTGCTGTCAAAGGTTGTTTTACACTTCTCCACGACACTGCACCTCCTCCAAACATGAATACAAAACCTGATGTTGATTTCATGGAGTCTTGACATCCTGCAAAATCAGCATCTGCATAACCTTGTAATTCCAGCGTGCCACTTCTTTTGAATGTTAGTTTGTAATCTTTTGTTCTTTGCAAGTATCTTAACACTCTTTTCCCTGCAATCCAGTGAGCTTGTCCAGGATTGGACTGAAATCTTCCTAGCACACTGACTGCAAAAGCCAAGTCAGGTCTGGTACAAACCTGCGCATACATTAGGCTTCCAACTAGTGAAGCATATGGTTTGTCAACCATTTCCAGCTTTTCTTGCTCAGTCTTAGGTGCTTGTTCAGTGCTTAGCTTATCCCCTTTTGCAATAGGAATATCACTTCCTGTGCAGTTTTGCATATTGAATCTCTTGAGCACCTTTTCTATGTAGGATTTTTGTGATAGTCCAAGTACCCCATTCTTTCGATCTCTGCTTATATCAATGCCTAAAACATAAGATGCCTCAGCTAGATCAGTCATTTCAAAGTTCTTAGATAGGAAATTCTTGCAGTCATGTAACATGGTGAGATTTGTGCAGGCTAGTAAAATGTCATCTACATACAAAACTAGTAAAATGAAATGTCTCCCACTCATCTTCATGTATATGCATTCATCTAAAACATTTTCAACAAAACCAAAGTCTTTCACTACCTTGTTGAACTTTAGGTACCACTGTCTAGAGGCTTGCTTTAATCCATAGATTGACTTGTTTAGCTTGCAGACCAAGTCCTTTCCCCCTTCTTGAACAAAACCTTCAGGTTGCACCATGTATATGTCTTCTTCCAAATCTCCATTTAGGAAAGCTGTCTTGACGTCCATTTGGTGCAAGTGGAGGTCAAAATGTGCTACAAGGGCCATGATAACCCTTAATGAATCCTTGGTCGAGACCGGTGAGAAAGTCTCATTAAAATCTATTCCTTCTTTCTGTGTGAATCCCTTTGCAACCAATCTTGCCTTATACCTATCTATCTGTCCTTTTGAGTCCAGTTTCGTTTTATATATCCATTTACTACCAATTGGTTTGCAACCTTGAGGTAAGGTCACAAGCTTCCAGACTCCATTTTTCTCCATTGAATTCAGTTCTGACTTCATTGCTGCAAACCAGTTTTCTTTCTTTTCACTTGTCATGGCCTGTTTGAATGTTGCAGGATCTTCCATGATATTCACATCATGTTCTACTCCCTGTAGGTATACAAAATAATCATCTCCTAAGGCAGGTTTTCTTTGCCTTTGTGATCTTCTTAGTTCCAAGTTTGGTTCTGGATTTGCTACTTCTTGTGCTTGAGCCATGTCTTGATTTTCTGCTGGTGGTGCTTGATTTTCATTTAACTCCATTGGTTCTGCAATTTCAGGTTCATTGACATTGGTCTCTTCAGTGTGTTCGAGTTGAGTGTTGATTGAATCCATTTGAGGTAATCTAACAATTACTTTACTTGGATTCTGTGGCATGTCATGGTTCAAGATTATTTCTTCAAAACTAAAACTTTCTTCCTCATCTATTTCTTGGTCAGTTTCTATAAAAACTGCTCTTGAGGTTTCTATGAATCTGGTAGTGTGTTTGGGACAATAAAATCTGTATCCCTTTGTTCTTTCAGGATAGCCAACAAAAAAACCACTTATGGTTTTTGGATCCAACTTCTTTTCTGCTGGATTGTAAGGTTTTGCTTCTGCTTTACAGCCCCATATTTTCAGATGTTTAATGCTAGGCTTCCTTCCATTCCACACTTCATAGGGAATTCTATTAATGCTTTTGGTTGGAATTCTATTTAGAATATAGTTGGCTGTTTTTAAAGCCTCTCCCCAAAGAAAAATTGGCAGATTTGTACAGCTCATCATACTCCTTATCATGTCTTTCAAGGTCCTGTTTCTTCTTTCTGAAATTCCATTTTGTTGAGGTGTACCTGGGTTGGTGTACTGAGCTATAATTCCTTCTTCTTGAAGAAACTTAGCAAAAGGTCCAGGATTCCTTCCAGTCTCATCAAACCTTCCATAGTACTCTCCTCCTCTATCCGATCTAACCACCTTTATTTTCAAGTTCAACTGGTTTTCTACTTCAGCCTTATAAATTTTGAACTTGTCCAATGCACTTGATTTTTCTTTAATGAGATAGATATATCCATATCTTGAAAAATCATCTGTAAAAGTTATAAAGTAGTTAAATCCCTCATGAGTTGGATTTGGAAAGGGTCCACATATATCCGTATGAATGAGTTCCAGTAAACCTTTGCTTCCTAATGCCCCTTTCTTTCTTAAGTTGGTTAATTTCCCTTTGATACATGGAATGCAAACTTCATCTTCGTTTTCATGATTCAATGGTGGTAAGACAGATTCCTTACACAGTTGTGTTATCCTTTCTTTTGAAACATGTCCAAGTCTTTTATGCCATAATTTGAAGGAAATCTCATTTGTTTTGGTTTGCACAGTGTTTATTTCCATTTCAGTTCTTTTGCAGTTTAATCTAAACATTCCATCAATGAGACTTGCTTTGCCAACTAAAACTTTATTTTTGAAAATAGAACAACCAGTTCCATCAAAATTCAAACTGAACTTTGATTTTACAAGTCTAGTAACTGAAATCAAACTTTTCTTCATAGAAGGAACATAAACTACTTCATCTAATTCCAAAACAAAACCAAATTCTAACTTGATTCTAACTGTCCCTATGTAATTAACTTGGACTTCTTCTCCATTTCCCACGAACACCTTCACTTCATCCTTGCTTGGCAGCCTCTTGCTTGTAAACTCCTGCAAGGAATTAGCTACATGAATAGAAGCACCACTATCCAACCACCATGAATCACTTGAGAAATTAACCAAATTAGATTCGAAACAGACCAAAATCAAATTGTTATTACCTTTTCCCTTCTTCTTTTCCAGCCACTTTTTGTATTTCCTGCAGTCTCTCTTCATGTGTCCTGCTTTCTTGCAAAAGAAACAACCTAATCCAGTTGTAGGTTTCAAAGCCTTATCTGTACTGTTTTCCTTTTCTTTCCCAGCAGCAGGCTTATACTTGTTTTCTTTGTTCTGTTTAGTCTGAACCATGTTGACCATTTTGGCTCCCTTTTCTCTTATGATATTGTGCTCTTGTTGGACAGAAATAGTAATAAGATCATTCAAGGTCCAGGTCTCCTTCTGAGCAATGTAGGTTTCCTTGAGAGATTTAAACTCTTTAGGCAATGAATTCAGTGCAAAATGGACCATCATGTCCTCATCTACTGTCATATCCAGCTCTTGTAATTTCGTTCCTATGTCAATCAAGTTCATGATATGAGCTCTCACACAACCCTGTCCATCATACTTCATATCAATCAATTGATTCAGCAGGGAACTCTTGACAGCTTTTTCAGATTCCTTGAACCTTTGTGCAATTGACTCATAGTATTCTTAGATTTAGGAATGCTTCCTTTCACTGATGAAGACATAGCCCTTTGCATGATTAACATAGCCATCTTGTTTGCCTTTTCCCATTTGGCAAACTTAGTCTTAGTTTCTGCAGAAGCATCTGCAGCTGGTTCCTGGGGAGGTTCCTCTCTGAGCACAAAATCGTAATCCAGAAAACCTAGAGATATTTCCAGATCTTGTTTCCATTTGCTATAATTTGAACCAGTCAAGGTTTCGATGGAGTTGTGATTCACTGTAGAATTTGCAATACAAATTAAATAAAACTGTCCCTAAACTTTACTTAAACATGTTATCTCATACCTTTGGGTTTAAGTTTAAACATGTTCCAAAATCCTAGACAGTTAATCGTACAAGCTTCCTGCGCAAGTAACTCACATCTGTGGATGTAAAGATACTCACATGCCAGTGCAATCAACTGTCCAGATTGTTCCATAAGTGCTGTGATAAATCTGTACAACTTTCCATCTGTGGATGGAGAATCATATAGAAGGCTACGAACACTGATGCAATTTTCTGACCAAACTGTTAAATTCAAGAACTCCTACACAGCCTGAGCAGCTGTGGCTTACTCATTCTGCATAGCAGTTTTCAAATTTTGGTCAAAACTTTATGAGCAGAGATAACCTTATGCTCTTTTAACAGTTAAGATTTACAAACAAAAGAAAAACTGCATTCTTTATAGCTTACGATCAATTAGTCAGATTAAAGAACAAAAGCCTAGAGCTCTGATACCACATGTAAGTCTGTACTAAGCCTTTATGCAATAATACTAACCTTGTTCAGCCATTGAAGCAGAAGAGAAATCTGGTTTCGTCTAGAAAGTCTTCTTCCCTCTGCAGCTCTTTATGTCTCTGTCTCTTAGATAGGGTGAGTACTGATTTTAGAGCGTGTTTGCTGCAAGGGAAGGGACCTCTATTTATAGATGCATCACTACGAAAACCTTGCCTATCAAGAAGTATTCGAGTGTCCTTTTTGCATTAGAATAGGTTTGTTTCAATCCATGTTGTATTAGGAATCCTGATAATACTTGTGTTTGATTTTAATAAGCTCTGTACAAGCATTATCTGATAAGGATTGAGTTGTATCTCCTGATCAAACCAAAACCCGAGTCCTCTTAGGATTAGAAGATCACCTTTTATGGATTAAGACAATAAATTGTCTTACAAAAAACACTTTGATTATTTTCTCATAGAGTCAACAGCATTTTGATTCGCTTAAGTGGAAGGACAGATGTCACAATTTTAGAAAAGAAGTAGAAAGGGAGACACAATTTGGGTACAGCAGATCTCAAGCCCGTTGGGGTAACCATGCAATTCCTGAACGTTGGAAGTTTTTTATGGCTATTTGAACAAGACAATTTAAACCAAGAGCAAATGGAGCTGCGACTGAAGCGAAGGCAAGAAGGGTTTGACTTACGGTTCTGATCGTGGAGGATCGCTAACAGGGAGGTTGGCTTGATGATTCATCCAGTGCGGTTGGCCAAAGTCTGCTGCAGTAAGAAAGAAACAGAATTTAGATCAAAGGCGGGTCGCATATTATTGGATACACTGTTTCTGGGTCTTAGAACAACTTTGGCGTGGCGGTAAAGTGGCTTCTTGAGCTACGAATACAAGAAAAAATGAAAGCAAAACAATGCACTTAATTCGATCATCTTATTATGGGTCTCAAAACAACTGTGTGGACCGTGGAGACAACTTTAATTCCATACCCAAAGCCAGGAAAAAAAGAAGAAGAAGAAGAAGAAGCAACTCCCAAACCGATTATAAAGTTTCAACGAAAATAATAGATGTACAACTTAAGACACTATGAGGGGTGAGTGATCAGACCACGGGGCAACTGGGCAGAAAAAAGAACATGTACCTAGTGAGAATCAGTTGTATATGTATAGTAATAATAGTATATATATTGACAAGAAACCAAGAGCCAATTTGAGCTACGACTTAAAGGAAGGCAAAAAGAGTCTAATACGTACGTAGAGATATCGGATGCAGCTAGCTAGGGGTAGTTTTTCAATTAGAAAAAGTTGAAGCATGCATGCAGATGGTTTGGTTTAATTCGGGTAAAATGAATTACTTATTCAGATCGTTTCTCAAGTTGGCTACAAATAAATTAATAAATTAAACACAGGCAAAGTAACATGTTACACTTGCGGCTCTGAACGTAGAGGATCGCTGTTGCTAACAGGAATGCTTGCTTGATGATTCATCTCGCGTGGTTGGACAAATCTCGCCTTATACAATTTTAGAATTGAGATCGACGAAAGCGTCACATATTTGGAGTTCACATTCTGTTCACTCAAAAAAAAAGGCAGATTTTGGCGAACTCATAAGAAAAACAGACAAACAACTATAGTAAAGCTACATGGGATCTCTTCCCAGGTCTGACAGCCATGACCACCACCGTGCACTTTTCCGTTTCGAGAGAGCTACAACATAAGAAAAAATGAAAGCAATAAAATGTGCACTTACTCTTGTTAACGGCTCACGGTTGTATGGTATGGTATAGATATGGAGTGCCCTTCCCTTCGTACGTACCGGAAATGAAATACTCAGAGCAACTCTTTGGAGGAGGGAGGAAGTGCTTGTTAATATAGGGAGGAGTGTCACTGGCGAAATTCCTGCCCTTTGTGAGTTGAACTTTGTCAGACTGGCATGAATTTCCCAGGCAACTGGTATTTGGAAATTTGGAATTGGGAGTTTAACTTTGTCCGACTGGTGAAATTCCTGGCATGCCCTTCGTGCATGAATTTTCCAGGCAACTGGTATTTGGAAATTTGGAATTGGGAGTTGAACTTTGTTCGACTGGTGAAATTGTCCGACTGGTGAAATTCCTGGCATGCCCTTTGTGAGTTGAACTTTTCCTGGCATGATTGCCCTTTGTGAGTTGAACTTTGTCTCCTGGCATGATTGCTTTTCATGGCAGATTGCTTTTCCTTTTCATGTCCGATTGCTTCCATGAGTTGAACATTGATTGCTTTCCTCTTCATGGCAGATTGCTTTTCATCATGGCAGAATGGTTTCCCATGGAGGTTTTTTAGGTTTTAGACATAAAAAAATTTCACTTTTGGAAAAAGCCAAAACTTTTTCAAAAAAGACAAAAAAACCGCTCAACTTTCAAATCAAAGACATGCAAATGTATTGGATTCCTTAGGAAATTTAAAAATAAATAAGGGCATTTTTGTCCATTTTTGCTTCTTTTAAAATTTTTCTCTCTCCTTTTGCTTTTTCTAAAATGTCCCCTTGCCAAGATTGCTTTTTGTGAGTTGAACATTGATTGCTTTCCTCTTCATGGCAGAATGGTTTTCATGGCATGATTGCTTTTTGTGAGTTGAACATTGTCCGACTGGTGAAATTCCTGGCATGCCCTTGCTCTTTGTGAGTTGAACTTTGTCCGATAACTTTGTCGGATGAGGTGTAATTTCCATTGGGATCCAACGGCTCTTATTTGAGCCCAATAAAAAATTATTTTTTGAAAAAGAAATAGTAAGCACTCTCAACCCAAACCCAACTTGTGAAGGAGATCTGTAGCCAAAAAGTTTAATTACATTTTTTGTCAATGGAGTTTGGTTCGAAATTAAATTTGGTCATCGTGATTTCAATTTTTTTGATTTGGTCACTGTATTTTCAGTAGTTAACAAATTCAGTCCAACGTCTCAATTCCGTTAGTTTGTTGCATTAAAAAATGATGCAGCACAGAAGCACGGACTTACAGATCGACAAAGTCTAAACCTGAAAAAATAAACTAAAATCAATCAACAACTGGAATCCACTTGACAAAAATTTAAATAACATAAACATACATTAGCCAAAAAAATTAACATAAACATAATCATAAAAAAATATAACGTAACATAAACATACATTAGGAGTTTCATGAAACTCCTGGTATGCCCTTTGACCAGCGGTGGAGAATCATATGTAGAAATTAATAAAGCCGAAGATATATATATATACCTATTTTGTCCAACTGCCGTAAACAATGTTTTGACGTATGGGTACGAGTAAACAGCTACAAAGCCCACAAACCAAACGAGCCAGAAGAGGAGGGCAGCTACCCGTAGAGCCGGAACAAGAATCACCGATTCCAAAACCAGGGCAAAAGCTCCAAAAAGGAGGCTAATCTTGCTCATGAATTTTCCCAAATCTGAATTAATAAGGTGAGTTTGGCATATATATGTACCATCAATTAATGACCCGCTGTAAACGATTAGAGCAACAATAAGGCTCACAATGGTCGGGCTAGTGTGTTTCCAATGGAGATTTCATTCCAACTCCTTGCTTCAGTTGTAGGAGCACTCTTAGCATGGTGATGATAGAAAATATATATTTATGCAATGCGTTTGTAGAAAGTTCTCTATTACATGAGCTGTTACGATTAATGAGAAAATGTTATTGGCATTGCAATAAAGGGTTATGGATATGTAATCTTGTAATTAATAAGAACAACTAAGAGCAATAATTATGCAAATAAATAACAGAGCATATATAGCTAGAAATTAGTTAAGCCGACGTTAATTACATACTTCTAGCTGCTATTTCCTTTAATGTCAATTAACAACAGACCAATAGCTAAGGGCCGTCTTGTACGGTTTTTAGAGAATGTTTTCAGATAATATTTTTAGAGAATGAAAACGAGAAAACAAATTTGCATTTTTAGGATTCGAGAATGAGTCTGGTAGATTAATTAGAAAACATATTTAGAAAATAAAAATAGTAAAAACGTGTCTAGTAGTATAATTTGAGAATAATAATATGTGAACTATATTTCAAAGGTATTTTTGTTAATCTCTGATATAAAAAAAACTATAACACAATTTTATGTATAAAGCAAAACTAATAAGAAACAACTTCAACCCCACTCTTTTAAACAAAGGAAAGGTTGATTTAAAAATAAAAAATTAAAATTAAAAAGCTAAAGAAAAGAAAAAAAACAAACACACACCTCTTTTTTTATTGGGTATGAACTTGAAAATGACCCTATAGGTTGGGGGATTTTATGTAGTTTGTCCTAATTTTTAAGAGTGGCAGTGAGTATACACCTTTGGTTAATGTGGTGACTAAAAATGTTCCCGTATTCATAACTAACATGTTACTTCTCCTTCCAATTCCCTCTTCCAAACTTATTTTACTCACAATGTCGTGTAGTTCGAGCATTTAAATTGGCTTAAAATACCACTCTGAGTAGGGATGGAAATAATACTCGTCAAGTCCCTGGCCCTAACGGGGAGAGTTTTCGAGGGGAAATCGAGGCCGGGTACGGGGATCCCCGAATTTGCAAAATCCCCGACCGGGGATGGGCCGGGGATGGGATTGTTATCCCCATCCCTGAACCCGACCCGATAAGTAATATATTTTTTTATAATCAATATATATATTAATATAATATAATAAACAAAATTACCCTAGAGACTAGATGGATTTATTGTGCTTACTGAAAAAGTTTCTAAAGATTTGGATATAAATGATTTCAAGTTTTGTGTCCACATTCTTTGGCTTGTTGAGTTATTATTTTAACAAGAAATATCTTGTGGTAGTTGTTTTTAAAATTTCACAATGATGTGATTGTGCTTTAGAAAATTATTTTAACAACAAATATCGTATTAAAAATCGGGGATTGGGGCGGGTATGGGAGGCACTTCCCCAACGGGGACGGGGACGGAGATTCCCCGAAAAGTCTAAACCGGGGATTGGGCCGGGGACGGGGACGGGAAGCTCGCCTGATTGAGTATCAATTGCAAACGAACTCGTAGTTTTTTCTTATTTGTCGTCATTTGTCACAACAAGGCATCTTTATTTAATCGTGCATGGCTGGACCTGATTGAGTATCTGAAATACTACATACAATCCCACATGTTAAATCAAGAGCCAAACTTACAAATCTATGAAGAAAAGAAAGCAACTACATCACCACACCACAAATATTGTAACTATTTTTTCAGTTAAGCCTTAAGCTAACAACTGTCTAACAGATTAAAAACAAGCACGTGATGTACACGTGAGATTAAGTTTTATACAGTTGTTACTTAGAGTTGAATGAATGGTAAGAAAAATTCCTGATGAAATGCTTTATTTATTTTTTTGGTAAAAAACAAAAACAAATTCTCTATCCATGAAATTATGTCCATCCACGACTCACGAGTGATCAATTTTCTGCTAGTTATGGCCAAATGGATATTGAAAATAACTGTAGAGCAAAAGCAAACAAAAATGGAAGGCAAAAAGAAAAGAAATATATTGCTAACTTTTGTACGGGGAGGATTGCGTTGGTTGGGCTCAATATGTCTCTAATTAGATATGTTTTTGGGATTAAACTGTAGGGCATTTTCTTCACGGCCCTACAAAATAATAAGATGGTGAGCATGAGCAGTGCTGAGCTAGCATATTCAATCGAAGCCCATATTCTTGCGAAGCTTATTTCAGAAAATATAATATAACCAAATGCATGCATGCATGGTGCCTTTTTAGATTGGGTTGATAATACTAAGTAAAGTGGCTTAGATTGGCTTAAATTGCCATAAACTGCTCTGCTTCTATGAGCTCTTTTTCTGGCTTATTACATCAATATGTCCGGGGTATGGACGTATTTGTATGTGTCTGTTCGCCTTAAACGAAGGCAAAAAGCGAAATTTAGTTTCAGACAGTAAAATAAGAAAAAGAAGAAGCATTCAAATTAGTTGGGCTAAGTGTTTAATGAAGCCTAATATAATTATGATTGGGCCTTTATTACATCTTGTTATAATTTAAAAATCCAAATGGTTCGTTTAATTTGGGTCAAGTTATAGGCATGACTCAAAGGCCGAGGGCCGAAGGAGAATGTTGAAGACAGTAACGTCTGTATGCTTGTCTTCTTGTCCTTCCACCACCCATCAGCCTGTGTGTCGACATAGACTGAGACGACTTCAAAATCATAACTTCATTAATGACAGATGTGTGAGATAACGACCATTCTCCTACTACCCTTATCACCCGCACACTATCTATCTCTATGCTTTTTATCATTTTTATTTTTGAGACACAACTTAACTTCGCACACATAGCATGCAACTTAATTCATGCATTATCAAATTTTCACTTATGTTTTTTTTAATATATAATAATTATTTTTGTATGTACATAAAATGGTGATTTGCATGAAGGAGAAATAAAGTAAAAATACAAAATATCCGAAAATTATGCTTTTTAAAAAGAAAGGAAAAACCATGAAAAGTAAACATTATTTGACATGTTAATACGAATATGTATAAGATTGTTTGAGATGCGGGTATGTTTTTGTGCTTGAAAACTTTACACTTAAAAGAGCAAAATCATATGCATTTATCAGGTTTATATATATTCATATATATTAGAAACAAAAACAAACACAAAAAGTTTAAAATGAATAAGGTAATACAGGAATTTCTAACAGGATTAGCACCAATGTATCTATTATGACCAAATAAATGTTAACAGGAAATTAGGTACAAAACACAAGCACTAAAAATAAACGAAAGCGAAAACATGGTTTTGGTTTTATCTCTAATTGCAGGCAAAAATGTTTATTAATTAACAAGTGCCGACTAATTATGAAGTTATCGTTTACTTAATAATGCCTCTCAATATAAATTCATAATATACGAACAAGCATTATTGTAGATGTTCTAACATAACATATTGTTTAGTAAGGCCATGAGGAACATAATGTTTTGTTTATCAATAATGATGAAGACAAGAAAGACTAGTTTTTTTCCTGATCGTTAACCAATAGGGCAAGACTTTGTAAATCTTTGGAGCAGTCACACATAGCACGTGTCCCATTGGCTGGGCACGCGTTGATGTGTCCCTACCTAACGAAAACCCTCAGACACTCCATGGAGATGAGCGTGTAAATGGATGAAGTGTAAGGGTGGTGGCCTATGTCGCTGTCTACTGACATCCAGGAAATTTAAGTGCCATCGTTAAATTATTAATCATACATTAATCGCAGGATAATGACATTTGCATCGATTTTCACAACCCAATGTGTTTGACTCCACCAGAAATTTTGTCGATCAAGTTATAATGATTTCTTCTTCTATTTTTAAAGAGATTTAAAGGGTAAGTCATAATAAATTTTGCGTGTTTGTCAGAACACATATTATGGTTCAAATTTAAAGGGTAAGTCATAAACAAATTTAAGCAAACCCATCTCGAAATATACATATTTGCACAAGTACTTGTTTCAAAATGGTTTGAAACCGTTTGTTTTCTAGATTGGCAAAAACATGTTTAATAGTTTATGTTAGCAATTGGCTTATTTAGTCGGACCAACTTTGAAAAACTCTGTGCTAAAGCGTTAATTTTTTCTTATTAGTCCTTTGAAAAAGAAAACGCCACAGGCAGTATTTATAAACTCAATTTTACACGTAGTTTGTTTCAAAATGAAAACGAGGACAATCACACTGTGCTAATATGCTATACATGTGACGTGTCGGTATAGTAGATTTTTGGACGGTTGGATGTGAGAGTGTTTTAATAAATCAATGGCTGTAGTCTGTAGAGGAATGACGTGAAGAAAGGGTACTCAGGGGTAATAACCTGAAGAAAATGTGTGAGGAGGAGGTTTCGCGGGAGGTCATACTCATATACAGCCGTAATATTTGACCGTCATATATTGGGTGAATTAGCATGCGAATACACAGCAATTTGTTTGTCCATTTCCTACTCTTCACTATGAATTCAAAAATGACATCCCCTAGGCCTGTCCTCACCAAAGAAAAAGAAAATTGCCAATCTCCTTTCGTTAATGCTTTCTTTTTAAAGTATTTTTGTTCTTGTGCACATTTGCTCTCTATCATCTTGGAACAAGCTTGTGGCAACAACACAACAAGACCCATTCTAAACACAATTTGGGGCAAAGCACAAAAACGAGGAATGCATAAATCCAACTTAAAATATCATATATATGAGTCAAATTTAAATTATCAAAATCAATATGGAACTTATGATATACAGAACACACCCCAAGACAGTATTTGAAACTAAGTCAGAGTTGCAGCTTCTTGTTTCAAGCGTGGCATGCATATGTAACTTAGGGCAACCCAATTTGCTCATCGGGTCTCACTGTGAATCGGGCAACATATTCTTTCAGTTTTTCAAAGGCCTGAACAATTCTTGCAACTCCACTTTTATACAACGTTTCCAAGTATAGGCACGCGTACTCACCTACGAAGCTCACAAACCAAACGATCCAAAAGAAGAGGGCGGCTAACCCTAAATTCGGGACTAGGATCACCAATTCCAAAACTACGGAAACAGCTCCAAAAAGGAGGCTAATCTTGCTCATGAATTTTTCCAAATTCAAATTAAGGTGATCTTGATTTATATATGTAGCGCCAATTAATGATCCACCGTAAACGACTAGAGCAAGAATGAGGATCACAACAGTCGGGTAGTCTGTGTCAAATAGAGATGACGCTCCCTGTTTCAGTTGGAGGAGCACGCCTAGCATGGTGATGAGATAAAATATGTATTTGTGCAATGCCTTTGTAGAAGTTTCTTTGTTTATGCTGTTTTGATTAAGGAGAACATGGAAATGGCATTAAATAAGTATGGATATGCATATTTATATATAATGTTGTAATTATTAAGAACAACTATGAGTAATATTTATGCGAATTCAATAAATAACAGATCATTGCTAGAAAGTAATTAAGCCGAAGATTCCTCAACTACTTGCTATTTTATTCCGTGTTGGTGAATCATGTGGACTATCTGGAAGAAAGAGAGAGATGCAAAGAAAAGAAACAAAAAAGGAAGAGGATACTAGGAGATTCTGAACTAGAAGGAATGATCGCCCAGACTGAAAATGGAGGGGGCTAACTCAGTCCAACTGTGTGTCAGTGGGACTCGTAGCAGAACAAATGTGTGTCAGTGGCCTTATATTAACTACGGTTTAAAATAATGAATATAGAAGGTCCTAAAACAATTAAAAATATAGATCTCTCTTTTTAAAATTTATTTAAATAGAAAAATCAATCTAACAGATTAAAAAAATATATATATATAAAATTCCCTATCATCCGTTCCCTAATTCCCAAGCGAGAGCGACCAACCCGCTACACTCCAACACCTGTCTCCTTCTGTCTCTCTTTCCCAGCTACACTCCACCCCGATCCACCACCTCCGAAGAACCCCCCGGCGACTTTCTCACAACTAACACCCTAGATCTCACATCTCTCGCCGACTGGAGGATCTACCTTCCACCTCCCAGGCCTCCTCGTCAATTTCTCCGACCGTCCCCATGCCGTCCAGATATTTTCTGCGGCTTTTGTTTTTGGTAATTTAGTTTGGGGGAAGAAAAATAGGCTGGGTTTTAAAGATTCAAATGACAGGCTTGCCCTCTGGAAAGGTCAAATTAAGAATTTATTTTGGAAGTAATCTTAGACGTTGAAAGCTCCTTAGTTTTCCTTAATTTGTATTTGATTGAAAGCTCCTCAGTGAGTCTACTGGTCAACATGACTCAAGTTCAAAAAGGGGAACATGGCGATTGTATTGTGAAGATATATAAAGGTATCTAAATCCAAAACAAAAACAGTGTTCCATTCAATTCAATGCCGAGAAGCAAAATGCCGTCAGAAATAATGTTTTCCAACCACTGGGTCGGAGATAATGTATTTTCGACACCCATGTTTTGCCTATATTGATATTGCTTAAATCTCCGTCGGAAATAAATTTAAGCAAAATCATTTTCTCAACCAGGCTGCAAACAAATTAAATGATTATGACAGGCAAGGTAGTATATGTATGTATGAAACTTACGCCTCTGAACGTGGAGGATCGCTAACAGTAACAGTAGCAGGAATGCTTGCTTGATCACTCATCCCGCACCCCTTGGCTTTGCTTTAGAGAAACAAAGAAAAAAAAAGAGTCAAGGAACGGAGTTCAGGAAGCTCGGAACATCAGAGGGTCTTAGAACAGCCACTGCACATTCGTTTCTCATAAGAAAAAAGATTGTGTGCACTTACTCTTCTCAACGTCTCGTTCCTGCAAAGCGTAAAGAGAGTGTGCACATTCGTGGTATATCATATAGATATAGAATGCCCCTCCCTTCCTAGCTACGTACGGATATATCATTTATGGCTATGCCTGGGGCAGTGATGCGCGTTACCATATATAGATATAGAATGCCCCCCACCGCCCCCCACACCCCCCTTCCTAGCTACGTACGGATATATCATTTATGGCTATACCTGGCGCAGTGATGCGCGTTGGCAGATAAACATTGTCAGAGTGAGGGAACTGCAGAGAAGAAGAATCGCAGAGCATCAGCTTTTGCATAGTTTTCGAGGGGGGACAACTGATCCCAAAACAGGACACAATCAGCCATCATAAAATTACATAGAAAAGCCCCTAGGGCAGCCCTGAACTAATCCCACCAGTGGGGAACCAAGTGAATCTAGACAATGCTATAGCATCCACCATAAAGAAACTTGATGACCACACATAAGGACAAATATGAAGAGAGAACAACATCAAATAGCATTGATACTGCTGCTGTATCACCTTATCATGCACCTCGTAGATAGCAGATCACTTATTCTACAGTCTGTTAGAGTCAGTTAGTTTTGGTTAGAAAACTGGTTTAGTTAAAATGTTTTCTAAGCTTGTCCAGGTGGCCCTGATTAGTTGCCCAAACCAACCACCCCTGTATAAACACATTCTCTGTAATTATCTTTACACAATAAATTAGTTAACTACTTTCTGCTGCTGCTGATAATTTTTCTCGGCTCCCAAACACTGAGCTGAGGGATTAAGAATAAAAGGAGAATTACAAGTTTTCAATTACCAGAGCAAATCGGAGTAAACTCAAAAAGCAGTGCCAAGTATTTTGAGTTTGGGGCCGCGTGGGTGCTTTTGTACTGTTCTAGATCCACCGGACCCAAGAAGCCGTACATGCAGCAGTAGGGTTACTAGGGTCTCATTATCCTCTCTTTAATTCGTTATAGCCACAAAAAAATATAAAGCCTTTTTTTATTTTTTATTTTATACTTCTGTCTGTTTTCGATCTGCCTGCTTTTTCAGTCGCCTCCAGGCACTCACTCTCTCTCTCTCCGTATCATTGACTTCATGAAACAGCAGTTCATTGCAGTTTCAGTCTTGGACCTCATCAACTTCCGGCAGGTTGCTTGAGTTGCTTGTTTGTTCTGAAATCAACCAAACCATATGTAAGCTTTTATAATCTAGTGCTTTATTAGCAGTAAAGTAAACAATGGAGGAAACATGCCCAACTAGTTGTCTTCTTGATTTTGTTTATTTAGTTGAACCAATTATGAAATAAGCTTAGAGCGTTTCTTCTGTAATAATGAATCTTAGAGACACAAGACATTTCAGAAATAAAAAAGAAGTCAGATAACTAGTTCCTTACCAGCCTTGAGAGCATTTGTTGACCACTCTTTTTGGTGCCTTTTGTTCTTTAAATGCAGATTACTAACTCTTCCATCCTTCCCCATTTGTGGGTTTTTAGGGAATTCCTTTGCAAAAGGCCAGACACCTTTGTAGGCATTTGCAGTAAAACCTGCCTTTCTATCTCCTCTTTGGAGCTGAAGTCATTGCCAAACTTAAAGACAGAAGTTGAAGCGGACACTCTGTCTATCTGAATAGGTTCATTCAGATCAGTCAAACCACTGCTTCTTTCTAAATCAAAACATTGTTATAGCCGGATGTTTCACCAATGTGACTAGATAAAATATCATCTCTTGCCTGAGTAACCACATTTTTTCTGTTAGGAGGATAATTTTCTGTGTCTGACCCCATGAAATCTCCTTCTGGTTCTTCTCCATCACTGATGTATTCATCGGCTGGAAGTTCAAGATTGAACAATCTTCTCCGAGGTTTCTTCCCTCTGGAATCCGGAGATTCGCGGTCCTTCATCCTGACTATAGGTTCGCTGGGGCCACCACTGGTTTGCAGGGTTTTTCCAATAGAATTACAAGCAGATTGGCTGATACTTCCAGTACTCGATGTACATGGTCTACCAAAACTGGAATCAACCAAGGGTAAATTAGAATTATGCCTACTGTTTCTGTCATCTTCGTTTGGAAAGCCAGAGGAAGAGAGAGTTGATAGTGATGTCCCTGCTACTTTTTGATGTTTGCGTAGTTCTTTGCTTTTGATCTCGTTCATCAAGTCCTTTTGCCTTTCGTAAACAGGATAGAGTTCATTGAGCTGAATGAGAAATCACACATAAAGGTGTTCAAATATTAGCTAACGATTTTGAGTACTCAAAGCTTGACACTTTTTTACCAATATAAAACCATTGTCGTCTGATATTTCTTAATACTGGAATAAAAGCTATAGTCATAATCACACTTTAGAGCTCAACAGATTAATTTAGGTTCTAGAATATACACCTGATGCCTGAATACTGACTCATGCTTCAGTATAGTTTGCCTCATTTGTTCCTTATCGCGTCCATGAAATCCATCCATAATCGGCCTTGTCAAGAATAATTCATATTGTTGCCCATTCTTCAAGTTTTTGTTCTCATGAAGCAGGGACCAGCTACCATGGCCAACATTGCTACTTAGTTTCTGCACGGAATAATATCCTGGTTGATACATCTTTGACTGTACTTCAGTTCCCATTCTTGCAATTAATTCAGACGCATTGCCAAATCGGTTTATACATAGAAAGAAGTAATAGTTGGAAGAAAAAAAAGTAATAAATTTCAAAGGAGGTCAGAGTGGACAGATTGCACACTGAAACTTGAGGCAACTCACTAATTCCGACAAGATTTCAAAGCAATATAAATTTTTCTAAAAGGCTTCAACAATAGCTCAGCCATATGCGATACCAGAAAACTAATCAACTGAGAAAGCATAAATCTTTGTCAGCTGTTTTTAAGACATAATTTTGGAAATTGCAATTCATCTGTAGTGATATCATTAATCATAGTTCCACGTTAGCACATCTTCAACCCAACATCCCTTGCCTGTCCATCTAAGTTTCATGAAAGGACAGAATTTATCATCTTGAGCTACATGCAGCTCAAAGTTACTATTTTAAAATTCGAATTATGATGGTACATCTCATGGATAAAGAATAAATACACGCGTTTAACTAGTCCATCAAATCATGCAGTCCAAAATCTGAGCCTAGATGGAAAAATAGCAGAAGCAGAGATACAGTCAGTTCACTGAAGAGACGATCCAGACGATCCAGATGCAGAGGAAGGCTAACCCTAAAACCCGGACAAGATCACCAATTTCAAAACCAAGGCAAGAGCTCCAAAAAGAACGCTAATCTTGTCCCGGTGTACAACAACACCACTTTTTTGTTCGTAACGAGGGAGAGATAGATGGAGTTCTTCACGAAGTTCGAGACAAAGGAATAAAAAAGAGTTTCTCTATGGCCTCCTCGTTTTGAGACATTATGGCTTTGGGGTCGACCCCGGTAACAAAGAAGGAATCCATAGGAGAGGGAGAGGGAGAGGAAGAGAAGACTAGCCAACCAAAGTAGACGACCTCCTTGAGATGGGGAGAGAGTTTGACCACTTATAGGAATGTTATTCAATAGCGCACCAAATGCGCGCAATAAAGCAGTGGGCCTGGAAAGAAAGAGGAGCAGAGGGGGTTGATTTACAATTTTAAAGCTGAAAAGCACAAAAAGAAAAAGGAAGGTCTTGTCTTCAAAGGGGACCAGGTCAGCCATAGCTTCTTTGATCATGCCGGAATGGGGAAGAAAAGAATGCTGATCGTTAGCGAGAAGAAAAAGCGGGAGACCCCGCTCTCTCCACAATATCCTTAAAGACCTCTCTCGTCAGGGGGCCATAAATTTTGCCACATCTGAATAATTAAGGTGAGATTGGTGTATATATGTACCGCCCATTAATGATCTGATGTAACCCATTAAAACAACAATAAGGGTCACAAAAATAAGGTAGTATGTGTCAAATACTCCCTGCTTCAGTTGGATCAGCCCTGCTAGAATGGTGATGAAAGAAAATATATGTTTTTGCAATTCCCTTGTAAAACATTCTTTACTTGTGCTGCTATTACAATTAATTAATGACAAAATGTTATCAGCATTGCAAACTAATAAGGAAAACTATGATCTACAACTTAAACGCTTGCAACAGTTCAAGAGCGGAGTTTTTAAATTAGTCTCATTCCCATAAACTGCTCTGCTTATAACATCAATATGTCTGGGGTATGGATGTATTTGTATCAGGGGCGAGCCCTAAAGGTGTGCAAGTGGTGCCACCGCACATGGCTCCGAATTTTTAAGGGCCCCGAAATTTTTTAACGTGTATATTATGTATATTGATATTATAGGTATTATATATATACTTGAGTATGTAAGAAAGTAACACAAGTGTGTATTTAGTTGAGTTGGAATTCATCCCCTTGAGTTTTGTTGGCAAGTTGGGTTCAAGTCTATATTGTGTCATTTAGTAGTTGTATATTTACATTTCTACTTCTATGAATGTTATTTATGATTGCTATTCCATGCTAATAGATGATGAATTTTATTTATTAAAAAAAATTATTTTATGGTGTTAAATCATGGCAAATTTCTTTATGAATATTTTCATATTAGATTGAGGGCTCCCTTTTAAGTTTCGCACAGGCCCTCAAAATCTCAAGACCGGCTCTCGTTTGTATGTATATGTTCTCCTTAAACGAAGGCAAAGAGTTTAATTTGTACAGATAACGGATGCAGCTAGCTTGGGGTAATTTTTCAATTAGCAAAGTTTAGTTTCAGACAGTAAAATAAGAAAAGGATTTCAAATTAGTTGGGCTAAGTGTTTAAGGAGGCCTAATTCATGATGAATGGGTCTTCATTAAATCTCGTTATAATTTAAAAATCCAAATGGTTCTTTTAATTTGGGTCAAGTTAGTAGGCTAACCATAAGTGCTGGACAAGTAAAAGCGTCTCTAACAGTTGCTGCAAACTAAGTGAAAACCGTCAAACTAGTAAATCGAGTCGACTGGGACATAAAATATCGTATAACAAACAAAAAAAAAAAAAAAAAAAAAAAGCCAATTTCGGATCGGTTCTGATCCTGGTTCTTGCCTTAAAAAGATATGTTCAACCCAACTAGTTTATTTATTTATAAGCCTAATCCAAGTCATACTAGTGAGCTCAAGTAATACCTATATCATTTAGCCCAATTAATTTGCAATCAATTTTTAACAATAAGTGATTTTCTCGTAGTTTACCAAACGGGCTGGACTTTCCAAAATTTTTTAAAAATCACTTATCACCCAAAATAAGCAATGTCAAATGGGCATGAAGTCAATTCCGGATCGGTTCTGATCTTGGTTCATGCCTTTTAAAAATATGTTCAACCCAACCAGATTATTTGTTCATAAGCCTAATCCAAGGCATACTAGTGAGCTCAAGTAATACCCATATCATTTAGCACAATTAATACTCAAATGTTTTGAGCTCAATTTTTATCAAACTAAATGATGACTCTAACCTATATATTTTTTTTTCTTCTTTGTTAAACTCATTCTTCTTCTCTTATTCGCCTTCCTATTTCTCTCTAAACGTTTTTCTCTCTTTTTCACCTCTTACTCAATTTGAGAAAACGATGGCTCGCTGCTATCACCTCATAGCATCTTACATTCCCAAACCGAAATGAACCGGGCTGTGTGTAATATTCGATTTCGATACCAATTTGAGGGTAAATCGGACCATGCACACCCCTGCTGCAAACATTCTGGCCCAAAAAAAATAAAATGCTGCAAACATGAAAGGTAAAGTAGTAAGTATGTATGTAGACTTACGCCTCTGAACGTAGAGGGTCGCTAACAGGAATGCTTGTTTGATGGTTCATCCCGAGCGAAACCAAATTAATACCTGCAGGAGAAAAAAAGAAACGGAATTCAGATCGGAAGTTCATGTATTAACACAACTAGAGTTACTGGATCTATTTCTGGGTGCAATTTATAAGAGAAAAAAAAGAGCATAAACATACGATTGAATGCATTCATATAACAGCTATCCATTGTTTACCACAATATACAACGATTTGAGAGAGCTGCAATTGTTCGCAAAGTAAAAGCGGTGCGAGCAATTTGAGAGAACTTGAGGAATTCGGGAGAATTAGGGATTTTGGGTTTTGGGGAATGTAGTTTATGATATGAGGACAATGATGAGGTTGTCTTTATAGATTAATCAGAGTAACTGTTAAGATGAGGCACGTCAAAGCTCTTCCGGTGCAGCGTTACTTATGATGCAGACCAACCACAGGTCCACAGACAATCTCAAAGATTGAGCATTGACTTGGAGGCTCGGGTCTTACAGGCAACCACTTTTGATGAGCTCTTCCGGTGCAGCGTTGCTTATGATGCAGACCAACCACAGACAATCTCAAAGATTGAGCATTGACTTGGAGGCTTGGGTCTTACAGGCAACCACTTTTGATGAGCTCTTTTTGTCATTGTATAACCGGTGCAGCGTTGCTTATGATGCAGACCAACCACAGACAATCTCAAAGTCTTATTTTATTTTACTTTGGGTAAGAAAATTAAAAAAAAACGTGAAAGTGTTCCGATTACGAAAGCGAAAACATGGTTTAAGTTTTTTCTATAATTGCAGTCAGAGGTGCTGACCAATTATGAATTTATCGTTTGCTGAATAATACCTCTCGATATAAATTCATAACGTGCGACAAGCACGGAATTGATAGGCAAACGTGGTGTCCATTCATAACATAAGTAATCAACAAAAGAGAGCAATTTACATATATGTATGTAGAAATTATACTGGCAGCCCATTCTGCTGCTCGGCATCCTTGGTCAAGTGGCCAATAATATTCCTGAAGAGATCTTTCAACTTGTCAGATGCATGAGCAAGTTCTTCAGCTCCACTTCGATACAATCTTCTCATCACAACTGCACTTTGATGGTATGACTTTGATACAGCTATCGCAAGACAAATGCTCCACACGAAGATGGCAAACCATCCAAAAGCTGGAACAGTGATTAGCAATTCTAAGTTCAGTGCAAAAGTTCCAGACAAGAGGCTAATCTTAACCATGACCTCGGCCAAGTCTGGATTATCATGAGCTTGGAGTATCTTGGCAGCATATGAGCCGAAGTAAACCAACAAAGCAACGATGAACGCCAGCATAGTAACGCGGTCCGTGACAAAAAGAGACGCGACTTCAGCTCCGCGCTTGATTGGGAGAAGCACAGCTAGCATTGTGATGGCAAAGCAAATACATTTGTGCAATTCCTTAGTAGAACTGCCATGATGACGACGCTCCTGCTCCTCGCTTGTGCTGTTATTAATTGTACGATGAAAAAATTCAACAGAATCGCCTTGGATTATCTATACAATTTCGTTTGGTCAAAATTATACCATCTTAAGCCAGAAAATCTTTGGGCAAAAGTTGTATTATTACCAATATTTCGAACATAAGACTAATAACAGTTTTGACAAAAAAAAATATTAAGAATTTTTTTTAGTTAATGAAATATTAAAATTTTTAATTAAATGAGAATAATATAATAAATTTATTTGTATTATTGAAATTTTTTGTAAAAAATACATATATATATGTATATAATACGTGTATTGTACATTTGCTTTTTAAAATCGTGTATTTTACTGAGTCTTTAAGCCATATACAGATAACGGAAGTATTATTAAAAAATTCATATGTACGTATATAATACGAGTATTAAACGGGAAAATGATAATTTGAAATTTACCCATTTTGTTATACAATAACAACCCGCTCCATCTATTCTAACCCGGAGACAAGCAAAAAGACCAGCCCGTTAATCTTCCTCAGGACACCATAGTAGTAACTCTTTATAATCTATCCATGCCATTAAATTTGTACAGATATCAGATGCAGCTAGCTAAATGGTGATTGTGAAGATAAATAACAAGTAACATGTACACTGATGTGTTCATAAATTCACATGATTTTATATCCTTTTTACTTAGTTTTGTGAATTAATTTGGACTAAAGATGTTGAGTTGAGTTATTTCCTGTTTTTCAGCTTATGAGCCACGGAATGAATAAATTCGTCAAATATTCATCGTAATAGAGTTCGACATGATTCCAATTCGAGATGGGAGACAGCATCTTGAAGTTTATCCATGAATATTTTCATAATTTTTGAAGACTGCTAAGGTGCCCATTTTTAATTAGACAATTCAGCATAAATCAATTCCCGGAGAATACTGAGTCAGCAGGGGTATTTTGGCTACAACTCACTCATACAACATCGGATTGAGGCACATGATATATGGCTGAAAAGAAGACATCCAGAGCTTTCCAAAGAGTGGTCATACGTAATTTTTGGAGGTCAGAAACGTGTCCAAATCGCATTCGCAATGAGGATCACGTGCAGTTTCCTGGAGGTTTTAGGAAACTTAGTTTTAATTAGCTTTTCTAGTTAGGAACTGACTTGGAAATCAAGTCTTCGTGTAAGGCCACTTGTTTAGGCCCATTCTAACTAGGTTTTAGGTTCTTTTAAGAGGGGAGGTCGTAGAGGCTCAGGAGACGAGAAATTTCAGACTTCAACCGTGGAGCAAGGAAGAGCCACCGTGCCTCTAAACTCTAAGGGTTTTCCTTATCTCTTTCTCCATGTTTTATTTTTGCTTTGTTACCATGATTATGAGTAACTAATTTTCTTTTACTAAGACACAATGTAACCCTTTTCTAATTATTCAAAGCTTAGTTATGTCATGCTATTAGAATTTCCATGTTGTTGAAATTTAATCACTGTGCTTATTTTCCTAACTAATGATCTTGATGCTTAGCTACCATCTAGGTTTTTGGTTAAGTAATTTGATGCATGTTAGGGTATACGCCATGCCTAATATGAGTTTTGCTTCTTGTGATTAAATTCATGAATGCGCCTAAGGTAAACACTATACTCTTAGGGGTTTGTGTGATTGTGTGAAGTTCTCATTGAACCTAAGGTCTTTTTATATGTTTATATTTATGCCTCACGCCAAGGATAAATTGCATGTAAGAAGAAGTGGTTAATTGCTGTGAAAAGAATTAGTCATAATTTTGGAGAACTAATCATCAACATAACTTGGGAATTTTGATAGTATGCATGCTAAGGTTTGGATAAGAGGAATTGTGGTGAAATTTTTGTCTTGGTAAGCTTCTTTAAAATCTTTCACAAACTTATTTAGTTCACGTTTTTCTTCGTTATCTTGTCTTTTAATTTTCTTGTTTTCAACGTTCTTTCAAAGAAAATCTTTCAAAACCAACTTTCAAAAATCCTCTATTAAGTTTTAGTTGAGTCATTAGTTTTAAGTTTATTAATTAGGGTGTCTAGAGTAATTTAGGATTTAAATTAGTTTATAATTCACAACAACTTGAGAATTTATTCAGTCGCTGTGGGAACGACCTTGTACTTGCCTTGGCTATATTGCATTAACCTTGTGCGCTTGCAAGTTTATTTCTTGAATTTAACTATCTAATTTTCAGGTAGTAAAATTATACATCATACACTTACGGCTCTGAACTTAGAGGGTCGCTAACAGGAATGCTTGCTTCATCATTCATCCCGCTCGCAACCGCCTTTAGAGCTACAGTAAAAAAGAAAAGAAAAAAAGATAGAGAGTTCAGGAAGCTACGTATATATTAGGACGGAAGCAAACATGTCTGCCAGAGATCAAAGAACCGTGACATGTGACGTATCAGAGTTCATGTATAAACACTTGTAAAGTTATTGGATCTCTTTCTGGCTCTTAGTCTTAGAACAGCCACTGCACATTCGTTTCACAATGTACCTACAAGTTACGACATAAGAAAAAAAAATATGAAAGCAAAAAAGTGCACTTACTCTTCTAAACGTCTCACGATTGTATCGTTGGGTGTCTTGAGAAGTTATTTGTGGGAGAGGAAGATGGTGGGAGGGAGAGAGAGAAAGGCAGGGCAGTGGGAGAAACGCAGAGAGACGATGTCAGCGCTATATGGGATAGATTAAGGGAGAGAGAAAAAGGCAGGGTAGTGAAAGAAACGGAGAGAGACAAAGTCAGTGCTATATGGATAGATTAAGGGAGAGAGAGAGAAAGGCAGAAAATGGCATAGATTAAGGGAGACAGGAAAAGGCAGGGTAGTGAAAGAAACGCAGAGAGAAAAAGTGCTTTTGCTTTTTCCAAAAGGGACATTTCCCTTCTGAAAAAAGCAAAAGGAGAGAGAAAAATTTTAAAAGAAGCAAAAATAGACAAAAATGCCCTTATTTATTTTTAGATTTTCTAAGTAATCCAATACATTTGCATGTCTTTGATTTGAAAGTTGAGCGGTTTTTTGTCTTTTTTGAAAAAGCTTTGGCTTTTTCCAAAAGTGAAATTTTTTTTAGGGACATTTTGGAAAAAGCGAAAGGAGAGAGAAAAATTTTAAAAGAAGCAAAAATGGACAAAAATGCCCTTATTTATTTTTAGATTTCCTAAGGAATCCAATACATTTGCATGTCTTTAATTTGAAAGTTGAGCGGTTTTTTTGTCTTTTTTGAAAAAGCTTTGGCTTTTTCCAAAAGTGAAATTTTTTGGCTTTTTCCAAAAGTGAAATTTTTTTTATGTCTAAAACCTAAAAAACCTAAGTATATAAAGGCCGGGTAGTGAGATTACCAAAATAGGACTGTCTTTATTTTTTATAGTAATAAAGTGAGATTACCAAAATAGGACCGTCTTTATTTTTGATAGTAATAAAGACAGAGAGAGAAAAGTAGGACAAAAGGTCAAATGAGTGGAAATCACAGAGAAGCCGTCAGGTGTGAAAGTTAACACCATGTCCTCTTTCTTTTTCGTCCAAAAAAAGAAAAAATCACGTCCTCTTTCTTCTCTTCCTTATTCCAATCTCACCTTTTTTTTTGAGTCAATTGTTGTCTCACGTCTTGTTCTTATTTTTTTTCCTTCTTCTCACCCAAAAACCTTATCTCTCACACCTGAGAAAAAAGAAAAAGAAGAATAATTGTTAATATTTTTTGTGACGTTGGTGAGAGATGAGATTTTGGGGCACAATCAAGAAGGGAAAAAAAAAGGGACAGGAGGTGGAGGGTGTGAGACAGGAAGAAGAAAAAAAAGAATAATGTTACTCTTACCATAAAAAAAAGAATAATGTTACTCTTACCATATTTGTATATCACATTTCCATGCCACCTTATGTGGTAGATGAGATGGAGAACTACATCAATTAAATTAGAGTGCCAATGCCATGAAGAGCTAAATGTGCATGCATGACAGAATCAGTAAGTAATTTGTCGCCACTGCCTGCTACTCTTCAAATTTTTATTTGGTCAAAATTAGAGGTCACTTGTGGTGTTAACTAGAGAGAATAGTATTTGATAAATAAAAAAATAGAAAAAAATAGTAATTTAAAAGAAAAAGGAAAAAGAATTTAAAAGAAGGAAGGAGGACGCAGTCAATAAGAAAGAAGCAAGCGTTTGTTAGTGTACTGTGTATCCACGTGTTGGGACAATCAATTTTGAGCGATTGTGAATGCTTAGAATCATTACATGCATGCATACCATAGCTCAAAAGTTTTCATGTGGCCATGGCTTCACCGAACAAAACATCACATGCATGCATACCATAGCTCATGGGTCATGAATCATTATTCTTTATGTTTCAACTTTCATGATGCATACCATAGGCTCATGGATCATAGAGTCCTATGATAAATATAACCATCACATATGACCCATGTATTCCACAAATTCATTCCATTTGTAGACAAAGAACGATAACATCACGGCACACCCATATTCATATTGGTACGTACGGAGGGAAGGACATTCTATAAAATAAGGCCCTTGTGCAACAAAGGGGGTCGAATTTGATCAGAGGATGTGATATTGTTTGAACCAGAAATGGAAAAAAGCAAGTTTTGAGTGTAAGCAAGTACAGCACAATCAAAACAAGCCAAGAAAAAGGCTTTGTGCATCTATATGAGTTTATGAGGTCACTGAGGAGGAGGTTGTCCTAATAGCTAGAAACAGAGTAAATGATATGCACCAAGGCTAAAACAGAAGGCAACACAAATGTTTCCAAAAGTTATACCCTGCAAAGCCTAAACTTGGACCTGCAATAAAAAGAACAAATAATAACAAAGTTATGCAGATAGGCGTAACTATTGCGTACTTGCAGATAGGTTTTTTCTCTTTCTTTCTTGTTTCATGCTTTACTCTGTTTTGACCAAGTGCTATATCACAAATCAAACTATGCAGATTCCGTAAGCATAAGCTGGCGCGCCCATGTTCATGTTGGGGGCAATTGTCTTGACTTGATGCTTGGGCTCAATCGGTCTGTGGTTGGATATGAACAAGTAATAAATTGTAAAAAGAGTAATGCTACCACTTTATCTGACCTCGTGTGCCACCTGAAGCTGATCTATCATGCCACATCCATTAAAGAAACGCAATTGACAAAACGAAATGGTAATTAATTATAAACAATATACAAGTACAATTACGTATTTAGTTAGAAATCAAAGATGACAAGGAAGTCTATATATATGAGAAAGCTCAAGTCTTGGTCAAAATCCAAATAACAAGCCACTCAAGTCTTGTTCGTGCAGATGGACCTTATTACAGAACACCCAGACAAGATTAGAAGCAAACTCTTGAGTTGCAGCTTGTTGGTTCAAGAGGGTTACCCAGTTCGATCCTCAGAGTTCATTGTGAAGCAGCAGGCAATGATCATGTTCTTCAGATACTCTTTCAATTTTTCAAAGGCCTGAACAACTCCTGCAACTACACTTTTATACAATATCTTGACGTATGGGTTAACAGCTACAAAACACACAAGACAACCGATCCAGAAGAGAAGGGCAGCTACCCCTAGAGCCAGAACAAGAATCATCAATTCCAAAACCACGGCAAGAGCTCCAAAAAGGAGGCTAATCATGCTCATGAATTTTCCCAAATCTGAATTAATAAGGTGAGCTTGGCATATATATGTACCGCCAATTAATGACCCGCAGTAAACGATTAGAACAACAATAAGGATCACAATGGTCGGGTAGTCTGTGTCAAATAGAGATTTCGTTCCAGCTCCCTGCTTCACTCCAAGGAGCACGCCTAGGATGGTGATGAGAAAAAATATATATTTGTGCACTGCGTTTGTAGAAAGTTCTCTATTACTCGAGCTGTTACAATTAATGAGAAAATGTTATTGGCGTTGCAATAAAGGGTTATGGATATGTAATCTTGTAATTAATAAGAAAAACTAAAAGTAATAATATGCAAATAAATAACAGATCATATATAGCTAGAAATTAGTTAAGCCAAAGTTACATACTCGTTGCTGCTATTTCCTTCAATGTCAGTTAACAACAGACAAAGAGCTAAGTTTTTCAAGTCCCATTAACTGCTTCTAATGAGCTCCTTTTCTGACTTACAGTCCGGGGCACAAACTGATCTTAATTAGTACTAACTGCATCTGAGTGTTTTTCTCTAACATGAGGAAAAACACTAATAAAAAGTTATTGACTATTTTCATTCTCACTACTCTCTCTCTCTCTTCACAAATTCCTAATGTGTGTAAAAAAGTGTGGCTGTTAAACAAGAAAATTTAAACCAAGAGCAAATTTGAGCTACAACTGAAACGAAGCCAAAAAAAGTGGGGCTGTTATAATTTTGAATATCCAAATGGTTGGTTTAATTTGGGTAAAATGAATTACTTATGCTACAACATCGTTTCTTAAGTCAGCTGAAAACAACTAGTTATAGAAGTAATGAAAGGCAAAGTAGTTTGTTTGTACACTTACGGCTCTGAACGCAGAGGATCGCTAACAGGAATGCTTTCTTGATCATTCATCCTGCGCGGCTGGACAAAACTCGCCTGAATACGGACTCATGCTTCAGTATAGTTTGCCTCATTTGTTCCTTATCGCGTCCATGAAATCCATCCATAATCGGCCTTGTCAAGAATAATTCATATTGTTGCCTATTCTTCAAGTTAGTGTTGTCATGAAGCAGGGACCAGCTACCATGGCCAACATTGCTACTTAGTTTCTGTACGGAATAATATCCTGGTTGATACATCTTTGACTGTACTTCAGTTCCCATTCCTGCAATTAATTCAGACTCATTGCCAAATCGGTTTACACAGAGAATTAGAAAGAAGTAATAGTTGAACAAAAAAAGGAAATAAATTTCAAAGGAGGATCAGAGTACACAGATTGCACACTGAAACTTGAGGCGACTCACTAATTCCGACAAGATTTCAAAGCAATATAAATTTTTCCAGAAGACATGAATAACAGCTCAGCCATATGCCATACCAGAAAACTAATCAACTGAGAAAGCATAAATCTTTGTCAGCTGTTTTTAAGACATAATTTTGGAAATTGCAATTCATCTGTAGTGATATCTTTAATCATAGTTCCACGTTAGCACATCTTCAACCCAACATCCCTTGCCTGCCCATCTAAGTTTCTTGAAAGGAAAGAATTTATCATCTTAAGCTACATGCAGCTCAAAGTTATAATTTTAAAATTCAAATTATGACGGTACATCTTATGGATAAAGAATAAATACACGCGTTTAACTAGTGCTAACAGTATAGAAAATAGAGAGAAGAACAGAATAATACTTGAGAGAAAACCAGAGGAGTATACTCAGAAAAATGTTATTAAGAAGAAGATTACAGAGATATGTAGCCACTCAGACTTTATATACAGCAGAGCTGTGCTTAATCTCTAAGTAAGCTCTGTAACTAACTCACATGTATATTACAGCTGTTACAGCTGTGAGCTACACGTGATAAACCCACGTGGCTTAGTTAATAACAGATAGCTAACCAATTCTAGAAGCTAAGCTAACTAATTCTTATTTTGGTAAACATCCCCCCTCAATCTCAGCTGGGATACCCAGTCTGAGATTGATACAATGTTTAACAAACACAGGACCATGTAAACCCTTGGTAAAGACGTCTGCAATTTGCTCTTCAGTAGGAATGTACTGCACCATGATATCCCTACGTTGAACTCGTTCTCTAATAAAATTATATATATACTAAAGCCCAATGCAACCAGATACTATTCATAAGCACTGTTCCTTGAACAGTGAACTGCCATAAAAACCCCCGCTTCACTGTTCCTAAGCACAGTGAAATGACGGAAATGCCCCTCATTTTACTGTTGTTACATGTTCTATTTTCTCTTTGGCACAGTGAATTGCCGAAAATGCCCTCCACTCAACCTTTTCTGCTCTTCCCTTTTTACCCCTTCTCCTCCAGTCTTTGTTCCCAGCGAATGTATCGTTAACTCAGAGAAGGAGTTCATCGTTGATTTCGAACTAGCTGGTTGGGGGGCAGCGATGGAAGATTTCAGTTCAATCTTGGAGATGCTTTGGCGGCTGTTGATTTTCGTTTGGGGAGTCGAGCTGCGAATCCAGCGGCCCTTCGGTTTATTGAATTGTCTGTTCGCTGTGATAATTTCTATCGTTTCTGCAACCTTCATCTCAGGCACCTTTCTGCGAGTTCTTGCGTCCTTTGTCTTCGGGTATGTATCTCCTCATCTTTTTAGCCTATTTTTTGGTCTTTATTTGATCAATTAACAGACATATGTTGAGAATTAGAATTTTTTGAGTTTAGCAAAGTATTGAAATTCTTTGGTTTCTCTTTTGATCTTCCTTTTTAATCGTTTTGTTGATTGATATAGTGATGGTTTTTCTGCAAATTCTTTTATATATCTTGATTATTAGCCACCTTTAGAAAAGGGGCTTTTGCGTCTGTTGCTTTGATTTCACAATCTCTCTGCAGCCAGTTCTGGCTACACTATGAGGGTTTCATATTTCACTCATTGAATTCCTTGCTAATGATTTGTTCTTAGGGAAAACATTGATTACAGTTGGTTCAATTATTACTGCCATTGCTTCTGGTATATTGTAATATAAGTGAGGATGACAAGTTATAGTCAATTATTCGGTTAAGGATGCAGAATTTTGATGGCTAGAAGTATTCTTTTCAATCTATTTAATGATCATCTAAAAATTGGGGACTTGCCTTTTCAAATACCGATTGAATATTCGAGTGGGAAAAGTTAAGATGCAACAGCCGCTTTCAAAGTGCTGATGTGCCAGCCATGTGTTTATTCATACGGCTGTGTTTGCAATTTTTGTTGGCTTGGCATTTCCCTTTTTTCTAATCATGCCTGTCAATTGATTGTTCTGATACGAAGATTAAGGGTGCAGTAAATTATTTATTTTTATACCACTGAAGTTGGGATTTTTGAAGAAAAAGAACTATATCTTTGTTTTGCAGTTTCAACCATTTTGGATTTCTAACTGTCTTTATGAAGATGTTGATTCTTTCTTATATTCATGTCACAAATCAGTGGCATGTTCCTCGAGTTTTTTTTTTCATTATTATTTTACGTGCTTATTCTCCTTGAATATTTAAGCTCAAAATAGTTGAACTGCCATCTGAAATTTTATTAATTTAGTTGTGTGTCTTCTGGATATTGTCAGCAAAGCAAAACAAATTAATAAATTTCCTTTTCTCTCCATCTCAGTTTTCGCTTACCTAAATTGCATTTGTTTTTATGGCATCCGCATATTGTTTCACTTTAGTTTTTGATTTTGAAAAGCATGAACATGATGAACATGACTTGCAAGAAACCCTGCACTTCCTTTTTTTTTTCTTTCTTAGGTAACGCTCTGATTTCAGTTCTGTGTTTCATGAATGTCTAATCATGTTTTCCTTTGTACTTGGATTTCACTGTGCATTTCATATTGGTTTTTGGTTGTATGGATTCAATTTAAGTTTCATGCTTTGTGATTTGTAATGTTAGAATTCTTTTGCAGTTACACTGTTAGAATCCTGAAATTTAAGTTTTTGCTTAAAGTTGGTTGGTTGGTTGTATTTTGAGGCTATGTAATTATGTGGTTGAAGTAATCAAGAAACTGATAGATAAGGAAAAGAGGGACAAAAGAATCAACATATCACCTGTTGGGTTTTTTAAAGAATGATTGGTTGGTCCATTTGTTTTCTCACCTCAAAAATGGCCGGGACCGCATACTAAATCGTATACTTCATAAGCAAGCCAAAGTAAATAATATCCAGCTTCCTATGCTTATTTTTCTATTTTGAACCCCACATAAAACAGAGCCACTAATTAATCAAGGGAACTCAGAATACTCCCTTCGATTGATATAGTGATAGTTTGTTAATTTTTAATTTTTTATAATTATTGTTTTGTTGTGTTTGATTTATGTTCAAAAGAATTGCCATAGAATCAATAATGTAGCAATGAGATGCTATGTTGAGTGCTATGTTGATATATAATCCCTGAATTGATATATAATCAACTTATATACATTAGAAATTGACATATAATCCCTGAGGTATATAATCCCTGAGATGCTATGGTGAGTGCTATGTTGAGTGATTTTGTTTTGTTGCCAACTCAGGAATTGATATATAATCAACTTATATGCATTGGGAATAAGATGCTATGTTGAGTGCACAAAATGGGATAAATATTATGTTACATTTAGCTTAGAAAATTCATTATCTTGCCACCCCAAAAGTTCTGTAAGTGGAGCATAAAATGCTTCCTTTTTTTTTTTTTTTTTTTGTTTGCCCTTTTGAATGTTTTTCCCCTGAGGTTCTCAGTAAACATTTCACTTGATTTCTTGACTTGGTGGGCTTGATTGGTTATCAGTTTTGAGTCAAATGTGCTAACTGTGTATATCGATTTAACTAGGCTTGACATTAGTATTTATATATTGATTTGATAATTTTATGTTAGAGATATTAGAGTTGTTTGTTTGTTTATAATCTTCTTAGCTGACTCCTCTGCCATCAACCAAGCTTGAGTGCTTATTTGAGAAGAACAGTCATGTCAAGAAAATCCTTATTTACGGAAGAACTTATCAATATGGAGTATTTACGAAAGAACTTATCAATATGAATGATTTGAGTGTAACTGAGCATTTGTTTTCAATCAATCAAAAATATGAAAACTACTTTTGTGCCTAATGCCTTTTTTCCAAATTTGCTTTGCGATGGTCACACATTTAAACTGATGTTTTGGCTTTAGATGCATTTGATGTTTTCGCTTTAGATAGATATATGAAGAAGCGCTTCTTCTTTTTTCAGTTTTCTCATCCTTTTTCTCCTTTTGTTTCTTAACCATGTCTTCTTTTGATGTTTTGTAGGTGGTATTTTGCTGGTTCAAATCAAGTTGTTAGGGTCTTGCTTTGGTTCTGTTAAGCAAGAGGTAAGTTTCTTGATTATAATAAATTAGCAGAAATTAATTGTTTTCCGTTTTGTCTTAACAGAGATAAATAATTATGCAATTCATTTGGATTGTATCTTTCTCAACCTGTGTTCACACATGGGCAACTTTATGTTGCGTTATCTAGATTTACATCAAGGCAAGGTCTTAAAATCATAATACACAATAATAAAGAAGTTCCTACCAAATACACTAAAAACATAGTGTACAAAAATGTTATTCAAAATTTACAATCAGGTTTCAACTTTTATCCATCCGTGATTAAACATTTCTTTTTTTTTATATATCAATTTTCATACATTGCTGTATCCATTTTTATACTAACAAAACATATTTTTTATTTTCAGCTTTATGATATAATGAGTTTCGTTCACATCCGTGATTTACAGCCGTTTCAATTTAACAAGAAGATTAAAGTCCGTGTATGTAGAATTTGGAGACCAAAACTTATCGGATATGATGATCAATTCGGTGGTTTACAGTGTATATTGGTTGATCAAATGGTGAGAAAATCTCTTTATTATTCATTATATTTCAGTTTAGTTATCACAGCTTCTTCACTTGCAAACAATTAGATTCAACTAGATTAAATTTTACTAATGTATTTTCTACTATGATTTTAAAGTTAACTAATATATTTCCTAAAACTGCTTTCAGTTTTAATTAATTATGAAAACTTCATTTGCAAAGAATTAAATCCAACTGGATTAAATTTTCCTCAAGCATTTACTACTATGATATTAGAGTCGCTTAATATATTTGGTAAAACCAGATTAAATTATGTTTCAAAATTACCTAATAGTTTATTTCAGTTGAACAATTCTTATATAATCTTAACATTAATATTTACATCTTAATATAGGTCTTTTTCATTCATTTTTTCTATAAATGTTATAATCTAGCCCCTGCCAATGTCAATAATTTAGACCTGTATATATGTGTATGTATCACTTGATTACGTAATAGCTTTTGTTAAACACCCTTATCCATTCCAAAAACCTAAATTGTTTTTAATTTTCTTCCGTTCCAAATTGGTTCTCATAGTTTACTTATCAAGCAGTTTAGAAAGTGTCACCTTATAAACAGGGCCAAATCCTCCCTCTCCCAGTTTATTTGCTAGATTGAAGTTGTTTGTTGCAGCTAAAACTCTTTTTAAATTGAAGAGTGGTAGTTCTGCATCATTCTTCGCAGCTTCAGCTCTTTCTTTACTTATAGTCTCACTCATACAGCCTTCCGTGCTCCCTGTTTCACTCTTATTATTAGAGCATTGGTTGTTTGGAACACTAGAATATATGCGTTTGTGTGAGTGACAAAGAGAAAAAGAAAGATAAGGGTGGTAGCACTATACCTTCCATTCCCAAGTATTTCTTCCATATGAAGAATTTGTTGGTTGGGAGATTTTGTTGTCAAGAGACTTTTTTTCTTTTAGTGGTTTGATGTTCATTCGACAATTGAAGACTCTGAAAGCAAGCTAATATATAGAGTGACGGTATAAATAGATGGATCATGGATCTTGGTGCAATTCTCTATGGTTTTTTGGGTTATTTTTTATGCTGTTTTCATTCATGGGTTGGTTTTTATGTATTTTGTTTTTAGAAGTTGGACTTTTTGAAATTTGATATTGATATGGGAATTGAAAGCTTTCAATTCAGGATAATGCTTTTCAGTGTGTGTTAATGAAATTGTTCTCTGGCTTTTCCTTATCTGAAGAATGCCAATTTTCCATGGAAACAAAGGAGATTAGGATATTATATAGAAACAAAAAAATTGTTGTGTTATGTATTGCAATACAGTTAGTGAAAAACTTTTTTTTAATAAATGTTTTTTTTTGTTTTCAATTCTATGCTCTGTTCCTCTATGTTACTGAAATAATAGGGTATGATTTATTTATTGTAATTATGCAAATATATAGTTTCCTTCTTTTTTTTTGTTGGGTAAACAAAATCTGTTATAGAAATGTACTTTGTGATTAAAAATTTTGGGGTCCAAACAAGGAATTGATTTTTCATGAGCTTGATTGACAAGAAGTAAATATTTCCACCTTGAATTTTTATGGATGGCTATATTTTAGGGGTTCACAGCTCTTTGAATTGTTTTCCAGGATTTTTCTTCTCTGTTTGTGATTAAAAAGATGAATATCATGTTATTAGTGTTGTAGTGGTAGAAATCACTCTAGATTAACATTGCCTTTTGTCTAATATTTCAAGAATGTATAAAGTTCTTTTTGAGTAGCGGAGTCCAAGGTTTACAAAAAGAAGACAAAAAAGTAGAAGTGGGAAAATAAAAGAGGAATGTAGTGAGCAAAATCTACAAGGCTAAGAAAGGTTAAAAATGAAATTTAAAAATATAAAAAATCTTGATTGTTTAAGGGAACTTTTGCATAGATAACTTTTGATCGTATAGTCTTTGTTTCAAATGCATCTACGATCATTTAAACAGCCCTCTTCCTGTGCATGCGAGTCTCAAGACTTTATTTCTTCTTTTAACACTTTTTTCTTGATGATATTAACTTGGTTCATTAAGTTTTCTTATTTAATGACTATAATGCATGGAAATCAATCATGCTTCTAATATTTCATTTTTAAATTCACTGTTGTTTCAAAGTTGCTTCGTTTAAATGCTTAAAGATCGATGCTACTTCTAATATTTGGTTTTCAACTAGGTTGTTTACAAATATAATTTGTTTCGTACTAAATTTTTTTTCCTTCTTTTTTCAAACATGTAGGCAGATGCGATTCAAGCCACTGTGAAAGAGATTGACTATGATTTAATTGGTGCAAAGATAAAAGCTGGTTGTATTTATGAGATCACACATTTTCACTCCGGCCGTAGCAAAACATCACACAAAGTTGTTCCGCATGCTGCCCATTTGTTCTTCAATACAAGAACTGTTTTCACCGAACTGTCAAGTGTTTATCCCCAAATTCCACGACATCGATTTTATTTTCTTGATTATGGTCAGTTGTGCACTCGCATAGACAAAAATGAAATCTTGACAGGTAATACTCTACATATTCTCCAAAAATATGCATTTATGTATATATATATTTATCAACAATTTTTATGCATTTCTATAAACTTATCGTACTACTTTGTCAAATTGCAGATGTTTTGGGACACATTACTACTGTACAACCTTTAGAAGAAAAAATGGTGGGCAATGGAAGGTTGGAAACCAAATGTGAAATTTACATTCAAAATATCAGGTACATGTGTTAACAAAATGTGTGCACATTTTCAAACCATTATATCTCTTGCTAATTTATTTTTTCATGTTTGATCATCCAGGAAAGAAGATGTTAGAATAACGCTATGGGGAGACACTGCACGAGCGTTTGATTTCCAAGCTTTGGAAGAGTTGGCACCACCAATAATCACTGTTTTCACAAGTCTTAAAGTCAAACAATTCCAAGGTATTCAGCTTAATTTTCCTTTCTTTCCATTATTCAAACTTCATCTCAAATAAAAAAAATCTGATTTATAGTTTACAAATGTGTAGGAAAACTGTTCTGAATAGTAGCGTGTCAACAATGATTTTCATCGATCCGGATATACAAGAATTAGATACATACAAAATGACGTATGATTTCTTATCCTCTTTATGCTAACATACATCTTTCTTCCTCCTTTATCCGAAACTAATCACCTCATTTTTATATAAAAAAACAACAAAAAAAACGAACACAGCTTTGGCGCTTTGTAGATGCTATTAAAATGGTCCCTCCTTCTTCGATTCAACCGATCAAGCCTGAGGAATTAGAAAATGCTAAAAAGCTATTTGTACAAGAGTTGAATGTTCTTGATCCGGATTTATGCAAGGTAAAAAGCCAATTTCCTCCCTTTATCTCCCTATTATTCTTAATTTAACATACTACATTATAAATGATTTAAACTAGAACTTATTTCGATTTTCTCTTATTGTTGTATGTTTTATAATTATTATCATTTTATTAACAAGTTTGTTTAAACATGTTCTAGGATGCTTTTATTTTATGTAGAGCAGCCATTACGCGTTTTAATACGCGTAGTGGATGGTGGTATAAGGCATGCCCATCCTGCTTCAAACAACTTAGATCCATTGCCCACAATGATGAACTTCTGTGTCCTAAACACAACAATCAAATTCCTCTCCCTTGGTAATACAAATATTAGCAATTAGTTTCATCTTATTTTTTCATAAACTTCAAACACAAATATCTTAGATTATTAAAACATTACATGAATTTTACATACAGGTTTAAAGTTGGTTTGGTTCTTGAGGATTCAACTGATGAAACAAATGCTATGATCATTGGAAAAGCAGCAGAGCAATTGTTTGGAATTTCTTGCAATAAATTGGTTATTCAACAAGGTTATACTGACCAGCAAGAGTTTCCACATGCAATTCTACAGACAAGAGGCCAATTTAAAATTTTTCAACTTCGGTTTGGCAACATAAAAACTGATTCAAACAGAAATGATTTGCTTATTCAAGCTGTGTTTGATGAGAAGGTACAACTTCTTGAATCAGGATCAGAAGCCAACTTTGTTGAACATCAGAAAAAAAATATTGCTGCCCAAATGCTTCCGCCCACTCCCCCACTTCTTTCAAAGAAAACACCGCCTGTATCTCTCGCTGTCTCATCCAATCCTTCTTCAGTGGAGCCCATTTCAAATTCGAAAAAGAAACGTAAACTTCAAGTGAAAAGAGCTCTTCTTACCTCTTTAACAAGTAAAAAACTGAAAAGGTTAGAGTTTACATAACAATTAACTCATTCGTATTAATATTTTTATATAAACATTTACTAATACTTTTCTTTTCACTCTGTTTTACATCTTTCTAAGTGATGTTGAAGCTGAAAACAAATCTGAGAAAACTGTTGCTGTGCAAACCAGAGAAGAAAATGTGTCAGCTTCTGACAATTTACCAATTATCGATTTGAAGAAGAAAACAGTCCAAGGCAGTTCCGAAACCACCTCTCCTACTCCCACATCAGAGTTTGTGCTCTTTCCTTTTCAATTCATTCATCTCACTGATACACACATTACACACAAAGTATTTCATTGTTATTTCTTATGTTTACTTATTAAACTTAATTCTATCATAATAATTAATACTTGCCAATTTTTGACTTTATGCCAACAGAGCTAAAACCTCTAAAAAGGAGAAAAAAGAGCATTAGTCAGCCAAACAACAAATGCAGCAACAACAAAAGCCCTTTACCAAAAGCATCAAAGAAGAAAAATCCATGTCCACTACTCATTAAAATATAGAGAAGCTGCTTGATATATTAAAATATGCACAATATTTTAACATAACAAGCAGCATATAAAACATGATGTTAGTTTATCTTTTGCAACATAAGCTTGCCCAAATTGCACTGTTTGCATCTGAATGTATATATAAATAGCCTAAACTCATGATAGCACTGTTTGCATCCACTAAACTTTTTAATAGATTAATAACTTGCTGATGGATTTCTGAACATACTGTTGAATCCTTTCATTCTTTACCCAAATTGATTATGTAATGATTTTGCTGCTATAATAGGTTGTTAATTTGTTGTTGTAATGATAGGTTTAGATGATTACAATATTTGAGCATGTTAGTGAATCCTTTTAAGTATTTTGGTAATTAGATACTTGACAACTCCCAATGTGGGGAGAGAGTGACAATAATGTGGAATTGATTGAAGGGAAAAAGATAATCTCTTTCTCTGTGTGTACTACCATTGTTTCATATTGCACAACAGCTATTTGATGAATGAGTATATATATATATATCTCTGTAAGTCATCTAACAGAGTTTGATCTATATTTTCTGCTCATAGAATGTACTTCTATATAGTTGTGCTATTGTCGGTGTGTGTCCATTTTGCTTTATTAGGCTATAGATGTAATTAAGAAATAACAGTTTAATTCATGAATGTTTTTTTCCCTTCCCAACTATTGATCTGTTGGTCAAAATTTGACTCTGATTTTTTGCTTTGGGTTTTGATGATGGCTGATATTCTGTTTTCTTCTATCTCTATTTGTTTTTGTTTTCCAAGATTTTTCTTTTGTTTTAGAAGTGGACTAATGAAGTTCAGGCATCTCATATAAAAACACTGCAAAGAAAAACATATTTGGACAGTTTTGGGAATAGAAAATCAGAAATTGCAATTTTTTCAATTTTTTCTTGGTTTTTGTCTTCATTCTATGTTTTGTTACAATTTCTTAAAGATTCTGCCTAATTTTTCAAAAAAATTTGTCCCAATTCGACACTCTGCTCGATGTGCAACCTGTGACCAAAAAACCATTGTAACAATCAACAAATTATTAAATTCCCCTTTTGATTTTTCTAATATTATGAAACTGTTTCCATCCTTTTTGAAGGATAAATGATTTTGTAATGATATTTGCTTATACTTTCGGAAGAGAGACTTTTGTCGACTGGAATATGTTAATTCCTAGATTTTGCGAAATCTTTAGTAAAACTTAATGATTGCAGTTAATTATATCCCTTATTTAATTTGTTGTTGTGCATTTTCAGTTTTCCCAAAATTTGATCAATATTTTAAGATGACAAGCAACATATAGAACATGTTATTAGTCTTTATTTCGTAACTTAAACCCGCAACATCGTGCGGGCACCTTTGCTAGTGAAAGTCTATATCCAAATGTTTTATCCGAGAATGTTGCACAGGATTTGAACTGAGAGCTAAGGCAGAAAGGTTGTCACAGAAAAGTAATGGAGGCTCAGGAAGATACTCATGTAAATCAGCCAAGACTTGTCGAACCCAAGCAATATCAGCAGCTGTATTGGCAAGAGCCCTATACTCGGCTTCCGTAGAGCTCCGGGAAACTGACCCTTGCTTCTTAGATTGCCAAGACACTGGATTTGAACCAATGAAAACTACAAAGCCTGTTGTAGATCTGCGAGTAGATGGATCTCCTGCCCAGTCTGCATCACTGTAAGCATGAAGGTGCATATCACCAGGAGAGAAGGTAATACCATATGCCATAGTACCTTGTATATACCTCAAGATGCGTTTAACCAACAAGAAATGAGTCTCAGAAGGATTTGTCATATATTGGCAAACAGTATTCACAGAATATGCTAAGTCTGGCCTTGTAAAAGTCAGATACTGAAGAGCGCCAACAATGCTACGATATAAAGATGGATCGTTCAATGGTTCACCTTCAGTCTGAAGAACTTGTGTATAAGGCTTACAAGGTGTGGAACAAGCTTTACAAGTTGTCATACCAGCCTTTGCGAGTAGCTCCTTTGCATACTTTTGCTGACTAACAAAAATTGAACCTGTACTCAGATAAGAGATTTGTAAGCCCAAGAAATATGTTAACTGCCCCATGTCTTTCATTTCAAATACAGAACTTAACTCCTCAATTGTAGTTTGAACAAGACTTGTACTGGAACCCGTAAGGATAATATCATCCACGTATAACAAAAGAATAACTATTTCAGAACCTTCTTTCTTAACAAACAGGCTAGGATCAGACTGAGAAGCTGTGAAACCAATGGCAGGTAGGTATCCTGTGAATTTGGCATTCCATGCCCTAGGGGCTTGCTTTAAGCCATAAAGAGATTTGCGTAACTTGCAAACATATTGAGGATGGGTGGAATCCTCGAAACCTTGAGGTTGCTTCATATAGACTTCTTCCTCAAGATCTCCATGTAAAAATGCGTTCTTTACATCCAATTGTCTTAATTGCCAACCATGCATAGCAGCTAAGCTAAGAATAAGCCGTACAGTCGTGTGTCTAACAACAGGGCTGAAGGTTTCTGAATAATCGAATCCCTGAGTTTGACTAAAGCCTTGAGCCACTAGCCGAGCTTTGTACCTAGACACATTTCCATATGAATTTCTTTTCACCTTGTAAATCCACTTGCTACCAACTATATTCACACCAGGAGGAGGAGGAACCAGTGTCCAAGTACCCTGGGTATTTAAAGCTGAGATTTCCTCTTGCATAGCAGTGACCCACTCAGGAGAATACCGAGCAACTCTATAACTAGATGGTTCATCCAGTTCAGGCAGAGCAAGTAAACTAGTGTGATAACACTCATAATCTGTAAAATCTTTTCTTTTAGTGACACCAGACTTTGATCTGGTTTGCATAGAATGGTGATTAGTAGGAGAGATATCTGAAGCACTAGAGGAATCAAGACTAGGAAACAACACATCCAATTGTTGATGAGTAAGAGCTGGCAGAACAGTGGGAATTGGCTCTTGATCATGAACAACAGATGGAGAAGAGAAGTGTGATGTTCTTGGGCCTAAGGGAGAAGACACAGAGGCAATAGGAATAGGAGGAATGGCTGGAGGATCAGATAACGGAGGAGGAACATCTGCATGAGATAGGATAGGTAAAACAACAGAGATGGGTGCACTAGAGGTTGATGCAACCGAAGATGAAGATGAGCCTAAAACAGGGACGCCTTGTTTAAAAGGAAACATGCCTTCATCATGAACAACATCCCGAGACACAAGCAACTTGGCAGTAGACATATTGAAACAAAGAATGCCTTTGTATCCCATGAGGTAGCCTAGAAAAACACATAATGTAGTTCGAGCCTGAAGCTTGTTTTGATTGATGGATCTGAAACAGGGATACACAGCAGTACCAAAAATCCGTAAATGTTGAATATCTGGGTGTTGATGAAATAACCGAAAATAAGGAGACTTGTGATCAAGAACTTTGCTAGGCATGCGATTGATAAGATATATAGAGTGAGATATAGCATGAAACCAAAAGTGTTGAGGAAGAGAAGCCTCTGACAATAAGGTAATTGCAGTCTCAACCAGATGTCTGTTCTTTCTTTCGGCTAAACCATTTTGTTGAGGTTTGTAAGGACAAGAAAACTGATGCACGATGCCTTTGGAACTGAGAAACTCATGAAATCGATTGCTAACATATTCACCACCCCCATCACTCTGAAAGTACTTAATAACTGCTGAGAATTGATTCACCACAAAAGCATAAAACTTCAGAAAGTGAGAGAACACCTCTGATTTTGCAAACATTGGATAGATCCAAGAGAAACCAGTGAACTCATCAATGAACGTAACAATGTATCGATATCCTTGAAAAGATTTACAAGGGGATGGTCCCCATACATCGCTATGAATCCGATGAAAGGGAGTTACAGCTTTATTATGATGAGTAGGAAATGGTAAACTATGCATTTTGCCACTCAAACAATATTGGCAAATGTGAGGGTGAGAATCGACTATGTGAGGTAAGCTAGCAGACTTAAGCATACTATGAACCACTTCATTAGTAGGATGTCCTAACCTACTGTGCCACAAGGAGAACTTGACCTGTTGTCCAAGATAAGCCACTTCATGAGAAGCAGCTTTATTAGGAGGTAAGGAGAAAGCAGCCACACCAGGAATCAGATAGAGGCCACTATGACTCCTCCCTGTGAGCAGCACCTGTTTGGTGACCTTGTCCTGTATAGAAAACCCAAACTGATCAAATATCATAGAGCAATTGTTCTCCTTACAAAGCTGATGCACAGACATCAAATTAGCAGTGAGTTTAGGGACATGGAACACATTAGACATGTGTAAAACAGAAGAGGAACTAGAAACGGAGGCATGACCAATATGAGCAACAGGCAAACCTTCCCCATTGCCAACTGTTACTCTATTCTCAGAAGCACAAGGCTGAGCAGACTCCAAAGTATTGACATTGGACACCATATGATGGCTAGCACCACTGTCTGCAATCCACAGAGTCTCAGGAGCATAGGAGACTTGAGCAGTCATAGCATTGAGAGTAGGTGGTGGAGGAGAGCCTTGATAGACATAATTTGAGCGATGATAACAATCAAGAGCACCATGGCCACGTTTGCCACAAATCTGGCACTCCACCACAGAAGAGGAAGGAGATGATGTAGAGGAAGGGTTGCGATAAAAGCAATTCACAGCAGTATGACCACGCTTAGAGCAGATTTGACATTCAGGTGTGATACCAGACCTAGGAAAACCACCGGATGGCCTCGGAGCAAAATAACCACCACGATTGGTAGGACGATGATTAGGAAACCTCCCACGACCAAAATTCTGAGAAGAAGGCCCATAGGCTGGAGAAGAGGTAGCCTGAAAACCGGAGGGAGTAGAAACAGAAGGCGGTGTAGGAAGAATACCAGCCCCTGGAGTTGGAGACATCGATGAACTATGGCCAATCATTGCCGTCATAGGAGAAATAAGAGAGGAAGGACGTGACTCAGCAGCCTGTTCAGCAGCAAGGAGCTGCGTACGAAAATCCTTGAGAGAAATAGGTGTCTCACGAGCAACAAGCACAGTTCGAATCATATCATAATCGGAAGGTAAACCGTTCAAGACTGAAATCATAAGGTCATCATCAGAAATGGACACACCAGCAAGTGCAAGCTGATCACGCACATGCTTAAGACGAAGCAGAAACTTTTCAATGGAATCTGCCCCTTTCTGTGCAGTCTGAAGCTCTGTTTTGAGAAAATTGAGACGAGCTCGAGAGACAGTAGCATATCGATCGGTAAGACTGAGCCAAGCATCACGAGCGGTTTTGCTTCCGATAACGTACTCGATCGCGTCATCAGACAGAGTTGCAATTAGGAGACTGAGAAGCGCTTTGTCAAGCTTAAGCCAGTTCTTGTAGGCAGCCGTAACCTCAGAAGTGGCTACTTCTTCATCTACAAAGGCAAATTTGGGAGGAGGAACAACGGAGCCATCGAAGTGACCAAAGAGCTCATGTCCTTCAAGAACTGATTCAATTTGATACCGCCACTTCATGAAGTTATCATCATTGAGGCGAATCGTAATCAATCCAAGGAGACCATCAACCTTGAGAGAAGAAGCCATAGCTGAAAGTTTGAGGAAGAGACGAAAACGAAAGGTTTTGCAGATTTGCAATTGAAGAAAATTAGGGTTTGCAGAGGGTAGAATTGGGGAAGAAAAAAACGAAGAAGAAGATTAGAAATGAAGTGTGGCAGAGATTAGAAGTGGAGAAGAGGAAGAAGAAGACCAGAGCAAGAAGGCGGAAGACAGAGAACTCAGGAAGATCGATAAGGCGTGAGCCACCAAGGGCGCTGATACCATGCTAACAGTATAGAAAATAGAGAGAAGAACAGAATAATACTTGAGAGAAAACCAGAGGAGTATACTCAGAAAAATGTTATTAAGAAGAAGATTACAGAGATATGTAGCCACTCAGACTTTATATACAGCAGAGCTGTGCTTAATCTCTAAGTAAGCTCTGTAACTAACTCACATGTATATTACAGCTGTTACAGCTGTGAGCTACACGTGATAAACCCACGTGGCTTAGTTAATAACAGATAGCTAACCAATTCTAGAAGCTAAGCTAACTAATTCTTATTTTGGTAAACAACTAGTCCATCAAATCATGCAGTCCAAAATCTGAGCCTAGATGGAAAAATAGCAGAAGCAGAGATAGTCAGTTCACTGAAGAGACGATCCAGACGCAGAGGAAGGCTAACCCTAAAACCCGGACAATAAAAAGATCCTGTTGTATGTATAGATGTATAGATTTTTGATAGATACATACTTATAAGGATCACCAATTTCAAAACCAAGGCAAGAGCTCCAAACATTCTGGCCCAAAAAAATAAAATGCTGCAAACATGAAAGGTAAAGTAGTATGTATGTATGTAGACTTACGCCTCTGAACGTAGAGGGTCGCTAACAGGAATGTTTGATGGTTCATCCCGAGCGAAACCAAATAATACCTGCAGGAGAAAAAAAGAAACGGAATTCAGATCGGAAGTTCACGTATTAACACAACTAGAGTTACTGGATCTATTTCTGGGTGTTCGAATCACTTGGCGGAGGTGGCTGTCGTGAAATCCGCCGCATTTTGTTTATCAAAAACTTGGCGGTGGCGGTCGTCTAATTTTAAAGACTCAAATTGATATCAATTATGCCATCAATACATTCACAGCCTTAATTAACTCATACGGAAAGCAAGAACCACAAAAAAAATTAAGAATTTAGGGAAGGAAGTGCACCAATTTATAAGAAAAAAAAGAGCATAAACTTTCCTCTGGTTTCTCTTCTCCAGCCTGCTCCTTGCTGCTTGTGGATTTCCTTGTGGAGATCTGTTGCTCGTTTTCTCCCCTTCTTTGTGGGTGTTTCTGCTCTCCCATTTTGTGGGTGTTATCTCTCCCATTCGGTGGGTGTTATTCTCCCCTTTGTGGGTGTTTTGCTCAAGCTCTGCTTGAACTCTTGAGGCTTTGTGCCTACGGTTTCCTTTATTTACCCAGATCCCCCCTTACTTGTGGAGATCTGTTGCTCGTTTTCTCCCCTTCTTTGTGGGTGTTTCTGCTCTCCCCTTTTGTGGGTGTTATCTCTCCCATCCGGTGGGTGTTATTCTCCCCTTTGTGGGTGTTTTGCTCAGGCTCTGCTTGAACTCTTGAGGCTTTATGCCTACGGTTTCCTTTATTTACCCAGATCCCCCCTTATTTCTCATCCCTTGTATTCAGTTGTCCCCTCCTCCATCCATTTCCTCTTATCTCCCTCACACACTCCATTCAAATCCCTTCTCTATGGTCTTGGTCCTTCCCACCGAAATTTTCTCCTCCCTTTTGATCTGGCTTCACCTTGTGGCTTGATAGGGTATGGCTTACAGAAGGATAGAAAGAGCAAAAATAGTAAGGGAAGACGTTAATGAAAGAGTAAGGAAAGGAAGGAAAATTGCAATTGTCATTCAGCCTCCGCCAACAAACGGCTCATTACATCTTTATAGATACAGACAAGGAAACCCTATATGATTGGGGATAGGTGGCGACAATCCCAAGGTAGATCTGCTACTCGTTGTTATTCTCTTAGTGCTGGGGGAAAGATAGAGGACACTGGTTCCATAACCAAGTGGGCCTTCGAGATGCTGGGCTTGCGGGTCTGAGAGGAGAGGCTGTACCAATTCACCCTCTCTTAAGAAAGGCCTGACCTGGAAGTGAGGAAAGTGGGTGATGATATCTGTGGCAGCCTCCTAGGTGGCGTCTGCAATGGGAAGACCCTGCCATTTAATCAACCATTTGGTAGCTGCAGCATTTTTGAATTTAAAAATGCCTCTGTCAAGAACAGCTTCAGGAGTCCAGAGAAGAGAACTAGATGGGTGGTAAGGTAGGGGAAGATAAGTAGGATGTGCCAATACGTTTCTTCAAGAGTGATACGTGGAAAACAGGGTGGATTTTGGAGCCCGCTGGAAGAGACAAGTGATAGGAGACGGCGCCAATCCGAGCAGCAACCTGAAAAGGCCCATAGTATCGTGGGGACAGCTTGTGGATATGGCGGGGAGCAACTGAATGCTGGCAATAGGGGTGGAGTTTAAGGTAAACCCAGTCGCCAATCTCAAAAGTGCATTTCGTGCATTTCCTGTCATGGAATTGCTTCATTCGGTTCTGCACAAGGAGCAGGTTGTCATGGAGAAGACAAAGCGTCGCGTCACGATCGCGAAGGGCGGTGTCAACTGCCTAAACCGTGGTAGTGCCCGTGAGGTACGAGTGAATGGAGGGTGGGGGAATCCCGTAGAGGGCCTGGAAGGGGGACATGCAAATTGCAGAGTGAAAACTGGTGTTATACCACCATTCCGCCCAAGGAAGGAGGGTGGACCAGGCCTTTGGTTGATCAACAGAGAAGCATCGAAGATAATGTTCGAGGGTACGATTGAGCACCTCAGTTTGGCCATCAGTTTGGGGGTGATAGGCGATGCTATGGCAAAGCTTGGTTTCCTGGGCTTTGAAGAAGGCAGACCAGAAATTACTAAGGAAGGTGGGATCACGATCGGATACTATTGTTTTGGGCATGCCATGAAAGCGATAGACTTCTTTAATAAAGAGGTCAGCCGCTGTGGCAGCCAAGTAAGGGTGGGCAAGAGCAATAAAATGTCCATATTTTGTCAAGCGATCAACCACAACAAGGATGACGTCTTTCCCGTCGGATTTGGGCAATCCCTCTATGAAGTCAAGGGCAATGTCCTGCCAAATGGTGGTGGGAATTGAGAGAGGTTGCAGTAAGCCAGGGGGGTGCTGGGTTGCGTAATTTTGGCGTTGACACTCACGGCAAGAGGCGACGAAGGTCTTGATCGCTTTTCGGAAGCCTGGCCAGTGGAAGCTACGAGTGATGCGTTTGTAGGTGGGAGGAAAGCCGGAGTGGCCAGCATCAAGCGACCCATGAAACTCAACTAGAATTCGAAAGCGCTAGGGAGACGTTGGGGGAATGTATAAACCATCTTTGTAGTAAATGGTGTCTTGCCGAAGTTGGAATCCTTTTGGAGCAGTCGGAGGAGAGGCTTTGAGCTGATCAGAGAAGAGTGGCTGATGTAGTATCGGCGAGATATGATTGCTGTATATCGGGAATGCAATCGAATATCGGAGTGGAAAGACCCATGATGGGTAATAATTCATGTCTTCGGGACAGAGCATCGAGAACAACGTTAAAATGCCTGGCTCGGTAAGCCACTGTATAATTATACCCTAAGAGCTTGACTAACCACTTCTGCTGCTGTGGAGTGGAGATGCGTTGCTCAAGAAAGTATTTGATGGCACGATGATCAATGAGGATTGTAAAGCGTCGGCCCAGCAAGTATGGTCGCCAATGCTGAACAGCAAAAACGATGGCCATCATCTCTTTGTCATATGTGGAGAGGGCAAGATGTTGACCTGAGAGTGCCTTGCTAACAAACGCAATGGGGTGTTTATCTCGACTGAGAACTGCCCCAATGCCACCGCCGGAAGCGTTCGTTTCGACCACAAAAGGCTTTGCAAAATTCGGGAGTGCGAGCACCGAAGTGGAGGCGAGCGTGTCCTTCAGGTGATGGAAAGTCGAGGTGGACTCCGGGGACCAAGCAAAATTACCCGGCTTGAGCATATCTGTGAGGGGTTTGGAGAGCAAGCCGAAATTGCAAAGAAACTTTCGATAATATCCTGCGAGACCCAAAAATCCACGGAGGCCGCGAAGAGTTTTCGGAAGAGGCCAAGTGATAATGGACTGAATTTTGCTAGAGTCAACGGAGACCCCTTGGGCAGAAATGGTATGACCCAAGTAATCCACTTGTGGTTGGCCAAAGGAACATTTGGACAGTTTTACCTTGAGTTGATTCTCCCTGAGGATGTCAAAAACAGAGGCTAAATGCAAGATGTGAGTGTCCAATGAAGGACTGTAGACAAGGATATCATGAAAAAAAAAACCAGAACATATTTATGTAAATGAGGCCGAAAAATAGAGTTCATAAGTGATTGAAAGGTGGAAGGGGTGTTCGATAAACCGAACGGCATGACCAAGTATTCATAATGACCATCATATGTGCGGAACACCGTCTTTTCAATGTCCGGTTCATGCATTCGGATTTGGTGGTAGCCGAAGCGAAGATCCAATTTGGAAAATACAGCGACGCCATGGAGTTCGTTAAGGAGTTCATCGACCACGGGGATGGGAAAACCATCCTTAACGGCGCAAGCATTGAGGGCGCGGTAGTCAATACATAACCGCCATGTTTCATCCTTCTTTTTTACAAGAAGGACAGATGAGGAGAAGGGGTTGATGCTGTGGTGGATAACGCCCGAGTCCAAGAGCTCCTGGACTTGTTTTTCCAATTCTAATTTTTGGGAGTATGGGTAACGATAGGGGTGGACATTGACCGGTGTGGTGTTAGGAAGCAAGGGAATATGGTGATTAGTGGAGCGAGAAAGGGGAAGGCCATGGGGTGGGAAGAAGAGGTCCTGATAACAATGGAGAAGATGGAGAATTGAAGAGTGCGTGGATGGGAAATAGTGTTCATGGCGTGGGAGGTGAGAGGAAGGAGGAAGGCGGAAAGGGGTGGTAGGGAAGTAGGTGAAGGAGGAAACGAGGAAGCTGAAGGGGCTGTGAATGGGACAAGGCCCTGTAATTTGTGGGTGTGACCATCCACTATAAAGATCATAGTTTTGTGGCGAAAGTGCCAGCCAATGAAACCCAAAGAGTCCAACCATTCAGCACCTAAGACTAAATCACAACCTGGGACTTCAAGGAGCCGAAAGGAACTTGTCAAGGTGTAGGATTGAATTTGCACTTGGACATTGGAGACCATAGTGGTAGAGGTGAGGCACTAGGCAGAAGCAGAGGTAAATGTAGTGGGGTTTGTAGGTGTCACGGGTAAACCCAGTTTGGTGGCAAGGGAGGGGCTAAGAAGATTGGCAGCAGCCCCAGAATCGATAAAGACAATGATGGGTGTGTTGTTGATAGAGCCGCGGAGGTGCATCGGCCTCTCGAGAGTGAGACCGGGGAGAGAGAATAGCTTGATCATGTGTAACGGTGCTTTAGGGCTCGAAGTCATCAACAAGTGGACAATCATGGAACTCGGCCGGGTCGTCCTCAAGAGAATCAATGTCAAGCAAGGCAAGAACAGGCTTCTTGCAGCAGTGACCAGGTTGAAACAACTCATCGCAGTGGAAACAGAGCCCGTTTGTTCGCCGGTCCTGGGCCTCGGTTGGGGAGAGGCGACGTAAGGAAGCGGTTGGAGGTGGAAGAGGGGCGGGAGAATATTTTGGGTAGGGGGCCGCTGGAAGGTGCGTCTAGACTGATTCTTTGTCTAAAATTTTTTGGAGAGCTTTTGGGCTTGGTGGAGCGAGTCGGGTTCAAGAGCCAGAACATCATGTTTCAAATCATCCCAGAGATCGCCAATGTAGACGTGTTTAAGCTGGCTGTCGGACCAGTCAAGGGCATGGCATGACAATTTTGTAAACATCGCAATGTAGTCCTCAATGCTACCTAGCTGTTGGATATGAGAAAGTTGAGTTTCGATATGGGCTTTGTCACAGCTGCCAAAGCGGTGGAGAAGATGTTCAACAAAGAGATTCCAGTCATCATTGGGATACCGTTGTTCGAACTAACGCATCCAAATGGAAGCGTTCGACCCAAAATTACAAGCTGTGACCGTGACTCGTTGGAAAAAGGGGACCGAATAATAGTCCAGGTAACGCTCGGCCATGGTGAGCCAGCCGTAAGCATCCTTGCCAGTAAAGCGAGGTAGGTCGATTTTGATGATTTTTACAAAGGAAGGGGAATGGTAGAGCAGAGGATCAAGAGCAGGAAGCGAGGTATGGGTAGTAGGAAAAGGAGGGGTAGGGGGAAGGTATGGATAGTGCGTTGGAGAAGGTAGGTGGGGAAGGGATGAAGGAGAAAGGGTGGTATAGAGCGGCAGTGTGTGTTGGGTGAAATGATGAGTGGGACGGGTGCGAAAAACTGGTTGACCAACATAACGGTTGAGAGCCGGGGAGGGCGGGTGGGAAAGGCCAAGACCACTGTATGTGGTTGTGGCTGGGGGAAAGAGAGAGCGGAAAGAAGGGGAAGGCTGAGGTGTATGGGAAGTAGAGGCATAGTGAGGAGGTGGGGTTGCCAAAAGGGAGAGAGAATGAGGAAGGGAGGTTGTAGCAGGTTGGGTGGGTGGAACGGTAGAGGTGCGGGGCTGGATGTTGCGAAGTTCGTCAAGAATGAGGGATTGAAAAGCGAATAATTGGTTGGTGATTTGAGTCTGGAAGGCAGAGTTGAAGGAGGAGAGGGAAGTGAGGGAGGTTTGGATGTCAGTCTGGTGGGCTTCGAGAGAAGAGATGGAGTCGACAACACCGTCAAGTTGGGATTGGAGGTGGTCATGGTGAACATCAGCGGTGGCGGCACTGAGGTCCTTATCGGAGATCGAGAGATGTAGGGTTTTGCCCATGAGGGCTATGATACCAGTTGATAGGGTATGGCTAACAGAAGGATAGAAAGAGCAAAAATAGTAAGGGAAGACGTTAATGAAAGAGTAAGGAAAGGAAGGAGAATTGAAATTGTCATTCAGCCTTCGCCAACAAACAGCTCATTACATCTTTATAGATACAAACAAGGAAACCCTAGATGATTGGGTACAGGTGGCGACAATCCCAAAGCAGATATGCTACTCATTGTTATTCTCTTAGTGCTAAGGAAAGATAGAGGACACTGGTCCCATAACCAAGTGGGCCTTCGAGATGCTGGGCTTGCGGGTCTGAGAGAAAAGGTTGTACCATGGCTGTTTCGGCTAGCCGAAAACGCGGTTTCCCGCGCACAACTCTGAAGATGTGTAGAGGTCGAGCTTTTGCTCTTTCTCGGGTGCCTGCACCACCTCCTTCTATTATGTTGATGTTTGTTTGGTTTTTGTGTTTGTTCTGGTGCTTTGTCAGGTTTGATTTGGGAGATGATGATCTTCTTGTGGCTGGCTTCTTTTTTCTTGTATGTGTCTTTGTAATATGTGGGATTATAAGGTATTTGGGTGGATCTGTTGGTCGTGCGATTTTTTTGCTTTGTGCCCCTTGGGTGTGGCAGCTCTTCCCTTCAACTTGTCCCGGTGATGTCATCTCAGGCGATGGCGGCGGCGGCTCTGTTGAATTTTGGTTAGGGTTTGTTAGCTTTCTTGGCCTTGGTATGGGCTTGTGTGGGCTTAATGCCTTCTGGGTTTTTAACTTCTTGTTGGTTATTTTGCATTTTATTTGAGCCTATGACATTTTCGCTTTGTTGATGAGCCCAGCTGGTTGGGTCTCATCTTTTGGTGTATTGTTATGCCCTTTTGTGGGTTTTTAATGAAATCCACTTCTGACAAAAAAGAAAGAAAGAATGCATTCATATAACAGCTATCCGTTGTTTACCACAATATATAACAATTTGAGAGAGCTGCAATTGTTCGCAAAGTAAAAGCGCTGCTAGCAATTTGAGAGAACTTGAGGAATTCGGGAGAATTAGGGATTTTGGGTTTGGGGAATGTCGAGCTGAGCTGCTGGAGGGAAAATGGAGAAGACAGTGCTCTTTTGACCTTTTTTAAAATAAATAAAAAAACGTCGCTCACAACGACATCGTTTGGACCAAGGATTTTTAAAATAAAAAAAAGGAGCTGCGCGTGAAAGTGCTGGCTGGACAGCCCAGCATTTCATCGAGCATTTGGGGGGCATGTCGGGGTTGCCCACTAACAACCTTCCACGCGGTCACTGGCTATCCGCAGCCCCCTCCCCAATCTTTCCAAGGGAAGCCAAAGAACGATAACATCACGCCAAACCCATATTCATATTGGTACATATGGAGGGAAGGACATTCTATACAACCTTGAGACGTTTAGAAGAGCAAGGCACATTTTCGCTTTCATTTTTCTTCGCTCTCGAGTTCTGAACAAACTGTGGCGTTTCACTTGAGGGTGAAAGCCAACGGGAGATTGAAGGTTGAAGTGTGTAAAGAATTAATAATTTTTCTTAGAGAAACAGAATTGAGAACTTTAGTTCTTAAGTATGTGGCATGCTACAACATCAACGGCTACAAAATAAGGCCCTTGTGCTACAAAGGGGGTAGAATTTGATCAGAGGATGTGATATTGTTTGAACCAGAAACGGAAAAAAACAAGTTTTGAGTGTAAGCAAGTATAGCACAATCACAGCAAGCCAAGAAAAAGGCTTTGGGCATCTATATGAGTTTATGAGGACATTGAGGAGGAGGTTGTCCTAATAGCTAGAAACAGAGTAAATGATATGCACCAAGGCTAAAACAGAAGGCAACACAAATGTTTCCAAAAGTTATACCCTGCAAAGCCTAAACTTGGACCTGCAATAAAAAGAACAAATAATAACAGTAGTTAGTTATGCAGATAGGCGTAGCTATTGCATACAGGGGTTTTTTTTTCTTTCTTAATCAAACTATGCAGATTTCACAAGCATAAGCTGGCGCGCCCATGTTCATGTTGGGGGCAATTGTCTTGACTTGATTCTTGGGCTCAATCGGTCTGTGGTTAGATATGAACAAGTTATAAATTGTAAAAAGAGTAATGCTAACACTTTATCTGACCTCATGTGCCACCTGAGGCTGATCTATCATGCCACATCCATTAAAGAAACGCAATTGATAAAATGAAATGGTAATTAATTATAACTATATATAAGTACAATTACTTATTTAGTTAGAAATCAAAGATGACAAAGAAGTCTATATATATGAGAAAGCTCAAGTCTTGGTCAAGATCCAAATAACAAGCCACTCAAGTCTTGTTCGTGCAGATGGACCTTATTACAGAACAACCAGACAAGATTAGAAGCAAACTCTGAGTTGCAGCTTGTTGGTTCAAGAGGGTAACCCAGTTGGGTCCCCAGAGTTCATTGTAAAGCCGCAGGCACTGACCATGTTCTTCAGATACTCTTTCAATTTTTCAAATGCTCCAACTGCCTTTGTAAACAATGTTTTGACGTGTGGGTACGAGTAAACAGCTACAAAGCCCACAAACCAAACGAGCCAGAAGAGGAGGGAAGCTACCCCTAGAGCCGGAACAAGAACCACCAATTTCAAAACCAGGGCAAGAACTCCAAAAAGGAAGCTAATCTTGCTCATGAATTTTCCCAAATCTGAATTAATAAGGTGAGCTTGGTGTATATATGTACCGCCAATTAATGACCCGCAGTAAACGATTAGAACAACAATAAGGATCACAATGGTTGGGTAGTCTGTCTCAAATGGAGATTTCATCCCAGCTCGCTGCTTCAGTTGAAGAAAATTCTCTATTACTTGAGCTGTTACAATTAATGAGAAAATGTTATTGGCATTGCAATAAAGGGTTAGGGATATGTAATCTTGTAATTAATAAGAAAAACTAAGAGTAATAATTATGCAAATAAATAATAACAGATCATATATAGCTAGAAATTAGTTAAGCCGAAGTTACATACTCCTAGCTGCTATTTCCTTCAATGTCAGTTAACAACAGACCAAGAGCTAAGTTTTTCAAGTCCCATTAACTGCTTCTAATGAGCTCTCCTTCTCTGACTTACAGTCCGGGGCACGAACTGATCTTAATTTGTGCTACCTGCATCTGAGTGTTTTTCTCTAACATGAGGAAAAACACTAATAAAAAGTTATTGACTATTTTCATTCTCACTACTCTCTCTTCACAAATTCCTTAATGCGTGTAAAAAAGTGTGGCTATTAAACAAGAAAATTTAAACCAAGAGCAAATTTGAGCTACGACTGAAACGAAGCCAAAAAAAAAAGTGCATCTTAATTAGTTTTAAACACAGTTGGGGGCAGCTATATTTTAGCACAATTCCAGCTTTCAAAAATTAAACAATTTAAACTTAGCGCACACAATGGGGTTCAAACCCCTCTGCACTCCGAAATTTTGCAGCCACTTAACCATCACGCCAGTCATCACTTTGTGGTAATAAGCTGTGGAATATGTATTTATAATACATGCGAGTTGTTTCTCAAAATAGAAATTAACATAATTACTTATTATTTTATATTGTTGATCAGTTACTTAATTACTTAATATAATTTATTTCTTTTCTATTTAATCCATTTAATGTTATTGATTATTTTATTATTCATTATAAGTACTTACATAACTAAATTCCCCTTCAAATTGTTGCTTAATTACTTAAATCTCTATAATTATTTTCTTTGTTTACTACTTAATTCTTCCTTTGATAAATTTATTTATGTTCTTAGTTAATTTCCAATCTTCACTATTATTTTTTAAGTATGGTAAAGTGCCTAATTTTCATGAAAAGTCAAGTTGGTTTAATTATTTTTCAATTTTTGATAAATAATAAATATAAGAATGTGTACCATGTCCAATGAATAATGTGAAATAAGGTTACACATGTATCTTACCATGCAATTTATAAAGTGTAAAATATTGTACTAAAAAATGATAAATAAATTACTATGGGGTGTTTAATTCTCTTCATTAATTACTCCATATTTTCTAAGTCACAGAGTTTGTCAGCTCGCAATATAATCAACTTAAATCACTCAAACCCACTATGCAACGCATTTCCTTCCAATTTTTTGTGTCAAAATAATAGATTATTGACTAAATAAACTTCTTCTAAAGTTTCATTAAAAATTTCCATGTATTTATCACAATTTCCTTGGTTTTTATCCAATTTTTATCGATATTGATATTTTCCCGATATTTCCATCGATATTTTCATGTTTTTGAACCACCGATATTTCAAAAACTATCGATATTTAAGACCTTGGTTTTAAATATGGATTAAGGCGAGCTTGGTGTATGTATGTACTTCCAATCAATGATCCGCCGTAAAGGGTTAAAGTAACAATAAGGCTCATAATAGTCGGGTAGTTTGTGTCAAATAAAGATGCCACTACAGCTCCCTACTTTAGTTGAAGGAGCACGCCTATAGTGATGAGAAAAAATATATATTTGTGCACTGTCTTTGTAGAACATTCATTGCTTATGCTGTTACAATTAATGAGAACATGTTATTGGCATTGCAATAAAGGATTATTTGTTATCTTATAATGAACTAATTAAACTATGACCGTAGCATTTATTAGAATAACATATCACAGATAGAAATTAATAAAGCCGAAGATATATATATATACCTAGCTGCCATTTTCTTCAAGGTTAGAGAATAATAGATCTAGAACTTAACGCTAACAACATATCAAGAGCTAAGTTTTTAAAGTGAAAGTCCTATAAACTGCTTCTAATGAGCTCTTCTCTGGTCTACACCAATATGTCCTGGGCATGCATAAAAGTGCTTTTCTGGCAGCCCATTGGCCCCATACCTAACAACAGATCTAGGGAATTGCGAGAAGATTAAGACAATATGAGAAAAACACTTACAAGAAGTTATTACCCCCTTTCCTCCTCCTTCCTCATGCTAATTGCTTCTTTCCATGTTATTGGTGATTATACATCTTTTTAAATCATTTGGGCACTAAGCAATTTTGGATCTCAACTTTCAAATCAATTTGGAGCTTAAGTTTAACTTAAAAGTCTTGGATATGTACTCCTTAGGAAGAATTAAATAATAGTGAAGGTTGAAGATTAACTAAGAACATAAATAAAGTTATCCAAGGAAGAATTAAATCTATATATATAAGGCAAAAGGCAGAGAATGATGAAACATTCAAAATACCAAAAAATGCCCTTGGTTAATGCAAACATTAAGAATTGAAATTATTAATTAAATGAGGATAATATGGTAAATTCACACTTTTCAGATTTAAAAAAAATTAAATTAAAAGAAAATTTAGATAATGGATCTTATTTTTATAGAACACAATTACCCATTATCTTTTTTACTTTAAAATATATAAAATTATAAATAAATAAATAAATAAATAAAAAAGCCTCTTTCAGGCACGGAAGTGCGTGCAAAGAGGCTAGTATGAAATAAAGAAAATGATTGTAGAGATTTAAGTAATTAAGCAACAATTTGAAAGGGAATTGAGTAATGTAAGTACCTATAATGAATAATAAAATATTCAATAATATAAAATGGATTAAATAGGAAATAAATAAATGATATTAAGTAATTAAGTAATTGGTCAACAATATGGAAAAATAAGTAATTATGTTAGTTTTTATAAGGATTTTAACATCATATAAGTGTTTTTCTAGCTGCCCAGTGGTTCCATGACCTCATTCATCTAGAACTCTGTACAACATGAATATATTGACATACTTGCTTGGAAGCAGTTGGTGCCATAAGAAATAAGAAAGGAAGGAGACTGAAAATCAAAACAAAGAGAGAAACAATAGTTCCTCCGCAAAGTAGACTAAGTACCTCAAAATTTATTGTTTTATTATTTTATCACAGAGTTAACATCATTTTGATTCGCTTAAGTGGATGGACAGATGTCACAATTTTAGATAGGAAGTAGAAAGGGAGACACAATTTGGGGACAGCAGATCTCAAGCCCGTTGGGGTAACCATGCAATTCCTGAACGTTGGAAGCTTTTTGTGGCTATTTGAACTAGACAATTTAAACCAATAGCAAATGGAGCTACACTGAAGCGAAGGCAAGAAGGGTTTGACTTACGGTTCTGATCGTGGAGGATCGCTAACAGGGAGGTTGGCTTGATGATTCATCCCGCGCGGTTGGCCAAAGTCTGCTGCAGTAAGAAAGAAACAGAATTTAGATCAAGGGCGCGTCGCATATTATTGGACACACTGTTTCTATGTAACTGGGTTGAGCCAGATAAAAGAAGGGAAAAAAAGAAGCAACTGGGTTCTTAAGCTACAACAACAGAAAAAAACTGAAAGAAAAAGAGTGCACATAACTCGATCGTCTTATGAGTCTTTGAACAATTGTGCAGAGACACAACTAAATTCCATACCCAAAGCCAGGAAAAAAAAATAGAACACAAAGAAAGAAAAAAATGAAGAAAAGAAGAAGCAACTGGGCATGTTCTTGAGCTACAACATAAGAAAAAGTACTGCTTCCCCAGACAACTAAATTCCATATCCAGAGCCAGAAAAAACGAAGGCTTGTAGATTTGCAAAGTACTGCTTCCCCCGACAACTTGGGAAAAGTTTGGGACCAAAGCCAGCTTATAAGCCTTATCATCATGCACTACTGGCAGATTTTGGTCAACTCATCAGAAAAACAGACAAACAATGAAAGCAATAAAATGTGCACTTACTCTTGTAAACGTCTCACACGGTTGTATGGTATGGTATAGATATGGAAGAGTATGGTATGGTATAGATATGGAAGAGTATGGTATGGTATAGATATGAAATGCCCTTCCCTTCGTCCGAACCGGAAATGTAAAACTCAGAGCAAGTCTTTTGGAGGAGGGAGGAAGTGGTTGTTAATATAAGGACGAGACACGGTTGTTAATATAAGACGCGGAAATGAATTCCTACTTAGCTAGACAAGATCATTTTGTAAAATACTTACGTCAGCCACCCCATTGCTGTTACGTGGACATAGGAGCGTAGCTGTAATCCCCTGCCTTTATTTGCACAGATTTTTGAAGAAGAAAAAAAAGGCCTAGATGCCACCATCAACCACAAGAAGTTAGGGAAAATAAAAAGGCCTATATGCCACCATCAACTATAACTTGCAAATGGTCATCTTTTGATTGGATAATTTGGAATAGTCCCCCATTTAGAAAGAAAACGTCAAGGGGACCACAAGTACACGAAAACAGAAAGTCAACAAAAACTGCAGACATGTATATGAATAACCAAATTTACAAATTTTGTTAGGGAAATCGTCTTATTAGTTCATACATGTATATGAATAACCAAACGATCTTCAATTCAATTAATTTTTCATAGAGATGATATGTAAAGTATAATGAGGTGGAAAATGATATGCATTTATTTTTGGGAGATTCAATATTATACATAATATAGAGACCTAAATTATAAAAATACCCTATATGAAATGGAATTTAGAAACACACCCAAATCTCATTTACATCATAACAAAGAGACTTTTAACTTCTTATAAATTACAAAACTGTCATCAATTTCTTAAAATAAGCCCAATCCCAAAATCTCATAAAAATACCCAAAATATTCAATAGAGTATCAAAGTAATTTAATAATCAATATTAAATTCAATAAGACCAGCTGTCATTTTTTGAGTTTTTTTTTTAGTTTGTTTATAGAAATTCAATGATGTATGGTTTATTTATAATATTAGTGCTAAGAATGGGTATATCACTAAATATCTCTTTATTTTTTAGGACCTCTTAGTTCTTCTTCTTCTTTGCGCTTTCTTTTGGTCAATTCTTCATTACTTTTATTTTATTTTCCTTAAAAAATTGAATGGAATTTTTAGTTAATGCCAATGCCTTGGAGAGCCAAATGTGCATGACAGAATCAGTAAGTAATTTGTTGCCACTGCCTGCTACTCTTCAAATTTTTATTTGGTCAAAATCAGTAAGTAATCAGTATGTAAGTAATTTCCTTCCTCTCTCCCTTATCTTTAATTTTTCTCAATTCGCCACAGCTTCTCTCTCTCTCTCTCTTCTTCTTCTTCTTCTTTCTCTCTCTTTCTTCTTCCTCTTTCTGATTCCAATTTTCTCTCTCTCTCTCTCTCTCTGTATTTTTTTTTGTTGCTAATGTATGTTAGACATGCTGCCTCTTTTCAATAGATGGCGAGCCCCCATTTACTATCATGTCTTTTCGCCTAATATCAGTTTTGGAGTTATGTTTTTCGTAGTGTTTCTCAAATTTGTGTGGTGGACTCGTTTATTGTGACATTGTGATAGTGTTTCTCCTATTTGCATCTCCTTCTTTGTTTTTCACATTTTCCCCCTCATTTTCTCCACTGTTTTTTTGGGTTTTTATTAGATTTTTTTTTTCTCCCCCCTTTTTCTCCCTTATTCCTCTAACTTTTCATTGATGTGGATTTTCTTTTCTATCTTATGTCTCCACACTTTGTTTGGGTTTTTTTTATATTGCTTTTATGTGTATATGCCGAATTTCTTTTGTGGGTTTCATTAGATTCATGTTTGTTTAGGATTTCTGATTTAGATTCATATATAAGTATAAATCAAATATTTATTATTTCTTTTGGGGCAGCTCCTGAATTTGGAAAACGCAGCTCCTGAATTTGAGACTGAGGTTGTTTTTCACTAAGAATTCATCAAGGTCAAATATTTAACTCTTCGTTTTTGTTATGTAATCGAATGCTGTAATTTTAATTTTTCACCAAGAATTCTCTTTTTCTACATACAGGGGCTAGGAGAGCTTAATATAGAAGGTTTGAAGAAGACGTACGCCTCTATGTGTTGCCAAGGGGCCTCCGAGAAAGAACAAGGGAAGAAGAGCTTTTTTTTTTTTTGCTTTTTGGAGTTTTTGTTATTTCTATTTTTTTTAGTAATTTTGTTTGCAATTATGTGTATTTGTTTTGTTATTGGCTTGTAATTTTAAATTTAATGTTTGGGATGATTGGATGGGAATTGGGCTAATTGTGAATTTGTAGGCCCCAATTTTTTAAAAACTTCAGTTGGGCTTTAAATCTCTAAAAATGTATAATAATAAAAAATCAATTGGGCTCAAGAGCCGATCCAAACTGAAAAACCGAAAACCGAACTGGATATAAACCAGTTCGGGTTGGTGCGGTTCTCTTAGGTGTGACTAAAAATCGGATCGAATTGGACTGGATGAACAGTGTCAGTTTTGATGTCGAATTTAAAGAAGAATCGGACTGAATTGAGTCAAACAATATGGGTAGAATATTTTTCAGATCTATTTCATTCTCTGAAAGGAGGTATTTATAATACAAGGTTACAAACCCTAGCAGGGTTATACTAGGAAATAAGAAAAGTCCTAATTACATAATAACTATACAAAAAGGAAATAAATAAAATCCTAATAGAATAAGAAAGAAATATCCTAATAAGACTAGGATCTCGCTAACACTCCCCCTCAAGTTGGGGCAATGATGTCACGCATGCCCAACTTGTCAAGCGAGTTGAGAAAGACCGTAGTAGACACAGCTTTCGTAAGAACATCTGCCAGTTGGTACTCGGATGATATAAACGGAAAAGAAATAATTTCAACATCTAACTTCTCTTTAACAAAATGTCGATCAACCTCCACGTGCTTTGTACGATCATGTTGCACAGGGTTATGCGCAATTGCAATTGCAGCTTTATTATCACAATACAGATCCATGGGTTTCAAGGGTCCAAACCCAAGATCTCTCAACAATCTTCTCAACCATAGTAACTCGCACACACCTTGAGCCATCCCACGGTACTCGGCCTCGGCATTAGATCTAGACACCACTTTTTGCTTTTTACTCCTCCAAGTAACAAGATTACCACCAACAAATGTGAAATACCCAAACGTAGAACGTTTATCAGTTACTGAACCAGCCCAATCAGCATCCGTATACCCTTCCACATCTGTATGACCATAATTGCAAAACATTAACCCCTTTCCAGGAGTTACTTTCAGATACCTCAAGATGCGCATCACAGCACCCATATGATATTCACTAAGAGAATGCATAAACTGACTCACTACACTCACTGCATATGCAATATCAGGACGTGTATGAGATAAATAAATCAATTTCCCCACAAGTCGTTGATAACGCTCTTTATCTGCAGGGACTTGATCAGGATACAACCCCAACTTATGATTATGTTCACTAGGTGTATCAATTGGTTTACAATCTAACATTCCAGTCTCTGCAAGTAAATCCAAAATATATTTTCTTTGAGACAGAAAAATACAATGTTTAGATCTAGCAACTTCAATCCCAAGAAAGTACTTCAAACCACCCAATGACTTCATCTCAAACTCGGAAGCCAGATACTTCTGAAGATTTTTCATTTATGCCTGATCATCTCCAGTTACAATAATATCATCAACATAAATAATTAAAGCTGTCAATTTACCTTTATGACGCTTTAGAGACAAAGTATGGTCTGAGTTACTCTGTACATATCCAAATTTCTTCATAGATGCTGCAAATCTCGCAAACCACGCTCTTAGGGACTGCTTCAATCCATATAAAGACTTCCGCAGCTTACACACAACACCCTCCTTAGAGGTTACAGGAATACCAGGAGGGAGATCCATGTAAATCTCCTCTTTGAGGTCACCATGTAGAAATGCATTTTTGACATCGAATTGTAATAAGGGCCAGTCGCGGTTAGCAGCCAAGGACAAAAGTACACGCACAGTATTGAGCGTTGCCACTGGAGCAAAGGTCTCCAAATAATCCACTCCATAGGTCTGAGTATAACCCTTTGCTACCAATCTAGCCTTGTAACGGTCAATGGAACCATCAGCTTTATGCTTCAAAGTAAACACCCATCTGCATCCAACAGCTGTCTTCCCTCGTGACAAAGGAACTAAATCCCATGTTTTATTCTTGTTTAAGGCATCCATTTCAACATTCATGGCATCCATCCATTTTGGGTTAGATAAAGCATCCTGCAGCTTAGTTGGCACACATACACTAGATAATTGACACAAATATGATGCATATGACTTAGACAAATGATGAGTTGACACAAAATGGCTAATGGGATACTTAGACTTGGCATGTATATCAGGAGAATATTGTACTTTAGGTTTCCCACGAGTGGTTCGTGGGGGTAATTGATAAGTTGACACAGGTAGATCATTAGAAATTACCTCACTTGATTCACTATCACGAGTAGATTGGGGCAATGGCAGGGCAGATGAGGGTATTACATCGAACTCATCCATACAAGAATCACTGTCATTATTTTCAGATACAGGTGACTGGTCACTTCCTTCAGTGACACCGAGAGCACCTGCTTCATCTCCAGATATGGGCGACTGATCGAGTTCCAAAGGGCGATCAGTAGTTTCTTCATAGGGACCACAAGTTTCATCTTCAGATATGGGTGACCGGTCACTTGCTTCAGTGCGACAGGTCGTTTCCTTCCCAAGAGCAGCATCTTCAAACACATCATTCTCCAATCCAAGACTCTCCAATTCACTCCCACTCTCCCCCTGAATTGGAGAGGATGGAGATACATAATAGGGCACTTCTTCATGGAAATTCACGTCCAGAGTAACATGCCCCTTCTGGGTAGGTGGATGATAGCACTTATAACCTTTTTGAGTAGACGAGTAACCAATAAAAACACATCGCAGAGCACAAGGATCAAGTTTACTCCGTTGATGAGAGTAGACATGAACATAGGCAACACACCCAAAGACTTTAGGGGGCAACTTGGAGATTGAGACAGGGGAAACATGGTCACCAAACACATCGTATGGAGTCTTGAAATCAAGAACCCGGCTAGGAGTACGATTAATCAAATAGGCAGCAGATAAAACAGCATACCCCCAAAGATGATGGGGAACAGAAATGTCCAACATAAGGGAGCGGGCAACTTCAAGTAACTGACGATTCTTGCGTTCAGACACACCATTCTGCTGAGGAGTAAATGAAGTTGTCGTTTGGTGAATAATACCTTGAGCACGGAAGAAAGATGCCAAAGTGTTATTCACATATTCGCCTCCGTTATCAGTCTGGAATACTTTGCCCTGAGCATTAAATTGAGTAGACACCATAGTACAGAACTCTGGAAGGATGGAAGCAACATCATGTTTATTTTTTAGCAAGAAAACCCAAGTGAGTCGGGTACAATTATCAATAAGTGTGACGAACCAACGAAATTTGTTCGAAGTAACGCGAGCCGGACCCCACACATTAGAATGCACTAAATCAAAAGGCTTTGCAGCTTTATTGTCACTCAAAGGAAACACAGTGCGATGACTCTTGGCCAAAATACATGTCTCACACTTAAAACTTGACTTATCACAATAGCGGAATAAAGATGGAAACAGATGCTTAAGGTAGCCAAATGATGGGTGTCCCAAGTGACGATGCCATAACCAAATTTGTTGTTTGTCTTTGACACTGCAACTTTGAACAGTATTAACGACATGACCACGAACTGGTGCAGAAGGCAATGTCAAATAATATAACCCCCTATCTGTTTACCATACCCAATCGTCTCGTGAGTCTTGAGATTCTGAAAAGAGCAATGCGTTGGATAGAAAGTAGCAGAAGCATTAAGTGTAGTAATCGACCAACAGATAACAAGCTACAATGGATATTGGGAACTAGTAACGCACGAGACAATGACAGAGTAGGAATGAGAGAGATTGTGCCCTCACCAGTAATTGGAGAGGGCAAGCCATTAGCACTAGTTATGTATGGGTCACGGGTGTTACTAGACAACTCATCAAAAAATTTAGCATCATAAGTCATTTGATCAGAAGCACCAGTGTCAATTATCCAAGTATTGGAGCCAGTACTTGGAATAGAATCATAGACACACAAATTTGTAGAGGCATCAGCAACAACACCAACAATGGAGTTATCACCCATGATTGCAGCAGAAATTCAACAGATTACGGCAGAGTATACGGCAGAACACAGCAGAGGCACAAATACGGCAGATGCACGAAGACAGAAATGACACGAACACAGTAGATGCACGAACACTACAACACGACACGCAAACCCAGGAGGGCACACATGGCACAGGTAGAGAAAAAAAAATGGGGATAGAACACGGGTGGGCACAACACACAGGTCACCAGAAAAGTAGGCTCTGATGCCAAGTCAAACAATATGGGTAGAATATTTTTTAGATCTATTTCATTCTCCGAAAGGAGGTATTTATAATACAAGGTTACAAACCCTAGCAAGGTTATACTAGGAAATAAGAAAAGTCCTAATTACAAAATAACTATACAAAAATGAAATAAATAAAATCCTAATAGAATAAGAAAGAAATATCCTAATAAGACTAGATCTCACTAACAAATTGGACCGTGTCCACCCCTACTTGGAGACGTGAAATTTGAACTTGAAGAGGGTGTCCGACGAGACGTGGACATGTTGGGAGACAATCAATTTTGAGCCACTGGGAATGCCTAATCATTACATGCATGCATACCATGGCTCAAAAGTTTTCATGTGGCCATGGCTTCACCAAACAAAACATCACATGTATGCTGGCGAACCCAGAAATTTTTTAGCAGAGGTGCAATATTGACTAAGTATGAAAAATAGTTTTTCGGAATAATCATTTTCTCAAGATAATTTTTGGCGGCTTTTATTCCTTACACATCAAATAAGAAAACTTGATTTTATGAGATTTTAGTATGAAGTATATATTGACTTAATGAGCCATCATTTTTAGCCTAAATCATATTTTGCACTAAAACCGAATTTTCATATTTTGATTTGGTGGGAATTTGATTTTCTAGTATTTTTATTTGAATCCAAATAGGGGGTACTTCCTTATTTACATTGTAAACTTAAGTAAATGTCTTTGTCCTTTTACTTTTATATCTGTACAACAATTTAGCAAAGGGGCAATTTGAAGTACTTACAATGATTTTTCAGGCTAGGGGAGGTGCAGCTGCACCTCCTTGCGCCTTACTAGATCCGCCTCTGCATGCATACCATAGCTCATGGGTCATGAATCATTATTCTTTATGTTTCAACTTTCATGCATACCATAGTCTCATAGGTCATAGAGTCCTATGATAAATATAACCATCACATGGGATCCATGTATTCCACAATTTCATTCCATTTGTAGACAAAGCGTGTGGCTATTCCTACTCCCCATGATTACTCTCTTCGTACTCACTAAAATATATGCCTTATGTTTAAATTTAAATCCAACCACTTGTAATAGGCCACATCAGCAGATTGTCATTTTCAAAACGCCTGCGTGCATTTTGCCTCTACGCTGCCCTAACCAACAAATCAAATCACTTTCTTGGGAAGTTTTCTTCCACCATTCAAATTGTACGAAAATTATACCATGGACCTGGTGTATCAGTGACAGTGCGCCAATTTTTTCACCGTTGGATCAATTGTAATCAACGGCTATTGAAAAATGTAGAAAAAGTTATAATGGGAACTTGCACAACCGATAAAGAGAACAAAAGTATGAGAGAGAAAAGCAAAACTAAAAAAGGTTTTTTAAAAGAGCCTAAACAAAACAAAATAAATTATATCCATTAAAAAACGATTAAACCCCACAGCTCCCCTCCGCTCGCTCCTTTATAACTACTAGTATAATCTAGGTAGGGGTACTGAAAAAGCATCCTAATATGAATAAGATTCTCTGTAAGAGAGTGAGGCTCCCCTACAGGAGCCGAACGGTACTTCGAGAATAGATGGGACATAAGCATAAGACACAAAGTGGATGCATCGAATAATGCCCTCTTATAAGTATAAGGAAGATTTTTATGTGCGCAGAGGATTCATCTTTCAACAGCATTTCCGAATTGGGGCCTAGTGTGCACTCATAGGCTGTTGGAAGCTCTCTCCGTCGGCTCTTAGCCTTTCTTTATAAAATAAGGCGGCATATCGCTACTTCTTCCTTTCTTATTGTCTTAAGCATTTGTCCGGAAGTTCCTGCCTTCCAAAACGGTGCGCTTTCTATGCTTATATACATACGATTTTTGAATCCGAAGATTGGTTGGTGAAGGGAACAAGTACTTCCCGCCAGGAGAAGTAGAGTGAACGGCACTCCGGTCAGGAAGGTTTTCACCCCTAAAGGGAGAAGCACGAGGGAACAGTCCAGTCTGTCCTTCCCTTGCTTGAACTGGACCAAAGACCTCGAGAACGCCTGCCGCGAGAATTCACAGGTTCGTTCCTCAAAGTTTGACACTTTCTTACCAATATAAAACCATTGTTGTTTGATATTTCTTAACTCTGTAATAAAAGCTATAGTCATAATCACACTTTAGAGCTCAACAGATTTAGGTTCTAGAATATACACCTGATGCCTGAATACTGACTCATGCTTCAGTATAGTTTGCCTCATTTGTTCCTTATCGCGTCCATGAAATCCATCCATAATCGGCCTTGTCAAGAATAATTCATATTGTTGCCCCTTCTTCAAGCTTTTGTTTCCCACATGCAGCTGGCCAATTAATGCATTCCCATTGTAATTTGGCTACCAATCAACCAATTTATGTAGCTGACATCAAGTTTGCATGTGGGTGCAATCTTTGAGTCAATAGTCAACATATACGTGGCAAATAAGTAGAAGAAAGGCAATTGATAAAGGGAATGAAATTGTAATTTATTATAAAATAATAAGTAGAATAATTATATATACAGTTACTTCACTTCACTTGAGCTACAAATACAATACAACAGAATCGAATCAAACAAATATGACTTAACAAGTATACATGAGAAAGCCCATTCTCAGCACAATTTGGGCCACCCAAAAAAATGAGGTTAGGGTAAACCAGTTTGGTCCTCTAATTTCATTGTGAAGCAGCGGCCAATGATCATGTTCATGTTCTTCAAATACTCTTTCAATTTTTCAAAGACCTCAACAACTCCTGCAATTGCACTTTCATACAAGGTTTTGAGGTACATGAACAAGTAGTTAGCTACAAAGCTCAGAGAGGAAGGCCAACCCTAAAACCCGGAAGGGGATCACCAATTCCAAAACCAAGGTAAGAGCTCCAAAAGGAAGGTAAATTGTGTCCATCCATTTTGCCAACTCCGAATTGGGGTGAGCTTGTCTTATATATATAGGGCCAATTAATGATCCGATGTAACCCATAAAAGCAACAACAATGCTCATAAGAGTGTGGTAGTCTGTGTAAAATACTCCCTGCTTCAGTTGGAGAAGTCCTCCTAGCACAATGATGGAAGAATATATATATATATATATATATATGCAATTCCCTTGATGAACGTTCTTCGCTTGTGCTACTGTTACAATTAATTAATGACAAAGTGTTATCAGCATTGCAAACTAACAAGAAAAACTATGATCTACAACTTAAACGCTTACAACAGATCAACAGATCAAGAAGTCAATTTCGGATCGGTTCTGATCCCGGTTCTTGCCTTGAAAAAATATGTTCAACCCAACCAGTTTATTTCAGTATAAGCCTAAGCCAAGTCATACTATTTCTCTCTAAACGTTTCTCTCTTTTTCACCTCTGACTCAATCTAAACGATGGCTCGCCGCTATAACCTCATAGCATCTTACATTCCCAAACCGAAATGAACCGGGTTGTGTATAATATTCGATTTTGATACCAATTTGAGGGTAAATCGGACCATGGCATACACCCAGGGACGGACCCACAGTGGGGTCAATGGGGTCAAACGACCCTATGGCCTTCATGTACGTAAGGTAGAAAGTCCCTTTGAACCTGTGTGTGACCCCATGAATGGCTGAAGAAGGAGCTGGAAATCTGAGGAAGAAGAAGCTGAACAGGGGTTCAGTTTTTTTTTTTTATAAACGAAGCTGACCAAAACGGCGTCGTTTTGGGTCAGCTTCTAATTTTTTTTTAAAACCTGGCTGGCCAAAACGGCGTCGTTTTGGACCAGCCCAGCGAATTTTTTTTAAAACTCGCGGGATCCAAAACGGCGTCGTTTTGAACCCAGCGAATTTTTTTTTTAATGCGCTGGCACCAAAACGGCGTCGTTTTGGACCAGCAGAAACGAATTTTTTTTAAAAGACCTGGCCAAAACGACGTCGTTTTGGTCCAGGTCTTTGAAAAAAATAAAAAAGAGAACAGATTGTAATTGAAACAGACCCTTCTCTTCGACCGAACAGAACAGACCCTTCTCAAAACTCCAAAACCCCCATTTCCTAAACCTAAATCCCCAATCTCCACCCACCCACGAACCTTTAACCCTCTACCCACCAAGCTTTAAGTCCTAACTCCTCCATTGCTGCCGCTGCCAGCAACACCGCCGTGGCCAATTGAGAAGGATGTTTTTTATTGTATTGAAAATGAAGCTATAATGCTACGTTTTCAAAATATGAAACCTCGTCGTGGCCAATTATAATTTGTAATGTTGTTTTTAACATGAATTATGAATGAATGTACTATTGTTTCATTTTCAATGTTATTTTAATCTTTAAAAAAAAATTGAACTTTTACACTATGACCCTACGAGTTCATAATCCTGGGTCCGTCCCTGCATACACCCCTGCTGCAAACATTCTGGCCCAAAAAAAATTGCTGCAAACATGAAAGGTAAAGTAGTATGTATGTATTAGGGGTGGGCACGGTCCGGTTCGGCCCGGTTCTCCCTTAAATCCGAAACCGAAACCGGCACTGTTCATTCGGTTCGGTCCGGTCCGGCTTTTCATTAAAATGCCTTAGAAAACCGGACCAACCCGGACCGGTTTATATCCGGTTCGGTTTCCGGTTTTCCAGTTTGGACCGGCTCTTGAGCCCAATTATTTTTTTGTTGTTGAATTTTTAGAAATTTAAGCCCAACTCATTTTTTAAAAACTTTTGGGCTTACAAATTCATAGCCCAATTCCCATCCAATCATCCAAAACAAAATCTAGCAAACATTAAATTTAAAATTACAACCCAATTACAAAACAAAAACACATATATCAAATAAAATTACAGAACATTCAAACTATTCCATCTTCTAGTGAAAACAAAAACCAAAAAATGCTCCATCTTCCCCTTGTTCTTTCCCCTTGGCAACACGGAGAGGCATCTTCTTCAAACCTTCTCTATTAAGATCCTCTCCCAGACCCTGCATGCAGAAAAAGAGAATTCTTGGTGAAAATTTAAAATTACAACATTCGATTTTATAACATCAGATTTGACCTTTGATGAATTCTTGGTGAAAAACCACCTCAGTCTCAAATTCAAGAGCAATAATGCAAAGAATAGAACAAGATGGCAAGAAGTCCATTAGGATCAACAGTGCATCATAAGTATGAGATCGTGATTATCAAAAACAATATTACACAAGGAAAATTAGGAGGAGAATTCACCTTGCTGTTCATAATATTTGTTTAGAAAATTTATGCAAGTCAAACATAAATTCTTTTGAAATTATATATTCAATAAACCTCTAAGAAATTAATTAATGACAAGAGAAGGATTAAAACCCACAACAACTTGAGAGAAACATTTTTAGGCCTACAACTGTTACTTACACAGAGACATACCCCAGAAAATAAAAAATAAATTTTAAAAAGATTTTACCCGATCTCTTCCTTGTTTACCACAGCAGTCTCCATGAATTGGTATAGATCTGATCTGATCCAAGTGAAACCATGAGATAGATATTAACTGAAAGACAAACCGCAGAAAGAGGAAGAAGAAAGAAAGAGAGAGAGAGAGAGAGAGAGAGAGAAGAAAGAGAGAAGAAAGAGAGGAATGGAAGAAGAAAGAGACAAAATAAAAGAGAGAAGCGGCGGAGAGAAGTAAAGATGAGGGAGAGAGGAAGGAAAGAAAAGAAAAAGTGGCTTTAGGGTTAGGTGTTGGTTGATGGGCTTTGGTTGTTGGGCTTAGGTAAGGTTAGATGTTGGTAGTTGGGCTTGAGAAGTGAGAAAAATCATGGGATTAGTAGTTGGGCCACCAAAATATATTCATTTTTTTATTTTATATTTAATTCCGGTCCGGTTCGGCCCGGTCCGGTTTTTATAGATGTCAAACCGGAACTGGAACCGGTCAGAACCGGTCCGGTTCGGTTTTTGGTCAACTCAACCCGGTTTTTTGTCAACTCGGTTTTTTTCGGTTTTTTTCGGTCCGATTCGGCTCGGTTTTCCGGTTTCCCGGTTTAAATGCCCACCCCTAGTATGTATGCAGACTTACGCCTCTGAACGTAGAGGGTCGCTAATAGGAATGCTGTTTGATGGTTCATCCTGAGCCAAACCAAATTTATAATTGCAGGAGAAAAAAAGAAACAAATTTAACACAACTAGAGTTATTGGATATTGTTCTCGGTGTTCGAAACACTTGCCACAATATATAACGACTTGAGAGAGCTGCAATTGTTCGCAAAGTAAAAGCGGTGCTAGCAATTTGAGAGAACTTGAGGAATTCGGGAGAATGGAGAAGACATTTTTGACCTTTAATGAAAAAAAAAAAAAAAAAAAAAAAAAAAAAAAAAAAAACTAAAAAAAAAATCAAAACGAAACAAAAAAAAAACGAGGTCGGCCAGGAATTTTAAAACGAAATAAAAAAAAAAAAAGCACTGTACACATGTGTGACACAGGATCCTGAACCACATGTTTTTTTAACTGACTCAATTCTAACCGTGTAGCCGTTATCAGCTGCAGAAGCAAGACAGCCAAGTACTGAGGATGAACAAGGATAAGGAAAAGAAACCTTGTCAAACATAGGCAGAGCAAGAGGCTTCCTAGTGTTCATGCAATCACCTATTTCAACTCTCCCATTCTCGGTATCATGGCCACACATTAATGATGAGCAATCCTGAATGGGACTTTGAGCGTGGCCCTTTCTCAAATCATTTCTCGGTTCACAAACTACTTAGAATAGTTCTTTGAAGGATCTATCACCATCTGATGAAAACCTTCACTTTCTTTGGAAGATTTGCCATTGCAAAGTGGTACCCCTTCAAGCCAATGTAATCTTCCTTGTGGTCTTTCTTGATTCCTCAATCCATGCAGAGAAACTTTATTCTGTCACAAGCAGAATTGCAGTTGGCGTCTCCATTTGGGAAAGCAAGACTGATTGAGAGGTAAGAAGCTTGTAATTCATTGGAATCCGATTTAGTAGGAAAGCAGACACCATTTGGGTGTGACACTTCCACATTTAGACTGGAAGTTGATGGTATCGAATTACAATCTACAAGCAATCTCTGTCAGCACTTTGCTGCAACGTGATTGAAGCCTTATTAGATTGTGAGGAAGTATTCAAGGAAGTGTTTCCTTGAGCTGATATTAAGCTCTGGCTCAAGCTAATTGGAGGTTTTTTTTTCCCAATTATGAGATGACCCGGAAATGCTTTTAAGACCCTAATTGAGTTTGCATCTATTTAAGGCACAGCATATGTTAAGGAATAAAAGTGGAAAGTTTTTATTCGATTAGCCGGATACATGGAGGTGAAGAAGGAATGAAATAAAAGGAGATATCTATCCTGTTCTGTCATGGATTCTAGAGGTGATTAAGGCATGATTTAGGTAATCTTTTATGGGCAAGAAACCTAGGTCAAATCACCTATAAAAACAAGGTTTAGGTCCCCGATCTTATACACATTCAAGCATGCAAATCCTACCCCATATTAGGAGTGCACAAGGCTTGTAAAAAGATTGGAAGACCTCCGCTTGCTGCTCAAGATCTTTTCTGTCCAGTTCTCATGGCTTCTCAAGGTTAGTACTTATAGCTTGTTTGATCTTAAAGTCTAACAATGCTCACATCAGATCAGACTGCAAAGCCTTAGCTGATGAATTTATATCTCTTCCCAAGATTTACATACCAAAAACTGTCCTCTTCCTTTGTTTCTCTGTTTTATTCTGATCAGATGGGAAAATCTTAGCAGGCTCAGAGGGTATCCTAGCTTCAGTTTCTGATGAAGGAAACATTTATAGTCTTGTGCTTTATTTGCAGTAAAGTAAACAATGAAGGATTGTCTTGGTGACCGTGGCAACCAAATAGAAAACAACTCACAAGGGGGATTAGCTAGCTCATACTAATTCTTCATAAAGCAAGATTAGCATAAACATTGTCGATTATGAACAAGTAAATTACAAAAAGACTAATACTACCGCATGTGTCTCCTCAAAGTAGTATATATGCATTGTCAGCACAATTTGGGCCAAAGCACAAAAACGAGGAATGCAAAAAGCCTTCACAGAACACAACACAGGCTATACATTTGAAGTGTGGTATATATATATATATATTCAAGAATCCGTACATGAAATTTGAATGAATTTGAAAGAAATTGTATTGAGAAGTAATCTATATGGACCTCGTAACGCGTCTATTTGTATCAAGGGTCCTGGATATGTAACTGCTCAACACATTATCTTACCACCTTCTATGTAACTTACTTAGGGTAACCCAGATTACTCCTCGTTGGGACTGATCTTGTTCTTCAGATAATTTATCAAATTTTGACAAGCGCCAACAATTCCTCCAACTGCTCTCTTAAACAATTCTGCACTAGTCTTAGACAATTCTTTGACGTTTCGGTACAAGTAAATAGCTACAAAGCTCACAACGCAAAAGAGCCAGACGAGGAGGGCAGCTGACCCTAAATTTGGGACAAGGATCATCAATTCCAAAATGATGGTAAGAGCTCCAAAACTGAGGCTAAGCGCGTTCACGAATTTTACAAATTCAGGGGGAGTATATGTAGAGCCAATTAATGACCCTCCATAAACGACTAGAGCAACAATAAGTATCACAACAGTTTGGTGGTGTGTGTCAAATAGAGATGTCGTTCCAGCTCCCTGCTTAAGTTGAAGGAGCACACCTAGCATGGTGATGAGAGAAAATATATATTTGTGCGATGCCTTTGTAGAACTTTCTTTGCTTGTGCTGTAATAATTAATGAGAAAGTTTAAATGGTATTGCAATAAAGGGTCGTATATGTGTGTGTGTGTATGTAATCTTATAATTAATAAAGGGTCGTATATGTGTGTGTATGTGTATGTAATCTTATAATTAATAAGGGTCGTATATGTGTGTGTGTGTATGTAATCTTATAATTAATAAAAGGAAAACTATGAATAGTATATTTGTGAGAATACATAAATAACAGATGGCTACAAATAATTAAACCCAAGATAACACTCGCTGCTATTTTCTTCAACGGTAGTTAATGACGGATGTAGAACTTAAGTGCTCTTAAGTAGTTAAAAAATCCAATTGTATATTAGTTAACAACAGATTAAGAGCTGAGTTCTTAAATTAGCCTCATTAACTGCTATGTAATGAGCTCGTTCTCTGGCTTACTCCAATTGTCCGGATATGTTGATTAGTTTATATATAACAGCATGTAAGTGTGTCTTTCATTTCTGGCTGCCCATTGGCCCCATGCCGTTCACTCCTCCAGGGAATGTGAGGAGATCAAGACACTATGAGGGGTGACTGATGAGACCATGGGCATGGGGCAAGTGAGCAGAGAAAATTAAACATTTACCAGGAGAGAATCAGTTGTATTAACAAGAAACTAATTAAACTAAAGAAAGGCAAAGTAGCATTTAACACTTACGCCTCTGAAGGCAGAGGATCGCTAACAGGAATTCTTGCTTCATGATTCATCCTGTGCCGCGCAATTGGACAAAGCTCGCCTTGTAGTTATACCTACATAATATAAAAAAAGAAACAGAATTGAAGCGTCACATATTCTATAAACACTACTAGAGTTATTGGATCTCTTTCGGGGTCTTAGAACAACTTGGCTGCGGTGGCTGTCGTGCAAATCAGCATTTTGTTCACCAAATAATGAAACGGCACATTTTGTTTACCAAAAAAAGAAAAAGAAACAACTAGTAGAGCCATATGCATGGGATCTCTTTCTGGGTCTTAGAACAGCTTGGTTGCGGTGACAGACACGACAACCACTGTGAACGTTTACGCAAGCTACAACAACAGAAAAATGAAAGCAAAAAAGTGCACTCACTTACTCTTGTAAACGTTGTATAGAATAGAATGCCCTTCCCTTCGTACGTACCAGAAATGTAAAATTCAGAGCAAGTGTTTGATGAGGAAGAGCTTGTACTTATGGTCGATTTATGCACTTTGATGAGGAAGGACGAAATTCATAGACCATCCACAGGAAAGAACCAGCAAGCAAAGCTTATATGGACCTCTGTATAATAAACACTTTGTATAAAAGGTCAATAACTCGCTATTTTTAAGACTTTTGTTGGAGGGACCCATGTTCCACAGTCGCTAGTAATTTTATTATTATTTAATTAAATTGAAGCTTCGATGAATAGTTGCGTACCATAAGTCTGATGTGACAAACTTTGTCATATAAGAAAGAATTCTTTCTCTCTATTTTTAAGACTTTTGTTGGAGGGACCCATGTTCCACACTCGCTAGTAATTTTTATTATTATTTAATTAAATTGAAGCTTCGATGAAATAATAATAAGGCAGACATATGTATGTTTGCTTCCCGAACTGAACTCTGTTTCTGAATTGTTTACGATAGCTTTGTGGCTGCGCTCGTGATGAATAATGATGAATCAGGAACTCCTGTTCGCGAGGGGTAAGTGTGCTACCATGCATATATATACTACTTTGCCTTTCATTAATTCAATTTGTTATTGTTGTAGCTATAAAAAGAAGTTTATAGCTGCATCGAATATATTATATTATTATTATTATTCTATCAAAAGAAGTTTTAATTTTCTCTCTCCTGTCCTTTGATCTTCAAAATTATAACAAAGATAATTTGATTGAATCAAGACCCAATGAGTATATATTAATGCTAACACCAGGTCTCATCACCAATAACTTAGCAGTATATAGCTGTACAAATTAAACTCTTTTGGCCTTCGTTTCAGTCGTAGCTCAGCTCTCGGTTTAAATATTCTTGTTCAAGTTCCGCACCATTAGATTGAGGTGCTAAGATGCATCTAAAATATATTATTATTATTATTAGACTTCACAAAAACAAATATATTATTATTATTATTTATATATATATATAATCCTTTGTTGGAAGACCACTTAAACTTTGTCATTAATTATATCAGCACAGGCGAAGAACCTCCTACAAAGGCATTGCACACATTTATACTTACTCTCATCGGTCTGCTAGGCCAATTCCTCTCTGTAACACCCCGACTCCAAATTTATCCCCTGTTTTAATTAATTTGAGTGAAATTAAGAATTTACCCGAGGGATGGGTACTTTAGTCATTTTCTTACCCGGAATGAATTTGGGAATTCCGGATGTACCGTTGCGTAGAGCACGGCGAGATGAGTCCGTAGACACGTAATGGGCTCGAATCGGAGTTGTAACGAGAGAGATATGATCAAAAGAAGCTCAGTGGCATAATCGTAAATATTTGGAAAATGGATTTTTGGGTTAAAAGACGGAATTGCCCCCGTCTATCACACTCTCTCTCCCGCGCGCGTCCCTCTCTCTCTCCTCTGGTTCGTGACGCCACCGTGGCCGACCACGTTTTGGCCGGCCGTTCGCTCGTCCGGCCACCAAAGTCGACGGGGCCGGTACCAAAATGACCGGGCCGCCGTCCTCTTCCTACCCCGGCCAGGTCCCGCCGCCAGCCGCCGTGGTTTCGCCGGAAAACGAGGAGAAAAGCTCCGGTTTTGACAGAAAATTCGCCGGCTTCGTTCTCCGTCGTCCGGCCGCCATTTTTGGCGATCAAGGTATGGAAATTCATCCCCTCTGCATGATCTAGCTGATGGTTGGGTAGGATTGCATCGATTTTGAGTCTAGATTATCTGATTTTCGAGTTAGGGTTCGGCCGGATTTCGGGATGAGATTCCGGCCACTTCCGGTCAGTTTTTGGGGTACGTCCAAGAACAAAAGTGACTCCAAATTAGGTGTTTTACCTAGGGTAGGAGTCTTGAGCCGTGATTTGCAGTTTTTCCGGCGATGCGATATCGCTTTGGGACACCCGCGCGCTGCCGGCGCGTGTGGCGGCGCGTGGGCACTGTAGCTGAGGGGCATTTTTGTCCCAATGGGATCCTCAGGTTGTCATGAGCGCGTAGGTGTGCTCGGATCTCAATTTGGATATCGTTAGAGTCCCGAACGGATATCGCATATCGCGTATTTTCCGGGTTCGCTGGGTTTGGACCGTTGGATGGTCCTAATATTGTAATATGTTGATCTAGGTATTACCAGGATCGTATAGGATTCGACGGATCGTAAAACGGAGTCCCGGACACTCCGAAAATGCCAACCCTGGGGTTAGGGTTTTAGTAACTGTCCGATTGTGTGATCGTGAGCAATCCGACCGTCCGATCTGGACCAAACTTGCAGGACATGTGTCCTAGAGCCTATAGAACCTATAGGAACTTTCGGATTGGAGTTTGGAGGTTGTGGGCCCCGCAGGCCCGTTTGACCCTAGGTTGACCGTGAGACTTCCGAGATAGTCTTACCTTTCCTTGAGGGTTAGGATGACCTTAGTGACAGGTCTTGAGCGTTGTTGAGTTAAATGGATATTGTGGGTTAGGATATAAATTGGTGAATTTAAATGGGGGAGCTTATGGAATATTTTATTGGTGGATGTTATTGTATGATTAGAAATTACTTGATATATTTAATTGATTGTGTGGATGTATAATGATATATAAGGAGATTGAATGTTAGTTTGCAGTGCTATACGCACTACTCCACGTACCCCCCCATATGGTGAGAATGTAGCCAGGCCCAGTGTGAGGTCGCACGCGTCTTTGGGTTAGCCGGCGTGTTGACAGGCCCCGTACGTGGCCGGGTACGTCCCGACGTATGAGTGGGTGATATGATGGTATAAGGGCTGGTGAGAATGTAGCCAGGCCCAGTGTGAGGTCGCACGCGTCTTTGGGTTAGCCGGCGTGTTGACAGACCCCGTACGTGGCCGGGTGCGTCCCGACGTATGAGTGGGAGATATGATGGTATGAGGGCTGGTGAGAATGTAGCCAGGCCCAGTGTGAGGTCGCACGCGTCTTTGGGTTAGCCGGCGTGTTGACAGACCCCGTACGTGGCCGGGTGCGTCCCGACGTATGAGTGGGAGATATGATGGTATGAGGGCTGGTGAGAATGTAGCCAGGCCCAGTGTGAGGTCGCACGCGTCTTTGGATTAGCCGGCGTGTTGACAGACCCCGTACGTGGCGGGTGCGTCCCGACGTATGAGTGGGAGCTATGTGATTATGTTGGGTGTGTTGTGATGGATAAACCCTAGAATGTATGTATTTATGTGGATGTAATGGTTTGATTGATATCAGGAGCCAGGATTGATAGGAAAGAGCTACGTGTGGCTTGATCCCTTAGTAGGGTACGTAGGCAGCCTGGGATAGCGCCTAGGTGCAGCCACGACCTAGACACCACTTAGGTGGTTTTATCGAGTATGATGTGGACCTCGTGGTTGGTCCCAAAACTTGGTTGAATTGAGGCTTGTCCGGTGGACTGAGTGAGTGAAGGTGTGTATAGATAGATTTGGAATTTGTTATATGCATGTTTGATGCATGGAGTTGCTTTAAAAGCAGTGTGAGTAGTTCTGCTAGAATCATTTGAAGGCCGGAGGCCATTTATGTAAATTGCATGAGATTATATTGTGCGTGCTGCTGGTTGGGTTATAAAATGTGTTTTATGCAGGTGGAAGTTTTGGGGAATGTTCAATTTACAGGGGAGACTCTGCTAAAATTTTGGCAGAAAGTCTCGTGCCCTAAATCCTCTCTGGTAAAAGGAGACATAGTTTTAAGGAGTGAACCCGGCGTGGGTGTGATGCCGGGGTCTCCGCAGGGTTCGTCTCGGGTTTCGGGAAATTCGGGGCGGGTCCTGTCAGCTTGGTATCAGAGCCTAGTTTCAATTTCTTGTGGACCCCACACCTTGTGTGCATCCTTAAGTTGTGGGATCATGATGGGTTCCGTCACGGGACGTCATCATTTTGATGCGGAGGATTCTTTGACATGGATGGATTTAGGGTATTGATGAGTACACTTAAGGGTGCCACGTTCCTTGAAACGTGTCTATCCAAATTGTCGTATCTCAATATCCTATGGAAGGAAACGGAAGAGCCGAAAGTATTGAATCCGCTGAGATGAGACGAAATTGTCAGAGGTAGTTGATGGACAAGTTACATGGGAATGGTGGAGTTGTGAGTCCGACCAAGGAGGGTCGTGACAAATTAAATTGAGAAGTAGTAGTGTTGGATGAAGTTTGTAGAGTTCTTATGGGCAGGAGGACATGGAGTTGATCAATCTACTTCTAGAGATCCTCCATTGCCTGAACATGTTGCTAATTCTCGTTTGTGTGCAGTGAGCACGAAGTCGAAGATATTAAGAACTCAACCTTTCTTCGGGAAGAGTGAATTCTCGAAGATTGAATCACTGGATTCATGATCTGAAGGATGGCTGTAGTATAATCGAAATCACAAGTGTGGAAAAAGATTTAGATAGCCGTATTTCTCTTATAGAAGGAGGCTCGTGTGTAGTGGGAATACTACAGTCAAATCCAAAGATGAGACCTAGATGGATTCGGTAAATCTACCGTGGAGATGAAGAGATTGCTTTGGGGTCTCATCTCATGTGAACACGTTTGAGTAGAAGTCTTTCATCCGAATCAGAAATGGGTCATGGTAGAGAGAGGAAGATGATGATTACAATTCGGTAAAAAATGATCCTTTCTGACATTCCTCTCAAAGAATCGTGTTGGCAATGTTGCTTATCGATTCTAGAGAAAGAAGAAAGATATCAACAAGTCAAGGAGTTTGGACTTCTCTTCGTGGGAGAGCTAGAAGAGAATCAAATCACAAATGGAATGACTTGGCTGCCAACTTGGTTGTGGAGGATGAAGCATGGGAACCCGAGCAGTAGATGCGGGCCCAGTACCCACACCCTTTGAAGTGGCAGGTATGAAATTTCGGGGACGAAATTTTTATAAGGGGGGTAGTCTGTAACACCCCGACTCCAAATTTATCCCCTGTTTTAATTAATTGAGTGAAATTAAGAATTTACCCGAGGGATGGGTACTTTAGTCATTTTCTTACCCGGAATGAATTTGGGAATTCCGGATGTACCGTTGCGTAGAGCACGGCGAGATGAGTCCGTAGACACGTAATGGGCTCGAATCGGAGTTGTAACGAGAGAGATATGATCAAAAGAAGCTCAGTGGCATAATCGTAAATATTTGGAAAATGGATTTTTGGGGTTAAAAGACGGAATTGCCCCCGTCTATCACACTCTCTCTCCCGCGCGCGTCCCTCTCTCTCTCCTCTGGTTCGTGACGCCACCGTGGCCGACCACGTTTTGGCCGGCCGTTCGCTCGTCCGGCCACCAAAGTCGACGGGGCCGGTACCAAAATGACCGGGCCGCCGTCCTCTTCCTACCCCGGCCAGGTCCCGCCGCCAGCCGCCGTGGTTTCGCCGGAAAACGAGGAGAAAAGCTCCGGTTTTGACAGAAAATTCGCCGGCTTCGTTCTCCGTCGTCCGGCCGCCATTTTTGGCGATCAAGGTATGGAAATTCATCCCCTCTGCATGATCTAGCTGATGGTTGGGTAGGATTGCATCGATTTTGAGTCTAGATTATCTGATTTTCGAGTTAGGGTTCGGCCGGATTTCGGGATGAGATTCCGGCCACTTCCGGTCAGTTTTTGGGGTACGTCCAAGAACAAAAGTGACTCCAAATTAGGTGTTTTACCTAGGGTAGGAGTCTTGAGCCGTGATTTGCAGTTTTTCCGGCGATGCGATATCGCTTTGGACACCCGCGCGCTGCCGGCGCGTGTGGCGGCGCGTGGGCACTGTAGCTGAGGGGCATTTTTGTCCCAATGGGATCCTCAGGTTGTCATGAGCGCGTAGGTGTGCTCGGATCTCAATTTGGATATCGTTAGAGTCCCGAACGGATATCGCATATCGCGTATTTTCCGGGTTCGCTGGGTTTGGACCGTTGGATGGTCCTAATATTGTAATATGTTGATCTAGGTATTACCAGGATCGTATAGGATTCGACGGATCGTAAAACGGAGTCCCGGACACTCCGAAAATGCCAACCCTGGGGTTAGGGTTTTAGTAACTGTCCGATTGTGTGATCGTGAGCAATCCGACCGTCCGATCTGGACCAAACTTGCAGGACATGTGTCCTAGAGCCTATAGAACCTATAGGAACTTTCGGATTGGAGTTTGGAGGTTGTGGGCCCCGCAGGCCCGTTTGACCCTAGGTTGACCGTGAGACTTCCGAGATAGTCTTACCTTTCCTTGAGGGTTAGGATGACCTTAGTGACAGGTCTTGAGCGTTGTTGAGTTAAATGGATATTGTGGGTTAGGATATAAATTGGTGAATTTAAATGGGGGAGCTTATGGAATATTTTATTGGTGGATGTTATTGTATGATTAGAAATTACTTGATATATTTAATTGATTGTGTGGATGTATAATGATATATAAGGAGATTGAATGTTAGTTTGCAGTGCTATACGCACTACTCCACGTACCCCCCCATATGGTGAGAATGTAGCCAGGCCCAGTGTGAGGTCGCACGCGTCTTTGGGTTAGCCGGCGTGTTGACAGGCCCCGTACGTGGCCGGGTACGTCCCGACGTATGAGTGGGTGATATGATGGTATAAGGGCTGGTGAGAATGTAGCCAGGCCCAGTGTGAGGTCGCACGCGTCTTTGGGTTAGCCGGCGTGTTGACAGACCCCGTACGTGGCCGGGTGCGTCCCGACGTATGAGTGGGAGATATGATGGTATGAGGGCTGGTGAGAATGTAGCCAGGCCCAGTGTGAGGTCGCACGCGTCTTTGGGTTAGCCGGCGTGTTGACAGACCCCGTACGTGGCCGGGTGCGTCCCGACGTATGAGTGGGAGATATGATGGTATGAGGGCTGGTGAGAATGTAGCCAGGCCCAGTGTGAGGTCGCACGCGTCTTTGGATTAGCCGGCGTGTTGACAGACCCCGTACGTGGCCGGGTGCGTCCCGACGTATGAGTGGGAGCTATGTGATTATGTTGGGTGTGTTGTGATGGATAAACCCTAGAATGTATGTATTTATGTGGATGTAATGGTTTGATTGATATCAGGAGCCAGGATTGATAGGAAAGAGCTACGTGTGGCTTGATCCCTTAGTAGGGTACGTAGGCAGCCTGGGATAGCGCCTAGGTGCAGCCACGACCTAGACACCACTTAGGTGGTTTTATCGAGTATGATGTGGACCTCGTGGTTGGTCCCAAAACTTGGTTGAATTGAGGCTTGTCCGGTGGACTGAGTGAGTGAAGGTGTGTATAGATAGATTTGGAATTTGTTATATGCATGTTTGATGCATGGAGTTGCTTTAAAAGCAGTGTGAGTAGTTCTGCTAGAATCATTTGAAGGCCGGAGGCCATTTATGTAAATTGCATGAGATTATATTGTGCGTGCTGCTGGTTGGGTTATAAAATGTGTTTTATGCAGGTGGAAGTTTTGGGGAATGTTCAATTTACAGGGGAGACTCTGCTAAAATTTTGGCAGAAAGTCTCATGCCCTAAATCCTCTCTGGTAAAAGGAGACATAGTTTTAAGGAGTGAACCCGGCGTGGGTGTGATGCCGGGGTCTCCGCAGGGTTCGTCTCGGGTTTCGGGAAATTCGGGGCGGGTCCTGTCACTCTCGCTAATGCAGCAAGCTGGAATGGCATCTCTATTTGACACAAACCATCAGATTTTGTGATGCTAATTGTTGCTTTAACCGTTTACGGCTTGACAATAATGGCTCTACATATATACTGGATACTCCCCCTGAATTTGTAAAATTCGTGAACACGCTTAGCCTCAGTTTTGGAGCTCTTACCATCATTTTGGAATTGATGATCCTTGTCCCAAATTTAGGGTCAGTTGCCCTCCTCGTCGGCTCTTTGGGTGTGAGCTTTGTAGCTGTTTACTTGTACCGAAACGTCAAAGAATTGTCTAAGACTAGTGCAGAATTGTTTAAGAGAGCAGTTGGAGGAATTGTTGACGCTTGTCAAAATTTGATAAATATCTGAAGAACAAGATCAGTCCCAACGAGGAGTAATCTGGGTTACCTAAGTAAGTACATAGAAGGTGGTAAGATAATGTGTTGAGCAGTCACAATGAAATTAGAGGACCAAACTGGTTTACCCTAACCTCATTTTTTGGGTGGGCCCAAATTGTGCTGAGAATGGGCTTTCTCATGTATACTTGTTTGATTCGATTCTATTGTACTGTGTTTGTAGCTCAAGTGAAGTGAAGTAACTGTATATGTAATTATTCTACTTATTATTTTATAATAAATTACAATTTCATTCCCTTTATCAATTCTCAGAAGCAGAAAGTAGTTAACGAATTAATTGTGTAAAGATATTTACAAATTACAGAGAATGTGTTTATACAAGAGTGGTTTTGACAACTAATTTGCCAGCGACGGTCCGTCCCTGAGACGTCGAGAAGAGTAGGTGCACATTTTTGCTTTCAACTCTTTTGTTAATCATGTTTCACTTTGGTTTTTGTTTCGACTCCCGATTAAGTTTTGTCTGCAGATTAAGTACATAATTTAGTTTTCTGTAAATCTATTTCTTTCATGAATTTCTTCGGTGAACTGACTGTATCTCTGCTTCTGCTATTTTTCCATCTAGGCTCAGATTTTGGACTGCATGATTTGAGGACTAGTTGAATGCGTGTATTTATTCTTTATCCATAAGATGTACCATCATAATTCGAATTTTAAAATGGTAACTTTGAGCTGCATGTAGCTTAAGATGATAGTTCTTCCCTTTCAAGAAACTTAGATGGACAGGCAAGGGATGTTGGGTTGAAGATGTGCTAACGTGGAACTATGATTAATGATATCACCGCAGATGAATTGCAATTCCAAAATTATGTCTTAAAAACAGCTGACAAAGATTTATGCTTTCTCAATTGATTAGTTTTCTGGTATCGCATATGGCTGAGCTATTGTTGATGCCTTTTACAAAAATTTATATTGCTTTGAAATCTTGTCGGAATTAGTGAGTTGCCTCAAGTTTCAGTGTGCAATCTGTCCACTCTGACCTCCTTTGAAATTTATTACTTTTTTTCTTCCAACTATTACTTCTTTCTATGTATAAACCAAATCTCCTTGTAATTCTATTGGAAAAACCCTGCAAACCAGTGGTGGCCCCAGCGAAAGTAGAGTCAGGATGAAGGACAGCGAATCTCCGGATTCCAGAGGGAAGAAGCCTCGGAGAATATTGTTCAATCTTGAACTTCCAGCCGATGAATACATCAGTGATGGAGAAGAACCAGGAGGAGATTTCATGGGGTCAGGTACAGAAATTATCCTCCTACCATAAAAAATGAGGTTACTCAGGCAAGAGATGATATTTTATCTAATCACATTGGTGAAACATCCGGCTATAACAATGTTTTGCATATAGAAAGAAGCAGTGGTTTGACTGATCTGAATGAACCTATTCAGATAGACAGAGTGTCCGCTTCAACTTCTGTCTTTAAGTTTGGCAATGACTTCAGCTCCAAAGAGGATATAGAAAGGCAGGTTTTATCTGCAAATGCCTACAAAGGTGTCTGGCCTTTTGCAAAGGAATCCCAGAAAACCCACAAATGGGGAAGGATGGAAGAGTTAGTAATCTGCATTTAAAGAACGAAAGACACCCAAAAGAGTGGTCAACAATGGCTCTCAAGGCTGGTAAGGAACTAGTTATTAACTTCTTTTTATTTCTGAAATGTCTTGTGTCTCTAAGATTCATATTACAGAAGAAAACGCTCTGAGCTTATTTCATAATTGGTATAACTAAATAAACAATGTCACCAAGACAACTAGTTGAGCATGTTTCCTCCATTGTTTACTTTACTGCTAATAAAGCACAAGAGTATAAAAGCTTACAAATGGGTTTCGTTTTTCATTACAAACAAGAAGTTTTTCTGGTGGAAGGTTTGGTCTTCAAGACTTTAATAAGCCATGTGAATCATCAGAAACTGAAGCTAGGATAGTCTGTGAGCCTGCTAAGTTTTTCCCGTCTGATCAGATTAAATGGAGAAGCAAAGAAAGGGGACAATTTTTGGCATAGAATTTTTTGAAAGAGATATCAATTCATCTGCTAAGCCTTTGCAGTCTGATGTGACCATTTCCGATTGGACAAAACCTCCAATTAGCTTGAGCCAGAACTTAATATCTGCTCAAGAAACACTTCCTTGAATACCTCACAATCTGATAAGGCTTCGATCATGTTGCAGCAAAGCACTGAAGTTATCAGGGACAGATTGCTTGTAGATTGCATTTCAATACCATCAACTCCCAGTCTAAAAGCTGAAGTGTCGCACCAAAATGGTGTATGTTTTCGTGCAAAATCGGATACCAATGAACTACAAGCTTCTCACCCCTCAATCAGCCTTGCTTTCCCAAATGGAGACAGCAACCGCAATTTTGCGAACCGAACTGATTTAAGAAGGGGCCCCAATCAAAGTCCCGTTCAGGATTGCTCATCGTTAATGCGTGGCCATGATGCTGAGATTGGAGAGTTGAAATAGGCGATTAGATGAAGACTAGGAAGATTTTGCTCTTCCCATGTTTGACAAGGTTTCTTTTCCTTATCCTTGTTCATCCTCAAAATCTGGTTGTCTTGCTTCTGCAGTTGATAATGGCTACACCATTAGAATTGAATCAGCTAAAAGTAATGTGGTTCAGGATCCTGTGTCACAAATGTGTACAGTGCAACTGAAAGCAGATGGTCCGGTTCTAGAAAAGAGATTGTTTGATGCCATTTCTGATTCGAGACACCAAATAGATTTAAATAGATGTTATACTGAAGAAGAAACTGAAATGACTGCCGCCTCTCCAATTATGAGAACTGAAGCTGTGATTGATTTGGAGGAACCAGTGATAATTGAATCAGATATATATGGGGAAAATCTATGCAAAGCAAATGTAAGGAACCTCTTGACTTACCTCATGAGGGCCTTCTCAGAGTTGCAGCTGAGGCTCTAGTTGCCATCTCATCATCCCAAGGTCATGATATGCAGAACAGTGCTGCACATCATCTTCAAGAAAGTGCCACTTGTCACGAAACAGATGTTATCGTTCTTTGGCTTCCTTGGAAAGATTGGGGAGGGGGCTGCAGATAGCCAGTGACTGCGTGGAAGGTTGTTAGTGGGCAACCCTGACATGCCCTCCAAATTTTCGATGAAATGCTGGGCAGTCCAGCCAACGATTTCCGCGCGCAGCTGCATTTTTTTGTGTTTTTTTAAATCCCTGGCTGAAACGTCGTCATTTTGAGCCACGTTTTTATTTATTTAGAAAAAGGTCAAAAAGAGCATCGTCTTCTCCATTTTCCCTCCAACCCAGCTCGACATCCCCAAAATCCCTAATTCTCCCGAATTCCTCAAGCTCTTTCAAATTGCTAGCACCGCTTTTACTTTACGAACAATTGGAGCTCTCTCAAATCGTTATATATTGTGGTAAACAATGGATAACTGTTATATGAATGCACTCGGTCGTATGTTTATGCTCTTTTTTTTCTTATAATTGGTGCACTTCCTTCCCTAAATTCTTAATATTTTTTGTGGTTCTTGCTTTCCGTATGAGTTAATTAAGGCTGTGAATGTATTGATGGCATAATTGATATCAATTTGAGTCTTTAAAATTAGACGACAGCCACCACCAAGTTTTTGATAAACAAAATGCGGCGGATTTCACGACAGCCTCCTCCGCCAAGTGATTCGAACACCCAGAAATAGATCCAGTAACTCTAGTTGTGTTAATACGTGAACTTCCGATCTGAATTCCATTTCTTTTTTTCTCCTGCAGGTATTAATTTGGTTTCGCTCGGGATGAGCCATCAAACAAACATTCCTGTTAGCGACCCTCTAAGTTCAGAGGCGTAAGTCTACATACGTACATACTACTTTACCTTTCATGTTTGCAGCATTTTATTTTTTTTGGGCCAGAATGTTTGCAGCAGGGGTGTGCACGGTCCGATTTACCCTCAAATTGGTATCGAAATCGAATATTGCACACAGCCCAGTTCATTTCGGTTTGGGAATGTAAGATGGTCATCATTTAGTTGAAAAAGAGAGAAAAACATTTAGAGAAAAATAGGAAGAGGGATAAGAGAAGAAGAATGAGTTTAACAAAGAAAAAAAGGATAGGTTAGAGTCATCATTTAGTTGGATAAAAATTGAGCCTAAAACATTGAGTATTAATTGGGCTAAATGATATAGGTATTACTTGAGCTCACTAGTATGACTTGGATTAGGCTTAGTTGGGTTGAACATATTTTTTCAAGGCAAGAACCAGGATCAGAACAGATTCCAAATTGATTTTTTTTTTTTTTTTTTTTTTTTTTTTTTTTTTTTTTGTTTTTATGTCCCAGTCGACTTGATTTATTGGTTTGACGGTATTCACTTATATTTTGCAGCAACTGTAGAAACGCTTTTACTCGTCCAGCACTTATGGTTAAAAATTGGGGGCCATGTGTGGTGGCACCACTTGCACACCTTTAGGGCCCGCCCCTGATACAAATACATCCATACCCCGGACACATTGATGTAATAAGCAGAGCAGTTTATGGGAATGAGGCTAATTTAAAAACTCTGCTCTTGAACTGTTGTAAGCGTTTAAGTTGTAGATCATAGTTTTCCTTATTAGTTTGCAATGCTGATAACATTTGTCATTAATTAATTGTAATAGCAGCACAAGCAAAGAACGTTTTACAAGGGAATTGCAGAAACATATATTTTCTTTCATCACCATGCTAGCAGGGCTGATCCAACTGAAGCAGGGAGTATTTGACACAGACTACCTCACTTTTGTGACCCTTATTGTTGTTTTAATGGGTTACATCGGATCATTAATGGGCAGTGCATATATACGCCAAGCTCACCTTAATTATTCAGATGTGGCAAAATTTATGGACAAGATTAGCCTTCTTTTTGGAGCTCTTGCCTTGGTTTTGAAATTGGTGATCCTTGTCCGGGTTTTAGGGTTAGCCTTCCTCTGCGTGTGGATCGTCTGGGTCATCTCTTCAGTGAACTGACTGTATCTCTGCTTCTGCTATTTTTCCATCTAGGCTCAGATTTTGGACTGCATGATTTGATGGACTAGTTAAACACGTGTATTTATTCTTTATCCATAAGATGTACCATCATAATTCGAATTTTTAAAATGGTAACTTTGAGCTGCATGAAGCTTAAGATGGTAAATTCTTTCCTTTCAAGAAACTTAGATGGACAGGCAAGGGATGTTGGGTTGAAGATGTGCTAATGTGGAACTATGATTAATGATCACTACAGATGAATTGCAATTTCCAAAATTATGTCTTAAAAACAGCTGACAAAGATTTATGCTTCTCAGTTGATTAGTTTTCTGGTATCGCATATGGCTGAGCTATTATTGATGTCTTCTAGAAAAATTTATATTGCTTTGAAATCTTGTCGGAATTAGTGAGTTGCCTCCAGTTTTCAGTGTGCAATCCGTCTACTCTGATCCTCCTTTGAAATTTATACTTTTTTTGGTTCAACTATGACTTCTTTCTATGTATAAACTGATTTGGCAATGCGTCTGAATTAATTGCAGGAATGGGAACTGAAGTTCAGTCAAAGATGTATCTACCAGGATATTATTCCGTACAGAAACTAAGTGGCAATGTTGGCCATGGTAGCTGGTCCCTACTCCATGAGAACAAAAACTTGAAGAATGGGCAAGAATATGAATTATTCTTGACAAGGCCGATTATGGATGGATTTCATGGATGCGATAAGGAACAAATGAGGCAAACTATACTGAAGCATGAGTCAGTATTCAGGCATCAGGTGTATATTCTAGAACCTAAATCTGTTGAGCTCTAACGTGTGATTATGACTAGCTATTATTACAGTATTAAGAAATATAAATTAACGATGGTTTTATATTGGTAAAAAAGTGTCATACTTTGAGTACTCAAAGTCGTTGGCTAATATTTGAACACCTTTATGTGTGATTTCTCATTCAGCTCAATGAACTCCATCGTCTTTATGGAAGGCAAAGGGACTTGATGAACGAGATCAAAACCAAAGAACTACTCAAACATCAAAAAGCAGCAGGGACATCACTATCAACTTTTCTTCCTCTGGCTTTCCAAATGAAAGATGATAGAAACAGCAGGCATAGAAACTTTTTCTTCCTCCAGCTTTGGTAGACCGTGTAGCTTGAGTACTGGTATCAGCCAATCTCCTAGTAATTCTATTGGAAACAGTGGTGGCCCCAGCGAAAGTATAGTCAGGATGAAGGACCATGGATCCCCGGATTCCAGTGGGAAGAAGCTTTGTAGAAGATTGTTCAATCTTGAACTTCCAGCCGATGAATACATCAGTGATGGAGAAGAACCAGGAGGAGTTTTCATGGGGTCGGGTACAGAAAATTATCCTCCTAACAGAAAAATGAGGTTACTCAGGCAAGAGATGATATTATCTAATCACATTGGTGAAACATCCGGCTATAACAATGGTTTTGCATATAGAAAGAAGCAGTGGTTTGATTGATCTGAATGAACCTATTCAGATAGACAAAGTGTCCGCTTCAACTTCTGTCTTTAAGTTTGGCAATGACTTCAGCTCCAAAGAGGAGATAGAAAGGCAGGTTTTATCCGCAAATGGCTACAAAGGTGTCTGGCCTTTTGCAAAGAAATTCCCTGAAAACCCACAAATGGGGAAGGATGGAAGAGTTCAAGAATGAAAGGCACAAAAAGAGTGGCCAACAAATTCTCTCAAGGCTGGTAAGGAACTAGTTATTTAACTTCTTTTTTATTTCTGAAATATTTTGTGTCTCTAAGATTCATTATTACAGAAGAAACGCTCTAAGCTTATTTCATAATTGGTTTAACTAAATAAACAATATCACCAAGACAACTAGTTGAGCATGTTTCCTCCATTGTTTACTTTACTGCTAATAAAGCACTAGAGTATAAAAGCTTACAAATGGTTTCGTTTATTTCAGAACAAACAAGAAGTTTTTCTGGTGGAAGGTTTGTTCTTCAAGACTTTAATAAGCCATGTGAATCATCAGAAACTGAAGCTAGGATAGTCTGTGAGCTTGCTAAGTTTTTCCCGTTTGATCAGAATAAAATGGAGAAGCAAAGAAAGAGGACAATTTTTGGTATAGAAATTTTTGAAAGAGATAACAATTCATCTGCTAATCCTTTGCAGTCTGATGCGACCATTTCCGAGTCATCTCCTAATTGGGACAAAACCTCCAATTAGCTTGAGCCAGAATTTAATATCAGCACAAGGAAACACTTCCTTGAATACCTCACTATCTGATAAGGCTTCGATCATGTTGCACCAAAGCACTGAAGTTATCAGGGACAGAATGCTTGTAGATTGTAATTCGATACCATCAACTCCCAGTCTAAAAGCTGAAGTGTTGCACCAAAATGGTGTCTGTTTTCGTGCAAAATCAGATACCAATGAACTAAAAGCTTCTCACCCCTCAATCAGCCTTGCTTTCCCCAAATGGAGACAGCAACCGCAATTTTGCGAACCGAACTGATTTAAGAAAGGGCCCCAATCAAAGTCCTGTTCAGGATTGCTAATCGTTAATGGGTGGCCATGATGCTGAGAATTGGAGAGTTGAAATAGGCGATTGGAACTTTTGCTCTTCCCATGTTTGACAAGGTTTCTTTTCCTTATCCTTGTTCATCCTCAAAATCTGGTTGTCTTGCTTCTGCAGTTGATAATGGCTACACCATTAGAATTGAATCAGCTAAAAGTAATGTGGTTCAGGATCCTGTGTCACAAATGTGTACAGTGCAACTGAAAGCAGATGGTCCGGTTCTAGAAAGAGATTGTTTAATGCCAATGCTGATTTGCGACACCAAATAGATTTAAATAGATGCTTTACTGAAGAAGAAACTGAAAGGACTGCAGCCCTTCCAATTATGAGAACTGAAACTGTGATTGATTTGGAGGCACCAGTGATAATTGAATCAGATATAGTTGGGGAAGATTCTATGCAAAGAAATGTAAGGAACCTTTGACTTACCTCATGAGGGCCTTACAAGAGTTGCAGCCGAGGCTCTAGTTGCCATCTCATCATCCCAAGGTCATGATATGCAGAACGGTGCTGCACATCATCTTCAAGAAAGTGCCACTTGTCACGAAACGGCTGCTTCTGAAAATGATTCCCTTCTTTGGTTTGGAGAATTAATTTCTTCACATGAAGGAAATCCTGACAATGAGAATGTGACCGAAGTTAAGGGAACTGCCTGGGATGAAGAGTCCTTTCCTGAAGTGTTGGATTTCTTTTGAGTACATGACATTAAATTTGGTGGAAACCAAGGTGGAGAAGTACTGCTATATGCCTCCAAATCAAGGGAACCCAAGAGAGGAAGTGTCGCTTCCCAAACGGCCGCGAAAAGAGGTCAGGTGAGGAGAGACAGGTAACGAAAGGACTTCCAGAGAGATGTACTGCCTGGACTTCCAGTGGCTGTTCTAAGACCCCTTGATGTTCTGAGCTTCCTCAACTCTGTTTCTTTACTCTCTTTTTTTCTTTGTTTCTCTAAAGCAAGGCCAAGGGTGCGGGATGACTGACCAAGCAAGCATTCCTGTACTTGAATTTTAGAACTAGAAACGGATTAACACGCAAAATTTATTATAACTTACTCTTTATTTTAAAAGTAAGACAATACTTCCCCCCTACCCATAAGGAGAAACTATGACCAAAAATAAAACCCCAATAAGAAGGAAATAAAAAAAGAAAAAGAGCATGTTGATTACATTAAATTTTGGGGCAACAAAAATCTTAATTTATCATGAGTAAAGACACTATTGTTGACATAATAACTGCTATACGAAATGCTGACGGGAATATATAAAAAAAAACAATTTGAATACCATCTACTAACATCACCGAAAATATTGTTCAAATCCTTTTACGACTCCTTATCTTACATTGTGGCTAATCACAAGGAGACATGTGTTCTCGCTTTTTAAATTGTCAAAACAACTTTTTTTTTTTTCTTTTCATTTTAATTGAAGCCCTAGCTTTATACCAAAATAAAAAAGAATGAAAAAAAAAACAAAATTCCCTTTTCTTTTCTTTTTACTTTAATTTTTCTCAACCATTTGTAGGAAAAAATTATTTTCCTCAATTAAAATTTTAAGTATTTGTGGCCCTTTTCAATTCTAACTTTAATAATTCCTCTACTGTTGTAAATGCGTGAGTTGGTGGATGACCACCATACCTCTTAGTATTCAACCATTGGATTTTATGAAACCTATGCACTAAGTATTTGTAATTAATACTTGTAACCTATAGGTATATATAAATGATGGTATTCAATCTCCTATCTTGTAAGCCTATAAATAAGTGGTTCTACCGAAGAATAAACATGGTGAAACTTATCTTTAACATATCACTTCTCTCTACATTTTCTCCCTCTAGTTTTATAACACGTTATCAGCACGACTGCTCAATATTTTCTCCTTTCTTACACCACAATGATATGTACAACTTGGATAATGCAATTGCACATCTATAAAATACCAGTGTACGATGTGGGTATCATATATACATATTTTTATTATTGTTTCATGATATGCTTCACGCTTTAGTTTACTGTGTTAAATTTTGTTTGGCTAACCCTTGTGCAGATTATATAATTAGCATAGATCATATTGAAGTTTTTTTTTTCTCTTTAATTTCTTTATTGCAAATATAAGAAACTCAATTATGGCGTTCACTTTATGAATCATGTACCTGACATGACATAGCCAAGAGTTATTGTTATTATTATTTTTTAATATGTACGCACCTTTCCTACAATGCTTGTTTCATTTTTTTTCCTTTTTCTTTTTGTTCTTTCATACTAATAGAAATTATGTGGCAATTATATATATATAAAAAAAAAAAAAAAAGATATGATGGCCTATTAGTTTACTTGTATTCGTGTATGATTAATCAACAAAATTGATTGCATGTTATTATTTGTAGTTGACAGGTATAAATTATAAATAAATGTATTGATTTATTTTTATCCTTTATGCATATTTTATTTAATTGGTTTGTTTACCAATTTTAAGCATGTTTTTAATTCATTACAATATGTTACAATGAGTTTGTATTATACAAAAGATCAGGGCCCAAAGTTCCTCGATCCTCATCATATAACTAGATTAGGACCTTAAGTCCGTTTGATTGAATCAGAACCTGAAGTTCTTTGATTCCAAATAATTGAGGGCGTGAAGTTCCCCGAATTTAAAAAGCACATAAGGACATGAAACTCCTTGATTTTGTATTAATCAAAATCAGAATTCTATGAGGCCTACATATGTCAAGAACCCGAACCAGAAGTTTCGAGTGCATATACATCGATTTGAGTATGAAGTTCAAAGCACAACTATTAATTCACATTATTAGATCTACATATTCGAACCTGCAGTTTTGAATATATGTTGATATGAACCTGAAGTTCATAATTTTTCATGGATCCTATAGTATATATAAACCTGAAGTTCATTACTTATTTGTGCCAACATGAACCTGAATTGGTTGGAAATCCAATTCTTAAACTTGTAGTTTTATCTACATATTGAATCCACATTAATATTGGATTATCTTGGAATTTCATAGTCTTTAATTTATTTATTTTATTCCTCGTTTATACCACTTTACTCATTTATTTTATTTTATTTTATTTATGTTGGGTTATTAGTCAATTTCGTTTTACAATGGTAATGTCTTGAATTACCGTCCCAATATTGACAGCCAGAGGCGTCTATTGGAGAAACTTTTGTTGAGGCCCAAAAATTCAGGGTTGGGCCCAAATAAATTCTCGGCTCAACGCAATGCCTTATTAAGAAAAAGACCCGATTTGGAGCATGCGGAATTCGTCATGCACGCTTTCACGAGCCACGACCACGTGTCATGCCAAATAAATATGCAATTTATCACGCTAAGAATTAAAATAAGCCTATAAAAGGCATTGGCTCTACAAGCTCATGCTAATTATTTCGTCAAGTATTATGTCTCTTTTCAAAGACTATAAAATTCAAGCACACCAATTGACATGCCATGCCAAGCAGGAAATCATTATTTCACACATAGCCACGCTACAAGCTTAAGTGGGCCCAAGCCATGGAAATGTCCGGAGCTTGCTTGAGTGGGTTGTGGTATGGATAGTAACGAACTTTCATGGGGCCCATTGATGAGCCAAGAAATGAAAGTTTTGTGCTGCTTGGGAGCCCCAAAACTCAAGCTCATTTCTTGAGCCCAAACACATGAGTTAGCATGAGAGATGGGAGAAAATGATCCAATGCCTTAGTAGGATATCTAATAGTCTGCCATATGTCACGGGATGAGCGAGCGGCGCGGCGCGGCGGAAGCGAAACACAAATTTCGCCACTCAAAGCACACCCGTGCGGCCCAGGATCCCTTCGGATCCCAGTCAGCCTTCTCCCACTTCATGATAATCATGACTCTCACAACTCCGCGAGAGGTTCCCCTTCAAGTGTCGTCTTCCCCTAGACAACGAGTCACACTACCATGTGACAATACAATCACTCCGCATCCGGCAACGAACCCTCGACGCCCATACATTAAGCGTTGCATAAGACACGTCAACTGCATCGACCACGTCGCATGCTTAACTCCTGGCTCGCTCATGTCCAAGTCAAGACATAGCGATCCAACACACCATCGGTTTACCCACACTTCTGTTGGTCATTCCTTTAGCGTCCTCAATAGCCCACATCCTCAAGCTATACACGCAAGCTGTCATACTTGCATGTTGCCCAAGCCTTGGCGACATATGTATTCCGAATGTCCCACATAACCATCTATGCATTGCATGGGGTCGCAACCCATGTGTACCGGCATCCGAATATCTTCCTTCCCATCTTGGACAAGGCCGAACCCAAGCCAAGTCCATCGAGTATTGTCAAATGCCTCGCTAGCCGATGGCATAGCGAATGCCATACGTTGACCTCACTCTTTACAACGATGCGCAATACGAACGGCCCCGCGTGTTCGTACTGTCCTCGGGAATTCCTTTCCCTCGGAGACACAGATTATCCTTCAACAATCTTATGCCCGCCCTTATGACTACCTCCAATGTCATAAGGATGCTCGCTTAGTGCCACAAGGGTGTAAGCACCAGGGTGGTGGAGAGCATGACACCATGTCACCCCCTTATATAGCATTTTATGCATTTAGCCCTTCTGCCAGGAGGAAACATCACCTATGCACGATGAGTCATAATTGGGCATAACTCCCTCATACGAACTCCGAATGGCGAACCGTCAGTTGCGTTTCTTGCGTCTTGACATCACGAACATTTCGGTATTCTTGGTTCCCTCAGGTTCCTCCCGTAACCTTCGGAAATACCCAAAATACCCTTCACAAGTGCAACCCGGCCAACACCAACCATTCTAGCTCTTAAGCTCTAGCCTTTTCCACACTTAGACTACCTCTTAAGCGCATAGATGTCCCAACGGAGTCACGGTAGCACTTGTCTATGTGCGACCCGTGACATTCTCCCCCACTGATAGTGTCGACGTCCTCGTCGACGTGCCCCACTGCACTGTCGACTTTGGAATCACGATAGCACTCACTTATGTGCGATCCGTGACATTCTCCCCCACTGATAATGGCGACGTCCTCGTCGACATGCCCACTGCATTGTTGCATAACAACACCATATAGGAATATCCTTTTCTCTTCGCTCCAAGGACCACAAAGCACCACTGCCTTAACCCTTCTCAACTTCTCTTTCAAAGTTGTATTCCTTTCCCTCTTTTGGGCCGAGACCTCTGTCTCTTGCCGCACTCAACCATTGAACAAACACCTAGTTCGTTGGTCAAGTACTTCCACATTTTCCACATTAAAGAGATGCACCCCGCCCGGGCGTGACTCGAAAGCCAACCGTGTGTCCTCCACGGCACCTCCATTTGTTTGTGCTCCTGCACTGCCATACTTCCAAGGCATTCGAGGTTCTCCCCTACTGATCTCGTTGGCACACCTTCACCTCAAGGTGCCTCCACAGCAAAGTTCCACAACACTTAGGCCATCACAATTCACCAAGGTTAGACATCGCCCCTACTACGAGTAGAACCACCTGACTACCAACGCCCCAAACTCGGACTCGGCAGAACCACTTCTATAGCATCCCCACGGGAACAAGTAAGCTGTCAACACCCAAGTTACTCCAACATTGTATGCCATCAAGTGCGGACATACCCCATGTCCTTAGAAACCATGCTCACAAGTGAGACTCCGGGATCTACCTCTTTGGAACACTCCCTCGTTCCGAAAATCAGTTAGCAACCTTGTGTCAAACATTGTGCCTCACCACCCGTTCTCAACAATTGTAAGAGCAACCACTTAAGTGACTCCTTCATTAAAGCCTAGCCCGTCAGCGACTTACTCCCTCAATGGAGCCTAGCCCGTCAGCGACTTACTCCCTTCGAAGACTGCACCATTCCGGTCTTGAGCTCCCACAACTTTTCCCCGAACAACGGTCTTGCACCATCCGTTCAACACTCACCACCAACCAACTTCAACACAACCGCTTATGGCATGCGATGGTTTGAGTATTGCCAATCTTCGGCACTCTCACCAAGTTCCGCTGCCATTGTCTCCAATGAACTTCGTGGGTCTCCCCCACTTATCTCGTCGACGCACCCTCACGTCAACGTGCCTCCGAAGCAAAGCTCTACAACACTTTAGGCCTTTGCAACTCCCCAAGGTTCAATGTCATCCCTACTACGAGTAGAACCACCCAACCAACGCCCAAACTTGAACTTGGTAGAACATACTTCCGTAGCATCCCCAAGGGAACAAGTAAGACATCCTCCCTCAAGTTACTCCATCTTCGGCCTCCCACAAAGTGCGGACGTACTGTGTCCTTAGCCACCATCCTCACAAGAAAACTCTGGGATCCACCTTTGGAACACTCCAACATTCCGAATATTAGCTCGCAACCTTGTGTCAAACATTATGCAACACCCCCACGTTCTCCACAGTTGCAAGAGCAACCACTTGAGCGACTTCTTCTTTAAAGCCTAGTCCTTCAGCAACTTACTCCCTCAATGGAGCCTAGTTCGTCAGCAACTTACTTCCTTCAAAGACAGCCCCCTTTCGGTCTTCCGCCCTCACAAATCTTCCCTGAACAAGGGTCTCGCACTGTCTGCTCAACACTTGTTGCCAACATAGTTTACCACAACCTTCAATGGTATGTCATGGTTCGAGTGCTAGACAATTTCCAACACTCTCACCAAACTCGCGCTCCCATCCTCCCCACATCCTAAACTGAACAAGCAACATCACTTCGTCACAAGTCAGAACCCCTGCCTACCCGACTTCCGGGCGCTTGGTGCACGGATTAGAAAACTAGGCAACCGAGCAACAAAACCAACCATCATCCCACATCTTAGAGTCATCCTGCTTGATGTCTTCTCAGAACTTCGAGGCAATCTTTTTGGATACCTTCACCCTTCCATAGGATCCAGCACCAAGACGGGTTTCCAACAACCGTCACACAACCTGATTCCAACAATCATCCACAGTGACGTTGGGTTCTTCATCCAACTTCGCAAGTCCACTACCCATCACAGGCAATGACCTGCTACCTTGCTATCAAAGTTTCTCCATCACCAATCTCTTCTAGGTACGAATCCCTCACACAGAAACCACCATCTGAATCGATCAACTCTGATACCACTTGTCCTGGGATCAGAGCTTCACTGTTTGTATCAAAGGTGCGAATCATTTGAGCAGAAGCCACCATCTAAATTGATCAGCTCTTTGACATCCTTCTTCGAATCATTAGAGCTTTCACTCTGATACCACTTGTCACGGGATGAGCGAGCGGCGCGGCGCGGCAGAAGCGAAACACAAATTTCGCCACTCAAAGCACACCCGTGCGGCCCAAGATCCCATCGGATCCCAGTCAACCTTCTCCCACTTCATGATATCATGACTCTCACAACTCCGCAAGAGGTTCCCCTTCAAGTGTCGTCTTCCCCTAGACAACGAGTCACACTACCATGTGACAATACAATCACTCCGCATCCGGCAACGAACCCTCGACGCCCATACATCAAGCGTTGCATAAGACACGTCAACTGCATCGACCACGTCGCATGCTTAACTCCTGGCTTGCTCATGTCCAAGTCAAGACATAGCGATCCAACACACCATCGGTTTACCCACACTTCTGTCGGTCATTCCTTTAGCGTCCACGATAGCCCACATCCTCAAGCTATACACGCAAGCTGTCATACTTGCATGTCGCCCAAGCCTTGGCGACATATGTATTCCAAATGTCCCACATAACCATCTATTCATTGCATGGGGTCGCAACCCATGCGTACCGGCATCCGAATATCTTCCTTCCATCTTGGACAAGGCCGAACCCAAGCCAAGTCCATCGAGTATTGTCAAATGCCTCGCTAGCCGATGGCATAGCGAATGCCATACGTTGACCTCACTCTTTACAACGATGCGCAATACGAACGGCCCCGCGTGTTCGTACTGTCCTCGGGAATTCCTTTCCCTCGGAGACACAGATTATCCTTCAACAATCTTATGCCCGCCCTTATGACTACCTCCAATGTCATAAGGATGCTCGCTTAGTGCCACAAGGGTGTAAGCACCAGGGGTGGTGAAGAGCATGACACCATGTCACCCCCTATATAGCATTTTATGCATTTAGCCTTCTGCCATGAGGGAACATCACTTATGCACGATGAGTCATAATTGGGCATAACTCCCTCATACAAACTCCGAATGGCGAACCGTCAGTTGCGTTTCTTGCGTCTTGACATCACGAACATTTCGGTATTCTTGGTTCCCTCAGGTTCCTCCCGTAACCTTCAGAAATACCTAAAATACCCTTCACAAATGCAACCCGGCCAACACCAACCATTCTAGCTCTTAAGCTCTAGCCCTTCCACACTTAGACTACCTCTTAAGCGCATAGATGTCCCAACGGAGTCATGGTAGCACTTGTCTATGTGCGACCCGTGACACATAGCACTTAGACAAAACCAGCATCAATAGAATGCCTAAAATCAGCAAAGCCTTTTCCAGCAGTTTGACGAAAACCCATCGCACCCTGGAAATAATAGGCCAACGACCCAATATTGCACACGAGCCCAGCCCAGCGACTTGTAGAAAAGCTGGCGCTGTGCTCCATCCTTGTTAGGACTCCAAGATGGTCAAATAGGAAGCCATGACAGAGACGAACGGAAATCCATGAGTGTAAGAAGAAGACCCAGCGGACAAAAGCTCCACCTATCTCTTTTTCCGTTGTGAGCTGTGTTTTGAAAACCAAGGAGAAAAGAAGGAGGCGCTCCACCCCTATAGAGAAAAACCAGATGTGCCAAAACCTTAGAACCACAAAGAACTCCTTACCCATGCGCCTTAGATGGGAGAATTTCACCAAATAGGATTGAGTGGAAAGAAGCAACGAAAAAAGGAGGAAAAGGTTAGATGAAATTAGAGTTCTTCAAGCCTATAAAAGAGAGCTTTTTCTACCCAGAAGATCACCATTCAGAGCCTGACCAAGCTTTGTCAAGCAACTAAAAATTTACTCAAGCCACCCAACTTCTTCTTCGTTCGTTTTCTTCCTCCCTTAGGATAGAAATCGTGCCAATTTTCCTCTGCTCTACTCTAAACCTCCGTTCTATATAAATAATCCATGCTTTTTCTCTCTCTCAAATTGCTAAACTTGTGAAAGTTTAGCTCCCATGCCACAAGCTCCTCATGCTAAGCCATTAATCAATCTATCATGTTTATTTGGCTATTGGTGAAAAGAACCTGAGGGTGTTTTTCTAAGGTTTCATCAAACCCTTCAAAAACTCTTTTAGGAGTTTGGTTTCTGAACTCAGATACTTGGGGAATTTCTGTTCGTTTTCTTCTTACAGCAGCCCAAGCCCATTCGTCAAGCTGCTGGAACAAAAAGACCCCCACAACTTTCTACTTCTTTTTTTTGTTTTTTGTTTTTTTTTGTGAGTAGGAAGTTTATGATGTCATGAACCAGAAGTTCATGAGGCCCCAATATTACACAACTATTACAATAGTTGAAGATTATGATGTCATGAACCAGAAGTTCATTGATCAAATAATTTTTATGTTGTGGCATGACTATCCAATCAAGTCAATTTGAATTGATAATGATGGTGAGTTTATTTTCCTACATTTTGAGACAATTTTCCCACCGTTAGGAGGAGAAATGATAGTTCCTGAAGAATACTAAGTAAAATACCATAATGTAAGTTCCAACGTGTATCACAAGGACGTTTGAGAGTAGTCTCTTGATTTAACTCTTGCCCTGTTTCAAGATCATCAATTTCAAGAGCTTTCATAATATCTTTTTATTGTTGCTCTCTAAGTGCATCACGACACTTACATGATGCTCCAATAAAGTTAACGACACTACTAGCCGTTGTGAAGAAAGTAACAATGTTTTCATTTCCCTTTGCCACCGCTACAAGAGCTAGTTGTAGTTGATGTGCAAAACAATGGACATAATATGCTTGAGGATATTCTCTCAAAATCTGTGTTTTAAGACCATTGAGCTCACCTATCATATTACTAGCACCATCATACCCATGTCCTCATAGCCTGGACATGCTCAAATTTGTTGAAGAAATCAACTGTTCAATTGCCTTTTTCAATTTGCTACTAGTCGTATCATAGACATATTAGACACCCACAAACCTTTCAATAACTTGCCTTTTTTTGTTCACATAACGCAACACCACCGTCATTTGCTCTCTTATTGAAACATCACGTGATTCATCTACTAATATAGAAAAGAATGCATCATCTATATCACTCAGTGTTTTCAAAGGCATGCCTTCGCGCGCGTCGGCGCGAGGCGGGAGGAAAACGCTCGAGGCGGTCGGCTGTTTCACGGGTTGCATGTTTAGCGCTAGGAAGGTGGGAGAAGGCGTTGCAAGGCATGGACAGGCGGAGCAAGTCGTACCATATCTGAAAACTTTTGAATCGAAAGAAATTTGAGTATGCAAATTTTCTGCAAGGAAAACGACCTCGCGAAGAAGACGACTCGAATATTTTTTTTTTATAGGTTTGTAATGAAACGTCGTTTTGATTGCAGTGTTTTAAAAACAATCTTATAGTGAAACGACGTCGTTTCACTTGGAGTATGTTGAAAAAATAAAAAACGCAAGCTTCAGTTTTTTTTTCCTTACCTTTATTGTAACTTTTATTGTAACCTTTAAGACAAGAATTAATATATTTCTTTCTTTTTTTCCTAACTCCAACCGGTTGTAGCTTTTGTACTTACTTTTTTTTTCTTTCTCTAAATTAATATATTAACACATGGACTATATATATATATATATTGTATAGTACGTATACAACCCTAATTTCTACCCTTACCAGATAACTCCATCAATTTCAAGAATTCTCTTCATCTTTCGACTGCAAGTAAGTCTTTTTTTTTTAATTATTTTTTTTTATATACATGCATCATACTTGTATAATTTGACTGTAATAAACTGTAATTTGAAGTTTCATATAATTTTTTTCAATTTTTTATTATATAAATATACTAGTTATCTTATTTGTTTATGTGATATAGTAGAAATTTGATGTACATGCATCCCACTTGTATCTTAGAAATATTAATGGCATTGTTTTATAGATATGAATCGAAAAGATCCTGCGTGGAAGTATGCAAAACAAATAGAGGGGGAAAAATACTTGAGATGTGCATTTTGTGATCAAAGATGCAGTGGAGGAATTTCTAGACTAAGCATCATTTAGGTCAAACTCATCATGGGCCATTTGTCCAACATAATGAAGGTATTAGGGCTCACTCAAGTATACTATATGATGTTAATTTTTGGTCTCGTGTTGCTTTTGCATCAAAAGTGTTATTCCATTAGTATCGGTTTTGAGAGAAGTTGATTTAGAGGAGAGACCTGCTATGGGATTTATTTATAAGTTAATGGATGTTGCAAAAGAGAAGATTGCTTTTAATTGTGGAAAAGTTGAAAGAAAGTATAAACCAATTTGGAGAAAAATAGACGAAAGATGGAGCCCACAACTCCATCAACTTTTACATGCTGCTAGTTATTATTTGAACCCTCAATTGAGTTATGAATAAACCTTTTCTAATGCTGATGAAGTGAGGAAGGGATTGGAAGATTGCATGACTAGGATGTTGTCTTTTGAGGATCGTATGGCTGCTGATATCTAGTTGGACTTGTATGATGAGGCAAAATGAGAGTTTGGAAGTCGTCTTGCTATGAATTTAAGGAAACTACGAACTCCAGGTTATAATCTTTACTTTTTCATTTTCATTCGAGTATAATGAACACTTGAAATAAATGTTAAAATTAATTAGATGGATTTTTATTTTTTTTAGCAAATTGGTGGAAGCATTTTGGAAAGGACACCCCTGAGTTGACAAAGTTTGCTATTCGGGTCCTTAGCCTTACTTGTAGTGCATCTGGGTGTGAGAGGAATTGGAGCACATTTAAGCAGGTAAAGTTCTTCTATTCATTTATTGTTCAAATTTTGATGCTTCTAAATCTAATTTTGTATGTTTATATCATTTTAGATTCATACAAAGAAAAGAAATAGACTTGAACATCAAAAGCTCAATGTTATAGTATATGTGAAGTATAATATGGCACTAGGAGAGAGAAGTATTAGAAGGAGGTCAAAGATTGATCCAATATTGGTGAATGAAATTGAGTCCGATGATGAATGGATAGCTGAGGTTGAAGAACCAATTCTACCAACTGATCTTATTTGGCTTAATTCTCAAGAATTTTATATGATGTTGATGTCACCAGAAATATGCCCACTGAACCTTATGAAACTGATTTACTACTCGAGTGCCTATTATGTGGAGCCTGTTTATACCAAAATGAACACCCAATGAAAACCAAACACGTGGACCAAGCCAGGGCTACGTGTGCCTTCGGCACTCACCTTCGGTACCATACTTACCGATCTCAACATTAGGGCAACCTCGCCCACTCTGACACGTGGCAGCCTTACAACTGACGCCCAGAGTCCCACATCGAAACTCTACACAAATTGCACACCTCCCAAGGCCTATAAAAGAGGACATCCATCCCAACTTGAAGGTAATCAATCAGAACTTACGGCATACTGCCTATTGATCTGTAGTTCAACTTACTAAATCCGTACTTACTTAAGCATCGGAGAGCCTTCGGCCGGTACCACACCGGTGCCCTAGGATTTACCGTGTGTTTGCCATCTTACAGATCGCACACCCTACCGAGGACACCAGATACCGAAGAGACTTAATCACTAAGTTGCGCGGGAAAGTGCAGAACCATTTTTCTGCGTCAACAGTTTGGCGCCGTCTGTGGGAAACGATAAAATCAACCTACAATTCCTAAACAAAACAAATGGGAACCACTTCAGGACCACAGTTCCTATCAGAGGATGGATTACCGTACGGTATGCCAAGTGGAGCAAGCCCCGCGCTGCACCCTAGCACTCCCTTCGGTAATCCACCTGCGCTTCAGACCACGGTCGAAGCGGAGCTTCTGGCTCAAATGACCTCCCTCCGAAAGGAGATGGCTAAACTCCAAGAACGTAACAATCTCCTTTCGTCCAAAGTGGACGAAACCCAGCGGTTGCTTAATCAGCAGGAAACACAAAACGTTCGAACCACCGAATCTTCCCAGAGTCAGCAGACCCCCGGTCGGCAGAGGAAGGGAAAACAGGGGGCAAAGGCAACGCCTGCACCCTCCAAGCAGCTGGTGGTCCCAGCACCCCAGGACCAACCGCACGTACCGAAGAAGGTATACACCGATTGTCGTCATCGGATCAACGATAAGAAGGAGGCCGAACGGCATAGGTCCCCAATCAGAGTAAACGCCCACTTGAGGGACTCCCGGTGAGGGTCTTGGGGGATAAATCGCCCCATTCGGAGGGCTCAGGGTTTGGATTCGGCACTGGAATCCGATGATGAGTACACCCCACCCAGGGACACCGAATCGAACTACCGTTCGGAAGCTCCCCCGGAGTACTCGAAAGCGAGATCACCAAGTCCGAGGAAAACTTCCGAAGACTTTGGCTCTGAGGACGTCCCCAGCCGAGACCCCGCCATCCGATTACTTTTCCAAAGAATCCAGAAGATGGAGGAAGACCGAACCCGATCCCAGGTCCCTGACTGGGGGAAACTTCGGCCGGGGCCATTTACCGAGCGCATCAAGAAGTCCAGACCGGACAGAGAGGTGCAGCCGTTAAGCATACCCTTCTATACCGGTGTGGAGGACCCTCTGACGCACCTCCACTCCTTCCAATCGGCAGTTGGGTGTAAGGGCCTCAGCGACGAGGGACAATGTCTGCTGTTTCCCTCATCCCTTACCGGGGCTGCATTAAACTGGTTCTACCGTCTCGAGCCGGGGACGGTACACTCCTTTGACGAACTGAAGCAGATTTTCTCAACCACTTCATGATCCAGACGGACCGTTTGTACTCTGCCGACGATCTGTACACGATTCGGCAGAGGGAGGACGAACCCCTTACGGGAATACGCAGCGCGCTTCAGTCACGAGTACTCGAGGTGTCCCGAAACGGACGATAGGGCAGCCTACGGCGCCTTCAAGAGTGGCCTACGGTCCTCTCACTTCCGGTATCTCGTGCACAGTAGCAACTGGCGCACGTATGACGAATTAATGAAGCAGGCGGCAGTCCATGCGAAGGCCGAATACTTCAACTCCAAACCCGGGCCTTCGGCTCGGAAGGAGGAATCGGCAACCAAAAGTTATCCAAGCCGAACCGAGGACTCGTCGGCAGGACACAAACGGAAGGACGACCGGGATTGCCGTCAAGGGAACTCAAAGAAAGGACGTGGGAAGTACGGTCGTAACGACCACCGGGCGCCCCTACCGAATCACGATCGTGCTCAGGAAGTCTTCACCCTTCTGAACACGACGTACGAGACCGTTCTAATGAACGAACATGACCAGATCCCGAAGCCGACCAACCGGAAGCCCAATCGGCAGGATAATCGGGACACTGGCAAATTCTGCCGATATCACCAGCAGAACAGCCACAATACCGAAGATTGCATCAGTCTGAGGAAAATTGTCGAACGCCTGATTCGGGAAGGGAAAGTTGGATCAGTACCTTGCCAGGCCGCCACAGGCCCCGGCACCAAACGCGAATCGGCAGATCAACATGATCAACACGATCAGCGGTGGCCCCACCCTGGCGGGGCCCTCTAACCGTTCGATGAAGCAGTATGTGCGCGCCGCCCACTGCCCTCAAGTCTTCGGCATAGCGGAGGATCGGTGCCGAAAGTTGCCAAAGGTGGGATGGGAGCCCATCTCATTTGTGAAGAAGAAGAGGAGGGGATCATCTACCCCCACGACGACCCAATGATCATTCGGGCCGAGATCGCCGATACGACGTGGGTCGGGTGCTGATTGACACCGGGAAGCTCGGTAAACGTAATCTTTGCTGATGCGTTCAAGGGGCTGGGGATTGCCGAGAGTATGGTCAACCGGCAAATCACGCCTCTCCTCAGTTTTTCTGGGCGATCTGGTCCAACCAGTCGGTAGCATCAGTCTGCCCATCGCCTTCGGCGTCGCCCCCAGGAAGACAATGACCTACGATCAATTCCTCATTGTTGATTGCCCAACGGCATACAACGTCATCATAGGGCGAACGGCGCTCACCAGGGTGAAAGCCCACCTATCACCACACATGTTGCTGATGAAATTCCCGACACGCAACGGTACCGGAGCCATCTGGGGCGATCAGCTCAGCGCACGGACGTGCTATGCCAAGGCCCTTAAGTCGGTAGCCAGCAAACCGCCAATGGAGGCCATGACCTTGCAGGGATTACCGAACGGTAACAAACCTATTGACGACCCCAGGGAGGAAAACCCAACACCAATGGCACAGCCCGCCGAGGAACTCGAGACCATAATCCTGAACAAGGAATTCCCCGATCGGTGGGTGAAGATCGGCACCAATCTGGACCCCGACCTCCGAAGGCAGTTCATCGACTTCTTACGGCAGCATGCGGAGGTCTTCGCCTGGTCTTATGACGATATGCCCGGCATATCACCTGATGTCATCAGCCACAAGCTCAGCATCTCCCCCGCCCACAAACCAGTCAGGCAAAAGCGCCGATCGTACGATGCCGAACGGTATGAGGCGATGCGTGCCGAAGTTGACAAGCTCAAAGCCATCGGCTTTATCAGGGAAGCTACGTACCCTGTTTGGCTTGCCAACTCGGTCATGGTTCGGAAGGCCAGGGGAGGATGGCGAATGTGTCAGGACTATACCGACCTGAATAAGGCTTGTCCGAAAGACAGTTTCCCCCTACCGAGGATCGACCAGCTCGTCGATGCCACCGCCGGGCAAGAGCTGCTCAGCTTCATGGACGCGTATTCAGGATACAACCAGATCTTCATGGACCCTGCCGATAGAGAACATACGGCATTCATCACGGATCGCGGTTTGTACTGTTACAATGTCATGCCCTTCGGCCTGAAGAACGCGGGGGGCAACTTACCAACGGCTCGTCAACCGGATTTTTGCTAAATACATCGGCGGCATCATGGAGGTTTATGTTGACGACATGTTGGTAAAAAGCCGAACGGCAGGGGATCACCTGGAAAACTTGGCCCTCATGTTCGGTATTCTAAAGGACTACCGAATGCGGCTGAACCCGGCGAAGTGCGCCTTCGGTGTATCTTCCGGTAAATTTCTCGGGTTCATGATCAGTCAAAGGGGAATCGAGGCCAATCCCGAGAAAATAAAAGCCATAATCGACATGGAGACGCCGAAGACGCAGAAGGACATTCAGAGCCTTACCGGACGTGTCGCTGCCCTGACACGCTTCATCTCCAAGGCTACCGATAAATGCGTGCCGTTCTTCAAAGCTTTGAAAGGGGGCAAACATCATATAACATGGACTCCCGAATGCGACCAAGCATTTCAAAACTTGAAGAACTACATGAGCCAGGCACCACTGTTATCGAAACCGCTGCCAGGCGAGGTACTACTTCTATACCTTTCGGTATCCAACACTGCCGTCAGCTCAGTGTTGATAAGGAAGCCGGAGAAGGCGGAGCTACCGATCTTTTATGTCAGCAAGGCGCTCCAGAGCGCAGAGCTTCGGTACCCACCCTTGGAGCAACTAGCATTGGCCTTGGTCGTCTCGGCACGAAGACTTCGCCCTTACTTCCAGGCTCACGAAATCACAGTTCTGACGAACCAGCCTCTTCGGCAGGTGCTCCAAAAGCCGGAAACATCTGGCCGATTGGTCAAATGGGCAATCGAGTTGGGAGAGTTTGACATACAGTTCAAGCCAAGGCCTGCAGAAAAAGGCCAGGCTGTTGCCGACTTCATCTCCGAACTCACACCCCCTGCTTTATCGGAACCGTCATCACCGAGCGTCGTCCTTACCGCACCAGAGAAAATGGATGCCGAACGTTTTGACACTTCTGTTCCTCTCTGGATCCTGCACGTGGACGGCTCGGCAAACCAGCAAGGTTGTGGTGCCGGTTAGTGTTAACCACACCGGATGGTAGCAAAATCGAGTACGCCCTCCGATTCAACTTCCGAACCTCCAATAACGAGGCAGAATATGAGGCCCTCCTGGCTGGCCTTCGGCTAGCCCAGAGCATGAGCGCGAGGCAGATCAGCATTCACAGCGACTCCCAGCTCATAGTAAATCAGATAACGGCAGACTTCGCAGCAAAGGATGCCTCCATGTCAGCCTACCTATCGGCAGCCCACCAACTACTAAAAATTCCAGGCCTACGAGATACGGCAGATCCCCAGGTCGGAAAATAGCCATGCCGACGCACTCTCACGATTGGCCTCGGCCATAAATGACAAAGATCGGAAGGAAGGTACCGGTGGAGATATTATCCCAACCGAGTACAAACCGCCGCTGAGGTATGTACCGTTCGGTACGAAGACACGTGGATGTCTCCAATCTATGCCTACCTGACTGCCGGAACCCTTCCTACCGATAAGTCCCAAGCTCGGAAACTTCGCTACCGATCGGCAAGATACACAGTCATCAACGATGTTCTGTACAAACGGGGCTACACGACGCCGTATTTAAAATGCCTGACCAAGGAGCAGGGGGACTACATCCTTCGGGAGGTCCACAGCGGGAATCTGCGGTGACCACTCTGGATCCCGATCGCTCGCACACAAGGTCTTCCGGCAGGGTTATTTCTGGCCGACTCTGCACCAGGATGCGAACACACTAGTCAAGAGATGTGACAAATGCCAGCGGTTCGGTAGTGTCCCTCATATTCCCGCTGAGCCGCTGTCACCGATCGTGAGCCCATGGCCGTTCGCCCAGTGGGGACTAGATCTAATTGACCCGATGCCAGAGGGCAAGGGTCAGGTCAAATACGCTGTGGTTGCCGTAGACTACTTTACCAAATGGGTAGAAGCCAAAGCCCTAGCGACAATAACGGCAGCCAGGGTCGAGGATTTCGTCTGGACGAACATTTGCTGCCGATTCGGCATCCCCTACGCCATCGTCACGGATAACGGCAGGCAGTTTGATTCGAAAGTCTTTAGGCAATTCTGCACCCGACTCAAGATCAACCTGTTCTTTGCTTCGCCAACACACCCCCAATCGAACGGACAGGTCGAAGCCATGAACAAAATTGTCAAGAAGCTGTTGAAACGGCAGCTTGACAAAGCCAAAGGAGCCTGGCCGGAAAAGCTTCCAGAAGCGCTATGGGCCATACGGACATCCTACCGAACGGCAACAGGGGAAACACCATTCTCTATGGCTTTCGGTTCAGAGGCAGTAGTCCCAGTGGAAATCGGAGAGCCCTCCTACCGAACGAAAACCTTCGCACCGAAGGCAAATGAGGAAGCACTGGCTTTGAGCCTCGACTTACTCGAGGAACGCCGAGCACAAGCCAACCTTCGGAACGAAGCTTACAAGCAACGCGTCTCTCGGTACTATGACTCCAGGGTCAGATCCCGCTCTTTCCGAATCGGAGATTGGGTAATGCGGAAAGTCTCTTTGGCAACCAAGGATCCCAAGGAAGGAACCCTCGGACCTTCCTGGGAGGGACCCTACGAGATCATCGGTATCCAGCGATCGGGGACTTACCGACTCAGAGACTCCAACGGAAAGACCCTCGGTAATCCTTGGAACGTAGAGCATTTGAAGTACTATTTCAAATGAAGTCACCTTGCCTACGACAGGGTCGCAGAGGAGTCACAAAAGCCTTCGGCATCTCTACAAGCACAGCCTTCGGCATGATAGCGTTACCAAGCCAACGGCGGGTTCTAAATTGTAAAACGCGCTCCTAATTGTAATCTCGCCTTCGGCAGTTTATCAATAAAAGGGCCTTCGGCTCACATATTCGGCATCTTTGTTATACCTTTCAAATCTCTATATTTTTTGTTCAAAAAAAAAGGGTACGGTAGGGACCATCGGTCGCAGCAAACTACGCATTTTGGCATCGCCATTATCCTACCGATTAAAGGACAACTTTGTAAACTTTATTGGGCGTTATAGGCTTTCGGTAATTACGGCCATTGCTTTACAATCGGTAAGCACGACCATCGGTTTCAATCCCTAACAGATGGAACTCGTGCTTGAAAGGAAACGTTACTGGCCAACGGCCAATAACCGTTGTCTAAAAGCCTTCGGCATTAAACGAAAAATTTCCTAAAAACGCTACCGATTCAGAAGTAAGATGCAAGTAATATTAAAGTGAAAATATAAGCTTAATAAAAACATGCCCACGACATTAAATATCCAAAACAAAGATGCCAACGGCATCAGAGTTAGTACAAAATTACAAAAGGTACAGAAAATCAAAATTACATTAATGAAGAAATGATCAGGATGAAGGGCCCTCAGCATCCGCCCCTCAGCATCCGCCCCTTCGGCACAAGCAGCTTCGGACTCCTCCGGAGCGTCCTCTCCCTCGTACTCTTCGATCATCTCTTCTGTAACGCCTTCGGGAAGGGGAGGAGGATCGGCAATGAAGTTCAGGTTGAGCTTCGTCCCCAGGATTGTACCGCTTGAATCGGTAGATGAGATCCACCATCTCCGAGCCCACCTCCTTGTCAAGCAAGGCAGCGAAATCGGTAGAGTGGCGATACTACGTATGGCCTCCTGGACGGCAGCCTCAATCTTCGACGCTTTGGCACGCTCCGACTCCTCCAGAGCCACCTCAACGGCATCCTTCGCCTCCAGAGCCTCCTTAGCCGACAGCTGTGCCGATTCCAGGGCAGACGACAGATCTGCGAACTTGGACTCATAAACCTTGACCTGCCGTTCGGCAGCTTGCAAGTCCTTCACCAGGTTCGCATGGTCCTGGATAGCCTTGCCAGCCTCGGCAACCCTGGCCCTGCCGTCGTCGTAGGCCTTCTTCGCCTTCTCGGCGGCATTGATGGCCCGCTTCATGCAAAGCCACATGTCCATCGAAGCCTGCAGAACGACGAGCATGTCAGCAAAGATACAAATATGATCGGTAATCTGGACTTGAGAATGTTCTGGACTTACCGATGCCTGAAGACGAAAGGCGCGACCCGCCTCCTCCCGAAGGAGCTTCTTCGGCAGCTCCTCGATCTCGTTCAGCTCCATTTGCGAACCAATGATCATGTGGTTCGCAAACTGGACCGTCTTCGGCGGACAGGCCAGGGTGACGGGATCGGCAGGCTCCTCGTCATTTTCAGCAGCGAAGATAGCCCGCGTCGGCTCGGCCTGCCGTCCGCGTTTTGCTGCCGGTTCGGCATCTAGATCGACGGTGAGGGGCCGTTTGCCGGCCGCTCGGGATGAAGCCCCTTCGGTAGTGGCGCCTCGGCGAGGAGAAGGGCCGGCGGCTGCCGCTCCGGCCTGTGCTGATTCGGCATTGAGCTCGCGGAGACGGTCGGCCAAGGTCTGGTCCTCGGGGTCAACCGATGCCGAACCCTGAGGCTGGTTCTTCTTCTTCTTCCCTTGGAAGCCCATCATGAGACGGCGCTTGGAGGACTCGTTCATCCCCTTAGCCTTGGCAGCTCTCCTATCTTCCGTCACTGCGAAAAAAAAGGGTTCGGTAAGACCCGCAACAGAAGGGAAGAAACAATTTGTAAATTACGAAGTATACTTATTCTCGGCAGGATCGACCAGTTGGGCCCAGATCAGATTGGTGGTGAAGAGGAACTGCGGATACACTCTCTCCTCGATAGGGACTTTCCTCCTCACTCTCTCCACCTGCTGAATCTCGGCCTGTGTTGCGATCGGCTGCTTCAGCTTACCTACAAAAAGAAGAGAAAGGAAGGGTTACTTACGGTAAACAGATAACTCGGAGAAGGTACCGAACGGCACGTGGTCCTACCGGCCATTTGGAAGGTTGTGGGAATGCGAAATCGGACAGGCTGTCCCGAAGGCGACTCCCAGTCGCCCGAGAGGAGCACCCGCCGATTCCTCCACGACTTCTGTGAAGTCGGTACCCAGCTGACAAAGTGGCCTCGATCGGTAGCCCTGAGGCAGTTCGCCTGCACCCACCCGCCGTGATCGGCACACTTGGACTTGGTAACGCTGTACAGATGGGAGAACTGCTCATAGGAGGGGCTCCCTTCGCCAGCCATGCCGAAGGCCGTTATCACTCCCATGAGGGCCACCCAGAAGTTGGGGTTTAATTGCCCCGGGGCGTAGCCGATCTGGGCTAGAATCCTCTGCACCGCCGGTTGCAACGGCAACCGAACGCCTTGCACAAGGACGTCGGTAAAGAAAACTACTTCGCCGTCCTTCGGCGCACTAAGGGATTCGGTAGGGCCCGGGATCCTCATCCGTACCGAGTCGGGAATGCGGTATTCTGCTCGTAATTTGGCAATCTCCCTATCGGTAATCTTGTTCGGCCCAAGGTAGTCTACGCCGAATAGGTTTTCCTTCGACACCCCCATAGGCATCCTAGGGTTGCTTGGGTACACTACCGATACCCTGGGCCCAGATGGCGGATTGGCTACCGACTCTCCACGGCCGGAAGTGGAGGTCTCCGACTGACGGCTACCGCTCGCCTCCCCAGGCATACCGAGGCCCACGTGGCGGCCGTCACTGTAGACGATGGACAACGGAATGGGAGCGGTCATCAGCCCCTTTCCGATTCCGTGCGTTGGGATAGAGCTGGGCCCTTCGCCGAGTATCTCAACGTCGGTATCGCTCCCACCCTCGGCATCAGCCCCTGCCGCTTCGCCGTCGGAGTCAAAGAGACCGTCCGATGACTCCTCGTCGAACGCATTGGGCTCGCGCTCGGAGAATGACTCGCTATCAGACATCTACAAAAACAGGAAAAAGGGAAACTAAGGCTCATGCCGGACGCTATCCTACCGATTCCTACATCGCTACCTATGGCGACTAGACTACCGAAAGGAACCCTATGGTCAGTCTAGTTCGAACCAAGGAAGGACGTAACCCTTAAAGAATACAGCAGATTAAAGAGAAGGGTGCCGAACGGTACCTTAAAGTGTGCTCTCGAAGGTAAGCATGATCTGCTCTTCAGGATGCTTCCTACCGTTCGCAATGCCGGGAATCGCCTTCCTACCGTTCGCAATGCCGGGAATCGCCTTTCCTACCGTTCGAAATGCCGGAAATCGCCTGATTACCGAAAGCCCTCGTCGGAAATCGCCTCAAACAGAGCTCTCACTTCTCACTAGATGCAAAGTGAGTTCGCCTCCGGGGTCATCTCTATTTATAGGGGGAGCGGTTGGCAACGGTACTCCTCGAAAAACCAAACGGCGCATTAATGCGCCGCGCGCCATCATTACTTTCGCCACGTGTCGCTCACCCAATGGAGAACTGACGGCACGCGAGGCGCGGAAGTCGAAGCGCTCAGACGTCTCTTCGCCCATCAGATCGACGCGACCTTCTGACTTCACCAACGTCAGCCTCTGAGCTGGTCATGCCGGAAGGAACAAGGTTTGGCCCCTCCCCCGAGGGGGTTACCGAACGGTAAGGCCGTGTTTCCTCCCGAGGATGACTTCAAATCCCCTTCCGAAGACTCTCGCAAGGGGACTTGGGGGACTCCTGTTTATACCAAAATGAACACCCAATGAAAACCAAACACGTGGACCAAGCCAGGGCTACGTGTGCCTTCGGCACTCACCTTCGGTACCATACTTACCGATCTCAACATTAGGGCAACCTCGCCCACTCTGACACGTGGCAGCCTTACAACTGACGCCCATAGTCCCACATCGAAACTCTACACAAATTGCACACCTCCCAAGGCCTATAAAAGAGGACATCCATCCCAGCTTGAAGGTAATCAATCAGAACTTACGGCATACTGCCTATTGATCTGTAGTTCAACTTTACTAAATCCGTACTTACTTAAGCATCGGAGAGCCTTCGGCCGGTACCACACCGGTGCCCTAGGATTTACCGTGTGTTTGCCATCTTACAGATCGCACACCCTACCGAGGACACCAGATACCGAAGAGACTTAATCACTAAGTTGCGCGGGAAAGTGCAGAACCATTTTTCTGCGTCAACAGAGCCTATTAGTGATCCTAGGACTCAAGATCGAGGGAATATTCATGTTAGGACTCAAGAGCCTATTGTCCATCCTAGAACTCAAGATCCTATTATTGATGATGATCTTATTCTTGACGATGATGTTCTTCTTTCCTCGTTTTCTTCAAAAAAGAGAAAAAATGGTGAAACCTCAAGTAAGTATGGAAAGTAAATCATGGAGTGAAAGTTACAATTAGTGTTTAATTCATTACCACTAAATTTTATAATTTTAATTCATTTTTCATATGTACAGGTAAGAGGAAAGTCAAAAGCAAGTCCATAAGAGCGATGTTTATGGATGAAGATGATGAGATAGATAAAGATCCTTCAACATTTGATAGTGGGAAATATCCTTTTCATATTGATACAGTTGATCAATATGATAGTGATGCTAGTTTGAATGATATTAGTGTTGAGGAGTGGGATGAGTGAATTATGTTTTTGTTTTGATGTTGAATAAATATTTTATGTTTTGGGATTGATTATTATGTTTTGAATGACAATTAGTACTTATATTTGATTATATTTAAAAGATTGTTATGGTTGAATTAGAATTAGTTGTAAAATTTAATCGTATTGTATTATTCATAAATTTTTCTTATTAAAATAACTTAATGTTCAAAAGGCTTACGCCTCGCATAGCGCTACTAAAAACACCTCGCCTATACACCTCGCCTTTGAAAACATTGATATCACTAATAATTGCATCAATGGTTTCAGCAGCACAAGCATTGACAAGATCTTTTTGAATTTTAGGAGCAATATACTTGAGATTCCCTGGAGCGTTCTCAAACACAACGGCACAAACTTTCTCATCATGATCGGCAAGAAATTGCAAAAGCTCCACATAATTACCCTTATTACTAGATGTTTTGCTTTCATCATGGCCACGAAAAAGAAGACCTTGTCGTAATAAATATCTAGTGCAATCAAGTGCGGCAGTTAATAGAATGTGATAATTAATACGAGCTTGGTTTGTCTACTTGATCACAATGGTTTCAACGTGTTGCTTCTGATTCATTAAATCTATACAATGTTGTGTAGCTTTATTGTGAAGACTTCCAACTTGTCCAACATGGTCTCTAAAATTCTTAGGTCCCTTCCTCCAATTTTTAAACCCTTTCTCAGTGAAGACATCGCTTCCAGCCTTTCCTTGTTTATCAAAGTCGCATTTAAAAAGATAACAATGAAGACAAAATACAGCATCTTTCTCTGTACTATACTCCAACCAAACAAATGAATCAAACCATTTCACAAGAAAACGTCGATTACTCTCCCCCATAAGTGTTTGAGGCATGTCGTTTTGGCTTTTAGGCTGACAAGGACCCCTTTGCAGATAGGCTCTTCGGATTTGTTCTCGAAAATTGGGATTATAATAAGTCATTGGAGGTCTAAGGCCAGGGTCTACAGGAAGATTAGCCAATATTTCATCCAACTCAGTAGGTGGATTATTTGAAGGTTGATTTGAACTAGCCGGATTATTTGAAGGAGGGTTGGAACTAGCCAGATTATTTAAAGAAGGGTTGGAACTAGACAGATTATTCGAAGGAGGATTTGAACTACCCGGATTATTTGAAGGAGGATTTAAACTCTTTCTCTGAAAGTACCGTTCCATAACTGTACAATTGAAACAAAATAAAGGTTTTATATCTATTACTATGACTAATTGACTATAATTTATCAATTAAATAAATAAATAAATATCAAATTATCAATTAAATAAACAAATAAAAATTAATTATACCTCAAATAACGTGTCACCTAGCCTCTTCTTCCTCGAGTTTTCTACTGATCTTACTAATACAGAGAGAGCTAAATAAGAAAAAAAAATTATTAAAAAAAGAATAAACAAAATTGGCGTTTGCTCAAGAAAAAAAAAATGCATTCGACTTACTTTGGATTGGCGTACTCAAGAAAGAAAAAAAAACGCAGGATTCTTGTGATGCACACACACTTTGATGAAATTGGGTGATGTTATTGGTCTTTTATAAAGAGAATTCTTAATTCCACTTAATTAAGGAATTCCCAAAACCCAATTGAATAAAAAGAACTCCCAATTAAAACCCAATTAAGTAAGGAAATAGAAGCCCATTTGAAAAGCCCACAAAAAGCCCACGGATACAGCAGTTTCTTTTTTTTTTTTTTTTTTTTTTATTTAAAAACCCTGGCCCAAAACGACGTCGTTTTGGCTAGGTTTTGAAAAGAAAAAAAAAGCGCATTTTAAAAAGCCTGGTCTAAAACGACGTCGTTTTGGCCAAGCTTCGTTTAAAAATAAAAAAATAAAAAAAAAGCACGCACACGCTGCGCCCTGTGCGCAGCACCAACAGCTTCCCTAGCCCAATGGTTTGCGCATTTCATCGAACACATTATGTGCATCGTTGTTCTGGAGCAGAGGTGCAACTCCAGTGGATATTTCCCGCGACTGGAGGTGCAGGCGCACCTCCTTGCGCTTGCACAGGTCTGCCACTACGTAGAGCTGGCCGTCGCTTTCTTTAAATAATTATTTTATTTTATTTTTTTGGCGAAAGCGACAAAAGAACCCGACTAACACAAAAGAAGGACTTGTTGCCATGCGAAGAGGGCGGGAGTTGGAGAATATAAATAAATAAATAAATAAAAACACTTTCTCAACATGAATGCATCAACAAAACAGCCCATCACATCTTCAGTGCCATTTGACTTGTCAAATATCCACTGGCGGACCTAGTAAGGCGCAAGGAGGTGCAACTGCACCTCTCCTCGCCAGGAAAACTATTGTAGGTGCTTCAAATTGCCTATTTGCTCAACTGGTGTACATATTACCTTATTTCTATTTTCAACATTTAAGTAAATGTTTTTGTCCTTTTACTTTTATTTATTTTTATATTACTCAATTTACTTAAGTTTACAATGTAAATAACGAAGTACCCCCCATTTGGATTCAAATAAAAATACTAGAAAATCAAATTCCCACCAAATCAAAATATGAAAATTCGGTTTTAGTGCAAAATATAATTTAGGCTAAAAATGATGGCTCATTAAGTTAATATATACTTCATACTAAAATCCCATAAAATCAAATTTTCTTATTTGATGTGTAAGGAATAAAAGAAGCCAAAAATTATCTTGAGAAAATAATTATTCCAAAAAATCATTTTTCATACTTAGTCAATATTGCACCTCCGCTAAAAAAATTCTGGGTCCGCCAGTGCAAATATCAACAACCATCACCATCCAGTGGAGGATCAAAAAAATGAGTAATTTTTGGGTTACACCACGTGGCTAGTGTACCATCCAATAGACGGAAGACATGGAATATTTGCAATGCAGCCTGCCACATGTTATAAAAAGAAATGTAGTAAGTTAAATAATAATTCCACATGTCATATGTTTATTGGATGGTGCACCAGCCACGTGGTGTACCCAGAACATATAAAAATTTCTCCAAAAAAACTTCTGATTAGTTAAAAATATCTAATAACTTCAAATATTGGAAAATTCAATTTAAAACTAAAAATAAGATTAAAAAGTCACATAATCTTTCAAATAAAATAAAACAACTAAAATGCAGCTTCTCCTCCCCTATCCCCACCGCCTGTACATATCATCCACCATCTTTCTCCCCACCCCACCCAACACCACTCAAGCTGCTATACCATTAACCCTCTCTCTCTCTCTCTCTCTCTCTCTCTCTCAGAGAAACCAACAGCCCTCCCCCTTCACTTTTTGTGGATTTTTATTTTATTTTTAATTTTTTGTTTAAATAATTAAATAACTGTCTAATGAAAAGTAAAATTAAACTCTAACATGTCATGTCTTTAAACGCTTAGATTATTAAAATAGTCAAGATTTTGCGAAATGCAGGTAATGTACGAAATATAAATGTAGAGGCTCAGAATTCTTTAGTTATATACACATTCTTAGCACTAGTGATATATATAAACACTACACCATTTAATTTATATAAACAAACCCAAAAAAAGACAACGGACCCTTTGAATTTAATTTTGATTATTAAATTACTTTGACGCTCTGTTGAGTATTTTGGATTTTTTTTTAAAATGAGATTTTGGTATTTTGCTTGTTTTAAGAAATAGATGACAGTTTTGTAATTTATAAGAAGTTCGAAGCCTCTTTGTTATGTTTATTTCATGTAAAAAAACATTTATAATTTAGGCCCTTATATTGAATATAATAGTGAACTCTCTTTTCTTTTATTTTTTTTATTTTTTATTTTTTTAAATACCGTTTCTCTGTTTCGACGAAGTGATATGTCTCAAGTCAAACACTGCAGAGAGTTTACACTTTCACCACACTGAGTCAGTGGATCCAAGACGAGGTTCAGAAAAGAAAAGATGGAAAAATATTTTTCCGACTATTGAAAGTACCTAAACAGCTCTATAGGCTTTGATTTTCTCTTGCAGTTATGTTACACGTTTTCAGTTCAACAAATTCTTCTGTAAACTTATTCTGATTAATAGTACAAGTTCACTCAGAATACAGGAAATGAAACTAAGGATGGCTCAAATTTGGCATAACACATACAATTACAACTCCACAGCTTAGAAACCCCGAGGGAAGATCCATGCATGTTAGCTCTAAAACTTTAATGCCCTTCTGAATCTCTATGGACAGGACGGCTACCCCCACTTATCTTTTAGGAACAGGAGAACTATATCTTTGCCTTGGTGGACGCCTTGTCCTCTTACCCCAACCTGTTAGACTTCTTTCCTCAAGTCCCTGCAGCTCCTTGCATCTCGGTTCTTCAATCCGGGGCTGGCTAACTACAGCTACAGTAGTAGAGGGAGCAGCAGTTCCCATACGCTTCCTCCCCCTTCCCTTGCCAATCTTACCGGCATTTGTCTGAGTCAAACTTGACTGCCAACTGCCTCCACTTTCTCTAATCAACCCTTCAATTAATTGAAAATCCTCCGTCACCTCATTTCTTGACAAAGAAACAAGACCGGGAAGTACATCTCTCCGGAAATCCTTTCGTTGTCTGCCCCTCCTCGCCTGACCTCTTCGTGGACGTTTAGGAAGCAGCAGTTCTTCTCTTGGGTTCTCTTGATTTGGAGGCACATAGCAGTACTTCTCTACCTTGGTTTCCACCAAATTTAATGTCATGTGCTCAAAGAAATCTATCACATCATCTTCATCACAGGCAGTACCGTTAACTTCTGCCACTTTATCATTGTCAATATTTCCTTCATGTGAAGAAATTAATTCTGCAAACCAAAGAAGGGAGTCATTTTCTGAAGCATCTGTTTCGTGACAAGTGGCACTTTCATGAAGATGATGTGCAGCCCTGTTCTGCATATCATGACCTTGGGATGATGAAATGGCAACTAGAGCCTCAGCTGCAACTCTGAGAAGGCCCTCATGAGGTAAGTCAAGAGGTTCCTTACATTTGCTTTGCATAGAATATTCCCCATCTATATCTGATTCAATTATCACTGGTGCCTCCAAATCAATCACAGTTTCAGTTCTCATAATTGGAGAGGCGGCAGTCATTTCAGTTTCTTCTTCAGTATAACATCTATTTAAATCTATTTGGTGTCTCGAATCAGCATTGGCATCAAACAATCTATTTTCTAGAACCGGACCATCTGCTTTCAGTTGCACTGTACACATGTGTGACACAGGATCCAGAACCACATTACTTTTAGCTGATTCAATTCTAAAGGTGTAGCCATTTTCAACTGCAGAAGGAAGACCACCAGATTTTGAGGATGAACAAGGATAAGGAAAAGAAACCTTGTCAAACATAGGAAGAGCAAAACTTTTCCTAGTCTTCATCCAATCACCTATTTCAACTCTCCAATTCTCAGCATCATGGCCACGCATTAACGATGAGGAATCCTGAACAGGACTTTGATTGGGGCCCTTTCTTAAATAGGTTTGGTTCGCAACATTGTGGTTGCGGTCTCCATTTGGGAAAGCAAGGCTGATTGAGGGATGAGAAGCTTGTAGTTCATTGGTATCCGATTTTGCATGAAAGCATACACCATTTTGGTGCGACACTTCAGCTTTTAGACTGGGAGTTGATGGTATCGAATTACAATCTACAAGCAATCTGTCCCTGATAACTTCAGTGCTTTGCTGCAACATGATCGAAGTCTTATCAGATTGTGAGGTATTCAAGGAAGTGTTTCCTTGAGCTAATATTAAGTTCTGGCTCAAGCTAATTGGAGGTTTTGTCCAATTAGGAGATGACTCAGAAATGGTCACATCAGACTGCAAAGGCTTAGCAGATGAAAAGATATCTCTTTCAAAAATTTCTATACCAAATATTGTCCTCTTTCTTTGCTTCTCCATTTTATTCTGCTCAGACGGGAAAAACTTAGCAGGCTCACAGACTATCCTAGCTTCAGTTTCTGATGATTCACATGGCTTATTAAAGTCTTGAAGACCAAACCTTCCACTAGAAAAACTTCTTGTTTGTTCTGAAATAAACCAAACCATTTGTAAGCTTTTATACTCTTGTGCTTTGTTAGCAGTAAAGTAAACAATGGAGGAAAGATGCTCAACTAGTTGTCTTGGTGATATTGTTCATTTAGTTAAACCAATTATGAAATAAGCTTAGAGCGTTTCTTCTGTAATAATGAATCTTAGAGAGAAGACATTTCAGAAATAAAAAGGAAGTTAAATAACTATTTCCTTACCAGCCTTGAGAGAATTTGTTGACCACTCTTTTTGGTGCCTTTCGTTCTTTAAATGCAGATTACTAACTCTTCCATCCTTCCCCATTTGTGGGTTTTCAGGGAATTTCTTTGCAAAAGGCCAGACGCCTTTGTAGGCATTTGCAGATAAAACCTGCCTTTTTATCTCCTCTTTGGAGCTGAAGTCATTGCCAAAATTAAAGACAGAAGTTGAAGTGGACACTTTGTCTATCTGAATAGGTTCATTCAGATCAGTCAAACCACTGCTTCTTTCTATATGCAATACATTGTTATAACCGGATGTTTCACCAATGTGATTAGATAAAATATCATCTTTTGCTTGAGTAACCTCAATTTTTTTGTTAGGAGGATAACTTTCTGTACCTGACCCCATGAAAACTCCTCCTGGTTCTTCTCCATCACTGATGTATTCATCGGCTGGAAGTTCAAGATTGAACAATCTTCTCCAAGGCTTCTTCCCTCTGGAATCCGGAGATTCGTGGTCCTTCATCCTGACTCTACTTTCGCTGGGGCCACCACTGGTTTGCAGGGTTTTTCCAATAGAATTACAAGGAGATTGGCTGATACCAGTACTCGATGTACATGGTCTACCAAAGCTGGAATCAACCAAGGGTAAATTAGAATTATGCCTACTGTTTCTTTCATCTTCATTTGGAAAGCCAGAGGAAGAGAAAGTTGATAGTGACGTCCCTGCTACTTTTTGATGTTTGAGTGGTTCTTTGCTTTTGATCTCGTTCATCAAGTCCTTTTGCCTTTCGTAAAGACGATGGAGTTCATTGAGCTGAATGAGAAATCACACATAAAGGTGTTCAAATATTAGCTAACGATTTTGAGTACTCAAAGTTTGACACTTTTTTACCAATATAAAACCATTGTTGTCTGATATTTTCTTAATACTGAAATAAAAGCTATAGTTATAATCACACTTTAGAGCACAACAGATTTAGGTTCTAGAATATACACCTGATGCCTGAATACTGACTCATGCTTCAGTATAGTTTGCCTCATTTGTTCCTTATCGCGTCCATGAAATCCATCCATAATCGGCCTTGTCAAGAATAATTCATATTGTTGCCCATTCCTCAAGTTTTTGTTCTCATGGAGTAGGGACCAGCTACCATGGCCAACATTGCTACTTAGTTTCTGTACAGAATAATATCCTGGTAGATACATCTTTGACTGTACTTCAGTTCCCATTCCTGCAATTAATTCAGACGCGTTGCCAAATCGGTTTATACATAGAATGAAGTAATAGTTTAACCAAAAAAAAAGTAATAAATTTCAAAGGAGGATCAGAGTAGACAGATTGCACACTGAAACTTGAGGCAACTCACTAATTCTGACAAGATTTCAAAGCATTATAATTTCTCTTGAAGGCATCAATAATAGCTCAGCCATATGCGATACCAGAAAACTAATCAACTGAGAAAGCATAAATCTGTGTCAGCTGTTTTCAAGACATAATTTTGGAAATTGCAAGTAGTGATATCATTTAATCATAGTTCCACGTTAGCACATCTTCAACCCAACAACCCTTGCCTGTCCATCTAAGTTTCTTGAAAGGAAAGAACTTATCATCTTAAGCTACATGCAGCTCAAAGTTACCATTTTAAAATTCGAATTATGATGGTACATCTTATGGATAAAGAATAAATACACGCGTTTAACTAGTCCATCAAATCATGCAGTCCAAAATCTGAGCCTAGATGGAAAAATAGCAGAAGCAGAGATACAGTCAGTTCACTGAAGAAATTCATGAAAGAAATAGATTTACAGAAAACTAAATTATTACTTAATCTGCTGACAAAACCTAATCGGGAGTCGAAACAAAAACCAAAGTGAAACATGATTAACCAAAGAACTTTCCTTTTCTTTGTTCTCGAACTAAAAAAGTTCACTTGTTTGAGACATGGAAAAAAATTACAGCACTAGAACTTTTCAGTTCAAAGAAGGCACATTTTTCCCGCACGAAGTCCTACATCTTATTAACTAAAAATCTAAGTCTAATTAACTATCTAAACTTGCACTGGGTAAGACTATGGGTTGTTGATTGAAGAAATGAACACATCCACAATTTATTCTCAGGATATAAACATGAAAGACTGAAAAAAGAATGGATAAAACCAATTTCCCAAATCAGACGTTAATTACTGGCTGAAGATTAAATCAGCACTACAAAGTAATAACCAAGAAAATAAATAAACCAGAGAGAAATAAACAACACCATTAAAGAAGCCACACAGAATTGAAATTTAAAAATTACCTCATATGGTGATCCTCCTACAAGCTTTATCAGAGTTTCCCTACAAATTCACCGAAATTTCCAAAAACTGGCAGCGACCTAGAAGAAACCAATCGAGCTCCATCATAATCCACAGCCGCAATACAGAAGACTGAGTGAACAAAACAAGTCAGAACAACCCAAGAAGTCCACGAACCAGAACACAAACAACAAAGTGGGGCACTTGTTTGCTGCCATTGAATAATCAGAACAAACTTAGAAGATTATTATCTCCAGACAAGAGAATATGCAGCAATTCAGATCTGCTGCGGCAGAATCTGATGGTGAGAAAATAGAGGGATCCCACATCACCCCAAAACTAGAGAAAAAAGATCTTTCCTTTTTAATCTCCCCCACGGACAGAGAGAGAGAAGCAAAACAACAACAACAGCAAATGACTTGTTCAAAGAACAATGACTTCAAATTTGTCAACTTGTGGTCTGCCTCTCTCCATTTATTCTATATACCTTGCTTCTCACCTATGGCTTTTGCTCCAATGATTTTCTTCCCCATTTAATTATTACTTTTTCCTTTCTGGGTTTTTGAGGATGTGAAAGATATGGCTATTTTTTTAACCTTTTTCTTTTTCACATTTTCTAGATTCTCTCCACCTTCCATGCTTTTTGGGTACAAAAATATTTATATTCGGAAAGTACTTAAAAAGATGGAGACACCTGGGTTCACTGAAGCAACAACCTAACAGTTTCCGAAAGTGTTACTTCAGTTTATCTTCCTCGGAGTGCCACATTCACGCGCGGTTTCATGTCCAGCCACGTAAGTACGTCATGACGTTCGAGGTCTGAGGTGGTCGGGGGTTTTGACTACGTGCGTTGAAAGGCGCGTAGATCGTGTTTTTCGTTGTTTAAGACTTCCAAAATATGAGAAAGAAAATTGAAAAGTACGCTGTTTTTATATTAAATATTTCGCACTTATATGCCAAGAAAGAAATTTAGATTGGTTTTTGGATGATTGCTTTTGTTTGTTTTTGTCCAAATCTGATTGGCGTTTTTCTTTATTCTGATATTATTGGGGTTTTATTATAGGTCAACTCAAAAGACTCAAAGACTCAAAAAGTTGAACAAAATACTAGGGGGATGAATTTCAATGTTATTTCCTTACATTTTATTCTTTTCTTTCTTTCTTTCTTTCTTTCTTTGTGCACAATATTATTACAAAAATGCTAGTTATATTATATTTATATATCACATTGTGTACGGATTATGAGTCTCTGTATTCACATTGTGTATGGATTATGAGTCTCTGTATTTAGTTCCCGTGTATTTACCCTCACTTCGTTAAATCTAAGACACTCAAATAATCTAACCATCCGACGACGATAGCGATGGATAGGCATTCGGTCCAGACTTGAGTCTGGAGCTTGCTCCGCCAGCATCCAAGGTAAACACAGACACTCTTCCAACAATAAATGTGAAGATATGAGGTTGATCCTCATTGTTCTCTATGATCTCTCTTCTTCTTTTTTTCTCAAATTATTTGTCAAAGATGTTTGACAGTGCTGTATTCTATTAGGGCTTTTATTTCTTAGATGTTTGACAGTGGATTACTGCTTAATTTTTTGTTGTAGATGATGAGTAAATTCTCGAAGCCTAATGCAGAATCCATCCAATGACAATGTCTCTAACCCTACGCTCAAGAGGAAGGGGAATGAGGTAAGCACAGAAACTCCACCCAAATATGAAGATACTTGAGTTGTTTCTATCAATTTTTTTTCTTAATTTTACCTGTAGTTTTGATTATGTAGAATATTGACTTGGAAGTATAGTATTTACTTATTTTAAAATTATATGTACAAAAATTAAATTAAATAACTAAAAGTTGGAAGATCTTGGAATTTACAATCACAATGCTAACATGTCTAGCTCTAAAGTCCTTTATAAGGACAATGCTAAGTGCATTTTAATCCTGCTTCATAACTGTTGTTCCTAAGCAGAACCCACTCTTCCAACACTATATTTGAATATATGAAGTTGATCCTCATTGTCCTGTACGATCTTTGTACTTTTTCTTTCAATTTGTTTCTCCAAGATGTTTGACAGTATTGTATCCAATTAGGGCTTTTATTTCTCAGAGATGTTTGACAATCTTGTATTCGATTATTGCTTAATATTGTTGCAGATGATGAAACCTATGGAATCCAACATGAGACATGTGGAATAAAAGGGAAACCCCACTGCCTCTTTGGCTCGTGGTAATTGCATGATGACGATGTAAGATGTCGACATGAGATTGGGGAAGAAAAATGAGTAGGAGAGCGAGCGAGAAACTTAAGATGGAGAGAAATGCGACATATATGTAGGAGGAGCAACCGCAACCTTAGGATCTTCAAACCTAAGGTTGGAACCAAATTGGAAACATATTATTAGAAAATGTAGAAATGATTAAAATAAATTAAAATCATTATGTAGTGTTCGTGTGTTTACTTACAGATGATCACTGCCGCTCACGACTATATGGGTCAAACCCACCAAAGTTGAATAAATGCACAACCATGTGAGCGTCCAACATGAGAATGGTTGAAGAAGAGGAAAACTCCACCGCCTCCTCAATTCATGATAGTGGTGGGATGACGAGATGAGATTATGGGAGTAAGAGAGCGAGCAAGAGAGATCAATCGGGAAACTTAAGACGGATAGAAATGCGACATATATGTACGAGGAGCAGGAGAACTATCCACAACCTTAGGATCTTCCAACCTAAGGTTAAGAATCTTACCGAGAAATGTGACATATAGGTAAATGGAGTAGCCGCAACCTTAGAATATTCCAACCTTAGGTTGGAACCAAATTGTAAACAGATTATGAGAAAACGTGGAGATGATTAAATAAATTAAAATCATTGCATTGTCTTTGTGCTTTCACTTACCGATGATGATCGTCGCTCACAACTATATGGGTTGAACTCCCAGAATTGAATAGTTGCACATCTAAGTGAGCTCATTCTTGTTCATCATTCCCTCCACATCCACCATCACAAGACGAGTGATTTAATGAATAATTTGTGCGTCAAAGGCACTTTGATAAAACTCTACAACCTCTTTGGCCTTAGTGGTGGTGGCGGGAGACGATGTGAGATGCCGACATGAGACTGATGGAACAAGAAGGAAACTCCACCTTTTTCCTGGCTTAGTGTCGTTGTGGGATGACGACATAAGTTATCGACATAAGACTGGGAAAGAAGAGGGAATTAGGAGAGCGAGCGGGAAACTTGAGATGGAGAGAAATGTGACATATATGTAGGAGAAGCATCCGCAACTTTAGGATGTTCCAACCTAATGTTGGACTAAATTGTGAACAGATTATGAGAAAATGTGGTGATGATTAAACTAAATTAAAATCAATATGGTGTGTTTGTGCTTTCACATACTGGTGATCACCGTCACTCACGACTATATGGGTCGAACCCATAAGAATTGAATAGTTGCGCACCCAAGTGAGCCCATTCTTATTCATCATCCCCTCCATCTCTACCGCCACAACACGAGCTATTTGTTGAATAATTTGTACGCAGAAGGTGCGATGATAAAACTTTACTGCCTCCTTAGCTCGTGGTGGTGGTCGCAAGATGACAAAATGAGTCACCGACAGAAGACTGGTGGAAGAAGAATGAAACTCCATTGCCTCATTGGCTTGTAGTGGTGTTGGGATCACAATGTGAGCCGCCAACATGAGTTGGAGAAGAATAGGGAAGCAAGATAGTGAGCATGAAACTTTAGATGGAGAGAAATGCGGTGCAAAATGATGGGTATGGTTTAAGTAAAAGGCCCCGTAAAAAGGTTTATATTCAGACCCTAAAAAAAAGGACCAACAAAACAAAACATATGGTTATTATATGCAAACCAAACAATATTTTCACGTGAAGGCTTGTTACATATGTGATGTTGCGTGGGACTACCTTGTCAAGTTCGATCAACAGCAACTTCGTTATTTTCTTCTCTTTTTTTGCTTTTAGTCTTCTTATGCTCTGAATGGCACCGTTTTTGCAAGCAAATGTGTGCTTCCCTTTCAGCTTTAGTTCAACAAGCCAGTTGCCTATTAGGTTTCTTTTACATTTTTTTTATTATAAATAAAATCCCCAATATGTAGGTGCTAGTGTGCCAAGTCTATCTATGTAACTTTGAATTTTGAATGGCATATGGAAATTGCAAATTTATTAGTGTGGATTGATGACTGGCACAAATCTGTGATATTCTTGATGTAAGTATTTATCAAATCGAAAGTTAAAGTTTATGATATGAATATGTTTTCACTTATGATTTTATTTTATTTTATTTTTTATAATGCAAGGCATAATGGAAAGTTGCTTAGAAGCTTAGGGCTTGTTTGGTATCCTACTAAAAAAATGAACTCAAAAATCATGGTTTATTTTAAAAACGTGAGTTTTTAAATACTGATTTTAAAATCTAAAAACTTGTTCGGGATTGAACTCCAAACTATTTTTAAGATCTAAAAAAATTGAAATTAAAACCAAAAACCTTAGATTTCCAAAATGAAATTAATACAAGAGAGAGAGAGAGAGAGAGAGAGAGGAGAGAGAGAGAGAGAATTTTATTTTATTTTTGGTAAAACTTCACTTTTTTTGTTTTCAATAATGGGGGTATTTTTTAGTTTTGTTTGGGTTGGGTTTTTAAAAATGGGCATACCAAACGGATTTTTGTGGCTTTGGACTTAAAATTTGTTTTTGAATTTATAAAATTGGATCCAAGTATGATACCAAACGGGCCCTTAAAATCCCATATTGTTGATGTTGTTTCTCTTAACTGAGAGAAAGATGGACATATGATTAGAATATGTTGTTATTGGTCTAATTATAGACCATGTACCAATTTGGGTTTGATAGGTGACTTGAACTTTTTTTCTTTTCTTTAGTTCATCCATAAAATATATCATGTTCTTACAAAACTTTTGCCTAGTTTTCGTGAACTTCTTATGTTTCGTACTCTGGGTGCGGAACTTTGAATTTTTTAATAGGTGAGCTATAAAATATTTAGCTTAAAATATAATTATATTTTTTAACCTACAATTTTTATTTTTATTTTAGAAATAAAAATATATGTATTAAATCATATAAACCACGTTAGTTTATAGAATTTCCAATAAGTTTAGCATAAAACAAATACAGATTAAATGCAAAAAAGGGTTAACACAAGAAAATGGGGAAACCACCAAGAAGACCACAAAACAGACTTTGGAAAAATAATATTTCCCTATTAATGTGTAGGGTTTTTTTTTGGTCTTCAAAGATGTCATCGTAGAAATAGGGGGGAAGCCGCCAAAAAGACCACAAAACAAGAGCCCCAACCAGAAGTAGGAACGGCAAGTTGATGAGCTATATAGGTTTAATTTTGTTCTTCTTCAAAAACAACATGGGCTATAATTGGTTAAAAATTATTCTTCAAAAAGCTACATGGCCCAATGTAACCTTGTAGGCAGTTCCTCTCCTTTCAACCCATTTCTTGAAAACTGATTTGAGGATGAGCCTGGCAGCATATCGACATATGAAGACTGTCCCCCCAGGAAGAGTTTTTGAGTCTTTTAGGAGGACTAGTCCACCAGTGATATGATATCAATTTCTAGTTGACTCTCTTGGTGAAGTGGTATGCTTAGTCCTATATTATATAACAACCTCTTTGGACATTAGCATTTAGTGACATGCTAAACAAAGTGTACATGAGAGCATAGTGGATTCAACAAGTGTATTTACTAATAGGACATGAATCACGTGTCAAAGGTTGTTTGTGGTGCCGGGAATGAACTTCAAGCTTATTGTCCTAAATCATCTCCACCAGGTGCGTTATTTTTAGGTCGAGCAGTTGATGCAAGGCTGTACAAGTGTCCCATATCCTGCAGATGAGAATCAAATTTAAAGATCAGTAATGCAAAAATCAAGATAATTAAGGCTATACTTAAATAGTAATAACCATCGGATGACAAAGTGCATGCGTATTAAGCATTTTCTTGATGAAATCATTTTTTATCCTTCCATTAGACAAAAACATCCTGGGCCTAGAATGGACAATGTACATAGACAGGCTTCCTTAAAAGATGATGCAAATGCCAAGGACTAGAATGGCCACCTAACCAATCATTCAACCCTAGTTAGCATTTTCTATCATATACGTACATATGTATTTCTTAAAAGACTTGGTTAATATTTTTGTATACATCTAAAAGACCCGGTAAAATACACGTTTTTGTTTTAAAATCAAACGTATAATGCACATATTATATATACATACGTATTTTTCAAAAAAATAACTTATGTTTTTCATATACATCTAAAAGACTGAGTAAAATATACATTTTTTAAAAACAAAGAGATTCTTAAGTTAAGTCTAAAAGGTTAGGAAAACCAAGAATAACATTCCCCACAAGAACTTACCAAAGAAAATTCTATGGTTTTAAGTGTAATAAACCAAACAAATACATTCCGGTCAGCTATAAAAGTGGTGCCGCAGTCTTCTACAGTCTAAAACAAGTAAACGATATAAGCTTTTCACCAAATTCTTTGGTGGAGATGAAGGGTTGCGGGGGATCTATATTGCCTTTTATATCACATTAGATATCTTACCGTTTCTGTCATTAGAATATTAATAAGAACACGAATTGTACTCAATCGTCCATATACATGGGGAAAATGAAAAACCACGACAGATGGATCTAATTGTATTTTCCTTACAAATTTTACATATTCTTCTAATATAAAAGCCACAACAGATGGATCTCACCGAACCTTCCTACGGCCCATAAGACCAAGGACCTTCTCCCACAGCCCAACACTTCCCACACTCCTCAAATCAATTACACTTGGGCTACAAGCTGCTACAGTCCAATATCCAGCTCTCATTTCATCCTTCAATTGCTCTTTCTCCCATCCACAATACCCATCAAAGAACCTGAACTCCCCAAGCCCAACCATATTCCTTTTCACCATTTCAGCTGCACAACCCACACTTTCCTTTGTCCCATAATACAATCCCTTCATCACCTCATCAAAAACACCGCTCCTCCCAACCACATCATCACCCCCTTTGGGCCTCACCAAGAACAGCCCCTCCTCCAAAGGCCCGCCAAAGAACAACGGCCTATCCGAGAACGTGCCGGCAACATCAAGGGCTGTGGATCGTGTCTCCTTGATCGACATAAGGGACGGCCGGTTGAGTATGATGCCGGATGGGCCCAAAGGCCCAGTGGATAAGACCAAAATGACTGTTCGCTCGAAAATATGGATCCCATCAAGCTTTTCGGTGGCAAGAAGTAGGCAGCCCTTTTCAGGCTCATGGATTGTGTGAGCCCATTTGTCACCAACAGTGATGGGCTGCGGAAGATCAACCACAGTGTCAAGGTCCACAAGTGAGGAAGTGGGCTTTTTGGACTTCGATGATTTTTCTGCAGCTACCAGTTTTGCTCTGAATGATCGCCAATCCGTATCAATGGAAGGTTTGCTATCATCATTGGACGGTGGAGATGAGTCCATGCGGCAACCTATCATTTGACAGAAAGCAACCCATTAGCAAATGTAAGAAGAGCAGACATTGTTCCCTGCTTGAAATAAAAGGAATAGGAAAACTTACATGTTATTGATGATGGAATGCCAACTCTTTTGCAGTGAAATGGAGTTTTGATGGAATTTGAGGTGAAGGAATTTGAGGCAAGGAAACAAGCTTCCATGATGATGGGTTCTTCTAGCTTAGCTTCTTTCTTTTGAGTTTTGATGGCAGATCAAAGCTTCAAAGATGGCAAGGAATGAAAGAGCAGATCACACTGATATATACAGTGAGTAAGAGTAAATGTGCACCACATGGTGGTGTTCGATCCAATCCCGTTAGTCCTATCCCATCCCAATCCATGTTGGATGTTACTTTCTAAAGCTTCCAAAGCATGGGCCATTGGATATGACTTTACACATGGCACAAAAGGACGAGGACCTCCTCCTTCTTTGTGGGTAATGGCTATCTGAGATAAACCAAACTCTTCTGGATGACGTGTCATACTCGTACCCAGTTATTTGTTGAGCACTTTGTTCCCCAAACTCTGAAGCAAACTAACTTCGATCTGTGAATTTAAGATACAACTTACAAGAACACGGTTAGTTTGGGTTTTCTTTGTTTAAGAAAACAATAGTTTCATCAATAAATTTAAGGTTGAGTTACAACTTACAACCAAATCAGCCAGCATGATCAGTGCAAGACAGTAAGACAGTAATAACCTTATTATCTCACTGATAAAGAATGAATGACCTCGACAATTGTTAGAAGTCAAATGCATACACTGAAACGCTGAAGCAACAAAATACAATCGATCCCCTTCTATTTATCAACAAGTATACACTTTTATAATGTAAGAACATTGGTGAGAAGTTTCTCTCTAGAATCTCTTCTATTATGAGGCTTGCAGAAGTGTTTCTGGCCAAGTTTGAGTTAGCTGATCCTCACCAAATAATTACCATCTCTGGCGGTTCATCCACTTATCCCATTGCTAATACTCCTTGATGACATATCCGATTGCTTGAAGTCCTGACGTAGTCTCTCGATCATCTGATATATTTCACCGGATTTAGGGTGTAATTTATCAAATACTGTAAATTCATGGACCTCATCACCGACCTCGATGCTACTGGCCCCTGAAGGTTTCTGGACTCCTGTGTTTCTCATTTGCAGCCTCACATTAGCAACATTTGCCCAATCACCAGCTGCAGCGTAGATATTTGACAACATGGAGAAATTTCCTGCATCTGATGGGTCTAACTTAACCAAGTGATCAAGCACCTCCTGTGCCAATTCTGGATCATTATGCATCCGGCATGCCCCCAAAAGGGTTCCCCATATAACAACATTCGGTTCCATTGGCATGCTATGCACAAGCCTAAAAGCTTCCCTGAGACACCCCCCACGACCCAAAAGATCAATCATACAACCGTAATGCTCAATTTCCGGTACAATCCCATACTCTCTCTCCATAGTATGGAAGGCTTGAAGGCCCTCCTCCACAAAGCCGGCATGTGTACAAGCACATAAGACACCAATGAAGGTAACTTTATCTGGCAAAAACCCAGCTTTTACCATTCTAGAGAAAAGCTGAAGCGCTTTATCACCGTGTCCATGCATGGCTAACCCTTGGAGCATGGCATTCCAAGATACCAAATCTTTCTTTGCTATCCCATGAAAGACTCTAGATGCTTCATCCAACATACCACACTTTGCATACATATCAAGCAACGCATTGGACACAGGAGTACTACACTTGAATCTAGTCCTCTCAATAGAGGCATGAACTTTCATACCCAATCCAATCAAACCAGACTCTGCACAAGCAGACAAGATACTAATAATTGCCCCATTATCGGGCTTCAATCCAGCTTCCTCCATTTGATCATATAGCATAATCGCCTCCTTTGCGAGCCCTTTTTCAGCATACCCAGAAATAATAATAGTCCAAGGAACCAAGTTCCTGAAGGGCATCTTATCAAACATCATTCTAGCCATACCCATATCCCCGGCTTTGCTATAACCCGAAACCAGAGTCGACCAAGACACAACATTCCTCTGGGGCATTCTTTCAAACAGTTCAAAGGCTTCATTCATTTGCCCCGCCTTCGCATACCCATCCAATATCGTATTCCAGCTAACCGCATCTTTGTCAGGCATTTCATCGAACAAGCGGCGAGCTTCACCCAAGTCCCCCGTTTTTGCCAGCCCACCAATCATAGAATTCCAAGACACAATGTCTCTGTCACCCATCAACATAAACACCTTCTTTGCCTCACTAACACCAAGCAACCCACACTTGGAATAAGTATCAATGAGCGAGTTGGGCACAAAAATATCCAAACAAAACCCAAATTTCTCGATGCTGGTATGAATCATTTGAACCACAGGAAACCAAGGTCTGCCCGAACACGCTTTCAAGAGAAATGGGTAAGTAAAGTTGTCTGGATAAACCCCATTGAGCTGCATATCAAAGAAAGTTGCGAAGGCCTGTGTGGTCTGAGAGTTCTGAATGTGAGCTCTGATGAGAGTATTGTACAAATGGACATTGGGGTCTTGAACTTGATTGAAAACGTTGACGGCAAGCGCCATTTGGCGACAGAGAGAGAAGGCGGCAATGAGCTTGGGCGCTGCGTGGAGGTCCTGGTGGAGATCGGCTTTGAGAATTTGGGCGTGGACTTGCTTGATGTGGCTTAGGTTTGTGCATCTGTGGAGGTCTGAGAGTTTTTGGTCTAAGAGTCTTCGTCTAGAAACCCATGACGGGGATCGAACTGGTACACACATCTGCATGGCAGAGAAGAGATTTAAGAAAGGTTGGGTTTTTCAGTTTGGAGAAGGCATGGCAGTTATTCTGGTTTGTGGGAAAGGATGAGACAGAGTGACAGGGTGCGTGCGGCTCTCTGCTTGTCTTTAGATTTGAGGAGTTTGCTTAGCGGCTTGACCCAATTTATGTTCTCAGCCCAATAAAAGCTAAAGAAGCATGAGCTTCGGCCCAGTTTCAAGATTCACTCAAATTTGCTTTGATCCAAACAAATTGGTTTTTCACACATTTAGGTCAGTTGGCTAGTTGGTCAAGGTCAATATTCTACTTAATTGATTGTTTCACTACTAAACTCGTAAGTAAAGCAAATGTTGAGTCAATAAAGAATGAACACCCAAGTGAACAGTCAATATTATATGTATAAAGAGTTGTTGAGCTCAGAATGGTCTTATAATAAGAGTTTAGGGATGAAAGTGGAGAGCCCATGAACCTTGTTGTTTTGTTCTTTTTCTTAAACAACCCCATGTGAACTTAGTTCTTGCTATTCTCAAATTGTCACTAGAATATGTTCCGCATTTAAAGTAAAGGAAGAACTGTGCAAGCCATTGGGTTGGTGAGAAACATTATTTGTCTTGTTCTGTCTATCTACGCAACCGCAGGGAATCAGAGACACAAGCTCAGGTGCCCCACATCTTGTGACATTAACAGAACAATCAAAGGCAAAAGTCTCAAAGCACTAGGCGCAGAGGAGAATCGGTCATCTTTTTGTTGGGCGCATGCGCTGTTGAACCTACCCACCAATTCAACCTCTACACCTACCCCCTTCCCTCATCAGATTTCCAACACCTTCATTCTTTCTTCTGTCTTGTGATTTTGGCCTGGTTTTCTGAACCATCATCTCTCTCTTTTTTTTGGTTGTTCTTTCTCTCTGTTTTCAATGGAGGCTAAGCTGTTAATGGCCTCCTCTCCTGCCACTCTTTCAGTTCCCCATGCTTCTAATTCAAGAATCAATCGCATATTGCCATTGAAAGCAATGGAATCTAACAGCTTAACCTGCCTCAATTCAGGCTTACCAAAGAAAGGAACTTTATCTGTTCAGGCTTCTGCAACTTCCATTGGGTACAATTACGGCAACCCTTTTTTCTAAAAATTTTGGTCTTCACAATTTAGCTAGTTGGCCCTTTATGGATCTATGGATTATTCTGTTTTCAAGAGGCTTCTCTATATATTCTGCTCTTCAAGTCTTCTGCTTTTGTTCTGTTCATCTGTTTCTGGAAATGGCCATGCTTTATTTTGTTGTGTACATAACATGTATGTATGCAATTATGCCGATTGCCCAGTACTCCAATTTATTTAAACTGTATTGACTGCTGATTAAATTTTCTAATAATTTAATATATTCCCAAATGAAATGCATAACATGATTTCTTCAAATGTATGATTGTATGCAAGTCTAGGATTCAATAATAATTCACAGATACTATGAAGTCGGAGCGGTTCTATTTTAGGAATGGCAGCTTAGCTTATTTATTTATTTTGTAATACAGTCAAAGTACTTTTGAATTAATTCGTCTTCGATCTAACCATGAGATATATCATGAATTCCTGAAGTTCAACGTACTTCACATAATTATGTTAGGCCAAATTGTTATGATTTCTGGCATGTCTTGCTGCATATGTTTATAGATGCATCTGCATAGAAAAGTACGCTCCTAGCCACTCAACCCCATTGGTCATCATACAAATGCATATTATTGATTATTGGATGGGTTAAAAAGCATCTTGCTTTCAGTTTACTATGGCCCGATTCTAACACTAGGCTGCCAATTTATGTAGATCATTGGCTACAAAGAAGAGGGTGGATGAAACTGATAATTTAACCCTAGAAGGTATAAGACATTCCTTAATCCGGCAGGAGGATAGCATAATTTTTGGCCTTTTAGAGAGAGCTCAATATTGTCATAATATGCCTACTTATGACTCCAATGCTTTCCCTATGGTCGGGTTCCACGGCTCCTTGGTAGAATACATTCTTCAAGAAACAGAAAAACTTCATGGTCAGGTATGTTAAACCTTAATATGAACACTAAGAATAATTGAAGAAAGTATTATTGCTGGCTTTCTTATTGACTTTGCGTTGCAATTAGGTTGGTAGATACAGCAGTCCTGATGAGCACCCATTCTTTCCGGATGTCCTACCTGAACCAGTGTTGCCACCTCTGCACTACCCTCAGGTAAAATAAAACATGCATTTATTAGGAACAATAAGGTTGGTTATGTCCAAGCTTGTGGTTATCTTTACTTAAGGGCCAAACTAGGAAACACATTTGAAATAGTTCTTGTAAATAACGTACTTGGATGGGTTAATTGTGATTGAAAAAGTTGTGCTCAGCAGGGTTTTTTTTTCCTTTCTTTAGCTGGTGTTTTCAACATGGTCACAGAAATTTGCATGGGGTATACCATTATTTTAGAGATACTCAAAAACAGTTTACCTGACACTATTTTAGAGATACTTGTTCTATACCATTATCAGATCAATTTAAAATGGTAGTCAATCATGTGTATCCATTTGAAGTACAAAATTTATTCAGAACAACATGATTCTACTCGAAATTTTGAAATGTAAAAATCTAACACTGATGCATAACAGTAAAAGAAACAATTACTTGTGGGTCATTGTTTAACTGAGAATTCACTGCAAGGATCTAGCCCTGCAAGTTGGAGTCTTTCTTTTTATCTCCACAATCTCTGAATCTGTCCTATTTGTACAACCTTTCCTGTGTGGTAGCACCAGTTTTTGCTCTTGTTTTGTATGAGTCTTAACCCCTTTCATTTTGAAGATATAATTATGCATACGTCTGACTTGCAAACAGGTACTACATCCCATTGCCAATTCAATTAATATAAATCACAAAGTTTGGGAAATGTACTTCAGAGATATTCTTCCAAGACTGGTGAAGGAAGGAGATGATGGTAATTTTGGATCAACTGCTGTTTGTGATACAATGTGCTTGCAGGTATTCATTTTACCTGATATATCCCATCACAATACATTTCTAGTTCAATTTGGAAGACAAAATACGCAATAACCTTTTTTATGCATGTGATTTTTGCTCTTGACCTTAGTAGTCCCGTATTGCTCCTCTCTAATAGATTCAGTAATTAATCGGAAGTAGTTTTTTAAGTAGCATAATGCTGACTGGGGGTGTCCTATGATGATGGCAGGCTCTGTCAAAGAGAATCCACTATGGTAAATTTGTAGCGGAGTGTAAGTTTCGATCCAATCCGAAGTCCTATGAAGCTGCCATTATCGAACAGGTACACGTACATGAATGCATTTTCTGCATGCCACTGTCATAAGCAGTTTTGAATGTTTCGCGAGCTGAGTCAGTTTTCCTTATGCTGGTGACGTTTGATTTTTCAGAACAGAGAGAAGGTGATGGCTTTGTTGACATATCCAACGGTCGAGGAGGTGATCATAAAGAGGGTAGAAATGAAGGCCAAAACTTATGGGCAAGAGGTGACCTTGTACAAAGAGGAAAAAGAGAAAACCGACCTGGTTTATAAGATACAACCAACCTTGGTTGCAGATTTATATGGGGATTGGATCATGCCAATGACAAAGGAAGTTCAAGTTGAGTACTTGTTACGAAGGCTGGACTGAGAGAGCTTGTCTTCAATATCTATTCATTCCTATTGACGTACAGAAATTTGTGTTTTGCTTAGATGCTGCTATCTGTAATTTTCTACTTTATGTGGATGCTTAAGACATGTTATTGTTGTATTGTATGATTAAATATTGATTATAATAAGCACAGGCGGTATGCAGTCTATATATAGTTTTGCAAGCTCAAGCCCACCTGAACTTGAAAGTCTTGAATGTGAAGTATCTAGGCCCAAAATGTTGGGTATGGTCATGGATGTGGAATTCTGTAGTGATTAGGTCTTATTTTTAACCGGTTGATTAAATTAGTTTGTTTGATGCAATGTTTAAGAAATAGAATTTCATCTAATATTCTTAGATAAGGCCCTCGTTATAGAATGACTCGGGTATGGATACCCAACCACAGCGTCTGGCTGTTGAAGTTCCAACTTGCCCTCTTTATTAAAAAACTATAAAATAAGATTGAGAAAACAAAACCCTGTACAGCCAAAGCAGCTGGATTGGATTTGGGTAGCGTGCTTTATCTGAAAAGGCCACATGGTTTACAGCGTGCCAACGACAACTATCATAACCCTAAATAGATTTGCCTTCTTGATGGTTGATCTTTGCTTGGTCCACAAACTTATATAGATTTAATAATCGATAGACAGCCATTAGATTGTGCCTAAAATTGTTCAACTTTTGGGAAAACTTGTGTGTTTTATGCTAACTTGTCATTATAATGATCCCACAAACTACAATCATCGTCAAACATGGAAAGACACTACTGATTCTGGCCTTTTTTTTACTTTTTCCCCTTTCCCACCCAACCATTTTCAAACCTAGCAAATTTATTAGCACAAGCCCACAAGAAAAAAGGCCATTTCTTTACTTTTACTTATTAATCACTGGTAGAAAGACTTGTTTCATGTGGCATATGGTGTTTTAGGCGTGTCTTGCAGCACTGGTTATAATTTGGTTCTTCAAATTTTGCTTCTCTCAATGTTTGGTTTATTAAGAAATCTATAACCCACAAGTAACTCTGGCTCTAACCCAAAAGATAAAAAGAAGTGAATTTTATGTATTTCAAGCAGGGTTTCAGTCTTTTATCTAGGATCTAACTTACAGCATAATTAAAAAGTAAAAATAAGCACCCGAGATCCTAAATTCTCCCCTCTTCAATATCACATGTATAAAAAAAAATATCAGGCACGATGTCACAGTCAGAGAGAAGAAGTTTGTCCCATTGACCTAGTTGAACACCATAATCCTAGAACACTTAAATCTTTTTTATGCATGACAATGAGATTTAGGTTGTGTTATGAAAAGCTACAGCCTTAACATTTTTTATTCTCTGCTAAATTTTATATTAACACAAGTTCAAAATTAAGAGTACAATATTTATATATAGTAACCCAAATAATCAGGATAAGCAGTCGATGGCAGTTGTAGATCTGAAAAGCGTACCTCTTCTTTATTAATAAGCGCAAAAACAAACTACCCAAGAAAAGAAACTTAAAGGCCCAAAAAGCAGAGAGTCTTGTTAGACAGTGTTCCAGAGCAACCGTTAGACTCTGCGAGAAAGAGAGCAATGGAGGGACTGAGAAGGGGGGTTGGGTCTGGCTCAGCTATGGTGCTTGTGGTGCTCTTGTGCTTTGTGCTGGTGATGGTTCCGGAAGTATCAGCTACTCGATTTATAGTGGGAGGAGGGAGCAAGGGGTGGACCAGCAATGTAAACTATACTATCTGGGCTCAAGACAAACACTTCTACAATGGAGATTGGCTCTGTAAGCTCCTCTTTTCTCAGATCCACTTTGCATACTAACTTCTTCATTTTCTTCTGTCATTGTTCTCTGTTCTCTGTTAGTCATTCATAGCTCAAAGCTTCTATTTTTAGCTCAATTTTGGTTGATGTTGCAGCTGAGTAATTTAGATCTGGAAATTGCTTAATGGGTTTTGCTTATAGTCTTCTTGTGCAAAATTGTTTCCTTGAAAAATAGTTACTTTGTTCAAATTTGTTACAGAGAGTTTGAATTTTATCAGATTACCAAATAGTTGTTCTGAATCTTGTTTATTGATGTTTAAAGCTTATGTTAGAACTCAGTTTTGCCTACTGAAATGATGCATAGAAGAAAGAAAGAAAAAAAAAAAAAAAAAATAAATAAATGGTTATTCATGTCATTGAATGCGAGTTAGTGTGTTTCTCTATTACCCTCAAATCCCATAGTATACAAGGTTTTCTTTTTAGGTTGATGTTTTAGTATTTTCCATGTATCATCCTGGCTGATTCAGATCTGTAACTTTTTTCTATTGCTTTCCTCTTAGCTTTCGGTGTGAGGAAGGGGTCACCTTCTTATTTTTTGTTCCTTATACAACAATTTACTTTCATATTTTAGCGTATCTTTTGGTTAGTTCTTAAAAGGTAGAAGTACATACTATTGTATATGAAAACTTCGAAGATGGAATCTTGGTATCATTTCATGTCATTGGACAGTTGAATTTTAAATAAGCACCAAAGATTAATTTGCTACTATATAGCTAGTTGGTAATTCTGTTTTTTTCTTCTTTTCCTCCAGTTTTTGTTTATGATAGGAACCAAATGAATGTTCTAGAGGTGAACCAGACAGACTATGTGTCATGCAATGCTGATCATCCCCTTCACAACTGGACTACTGGAGCTGGAAGAGATGTGGTTCCACTGAATGTGACCAGGCACTACTATTTCATAAGTGGCAACGGGTTCTGCTATGGTGGCGTGAAGATTGCTGTTAAAGTCGAAAACCCGCCTCCACCTCCCTCAGCTGCCCCATTGAAGAGCAAGAGCAGTGCTCTAACACCTGCTTACAGATCCCAATTTGTTTTACCTGCCGTTTTTGCCATTGGTGCAATGTGGGATGCATTGGTTCGGTTCTGTTAAGTGCTGAGAATGCTGATGTTTAAACTTGAGCTAGCATTGATGGAGATGTCACAAACACAAAACAGTGAGGATATCCAAATCAAAACTAGACATTTCTTCTAGCTGTAAGCTAAGCCATTAATTTGTGAGGGAAATTGAGTTGCCTTCTACTTTACATTCGATTTAATTTATTTTGGTTTTTGGGGTTTGTGATTTATTGATGGTGTTTTTAATTTCACCTTGGTGTAGTTGATCAGAAATTGGACAAAGGTTTTTTGGTTGAGCTAGTTGGTGACTTTGAATACTTTTATTTATTGGAGTATTTACATGCGTTGATTACGGAAGTCATAGTGAGTTGTTGAAATCATTTGTATTTTATGTGGTGGCCCTTTAAGCATGGAGCTGCATGTGCCTTTTCTACTTGCTTCCCTATGTTTGTTAGAAAAATTAGGCCACTGATTTAGGAAACGACATTTGATTAAAGAGGGAGGGAGAGGAAACGACATTTGATTAAAGATGCATGTAGCACCATTGAACTTGGTCTTTAGTATTTACATTTTTTTAGGTAATTAACCATCTGTAAGTTAATGACTGAGTTTTAGACGAGAGTTTTTCTAACTTACAGTAATAAACTCCAGACTAATTCAAAACAAATTTACCAAGGCGTCATCATGGCAAGTATGCTCAATTCTCTTGCTCTCATCCTCTCCATAGTCTGTTTTACTCTCTTGATCCCACAGACCACCCCCGCCCCTTTCCTCTTCCCAGCAACTCAATCCACAGTCCTCCCCGAGCCGTCAAACTTCTTCGCCACGAACCTCCTCACATCCCCTCTCCCCACCAACTCTTTCTTCCAAAACTTTGCTCTCAAGAATGGGGACCAGCCTGAGTACTTCCACCCCTACACCATCAGATCAGCATCCTCCTCTCTATCTCTCTCTTACCCATCTCTCTCCTACACCTCTGCATTCATATCTCAACCCTTCACACCTGACCTCACCATCTCTGCCTCACAAACCAGCACCTTCCAAGATCAGAATAACAACCGCCACCATGTAATATCCGACTTCAATGATCTCAGTGTCACTTTAGACTTTCCCTCCTCCCACCTCCGCTTCTTTCTCGTCCGCGGAAGCCCCTTTGTCACATGCTTTGTTTATACCCCCACTGCGGTTTCCATATCAACCAATTATACAATTCTTTCCTCCTCATCATCATTATCAAGTGACTCAAACACCAAGGTCACCATCAAGCTCGAAAACAATCAGACATGGCTAATATACACCTCCTCCCCAATTGGCTTGACTGACAGCACCCCATCAACCTTAACGTTTGGTGAGTTTTCTGGGATTGTTCGAGTTGCGGTATTGCCGGATTCTGATCCAAAATCCGAAGCAATTCTTGACCAGTTCAGTACTTGTTATCCGACTTCTGGTGCAGCTGTGCTTGGAAGGCCGTATACTTTGGGATATAAATGGGAAAATAATGGACCTGGAGATTTGCTTATGCTAGCTCATCCTCTCCATCTGCGGCTCCTATCTCATGCTACTGTTTTGAAGGATTTTAAGTACAAAAGCATTGATGGTGATCTGGTTGGCATTGTTGGTGATTCATGGGTGTTACAACCAAAGCCTGTTCCAATCACTTGGCATTCAGTTGGAGGCATCAAAGAAAATTTCTACTCTGAAATTATATCTGCGCTTCGTCGGGACGTTGAGGCTCTAAACTCAGCAGAAGTAACAACTACATCTTCATATTTTTATGGGAAATTGATTGCTAGAGCAGCAAGATTGGCTTTGATTGCTGAGGAGGTGGCTTGTCTTGATGTGATTCCATCAATTAAGAAATTCTTGATTGAGACAATTGAGCCATGGTTGGAGGGTACTTTTAGTGGCAATGGTTTTCTGTATGATGCAAAATGGGGTGGGCTTACTACTAAACAAGGATCAACTGATTCTGGTGCAGATTTTGGATTTGGAATTTATAATGATCACCATTTCCATCTGGGATACTTTGTTTATGGTGTTTCAGTGCTTGCAAAGATTGAGCCTGCATGGGGGGCCAAGTACAAGCCTCAAGCATATTCCCTTGTGGAGGATTTTATTAACAAGGGCAAGCTATCAAATTTGCTTTATCCTCGTCTGAGATCCTTTGATCTATATAAACTGCACTCATGGGCAGGAGGCTTAACCGAATTTGCCGACGGGAGGAACCAAGAGAGCACAAGTGAGGCAGTAAATGCTTACTACTCAGCTGCTATGATGGGGAAGGGCTACGGAGACACTCAACTTGAGGCCACCGGATCAATGCTTGCTGCGTTGGAAATTCAGGCAGCTCAAATGTGGTGGCATGTAAGAGAGGGAGGCAACAAAATTTATGAGAAAGATTTCACAAGGGAAAATAGGATGGTGGGAGTTGTGTGGTCAACCAAGAGAGACAGTGGACTTTGGTTTGCTCCTTCAGAGGCAAGAGAGATCAGGCTTGGAATTCAAATGCTACCCATTTCGCCCATCACCGAGGTTTTGTTTTCTGATGTTGGCTTTGCTAGGGAAGTTGTGAATTGGACATTGCCAGCTCTCCATAGGGAAGGAGAGGGAGTTGATGAAGGGTGGAAAGGGTTTGTGTATTGTGTTCAAGGGATCTATGATAAAGAAGGAGCTTTGGAGAAGATTAGGAGCTTGAAGGGTTTTGATGATGGAAATTCTCTCACTAATCTCTTATGGTGGATTCACAGTAGGAAGTTAAGTAAAGTTTGATCTCCTAATTTTGGTTTAACTAAACCAAATTCAATTCAATTAGAACTCTTCGGGGTGCAAAGCATTTGTGAGGTGGGTGTGCAAAGAAAGCTCTTGGGTATCAGTGACAAATCCCTCCTCATCCGAACCATAGAATGGGCCTCTGAATGGACCAAAGTTGCCCAAGCAGAAATAAAATCTGGACTTTTTGAGATTATGGATATATTTTGAGCTCATTTGTTCTTGTGTCATGTAAGCAGATCCAATTGGGTGAATTTGTTCATGTTCACGTGGAACATACACACATCCCTATTCCCTAACATAAATTTCATTTTGCTTCATGTTATTTCTGTTTTTGGTTTGGTCATGCTAGAATTATCCTTCTGCTTGAGTCTTTCTATCATACAACAATGTATACGTACACTTTCGATCTAACGGTGATTATCATTCTATACCGCAAGTAGGAAAATGTGAACTCGTCACATCTAACGATTAAAAGAGCTCATGTATGACATACATTGTAGTATGCTAGGATTATTCTTTTCTTTCCTTTATTTTGTTTTGGAAGGTTTGGTGTCAGAGCATATGAGAGCCTCTCTATCTTATGCTTTATTTTCTTGCTTTTTTCTTTAAATTTTTGGCCGGCTTTATTTTTATTGCTTTATTCACTTACTGTTGAATGTAAAATCAAATTATTGCGAATCTGTTTGGTGCTTTATTTATTTATTTTGCAGTGAGAAGTAGCAAATCGCACGTGGCTTGCTTTTAGAAGCCTTGTTCTTCACTGAACCAGTTACGCCAACGCACTCACACTCTCACACTCTCACACTCACTCAGTCGTGTAAGTGTAACCGCTCTGAAACATTCTTCGTAGGATGGGAGTTGAGCTGGACCCCACCAACCAACCATAACTCACTTTTCCAACCGATCCCCTCCTGCCACGTCACTGATAACACCAAAAAGCCCTTCTGCGCCAGTACAGATATCTGACTCATGTCCTCGTAGCTTGAGCTAAAGAGAAGAAGACTTCACGTTTCTCTCGAGGCTGCTGAATCTGATCCCTCCCTCCCTCTACAAATACCATCAGCCGAACAAGCCTTAAACTCAATTAGAGAGAAATTAAGCAATGAAAATGGTGATGAGGAGCAATTACAGTTGCAGATTAGCAGGGTTTAGATGGGGTGCGGTGGTGATCACGGCGATTACGGTGGGGTGGCTCATGACGTCTGCAAACGGCGTGCTGCATAAGGTGGGAGGCGCACAAGGATGGAACCAGAACGTGAATTACACCGAGTGGTCCTCCAATGAGAATTTTTACGTCGGCGAATGGCTCTGTACGTTTTTTATTTTTATATAATCACCCCCTTCTCTTTCTCTTTTATTTTTTATTTTTGGACCGTCTATAACCTAGTAATTATGTAGTTTCTCATACATTTAAATTCAATATTTTCTTGTGATTGAATTTTAAGAACACGTACATTTCACAAAGCATAAATAAGAGCGTTGCGTTTCGATAAATTAGCTGTGCAACACTGATTTATTAGAGAGGTTGGTATAGTTTGAATTTTGATTACATCATTTTTTTTAATTTTTTTATACAAGCAATAATTTAAACGTTTAAAAGAGTTATTAATGTGAACTTGTTATGAGTCTTAGTCGAGACAATAAACATTTATTAACGTGGCATGTTTATAATAAAGGAGGTTGAAATTTATACTTAGTTGTGGTTTTATTATAATTTTCCCTTTCGTAGCCTTTTTTGCCCAACTTGCCAAGTAACTTGATTTTTTTTGGCTTATCTTAGCTATTAATAATTGGGAGTCATATCTTCTTCTCTTGCATTTTGCCTTTTTGTTTTTCTTAAAACATATAATAAAAATGAAAATAAGGTGACTGACTTTGTTTGTACACTTTGTTCATCTTGTGTTTGCAAGTATTCAATTTTGACAAGCGGTATTACAATGTTCTGGAGGTGAACAAGAGCAGCTTTGAAAGCTGCAATAACCAAGGCTTCATGAAGAACATAACCCGGGGCGGCAGAGATGTGTATCAACTAACGGAGGACAGGCCCTATTACTTCCTCTCCGGCGGAGGCTACTGCTTCCACGGCATGAGACTGGCTCTGGTTGCCCTCCAAGATCAGCAGCAGCTCCCGCCTGCTCCAGCGCTTGCTCCATCTACAAATGCTGCTTCTCCTAATTCCTTACCCTCAGCTCAAATGTTCATATTTCTATCCGCTACTGTGATTTCCCTAGGCCTACCTTTAATGTGGGACGTTGATCTCTTTAAATCATATGTATAAGAGTGGATCATTATTGTCATTCAAGTAGTAGTATTATTTGGTAAGATTTGAATGGTTGTGAATGTCAATTGTTGCTTCTTGAAAAGGAATTGGATATGGTTTATATATTTATCAAGTAAATGTTTATCTGATTTCAGGAATTCATATAATATATGCAGGCGGATAAGTGATATAATACCTTATCTATATATCGCTTAATTAATTTGGGAAATTTTGTCCTTGTAAATTATTGAGTAAAGGTGTTTATCGATTCAAAATCAACAACATTTAATCAATTTATATGAATCGTAGATTATTAGATATTTAGTTATGTAATTATGATTTTACAAATTTGAAGTTCTTATCGGCACTTCAAAAAAGTGATGATGCACTTCTCTTTTGTGTTTTTATAAAAGAAGAGGAGGATTGCACATTAACTTTTTTGGAAATGTCAAATATCAATTCTCTAAAGTTTTAATATTTAGAAGAAAAGAAAAAAAAAGGAATTTCCTGACATGTGCCCCGGTGACAAAAGTGTAACACTCAGCAATCTATAAGGGCAAAATCGTCAAAACGGAAACTATTATGAACTGAACTCGAAGTTGGGCCAAACCACACAAAGATAATTCAAAACTGAAATTTTGTCATGCCTAAAGTACCCGAATGTATATATAAAATTACAATAATAACCTCAGCGAGTTTCCCTCTCTTCGTTTCGACTGTTTAACACCCAAGCCCTGAACTCCACACTCTTCAGCTGTGAGAGAAACAAAACCCAGTTCATATAATTTCTGAAGATAAATGGCGATTTCTGGTGAATTGGGGATCTCTGCAATATTGGGTTCTTGCCCTTTTAAGCACCACTCTCTGGGAAGCTCTCTCAAGCCCTCCAAGGTTTGCATTTCCCCTTTTACCTTGCACCACTATCTGCGAAGCTCTCTCCAACCCTCCAGGGCTTGCTGCAAAAGATTTCAAATTTCATGCATTATCCAACTGGGTTTCACGAGTTAGCTCCAATTTCCTCATGCATTCCTGGCAATTTGCAAATCTGGTTGAAATTTTGGTTTTCTATGCCTGCTGTTTTTGTGTATTCTCAGTTCTGCTTGTTGTTTGTCTGTCTATTTATCCTTTTACTGTCAATGTATGAAAATTGATACTGAAAGTAGTAATTATAGTAAGCTGGGAAAAATTTGTTAAAGCTTTCATTATGTAGGTGTGAATGTTTTACCTTTTGATTTTGAGTTACATTACATTACCCTTCCCTTCTGTCAAGTAGATTTTAGAGATTTGGATTTGACTAATTTTTCAGATTCCATTTAAAGAAGGCCAAACCAGTGTTTAAGACTTAGGAGAGTAATGCTTAGCGCCAAGTTCTTCTTTAATTGAGTTTTGTGATGCTTTTACTGAATTCTATGACATTAGATTGATGAACATTCATGTCTAATATCTAATGCTGCCTAGGGCTTCAATTGCAAGGATTTCATTTTTGAAAAATGCAACCATTCATATTTCAGGTAACATTGAAGGGTTTTAATGGAGGAGGTAGTTCACGGGTGATGATCCAAACTTCCTTAAATCTGGAAGGCTACAAGTCTAAGTGCCAGTGTAGCCAAACGTTTGGGATTGCAGAAAACAGTGAACCTTTTCCCGGACCTCTAAGCCAAGAAACAGAGGGCTTTCTCCTCCGTGCTATAAACATGAGCTTTTTTGAGCGTTTAAACTTGGCGTGGAAGATAGTGTTCCCTTCACCGTCGACAAGAAGGAATTCTAATGCAAAGATTGCCAAGCAGCGGTTGCAGATGATCCTCTTCTCCGATCGATGCGCAGTAACTGATGACGCGAAGGAGAAGATTGTGAGCAACATTGTTGGTGCTCTATCCGATTTCGTGGAAATAGAGTCACAGGATAATGTCCAGCTTAGTGTCTCAACAGATGAAGACCTAGGCACAGTGTACTCTGTTACAATCCCTGTTCGGCGTGTGAAGCCTGAATATCATCAAGATGAGGATGATGTTGGGGGCATAACCAATGATGAGTACAAGGATATTGGGGAACAGATTGGATCTTATTGATATGAAGTTTGATTTCCACACTCCTAACAACTCTCTCTCTCTCTCTTCTCTGTGTTTTTAGCATTATTACATTTCATGGTAGAGCAGCTTTTAACTAATTAGTCTCATATGATCCTATATTGCTCATGCTGTAATCACAGAGCAATTAAGGGAGTTCACCTCATCCTCTTTCCATAGCCATTCTCCATATTCATGTCACCTCAAGATTCCCCTCTCATTTTTGGTCATTCTGCACATGATGCGATGGACATGCATGCATGTTATGAATTTTCGCAACTGAGAAGCCTTGTCAAGAATTATCTGGTCGAGCTTTTCAAGTATCCTTCTAGGATTAGGAGGAATTCTTTGACTCAGGAGGCGGAGGGACTTCAATCACAAGTAAAATGTGATGTGTTTAGGACTTCCAGTTGTTGTAAGCCGTCCAATATAATGATCAAAGCGTCCTTCATGAGCTTTGTGCACGGGAGGCTTAAAACCCTAAGGATTGGAAGATATGCAACTAGCTTCGGGGCAAAGCTTTCCAGAATCTGGAAAGTACCCATGATCTTTAGTTTCCTGATGTAATTGTTGCAGTTTTTGAAAATCTGCTCCATGACATATGCGAGAGATTTGATGCTAGGCATTGTCAGCGATTCAAGGTCTTTCGAGAAACCAAAGGCCTTGCATATTCCAGTCTTCTGTATTCTGTTTCAGGCTGGCATCACTAGTTGCTTAAGCTTTGGGTGTGATCCATGCATGAACACATTTAATTAAATAAAACCAAAATACAACACTTTTGTTCAATTATTGTTATATATCTATTAGAAATTTATAGCAATCCCCATTTCTAGCATCAGTATTATAAAGAAACACTATAACATGGTTTTTTCAGAGCAAAAAATAATAATAATAAAACTCAAGGACTCGTTAAAACCTTCCTAGGAAACTACTTCAGACAAATCCCATTGTAGAAAAGAGTACCACACATGCCAAAGACTAACAAGAGAGTCCGACCCAGACCACAAAAGACCGTTACAAGAACAGAAAAAAAAATCAACTAAACACCAACACCGACCCAGAAAGAGAACCGCATCACATCCCAATCGTCAAAAGAAGCATTCTATGAGAAAAACTCGTAGTCCTTTGACCATCCACGAACTAATCACGTGTTCAATTAGTGTCTGGAGGTAAGAAATCACACAATATATGCATATCATACATATACAATTTCACTTGGGATCATCGAATTTCCTTTGAAATTCATACATATTCTACTGAAAAAATGAAAGGAAAACAGTATATTGATGGATACCTACAATTTCATTTGTTCAATTAGTGTCTGGAGGTAAGAAATCACATAATATATGCAGATCATACTTAAAATTTTAGTTAGGATCATATAGTTTCAAAAGCAATTCATACAGATTCTACTGAAAAAAGGAAAGCAAAATAGTTGGGTCGTGTAGCTTGAGATATAGATCGATGGACACCTATTATGGATTGAGCTATGAGATGTGACTGATTCGAGTTATGATTGTTTGTTATGGTTCATAATTGTTTAGCTAGATAGTTTGTGAGCTCAAAGTATGGAAAAGGAAAACAAAGAGCTCGTTGGCTTAGAGGGAAGGAGTACATGGGAATTTGAGCGAGAAGCGAATACAAGGAGTGAGCAGTGAAAAGAAGTTGAAGGGTCCTTTCCCACGAGCACTGGCCCAACCCGAACAAATGACCCTTCATTGACCTCAACTTCATTCATAGAATTTGAGCAGGCTACTCACATGTTGGGTTTGGAAAGTAGACTGATCGTAAGTTAACCTTGCTTTGAAATAGGCCTCTGAAGTCGGGCCTCTGAAATATCTTTAATAACCCATTGCGAGATAAGATAAAACAGGTCAGCTTCTTCTCTGCTCTGAGCTCCTCACACTTCCTCAGAACCCCTCCTTGCCTTTGCTTTCATGGCTTCCACTTACTGCTGTTCACTTTCACTGCCGCCCATTCCCAACCCACCAACCCTCAACAAAATCCAACTCTTTCCCACAAAACTTTACAGCCCAAACCCGTTTTCTCACTCAAATTTTACACTTCGGAGTCCCAGAATCCGAGCTACCAACTCCTCCTCTTCCACCAGTGTCCAAGATGAAGCTCAAAAGCTCAGTGACGAAGCCATGAGCATTGACAATCTTCGCCGCTTCGTTAACCTCAACTTGGGCAAGTGGAATGGTTCCTTCTTTGTAAGTATCTAGTTTGCACTACAAAATTTGAGTTAAATATGGTTGCTATGGCTAAGTAAATGCAAGAAAAGTAGAGAAATTCAGTCTTTTGTTTTATGTTGTGTTTGTCAAGATGGAAAATTATTCAACTTTCTGAGAAAAATGCATGTAGTTAGCTCTATTCGTTGAGTTATTGGTTTTCTGGGTTTGGTAATGAGTCTATTTTATCTTCTTTCTCCTACATTTTCTGGGCAGTCAAACAGATAAATTAAGTGTTCGATGAATCGGCCTAGGCGGCCGCCTAGGCGCTAGGCGGGTCTGGGCGCCTGGGCCTAGCGCCTGGGCGGGTCGTGTGATTTCAGATTATTTATTAGTTTGAGTGATTTTGTAGCAATTTGATGCTGTTGGGAATCTATTGCATAAAGTGAATACGAAGCTGTCAGCTAGCTCTTACGGGGAAGATGAACTCATCAGTCTTATTCAAACGTAAGTTTCAGGTCCACTTATTACATTTAAAAAGTAAAAGTCTAAAAGATAAAAGGAAAGATTAGGGATTAGAAAAAATAATAAATTTGTTTATGTAATATAAAATATTTTGATTGTGTCAAGTGTCAATCATTTATAAACTTTGGTATATTATTGATTCTAACACATACTTTTGCTTTGCCATTCTAAACGGCTTGATGCTGTCATGCTTTGTAGATTATATATTGAACAAGCTTCATCAAGCACATCTGTTTCTGGATATGATGATGATGAGCTGGAATGGGCAGAATACAAAATTAAAGAAACCAACATGTTCACTGCGGACAAATATCAACAGGTGAGGTTTCACCAGTGTCTGGAGATCATTTTCCCTTGATGAAATAGTTTATAGCTTAGTTTTTGTGATCAATTGTTTTCTGTTGAATATCCATTGTGATTAGTCTGCAGATTGGATTCTTCCCCAATGAGAAAGCATTTTCTCTAAGGTACCAGACCGCTGGCATGCTAGAAACTGTGCTGAGACAAGGGGTTCTTGGGGAAGATGACAGTGGTGAAGACTCACCAAAGTGAGTGGTTCCTCCCTCAAAAGATGTTCTTCATGATTCTATGATAAAACTTAAACAGTGGGATTGTAGCAATTGGTGTATACACATATTTCTTGTCCATTGGTGTTTCTTATTATTTTCTCTGAGCTATTTTTGTTTCTTTTCTTTCATGATCATTGGTGGAGCTCCATTGCTTTTCTAACTAAAAGGGTTTACTAACACTAAAACTACTTGGCCTCTTCAATTTGTCTTCATTGTGTAGAAATCTAAAGCTTCCTTCCCGTTGGCCTTCTATTGTATGTGAGAGTTGTCTGTATTCACTAGAGAAAGATATGCGAGTAAGAGCATTCCATATCATGGACCCAAAAGGCATTGTCGAAATGCTTCTCATCTTCCTTGAGGAAAGAGGAGATGGAGTGCTTCTTCCTCCTTCCCTCGACAATAATATGGTAAATTTCACAAAGAAAACTAGTAGTGAGGAATTTTTTATTTTTACTAGCATTACATTTTTTCTTTCTGAGTACAGTATCTTATATTATGTTTTTTTAAATTGGTCTCAGGAAAACAAAGACAGGATTGTTCCATTTCTTGGTAAGTGGAAAGGTCATTCCATAACAAAACGAAGTGGTGTTTATGGATCAACAATGGCTGAAGCTGATACAGTAACATCACTTGAGATGGATGATAAGGGCCAAATTATTCAGGTATCTTCCACTCCAAGCAAATCCTTTTCGAGACTACAGGGAATGTTAAACCGTTTTGCTTCGTTGATATAAATTTAGATGATCTAAGAACTCATTTCCCAAAAAGGAAAAATGAAAGGACTGTATACATATTATTGTTGGTTTACGTTTTGTTCAAGCATCAGTCTTTTACTTCCTTTTTTCATTTTCCCTAATTTCTGCTCATAAATAATATCAGGGCATCACTTCCACCTCTGCTGCGGGTGATGTTACCACTAATGTGCCGTGGACGGGTATCAAGTCAGACAATTTGGTTACTTTTGCTGGAGGTTACCAGATGACTTTCTTGCCTGGAGGTATGTACATGGGATGCCCATGTGATGTAGGAAAGAATGTTGCAGAATCCGTGTCATTCCATTTGGAGTTCTGTTGGCTTGAGGGCCCTGGAAAGAGACAGAGACTGGTTCGCACTTACGATGTCGAAGGTTTGGCGGTCTCAACAACATACTTCTATGAGACAAGAATGTGAGCACTCCATCTTCATTGTAGATATAATTTTTCTGAGGGAAATGGATATTTCTATCCATGGTTTTGCACAGTACTACATAACCCCATTTGATGCTCCAGTTTGTACTTTCTTGAAGCCTTGAACTAGTTGAGAGAGTCTTGGGACTAGTCAGGCCAAATGTTTCTTTCCTGGACATTGGCAATATAGGAAATGTAAGATCCCATAACTTCCATTGTTGTTGAACAAGTGTATATTATTCTTGTATGTAATTTCAGATTAAAAGTAAAGACAAAGTTCTAGAAGAAAAGTCTAGTTGCAGAATGCAGCAAATCACATCCATTGCCTCATTGGAAAAGTTAAAAGTTTGGAATTTCTGCAACCAGAATTGCAATAAAGGCTTTTTAGAAAAATATAAGTTGTCAATTTTTCCAGTTTGTCTGGGCCCTTCATGTTGGAAATTCACTAATTTGTAATACGACTTGCACAACTTGGTGGAGATTAATCAATCATGTCCCTTGCTGCTTAAATAGCACAAGACTATCTATGTATGTGATATGCGCCCCCCGCAACCACCAAAACCAAAATCAAATTAATGCAACTACTCTCCCACCTTTCTTCTTTGGCTATTAATATCTCAGTGTGGAGCTGGCATAGCAGAAACCATAGAACTAGGAAATACAAGCCTACTACAAATCTAATTTATAATTTATAAGGTGTATATGCAAGATTGACCCCAAAATACATAAATAAAACACTCATCGCAAGTCGCTGACATGCCTGGCACCGCGAAAAATAACTTTAACTATCGAACTATTGTAGTTTAGACTATCGGAAAAAAAATAAAAACAAACATTGCAAGCAAGCACCAGCTGTTTTTTTGTAATTGACCTTTATCAAGTTTCCATACATTCGAGAGCTTGCGTACGTCAACAAGAGTGTAAATGTCTATTTTATTATGCTACACGGCGCTGTCAATATGTTATGTTATGTATAAGACTACTGGAATGTTCTTTCACTTTCATCTTCTGCACTTCATTCATCTCCTAAGTTGAAAAAAAAATGACGGAATAATATTTTGACAATTATACATAACCTGAAAAATATAATTTAAATGTGGAAACGTACCGTGTAACACTTTTACTAATTATATTTTTCAGATTTAAATGTCCCAAAGTCAGAACCTTTGTCGGTTGCTTGCGTAGGCTGCCAAAACAAGAACGATCGTGGCTGCTACACACACAAAAAAAAAAAAAAAAAAAAAAAAAAAAAAAAAAAGGAGCTGAAGGAGGTGATAAATATTAAATTAAAATATTTAATTTGGACAGACAATCTAAAGATCTGGCTGTGGATAATCACAACCGTTGGGTCCCATCAGAATTGATGATGATGATGAGAGTGGATGGTGGCTCGTTTTTAGTTAAATTTGGAGGCTTTAGCTAATAATAAATCTTTTTCCGGCTAAAAAAGCTAATAAATTCTAAATTTGTAAGGAAGGACCACACGGCACCTTGATGCCGGATTTTCTTTCGTGGGGCCCTCGGTTGCTGAGTTGTCACAAAACTTCACGTTACATGCGATGTATTACCATTTAATGGTGTTTTACTATATCGTCCCTGTTTGCCACGCTAGTTTACTTACTAACTGCAATTCATCTCTCTCCACGTATTATTATAACTGGTTTAACTGTTTTTTTTTATAAAAAAAAATCTCTCAATCTTTTTTTATTATAAGAATCGAATCATGAACACGGTCTAATTTAAAAAACCCATCTTCCTTTCTCTTTTTGGGATTAATCTCATTCAAATTGTCGTATTTTAAATTGAATTATAATACATCGAGATATTTTAACATTTTCACAATTTTACATTACATATGCATATTAACGAATTAGAATGTAAAATTTTATTTTCTATACAAGTCTGTCGCATATTTAAAATTACAGACGATTACGAGTCATATTATGTGAATTTTCTTTAAATATGTAAAATTGGGCCTCAAATCGGGAACAATTCACTTATAAATCATAGTTGGATAATCACAAACAATATAAGGAGTTCCTATTATACAAAAGAAGAAACAATAAAAAGGAGTGGTTAAGGCAAAGAAGAAGCTTAACATCCATAAACAGAGTCTTTTGCGTTAGTGTTTTGTTGTGTTGAGCATCCCTTGTCTTGACCCAGATGCCGGTCTTGGAGGGCAACAAAGATTAAAGTCCCATCTATATGTCTATCTGTCTCTGTCTGAATTTCACTTTGGAGCAATTTGCCATTTGGAATTAACGAAGCCATACAGCCTCTAAATAAAAACATTACAAAGCTTTAAAAAAATTAAATTAAATTAAATTAAAAAACAAAGAAAATTGTCGTTGTCCATTTTCTGCTCCGTGGACTTTCCACTTGAAAATTCAGGATAGCACGAAACCACCAAAAACCCAACTAATTTCTGAAGAGCAAAACCAAGCAACACAACACAAACCAGTTGCAGATGAAATACAGGAAATAGAGAGAGAAAAACAGAGAGTTACAGAGAGAGAGAGAGAGATAAAACAGAGGGTTTCGGACAGAGACAAAGAAAAAAGGTGCTTGCTTGATATAGCATCAATGGCCAAAAACCAAGACTCTGAGAGAGTCTCAGTTTCAGCACCACCCCAACCGCAAAGACCAGTCATAACACTGCCACCGAGGCCTTCCGCTGAGGCCCTTTTCAGCGGCGGATCTGGAGCCAGCCCGGGTCCGATGACGCTGGTCTCAAGCTTCTTCCCCGACACATACCCTGACTCAGAGTACAGGTCCTTCTCTCAGCTCCTGGCCGGAGCCATGGGCTCGCCTATGGGGTCCACAAGGCCAATCCAATTTAACGAAAACCCAGTTGATGGTTCGGCCCAATTAGAAGGAGGCTCTGAAAATGGCGGTGAGAACAAGTCTGGGTTTAAGCAGAGTAGGCCTATGAATTTGATGGTGGCTCGGTCGCCATTGTTCACTGTTCCACCTGGATTGAGTCCCTCTGGGTTGCTTAACTCGCCTGGCTTCTTTTCACCTCCGGTAAGTTTACAAAGCTCTCCAAATGCTATATTTAATACTGGGTGTGCTCTGTTTTTTTGGTATTTGTGTGTGTTTGATTAGTAACTGTTGATCAATGGTTATGTACTTGTGTGATTTTGTGAACATGGGTTGGTCAAAGGTGCTTCTTTTGTACTTGTGGAATGCCTCTTGTGCTCAAAGGGTGTACATTTGTGGGTTGAGGATATGATTGGGGTGGTTATTGAGTATTAACAGAAGCTATTACTCAATGATGGGCTGGTCAAAGGTGCTTCCTTTACAACAATTTTGTTTTGATGATAATGGCTGGCCCTTCCTGATACCCCATGCAAAATGATGAATTTCTTCACAAAATTGTATTGTATACAAGGAAAGTTTGAAGAAATGATGGATTTCTTCACATAATTATATTGTATACAAGGAAAGTTTGAAGAAATCAACTACCATCCAACAACAAATCAGGCCCTCGGGTTCTGCCATTCACAACAACTGTGTAAAAATCGTGCATTTATAGCCGCAACTAAATTAATGCCTATTTTCCCTGAGTGTTGGTCCTAGTTTGTATTATTTCACACCAGTCATAAGTTTATTCTTGATCTGTGGTTAGAATCCCCGATTAAGGATGGCTAACTATGATGTGTCTCATATAAAAAGGACACATGGGTAGCATGGGACTTCAAAGATACAATCATGACCAATTTTGGTGGACGAATTTGTGTAGTTTGTTGTGTCATGTGTGTGTATGTGCATGCCCCTATTACATGTTACATATTGTCAAAAGTCAAAATTTTGCTTAGGTAAGTATCTTTTCTACTCTGCATCGTGTAACATTTGTTAAAGGCTCCTTCAACTATGGTTAAACATGTAGAACCTTGAAGCTGATAAAGAGGTGATCTACATATCTAAGCCATTCAGTATATTGATGCATTGGCAACAGACCATATGGAACATATGTTGTTATTGGTGCTTCGCACCATATTGTCTTTCTATGCAATATAGTATGATTTCTGAAGTTGGATGACTTGTATTAGCATCAGGTTTTCATGAATTTTTCCTCATATTGGTGCAGAGTCCATTTGGAATATCACACCAGCAGGCCTTGGCGCAGGTTACTGCCCAAGCTGCACTAGCCCAATCTCGTATGCACATGCAAGCTGAATATCAACCTTCGTCAGTAGGAGCTCCCACAGAGCCACAGGCATATCATTCATCCATAATGCCCAATGAAGCATCTCAACAGCAGACATTACCTTCAACATCTGACCATAGAAGTTCCACGAGGCAATCATCAGAGGCCTCTCATTCTGATAGGAAATACCAACCTTCATCTGTGGCCACTGATAGGCCTGCAGATGATAGCTACAACTGGCGGAAATATGGGCAGAAGCAGGTTAAGGGCAGTGAGTATCCTCGAAGTTACTACAAATGCACACATCTGAATTGCCCTGTCAAAAAGAAAGTGGAGCGTTCTCCTAATGGCGAAATAACTGAGATTATATACAAAGGGCAGCATAACCATGAAGCCCCTCAACCTAAACGTGGAAAAGATGGTGGTGATCTGAACGGACACTTGCATTCGCAGCCTAGGCCTGAAAATGGATTGCAAAGATTGGTTGGAGATTCAAACGGGTCTAGTGAAAATATAGCTTCTCACTCAATGCTTGAGAGGCATCAAGAATCTACTCAAGCTGCTCCTGGACAGTTACCAGGGGCAAGTGACAGTGAAGAGCTACGCGATGGGGAAATTAGAGAAGAGGGGGATGCTGATGAACCAAATCCAAAGAGAAGGTATTTTCAAAACTAATCATTTCATGTAATCACAGGATACTTTGTCCTTTGTTTTGTCTTAAAGTTAAAATCTCCTTGTCTGGGAGTGCAGGAACATAGATGTTGGGGCATCTGAGGTAGCTTTGTCACACAAGACAGTGACAGAACCAAAAATCATTGTGCAAACAAGAAGTGAAGTCGATCTTCTAGATGATGGCTACAGGTGGCGCAAGTATGGACAGAAGGTGGTCAAAGGGAATCCTCATCCAAGGTGGGAACTTTCTCCATATGAATCTTTGCTTATTTTCAGTTCTACTGATTGCATTATGCAAATGGAATTAGGATGGTTTCGCTAAATTGTTTCTGACATGTTTATATTTAAGATCCTATAAATTAAGCATTAGGATGGCATCTTTTTTGCCCCAGTTAAAAAAGGATATAAAGTATTCTAAAAATTCTTCACACTTTCTTTTATTGTGTATCCTATTTGATAGATGGAGGTAAAATTATGAACCATTGGACTTAGAAATTAACTTTTGAGGAGTGGGATAAACTCTCGATTACTGATGTGGAGCAAGCCACTAATTAAAGAACAATTACTTTCTGATCTTAGAGAGTCACTTTCTTAGCATACCTTTAAACAATATGTGAATAATTTATTCTCTAATATTTTTCTTTCTACTTGAGATATGGTTTCCTTATTATGAGCATCGTTTCTGATACAAATGTGTTAACAGAAGCTATTACAAATGCACTTTTGCGGGGTGCAATGTCCGTAAGCATGTTGAGAGAGCTTCCACTGACCCCAAGGCTGTCATCACTACATACGAGGGGAAACATAACCATGATGTTCCAGCAGCTAGAAACAGCAGCCACAACACAGCCAATAACAATGCATCACAGTTAAAACCACTGGCGGTTGTGGCAGAGAAGCATCCCCTTCTTAAAGGGAGAGAATTCGGAAACAATGACCAGAGACCAGTACTTCTACAGCTAAAAGAAGAGCAAATCTTTGTGTAAAGTGCTCCGCTGAAATCGATTATGGAAGTAAAGGTCAGCAGTCAAGTCCAACCAACTAACATTGTGCAAAATGAATGAATACAGAAAATAAAGAAAGGCCTAGAGAGGTTTTTGCGTGGAGATTGTTGCTGGTGTGTGATCCGTTTTGATAAAATGCAGAAAGTTTTGCTGTAGGCCCTACATGATTTGTAAATTTGAATGCAGAAATAGGGTCGTATAGAATTATTTCACACTGAAATGGGAATACAAGTATATCTACTCATGTATAAATTTACTTTTAACATATTCTTAGTCTTGTTTATTTCTGCTTATGTGGGCTTCTTTTCGTGGGCTGTTTTATGACCGGCACAAAGAAAAGCTGGCTGGCTGGCTGTTCTTCATCCTGTTTATTACCTCTCTGCTTATGTGTGCTGTTTTTACTTTTGGGTACATGCCTACGTGGGCTGTTTTACGACTGGCACAAAGCAAAAAGTTGTGGAGGCAGGCCAACTCATCTGCCATATGATCTTGTTTGTATGTTGACTGCCTGCACATTGAAGATGTGGCTTCGCACATCGAATAAGCTTGGTTTCCATGATTTGGTTAGAGATCCAAGTTTTAATTGCATGGTCATGTTTGTTTCGAAAACCATATCACAAAAGTTTACAACCATGCATTTGGAAGCACCAAAGAAAGATTTAAAATTAATAGCTCTTAACTACTCGTTTAGGAGTGATTCTAAATAGGCAAATAATCATTTGAAGTGATTTTAAATGATTATGGAGAAAATCACTTCTCATGTGTTTCTCCATAAAATCATTTTAAAACCACTTAAAGTGATTTAAAGCGATTATATGGAGAAATACGGGAGCGGTGTTTATGCCCATAAGTGATTTTGGTCCTCCCAAAATTACTCTCAAACGAGCCCTAATTTACTTGTATGTCAAACGGATCAAGTGCCTTCTGTTCTTCGTATACTTCAGCCTCTTTTAAAACACTGCGTAGCACATATTTGCATAATTGAAAAAAGAAACGACTAATTTTAGAAATTGTTGTGACACCCCGACTCATAAATTTAGCACAGCCTTCAAACAAAATGTTGACCAGTTTTTTGGAGGAACAATGACCGACATACCAAAGTTCTTTATCCAAATGTACTTTGGTCCAAAGTTGATAACAAACATAAACTGAGTTCATTGAATCGGGTGGAGTGGTGTAATTAACAGAGTGCTATATTATACTGTAAACAATTTGATGTGGATTAGGAAGGTGGGGTCTTTTTTATTTATTCGTTTATTACTTTTTTCAGTCTAAAATGGAGCCAAAGATCCAAAATGAATAGCATGTACAAAAACAGGGGAGGGTTCCAAAAAACTAATAATATCTACTCTGTTTCTGGATATACAATCATGCAGTGCAGTGGGGCTGTTGGGCAGTTGGCCTGCAACCACCATCACCACCCTCACCTCTCACCCCATGAATGACACAAACTCCACAACTCACTCGCTTTCTCTCTCTCTCTCTCTCTCTCTCTCTCTCTCTGTTTCTCAGTGTCTCTGTGCGACTGTGTCCATTTGTCCAACCAAACACCAAACCATGAAAGCAACAAATGGAAAAGATAGAAAATAAAAACAGAACAACCAACATCCCATATTTTCCTTTTTTTTTTGTAAAATTACAAACCCAAAAAAAACATAAAATAAAAATGAAAGCAAAGCAAAAAAGACACAAAGAAAGAAAGAGAAAGATGAAGAAACAGGTTAGGACCCACGCATGTATATGTAGAAATCAATGTTGTTGTCTGTCGTCGTCTCTTTCTCTCTGTAATTGTCCTCCTTTGGTTGCGGACCGTTGGTCATTGCATCCTCATAATCCTCCCGCACATTTCGCAAAAACCGGGGACTCATTGGAAACACCCAAAAAACCAGCCAAAAATGGCGACTCTGTTTTCTCCCGAGGGCTTAAGCCTCCCATTATTGTCCCTCCCCCAATTTTGGCTTCGTATGCAAATCCATTTTTGAGCTCGTAATGCTGTAGGGGTAACCTCCCTTTATCGACCCATCTCCCGATCTCGGCCGTCGATCTTCCGCCACCCCACATTTTTCCGATCGATCGATGCTGGCGGGATTTGGCGGCGGTGAATGGGTTGCATCAGCTCGAAGCAGGCGGCTGCCTCGGCGTCTCCTTGTTTCGAGTACTCGGCCGCCGTGGCCGACAATGGCTCCGTCGTTCTGCAGCCTTCTTCTTCTTCCCTGAAGAACAGCGCCACCACCACCACCAACAATAACAGCAAAATCAACCGATCCAAATCCAAATCCAAATCAAAATCTAAGTCTAATTCAAATTCTTCCGAATTTAAGAAAACCAACAGTAAGAAGGACATTCAACATCAGGACAAGTCTGAGGATCGGAGCAGAGAGTTGATTCAGTTGAAGAAGCCAAAGAAGGAGAAGGAGGGGTCTCTAAATAGTTATAATAGTCACAATAGTCATAATGGCGGGAAAGGCAGCGGTTTTAGCTTCCGGTTGGGTTTTTCTAATCGATTGTCTTTGGAGGCTGAGCAAGTCGCCGCCGGTTGGCCCTCCTGGCTCAGCGCCGCTGCCGGTGAAGCCATTTATGGCTGGGTCCCTCTCAAAGCTGATTCTTATGAGAAGTTGGAGAAGGTAACACCTTTGGCAACTCATGCTCTGTTCTTTTGCTTCTTTTTTTTGTACAACTATTACATTAGATTCCAGGCTGATGTTTTCTGCATCCAATATTTGCCAATGAATTGGCTATCTGATTGATTTGATTCAAATTGAAAGTTCCCATCTTTCGTTTGTTTAAATGTACAAGCCTTCAAAATCTTGCAATGTGATTTTTGTTTTGGTGTAATTCAATACCAAGTGAATCATTATGATTATGGCCTCACATGCATGTTAGTTTTTGAAATGTGCTATATATATATATATATATATATAGCTAATTCTCTGCCCACATTGGTTTGAATCTTGCATTTGCTTACAGTTTATTGATTTTTTACAATCGTTCTTTCTAATTGCTTGTGTGCATGTAGATTGGACAAGGTACGTACAGCAGCGTGTTTCGAGCACGCGATGTTGAAACAGGGAGGATTCTTGCACTCAAGAAAGTGCGTTTTGACAATTATCAGCCGGAGAGCATTAGATTTATGGCACGAGAAATTATGATTCTTCGTAGGCTTGATCATCCAAACATCATGAAATTGGAGGGGATAATAACATCTCAATCATCGAGTAGCATATACCTCGTATTTGAGTACATGGAACACGATCTTGCTGGACTAGTAGCTAGTTCTGACATCAAATTCAGTGATATGCAGGTTAGATTCTTGCTTAATTCCTTTCCTTTAGCAAGTTTTGCAGAAACAGTATTTGTTATCAAAGCATTTTCTGCAGTACAAGTATACAACTTTGTCAGAACATTCTTCTTTTTCTCTACCATACAAGTCAATAATTTTGGTTCAATTTTGTTTCTGTAGATTAAGTGTTATATGAGGCAGCTATTATCTGCAGTCGAGCACTGTCATTTAAGAGGCATTATGCATCGAGACATCAAAGCATCAAATATTTTGGTAAACAATGACGGGATTCTAAAGTTGGGAGATTTTGGATTGGCGAATGTCATTAACTCCAAGAACAAGCAACCGCTGACCAGTCGTGTGGTGACCTTGTGGTATCGTCCACCTGAACTTCTGATGGGGGCAACAGAGTATGGAGTATCCGTGGATCTATGGAGTGTCGGCTGTGTATTTGCAGAACTTTTTCTTGGGAAGCCTATCCTTAAAGGGAGAACTGAGGTAAGCACAGTACTCCTCTGTTTATGCATTTATAAAACCTTTGCCTTATTGTATGCTAATATACAATCCTCATAAGCAATATGGCATTTAGAATTCAAGATGAAGTTAATAACTAGCGTCTCGGTTTCTAGCACTTAATAGACTCTCATGCTGTTTTATTTAATTTCCAGGGGACTATGATCATATGAGATTGTACTTATCTGACAGCTGAAGTTAACAACCACCCTCTCATTTTACAGGTTGAACAATTACACAAAATTTTCAAGCTTTGTGGCTCTCCACCAGAAGAATACTGGAAAGCGTCAAAGCTTCCTCATGCAACCATGTTTAAACCTCAGTATTCTTATGAGAGTTCTCTTAGGGAGAGGTGTAAAGAATTTCCGACTACTGCAGTGGACATGCTAGAAAATCTTCTTTCAGTAGAACCTTACAAGCGCGGGACTGCCTCCTCTGTCCTTATGGCTGAGGTAATGGTTATGAAAACATGATCTCTGTTGAAACATCTTCAACGCAAAAATTCTGAATTTCAATATAGAGCTCAAAACATTGGCACAAGTTAGCTTTCCTAATTAGTACATGGCAAATCCTTTGGACGTTGTTTAAAGAGACATTTTTTAAAGCTAACAAAAGTTCGAACTTTGCTGATTCAATTCTTTATCATGGATATTTTCCTCCAGTACTTCAGAACAAGGCCTTATGCATGTGATCCCTCTCACTTGCCAAAGTATCCTCCTACCAAAGAAATGGATACCAAAAGTCGTGAAGACTCACAAAGGTAAATTCTTCATTCATAAACATTTCAATTGAGGTTGTGGTTCGGATATATCTATAGGACTCAGGTGTTTCCGTTTTGAGTCGTGAAGTTTACTGAGAACCGGATTCAAATGTATAATACTTCATAGATTAAGACAATGCTTTACTGCTGCAGTTAATTATGGGGTACTTAGATGACTGCAATTGCTACATTCTCAGACAACTTAATTGTGTTGAATAACTTGTGTTGTCAGGAAAAGGCCTGGTATTCGAGCTCGAGAGACATCAAGGAAGCCAAGGAGAGTTCGTAAGACCTTGCAAGAGTCAAATAATTCCGCTAAGTTAGCACCAAAAGAGGTGTTTCTTTATCTCTATTCATGCATGTGTATCTGTGTTTTTGTGTTATAGAAGGAAGAAGCAAGAAGCCAGCCAGTTTTAACTGAATGATTTGTCCTTGACTGTGCAGGATGGGCAAGATGATAATACTCAATCTGCTCGTTGCAACCCACTTATCTTGAGGGAAAAAGGAGGTCTTCTGCGCCGTGAGTCTCTAAAACAGTCATTCGATACAGTTTCAGAGAATTGCGATTTGAACACATCCCAGGGAGATAGTACATTCTCTTCTGGTGCACATATCTCAGCAGCAAGTGGCTTTGCATGGGCAAAAAGGCAAAATGAGGATGGTACAAAATCCGCAGTTTCAGATGGGTCTAAAAGCCAATTCAGTGCACTGGATACAAATTTTGCAAAGAGTACATTTGACTTTAGCAGACAAGGGAATGGAACTTCCAAGATTGCAATGCGGAAGCTCAGAACTTTCGATACATCTGAACTTTGCAGGGCAGATGAATCAGAAGATACAGGAAACGACATGGTAAGGACCAAGGACACAATCATCATCTTTGATACAATTTACCCAAAGCGCTCTTATTATGACTTATCCTTCAACAATATGTTAGGATTCCATTGATGAAGAGAAGCATGTAATTGAGTATTCGGGGCCGCTAATTTCCCAACTGTGTAGAATGGATGAACACTTGCGGAGGAATGAAAGCCATATACGCCATGCAGCTCGCAGATCAAGGTTTGAAAGAGGTACGCAGGCAAGTCTTGATCATGGTAGAGGTACACATGTACCATATTACTTATCACATTACTCGTCATATTTGTTTCAGAGGTAGAACCCCAGGCATTACAAGTGGCTCTATGAGATATGAGATACGTAGCTGGCAAATGTGGTACAAATAGTTTTATTATGCAGCGTATGCCACGGAGAAGGCGAATGTGTCGTGAATGGAACTTATGTATGCGCAGAGAAATGGTGCAAGAGCTGGCAATGCTTGTTGAATCAAGTTCATCATCAACCCTCGAGTATAATTGGAGCTCAAATGACAAATTTCTGCTGGGCACCTCAAACCCTTTGTATCATCATAAACTGAGAAAAGGCATAAAATTTATACAGATGTACAACAACACCACATACAATATAGCAAACGTTTGGCAACCCAAATCAATTTTTCATAAGCTGCACAGCTCGCCTCTGATCACTAAGCTGACCATTTTGCCCCTTATGGGTGTTAAATTAAATTAAATTATTTTTCAATTTGATTTTCTTTTTGGGTAACCTAACCATAGTGGCACATAATCAACAGAAAAGTTACTGGCACACTGTTCTTATTTCCACAGATTTTTTTTATAAAAATTATTAATTACGGATGGACAATTTTTTCTATACTCAAATTCATAATTAAAAAAAGCTATTCATAAATGGGTGAAGAAATTACGAAAAATATAAAGGAAACTCAAGCCAAAACAAATAAAAATAAAAAAGAGAAGTAATTTATGGGCAATTAAAATATGAGACCATAGTCGATGAACTCAGATCGCATAGGGGAAAACAAAAACAAAGAGAGAATTAAAAAAACAAATTTAAATAATTTTTATAGATTCAGAAGCCAGAAATTTGGTTTTGATTTTGAATGAAAAAGAAAAAAAGGTTAAGAAATAATGTAGGGCAAACAGATCGCTGATGCTGCAAAAACTAGAGCAGCAGAGCGGCCATGGAGCCCCAAACGCAACCCCTAAAGTGAGAAGTTGGTTGTTAATGTGTGCCCAACGCACTGACGTGCGCCACGATTAAAACCTCTCCCGTGGAATACCACGCCGCCTCTTCCTTAAGAGGGGAGCGCTCGGCCTCGGGCACTTTTCTGCTGCCTGCGTCTTCCACTCTTTTATTTATACCCTCATAACCCTAATCTCTGTTTTTTCTTTTTCGGAAATAAATCAATCAATCAAATTTCCTTATATGCCCTTGCATATTGCAAGATGAAAATGTTTTTTCTTATTTTTTTAAATGTTTCTAATTTATGAATTTATATCAACAGAAATTGTAATGGGATGGAAAATGGTAATTTAAATTTTAAAACATGTGAGATAAATAAAAAGATCAAGAAATTATAATATGATTTCTTTTGCATTTGTTCAATTATTTATCGGTGATCTGGTTGGGTATGTATGAACCATATAATATAGGATAAAAATGTATTTTTGGTCACCATCGTGTTTTGTCCTGAATTCAAATTTGGCATGTGATTTTATTTTTCTGAATATAAGATAAAATGCAATTTAAGTTACCATCGCGGTTGATATGTAACCACATTATTATATTGGAGAAATTATAGAGTAGTACAAGTGATTCCGATATTAAACCTAGTCCTAGTAACACTCCTAAATCCTAAGCAGATTATCACCAGTAATATACCCTTTAATTTAATTGTACAACGCTAATCATGATTATAGAAACGGGTATAAAGGAACACTTTCATGGGGTATAAAGATCTTCTTTTCTTTGATCTACAAAGGGGCATCTCTTGATCACCAATTTCACGTCATGCCCTGCATGCATCTTGATCATGATTCATTCATCATCAAGGGTCACTAGACTGGGAATTTGGCCATGATCTACAAAATCTATCTTGTTCAGTCTCATACAACACAACACTTGCTCTGGCAACTCTTCCTGTTTTTGTGCCTACAAGCAGCAAACCCGATAGTCAGATCATTAACACAATTTCCAGCCAAACCACAGAAAAATATAACAAGATTGCTGGTTACCTGGATAGTTAAACCAAAATCCAGTATTCCGGTTTTTAGACGTTCTCGAAACGATTCAAGACCCTTCCTTGATATGTAGCTGAAGCGATGAATGTCCAGATCAATCTCAAAGTAGTTAGGACCCTGCATGTGAGAGAGCTTGATAAAGTCAAACAACATGGTTTTTAGGCTTCATCATCTTAACACTCAGCAACATAAATGTTCAATGTTTACCTTGTAAAAATTGTGCTGGGGGCGTGAAAGAACTGGTTTGTCATTATATGCATGTACAAGCTTCTTCTCAGCAGAACTCAGACCGAGATCTTCAGGATTTACCACCCCAGCCAAGATCTTTAGTCTTTCTCTAAAAGGTACAGTGGAGTCCTTTGCGAATCCTTTCACTTTTTCCGTCTCATCGTCAACCATTTTCTGAAGCATCATTCAAATATATCAACAGAGTGCGAGTTCCAATAGAACATAAGATCACATTTCCATCAGGGAGAGTACATCAGAATAAAGCACATGCCTATCCAAATGGATGAAGTTGCATACAAAATGAAGTTACCTTGATGCTGTCCTGGAATTGAGGAGAGATGTCTTTATCAAAATTCTCAGAAACTTTGAAATACATTACAAGACTCATCCCCTCTCCATCACTATCACCAAGAAACATTGCAGCAGGATAAGTAGGCAACTGCAACAGGCGCAGAGCAATATCATTAGATACTGCCAAAAATATAACAAACAAAACATAACAAGATAAATCAATTCTAAAAAAATTACCTGTATGTTTACAATGAGGAGTGGAGGCACTTTTCCGTTTGCTTTCACATTGGGAAGCTCAAGATGCTGGGCAATGTGATGTATCTTTTTGGGGCATACAAACACATCAACACCTATTGGAGTATATGGACTGTAGTTCGGAGCAGGTGACTTTCGTTTATCTCTGGATGGTAGACCAACAGAAAATAATATTATCATTAGCAAGGCAAAACAGAGTAGTTAGTTGCAAATCTAAATTTAGTTAAGGTTGGTTTTGACAATAGAAAAAACCAAAGTCATACTTGAAATAGTTCTCGCCACGGAGTTTAAAAGTTGAGGGTGGAATCTCAGACCAAGATCCTGAAGTCGGCTTCTCTACTCTACAACATGGAATGATATATCCTGGTCTAGGCCGATACAGAAACCTTTTTGATTGACCTGTGGATATATCATTAAAATGTTCAGTAATATACATGTACATCAATCCCAATATTCTAAGTTTTCTTTCTATTCAAAGAAAATTGAATTATTTGAATACTTACATTGTTCAATGGTTTCTTCTGCATCACAGGATCTCCTTTTAAAAGAAAGTCTGAACACTGCTGATGGCTTTCTCTGGGACTGCGGAGCCAAACTCTGTGCACTTAGAATCTTATCGTTGAAACTTACAGAAGGTACCAATCGAGATAAGCCGGATTTCAGGGCATTGTCTTGAATTTTTTCATTAGAATCACGTCCATCCTCTCTAAGTCCTTTAAAGCTTCCATAAGAGTGATCTAATATATTCTTCCTCTTACTGCAAACTTCATCAGCCTTCCCTAAGCGTGAAAGCTCATAGCCCTGGGTACTAATAAGCGAAAACCGATTTGATTCCCTACGCTCATCTTTGCCCGTGATTTTATCTAATTTACCTCCATCTATTTTCATATAGCTTTGGTATTCTTCATACTTACACCCATTATCAACAAAGCGAGCAGATCTTTCGTACTGAAGTAATTGGCCACTTGAGATATTCCCAATTGGATTGCTTGCTAATGGAAAACTATCTGTAGAATAAGAGAAGAAAATTAAGAAAACAAAATCCTTTTCCATTAAGTAGCTCAAGAAAAATTACTTCAGTAGTAATGACGTTTTGCAATCAAACAAGACCACAAAGCTTTCATTCTGTAATATGTAGTTACAGGCTGATGGCCAATACCTCCATGTATACTGACAAAGTCATCATCTGAATCAGACTCCAGAATACTCACTGAGTCAAACCAAGCTTCCTCTTGGCAAATTACTGCAAACGAATAAGTTTCAAAATATGAGATTCAAGAGCTATGAATTTTCTTGTCAGCATTATTGGTTGAAATTGAAAGACAGTTGAAATCTGATGAAAGAGAGCACACACCATTCGCATCATATTGACTGTGGTTCCATTGCAGCTGGGTGAGATGGAATGTTGAATTAGAAACCTTAGATCTTCTGTGAGTAGTTGTTGCACCATTCTCGAAGTCCACATGAACAAACTCACTGACAGCATAGTCACTCACACGAGCTCCTGCATCACTATATATTTTCTTGAAACTGGTATTTCTTTTCTTGGTACCATCTGAAGCAGAGCAGGTTGCCTTTCTATGGCATTTGATGACCCGTTGACAGTGTTTTTTCCGTGATTTAATTGTTTTGGATGGGGTTGACATGCAACCACCCATTGTAGCTTTTAAATCATGCAAGTCCCAAATACAACGATGCCTTCATCAAGTCCTCCAACTTGTGTGCCTACAATGAATAACTGAAACAAAATACATCAGAGATGAATAAAGGATTTCTGGAAAGCAGTTTCTATGATCACAAATAATCATGAGAACACAATCAATTCTTTCATCATGAGACTGTTTCAGTAATTGATGGCTCAAATGCTAGGCCAGTTAACCAACTTAACACTTGGAAATTATTAGAATCAAACGGATGACACAGAGGTCTCTATGTTTAATGAGTATGGTGACACTATCAGAAAGCACCTTGGTTAGAAACGACTGGTAACTTGAAGCACTACACTAGTTATTCAATCAATTTGTAGATGAAAATTTGTGCAATCATCATAAAAATCAAATGTCTGATTCAAACCTTCTCAAACAAAGTGGGGTGTATCTTTCCCAGTCCCATAGATAAGCCACATATCTATCTTAAGCCTCACATATTTAGTTCTGGCTCACTAGAACATAAACATGACCAAGAAACAAAAAGATAGTACAACCACCTCAAGAACAACTAAACAAAACCTTAGTCCTTCTACTTGCTATTGGATACAAAAGTCTTTTTTCTTCTCAAGCTCCATGAAGAAGCAGAAATAATAGGTGTGAGGATGTA